AGGGCGTCAATGCGTTTCTTTCTGGCAACGATGAATTTGGTGCTTTCGGAAGATCGTAAAAGCTCGGAGCATTCGAACAGTGATCTCTCGGTATGAACCATGGCGAGGTGGACGACAAGGGCGATTCTAGGGCCAGCGATTGTTTTGCGGCAGAAGGGGCAGTAATTTTCCTTGGGGATGTAGACTTGCTCGATTTCCTTCTTGGGGAAAGATTCTCCGGACGCTTGGTTTTCCAAAAAGCACATTTTGTTGTTTTGTTTTGGTGTTTTTTCTTTTCGATAAGAAAAATTGTTTGATGAAAAATTTGCATTCGGAAGTGATTATATTGAGCGAAAAACGATCTCTAGCGCCATCAGTTTTGAGCGGTTGCCCAGCTGGGGTTGATTGTTTGCCTTTGAAGGAGTTAGTTCAAATTAGTTCCGAACAGGTGATAAGCAGCATCGCCAGGCGCCAGTTTCCCATAAGGCCGGTGATCATCTTTGATTTCAACTAAACTGTAGCTTGATTAGTTTGAGAATCGACGTTGAATTAAGCACTTCTATTTTTGGATAATTGGATTTCCTTTTATAACGAATGAGTGCTCCTGTTTATGGTGGTTTTCAAAATAATATCACCATGACTAGCGATTTTTTATAATATTTCTCTTATAAAGAACAAATATAAAAGATAATTGAAAAAAGGACTATTCTTTCCGTTTATTTTTAGAACTTCCAATATAATTAAATGTTCTCTTTATCCGAAGCTTCATTACGGCTCAGTTGAAGACAATCCTCAGAAGAGATAAGAGATGAAACTCAGTTTTGCGTTCTGCATTTCTTTTAGTCTTCTCATCACGTGAGTACCGAAATTTACGCGACGCCTCTATTTTTCACTAAAATAATCATAGTGGATTGGTGAGCCTTCTTTTGATCAGGTTCCAGTACCCCTTTCCTTCTGAAAATAACGGAGAATCACAAATGGCTACAAGACCACTCGCAAATATGGTATATGGGCGCTGGGCACGACAGCCTGTGTAGAAAGCCTGAGTCAGGGTCTCAAAGATCTTGAATGAAAAGCCGCAAAGATATTTTAAAGTTCTAAGCAAAGTGGCTTCGTTTTTTAAACCGGTTTTCAGATCTTTGAAATCCTGACTCAGGTTTTCTACACAGGCTGTCGAGCCCAGTGTAGACGAAAACCGATAGGTCCACATCGACATTTTGCTCATAAGTTCGAAGCAGGCTTTGGCCAAGAAAAGGAATTCGAAATCACAATTTTCATGGCTGGTCGTTTCTACAAATCGCAAGTTTACGGACGAGGAACCATCGAGGAATCGAGGGGAGTTTGCGCGGAAAAGAATAGCACACTCCCTGGCAGACATTTACGATCAATCACATCAACGTTACTTCCGACTCGATCTATAGATTTATCAAAAAAGGAGCTTTTTGGTTGAACACGAGTGTTACAACTGCGTCAGAGGACGGAGAAATCGAACAGAAAATTGGAGCAGAGTTGGATCCGAAATTAAGAGAAGTCTCCAATCAAACTGCTGATTTGATTCTTCGCCCAATTGAATTAGGAAAGGAAAGAACTTACTGCGCCATAAGGTGAGATTTTCTAAATTTTGTTCGATATACATGTAATCCAGGGTTCAAAATCACCTCACCTAAAGGTGCACCTTGTTCAATTTAGGTGAGGTGCAAATTGTCACCTCACCCACCTCACCTAAAATTTTTCAGATTTAAGCTTTTTTAGGTGCACCTAAAAGGTGCACCTTTTTTGAAATCATCACCTCACCCACCTCACCTAAAACTTTCGAGATTTGGGCCTTTTCTAGGTGCACCTAAAGGTGCACCTTTTTTGTGATCATCACCTCACCTCACCTCACCTAGGAATGTTTTGATTTTAGGTGCACCTTTTTTCTCGGTGAGTTGTTTTAAAGTTTGAAATTCAAACTTGGCTGTTGATTTCGAGTCCTTTGACACTGTTTTTTTATGTTTCCGACAACTGGGGAGTCTATGTTCTCCGACCAGAGAAGTCGCAGAGAGTCCCCAAGGGTACCAAAATGTAGCTTAGGGTCTGATTTGTGGCGTAGGGACACTGAGCAAATGTCAATACCCGGCATTTTTTACTGGGCAACCCGCAGATTTTTCAACGGGTTACTCGCGCGGAGAGCCTTTTCACGGGCTACCCGCGCTACGAGTGTTATCCTTTCCGCCGAGTAGCTCGCGATTATCCTTTACCCATTTACTCGATCTACTCGCGCGGAGACTCGTAGAAAAATCTGCGGATTACCCGGAAGAAATTTGCGAGTAATTTCAAAGGACTCGAAATCGAAGTCAGGAGCAAAATCCGTGCACACACTTGATCAATTATCACCTAAATTTCACCCACCTCACCTAAAAAACTTCCAAGATCCGTCTTTTTAGGTGCACCTAAAAGGTGCACCCTTTTTCAGAATATCACCTCACCCACCTCACCTAAAATTTTTCAAAAATTGGCTTTTTAGGTGCACCTAAAAGGTGCACCTTTTTCTAATCTATCACCTCACCCACCTCACCTAAAATTTTTGAGATTTGGGACTTTTTTAGGTGCACCTTAAGGGTGTCAACAACGATCGGGTCCAGCCATGTCCGATAAGGTCATCGAAACCTTTTTTGTTATTTGGTGGACGATGATTCTAACACTTTTTCAGATCTGAAATATCTCAACGAGAACTCGAGATATGACCATTTCTATGTGCGCTCTAATGCAGTAGCGTTCTACTGAAATGCACTGTGAAATATGCTATTTTGAAAATTATTATTTAGTATAGCAACCTATATATTTTCTGAAAGCCCGAAAAAATCTCTATTCAATGATACCTATTTCGATAAGATCGGGCTAATTTTACATGTTCAAACAGCGCGGCAAAAGTCGCAAACACCTGCACTTTAGCGCCGGAAAAGAGGATTAAGGGATTAATCAGTGCCCAATCTAAGCGCCCCGGGTGATTGTCGATAGGTCAAACTACTATCCCTGTGAAAACGAGAAAATTTCAATTTCAGGAACCGAACTAGAATCGTGCTCAAACTTTGAAAAAATCGTTGCATCACATTATGCATGCAAATAGGTGCATACAGCTCATTTTTCAAAAATCCGTCAAATTAAACTAATAGTTTAGCGTTCAACCTTTCATCCTGAGAAAAATAAAAGAAATTGAATTTCGGGAAGGTACCGAATCTACAGGTACAACTTTGGTGAGATCAAGCATTTAAACGTCCTTTGAAGCGGCGGTGGGGATTAATGGATTAGTTTTTAAAAATTTCGCCAAATTAAACTAATAAATTAGGGTTCAATGTAATATATCATCCAAAAAAATAACTGAATACGATACGGGAAGATACTGAAACTACAGTCACAAAATTGGCCAAATCGTTGTTGACACCCTTAAGGTGCACCTTTTTTGTAATCATCACCTCACCTCACCTAAAAACTAGGTGATTTTGAACCCTGATGTAATCTTTTATGTTTTCAGTAGCTGGATCACTCGTTTCTCCCGCTATGTCTGCGAAAACGACACTTTCGACTCTGAAGGCCGATTACTTATCTATTCAGCAACAGTTCCGCACTGCGAAGTGAAAAAATTGGACATGCGATTCGCTCAAAAATACAATTTGATGCAACAAAAATTTGCGGACATTTCTTATCATGGATTGTCGAAGGAGTACTCCCTCAGCTTTCTGACTGGATATTCGATGGAGAGTTTTAATGCCGAGGATCATGGGATTCCCTGGTGCGAAAATAATCCCAGAGGTAAGTTGATTTTTAGAATTTTCGAGTAAAACAATCAGTACCGCGAGGAATTATTGCAGCGGAAAGAGGACATAAGATGGTGTTTGGCCCTGGTTTTGATGATACCCGGTAATTCGTATATGTCATTCAAAAGCTATTTATTGTCTTTTAGGGCATATGCTGTTTGCATAAAGAGAGATTCTTAGCTATACGCTCAAAATAATCTGCTTTCCTTCCAATAAATTCTACAGCTCAGTAGCTGTGCTGATTAAGGTTTTCGAGTTCTATTGCGAAAGCATCAACAAGTCTTGCACTCCAACTGAGTTGAGCTCAGTGAGTTCACTCGAATTCAACGGTCTACCAGACAGTATCGTAGATACCTTAGGTATTGATATCAATTACTGTTCTTGTCAGAAAGAAAAAGGATCGTTCAAGAAGACATGGCTGAGTATTTGATTTTAAAACAGATAGAAGGTACTAAACGAAGTATCACTCGAGGTTTTCCAGTTCCTGTCCGATTACGTAACGAGCCCCGGGCTTGGTTGACGTGGCCTTGGTTGCTCTTACACTTGATTTTTTGCTTATTTTCATGATTTGTTCACTGGTAGAGCCGCCCGAATCTTTATTTCTCGGAGAATCGAGCAAGACCACATTTTCCTTGAGAAGGGAAAAATGTCTGCGAAAGGGGCATCCTCCTCGTGGTCATTGGGCGCTGGGCTGGTTCCCGCGCGTTGATTGGTCGAGCATCGTCTACGCGAAAACACTCGCAGCGTGGCACTGAAAGAGTTGACTTTGAGGAGACCGAACTGAGCAGATTCCTGATTCGGGTTCGAAACTTTATTTTTATTTCATTTTTACGTTTTTATTGAATAAAAAGAGGTTGAATCATCAGAGGAAACGAAGTTATAATCAATAATGTTGCATTTATCAGAGATTAAAATCAAAATAACAGTATTGACAGGGTTTTTATTTATTTTTCATCGACGATGGCTCATTTTTTACGATCAATTTTGCAGTTTTACTCTCAAATTGGGTAAAATAGGTTTTGCTTTATTATATTCTATTAATATCTATCTATGTATACAGTACTTTACTGTGGTAATGTAGAACCTATGTTATCCTGACTGCAAATCTGCAAGCTACTGAATCTTTTTGATGATGAATCTGGCGATAAAACCTCGATTTTTAAGACGAGTCGAACCCGAATTTGAGTAGGGTAGGCTAGGTTAGGAGTATTCGGGAATTAGGAAATGTCGGACGAAGAACCAGAACAGATCAGAAAATTATTTATCGGTGGCCTTAGCTACAACACTACTGAGGATAGGTAAGCCTTCAAAATAAAAATTGACCCAAAAATGGGCGCCAAAAACAGTCATGAAATGATGAAAGTCACAAGACGCGCCCTCGATAGAATTATGTAATCTGTTTTGAACTTTTTGGCGCTCATTCAAGGTCAAAAATTGGCAAAAAGTCGCTTCCATAAATATAATTGAAGCCGCTGTTTGCGCGGCTTTTTGTTTTTATGTACGGCAAGCGTCTTTTAGATTATATTTTCCTTTCATAGCAGAAATTTATCTTTGTTTTTTACAATTTATTTTAGCTTGTCAAACTTTTTCTCGAAATGGGGCAAGCTGACGGACTGCGTGGTAATGCAGGATCCCGCGACGAAGCGATCACGTGGCTTCGGCTTCGTCACTTTCGAAAAAGCTCAGATGGTGGACGACTGCATGTCAAACCGGCCGCACAAGGTACAGTGTCGATTTACTGGATTCTCTAAAAGGGGGAAGTTGAGGACGAATTCGTGTTGTTTATTTGCAGAATTTTATCTGTAGTAATTCGAACATCGGAATTTGAGATTTTCCCTTTTTAGTTGGATGGCCGCGAAGTCGAGGCCAAGCGCGCCGTTTCTAGGGAAGAAAGCCACCGACCAGGAATTCACAAGAGCGTCAAAAGAATGTTCATGGGCGGCATCAAGGAAAACGTCACCGTCGAGGACGTCACGGAATACTTTGAAAAGTAGGGAAGCTTTAGCTCTTATTATTTTCTTATTGATTCTCTAGGTATGGTAAGGTAGAAAGCGTGGAACTGCTGCAGGACAAGGCCTCCGGGAAGAAGCGAGGCTTCGGTTTTGTCAATTTTGACGACTACGATGTGGTGGATAAGGTAAAAAACGCTTGTTACCGGACCGAGCCCAGACCCATGAGTGGTTTTCTGGAAAAATAATTATTTTCACGGCTGACAGATCGATTCTATTTTTGATAAATTTCTATATTTTCTATAACTTAATTGTCGAACTGTTACCTGCGTAAATAGATAAAGACCCTTGTCAAATTTTCTCTTTATTTAAATTTGTCTTCAGATTGTTCAAACCCGACGTCACGTGATCAGCGGAGTGTCGATCGAGGTGTCGAAGGCATTTTCGAAGGAAGACCAAAGTAAGCCGTCGGGGAACTACCAAAACTCACAATACAATTCTTCAGCGCGAAAGGCATTCGTCAATGGTAACAACGGTTACTACGGCTACGATGCTTTCGCATGGGCTGGCGGCTTCAGAGGAGGTGCTACTGGTGGAAACGGCGGCAGGCCTGGAAACGGCGTTCCTGCTGTTCGCGGTCGGCCAAATGGAAGAAGGTAGGCGGAAAAAACAAAGATAGGCTGCTCATAAGTGGTTTAGACCGATGATGAATCCACGAAATGGTCACGTGGATCACACGGTTTGGTACTCGCCGGCTGGTGCTCGAGGTGGCGCCCACTTCGCACCAGACGGCCGTGGAGCTGGTGGCTACGCGGGCTACAACGGCTACCACTATCCCCCTCATGCTTACTGGGGACCCGATGGTACTTACGGAGCGCACTACCAACAGGTACTCCGTTCTTTCTTTCTTCATTCATTTCAATGTATTTCTTGCAGTGGGGAGCCACTGGTGGCTGGATGGGAAACGGAATCGTCGAGCAGCAAGCTCCTGAAAAGGTTAACCGCCGTGGTCGAGGCCGCGGACGGGGCCGAGGAAAGGCACGACTAGACAAGCAGAATAATAACAACGGCACCACCGGCCAGAGCAGTAGCAACAGTAACAGTCAAAGCAGACGCTCGCCGAACAACAACAACAACGGCGGCGCCAGCAAGGGAGCCCAACAGACCTGGCCCGACATGGTTTCTGGTCCTGGAAACACGGCGACCCCGGCAGTCGCCCCAGTCTACAACCACGTCCCTCCAGTCGTCTAAATAATGGTAAAAAGCTAAAAAGAAACCCGAAAGAAGAAAACTCCGTCCCGCCTCTCATCCGATGAGAAGAAAAACTAACTGGTTGTCCAACTACTCTGTTCTTATTTTTTCCATTTTTTCATCTCCCCTCTTTTCTCTCTATTTTTCCGCGTAAATCCCTTAAAACTTCATGTTCGTTAATTTAAAAAAAACAAAGCAAAGTCTTAATATCACCATTACCTTTTTCTTATTTCGCCCATAATTCCTTATCGCTTTATTTCATATAAAGTCCCCCCTCTTTGTTCCCCTCCGTCCCCCCTTTCTCATATAACTTTCTCTCGTAAAATGGTCAAAAGCCTCCCTCTGGTCTAGTTCCTTATTTTAAAGTCGAAAGTAAAAGATAATCTCGCAAAAAGACCGTCCACAAGACAGTGTCTCCGCGACAGAAAGAGTTATTACGAATGGATTTTGCTTATGTAGAGACTGTTCCAATGAATGTTCAAACAATGTTGCAAATAAATGTGCATCGCTGACCGAAAAACACTTGATATTTATTGTTGTCTTTTGAAGAAGTATGAATCGGTGGTGTTACTTCGAGGGCGCACCGGATCCGGCAGGTTGAGGAGGTTATAAATTTCACTTAGAATAGGGAAGAAGGTTTCGATTTCATTTTAACCCATGCTAGAAAGAGTCCTCGGTCAATGTACGGGCTGCCGGCTGTATGATGGCGACGTAAAGACAAATTACAAAGATGGCACGATTTCGGTCTCAACTCATAAAATTACTTACCACGGTCAAAATGTAACTTTGTTCATTGTAAGAGAATCCTAGCGAAAAACAATTGATTTATTTCTTTAGCCGCTGAGATTGATAATTTCGGCGAACAGCGTTCCGGGCTCCTGGAACCATTCGCCAAAAGTGGAGCTCTTTGCACAACAATGGGAGCAATCCCTCAAGCCTCCCGGGCCGCAGTCAACAAGTCGCTCGAATGAGGTCAGATTCGCTGTCGCCAAAAAAAGGCAGGAAGATTTTGCCGTTCAAATTATTCAAAGGACAGTTTCAGATTCATCGCTAGTGAAAAGAGAAACTCGACTTTTCTTTAAGATGAAATTTAAAAACTTCATTTGAGGCAAAATTTTTCAAAAAAATTTTATGGCCCCATATGAAAGAGTAGAAAATTCTGAGTCGATTGGTCTACTTCCGGCTCTATAATTTTAAGAAATGACGTCATTATGAGTCATTTTCCTCAAAAAACTTTGGGGCCGATTTTGAAGGGGTTTTTGATTCATTTTCTCGGCGTCCTTGGGCTCATATGAATCGTCATCAAAAATTGAGGGGGGGTTTTCGCGGATTTTGAAAAACTCCGAGAGAAACACCTTCAAACCGACCGGTCGAAAAATGATCAAAATTTATTTCTTGAGTTTTTTCAAAACCCTTTAAAACCTCCCCTCAATTTTCGACGGCGATTCTTTTGAGCTATAGAACGTCGAATAAGTCCAACGGAAACCCCCTTAAAAGTTCCCCAAAAGTTTACCAAAAATGCCCTAATCTGGACTTTGTTACGCAATATTCGTGGTTATAAAGTCAAAATTTTCGGGTCAAATCTAGTCCATTCGACTCAGAATTTTCTGTTCTTTCTTCTGAGCACGAAAAAAAATTTCATGAAAATTTGCCTCAAGTGAAGTTTTTTAATTTAATAGATGAAAAATTTCCATTAAAACCATTATTGATTTTCTGAATCCCATTCAAAGAGCGCTAGAAGAGCGTGTTTGGGAAAAACAGGCGAGGCAATCGCAAACTATTCCTGGAATTCTGGCGGCAAGTGGCAAATCCCGCGGGATCGGCGCCGTGGTCAAGAGCCAAGAAGCAAAGCACGAGAAAGAAAACGCAATGACATCAGAGGGCTTGCAAGACCTCAAGAAATTAATGAAACATGCGGATGACCTGGCGAAACTGGCGCAGACCGCCGCGACCAAAGTGGATGGACAGGACGAGGTCGCGAAGCTCAGATCGATGATGATGAGTTTAGGACTTGAAAACGACAATGCCACTGGAGAATTAGGGTAAGAGAAAACAAAAAGAAAGAAGGATAGATTCTCGGTTGAGGGAGAAAAAAGGGACAGAGAAGAATTAATCCGGATTAGTTTAGAAAAGGAGCTTGCCGTCGTTTGCCGACCGCTGATTGAGAAGAGCGGCGGAATGATGGTAAGAAAAAACGAGAAATTGCCCTTCGAAGTCGTTATTTATTTATATTGGGAATGTTTCTTTCGACCATTATTTTCTCTAAGGATACGGTCATTTTAGAGATCGATTAACAATTTTTATTAGATAAATTATTAGATGAATAATTAAAAGACTAACCAAAAAATATTAGATGTATTTGAAAGTATTTAGGTCATGGAAGAAGCGTATTGTGCATTGAACCGCGCCCGAGGGAGTGAGCTAGTGTCACCGGAAGAAGTTTATTCGGCGGCAAAGTCGATTTCCAAAACTTACCCTGCGGCTGGGCTCCTCTTCAAGAAATACGACTCTGGAATCGCCGTCCTTCAAGACAGCTCCCTCTCTGATGCCGCCGTCGTTGAGCGAATTCTAGCGCTTATTACTGAATTTCCAGAAGGGCTGACAGCCGAGAATTATTCGGCGAAAGCTGGTTTTAGGTTGTAACAGAATTTCTTTGAATGTTTATTAAGGGTGTCAACATCGATTGAGTAAGGGTATCTCTTATGAATCGAACAATTAATATCAAGTTATCTAGCTAACGCTGATTCCAGAGCTTCTTTCAGATCCGAAATATCTGCTCTAGGTCACGAGATACACGTTATTCTATGAGCGCTCTAATGCACTAGTTCTCGGTAGAAATGCACTGTTAGAATTGCTATTTTTTAATTTTTGATTTTATATGCCAACCTATATATTTCCTGAAAGCTTGAAAAATTCTCTTTCTACTGATACTCATATCGTTGGGATCAGGCAAATTTTACATGTTCAAACAGTGCGCCAAAAGTCGCAAACACCTGCACTTTAGCGCCGGAAGAGGGGATTAAGGGATTAATCAGAGCGCGATCTGAGCACCCCGGGAGATTATCAAAGGATCAAACCATAATCTCTGAGAAAATGAGAAGAATACAATATTTGGAACAGCACTAGAAAAGCGCTCAAACTTGTAAAAAATCGTTATATTATATAATGCATGCAAAAAGATGCATGCAGTAAAATTTTTTCAAATTTTCCAAATTTATGCTAAATAAAAGTGTTCAGGCTTGCCTCTGACAAAAAATGAAGAAATTTGAATTTGTAGTGTTGCCACAGCTGTTGCAAGAAGATTGGTGAAATTCGCCTTTTTAGACTTCTTTGAATACGCGGTGGGGATTAACGGATTATAAATTTACTATTCTGCCAAATTTATGCTAAATAATGAGGTTTAATCTAAAACATAGTGAAAGATCAGATCATTTTGTTTACGGGAAGGTACCTAAACTGATGCAGAAAAAATGCCAAAATCGATGTTGACACCCTTAATGAAAAATTTAGTCCTATCGTTGCAAAAGAACACTTGCAAATGGCCGAGTTAAAAGGGGATTTATGCCGCGACGATTCCTCCCGCGGCGTGAAGTTCTTCCCCAACCTTTTCCAGCTTCATTCCTGCTAAAAATCACGCAATAAATCAGATCTTCAAGTTCAAACAAATGACAGTTTCTCTTTTCAGACATGGACAATCATCCGGATTTCGATAATTGTCGCTACACATTACCCGGGATTTTGCATTTTCTGCAGCATGAGTGGAGCCAGTTCGAACTTGAGCGCGCCCAGTGGGAGTCGGAGAAGGCCGAGTTGCAGGCGACCATTGCATTTCTGCAGGGAGAACGACGCGGACAAGAAAATCTTAAACGCGATCTCATCAGGTCTCGATTTCATTAGCTTCGCTTGTTGATAAATGTTGTAGGAGAATCAAAATGCTTGAATTCGCGCTGAAAAAGGAGCGAATCAAAGTGACGCAACTGAAGGGAGAAGATGGAGGAAACATTCCAAATCCGCCAGAGCTCGATGGCAACGACTCGCCAACAGATGAAATTCCTGTAAGTTACCATATTGCTTCAGTAATGAAAAATGTGTTCAGCCCGAAATGGCAGGCAATCAAGAAGGCCTGGGCGATCTCTGGTCTGGTGGGAGACAGCTCCTTCGTCAATATCTCCAAGAAGTTGGCTTCACAGATACGATTCTTGACGCTAGAAGTGCTCGGCTCCGAGCGCTTCTTGGCAATTCTGCGCCCAATGACGGTTTTTTTTTCTCGTAGGATTATCTAGTTTTCATTAAAAAAATAGACGATGATGATGATAACGAAAATGAGCACGGCAAAATGCCGGCAGCCTATGGGGCTCTCAGCGATTCTGGCGATGTAGCGGTGCTCGATGATTTGCCAATTAAAGACGATGACATTCAAGATGCTATGGCTGATTTCAACTTCTTACAAAGCGAGAACGCGAGTGACTGGAATCCAAACACGCAGGTTATAGATAAGAAAAAAGAAGAGCTTATCCTCGTAAGTAAAAAGCTCTTTTCCCCAAATTTTAGCCTGGTTCAGGAACGAAAACGAAAACCACGTCCTCCTCGAAACAACTCACCTCCTCGTGGATCCCAAGAAAGCAGCGGTATTTTCAACCAGCTGCAAGGACAATTAAATAATAACGACAACGACTCAGAAAACAAAGGTACGTTTTTTATCCAAATCTTTCTCTAAAACCTTGTTTTCACTAGATCTCACTGTGGATGAAATTGATTCCTAGTATTTCTTTTTTGATCTTCTTGAGTTGAATTTGAAATAAAAAATAACATTTTAATTTCTTAAAAAAAAAACAAAAAACTCGCGCCCTCGTCATATTCTTCTTGAGGAAGTCCGAAAAAATTCGTTGAAAAAGTAAAATTTATTTTTAAGAAATCGGAGAAGAGGAAAATGAAGAGGAGCTCGAACTCGGCGTTTTGGCTGGACTAACAATAAATAACGAGGCCGATCCGTTAGGACTCTCTGATAACAGGTAAGAAAAGGAGTGTGCTTTTGATCTAACTTCTGAAAAATCAAACAGTCAATTCCGACGCTCTTGGACTCATAAATACACGCTGCGAAGTCATTTGGATGGAGTTCGTTGCGTCCAGTTTCACCCTGTCGAGCCACTTCTTGTCTCGGCTTCGGAGGATAAAGTCGTCAAGGTAAAAATCCAAGTGACGATAAACAGATTATGATGATTATCTTTAGGTGTGGAATTTAAATAAAACTGTAGCTGGAAAGAAGACACAAACTGCAGATATTGATCCTATCATGAATTATAGGTGCGAAAACAAATTATGAACTCACTTTTATTATCATTTAAGGGGACATGAAGGGCCGGTCTTATCAGTCGTCTTTGGCGAAAATGAAATATACTCATCTGGCCTCGATGGGCTGATTTTCGGCTGGCCTATGCCAAAGGTAAATAATTTGATTCACGGCTCTTTAAAAACTTTTTCTTTTTACTAGCTTGATGCTGATTTGTACGACCCATTCGATCCCGAAATCCTCGGCAGAAAGTTCGAAGGTCACACAGATGCTGTCTGGAATCTCGATTTCCTCCGCGCTCCAGAGCCAAAACTCGTCTCCACTGGTGCCGATGGCAAGATTATTATTTGGGATCTTGCAACTGGAACGCCGGCGATGACGATTACCGCCGAATCGCTTGAAATGCCCGACTTGGGCACTCCAATTGATGCCAGATGGTCGAGCGAGAACAACAAGCTCGTCGCGATTTGGAGGGGAGACAAAATTACGACCATTGACGTCTCTACCGGTAGTGTTATTTCGCGACTAAAATAGAGAATGAATTCTAAGGAAAAATTGTGCTCTTGCTTGACGAATGCGTTGATGCAAATGCTGTCTGCACTCATCCTCTTGTACCTATTGCTGTGACGGCGCACGAAGATAAACATATACGAATGTGGGACTTGTCAAGGTATTTTATATTGTTCCAGTAAGATTGCAGTAGAGGCTGTTGGGCCATAATTTGCTATACAAGTGGATATTATAATTGTACCATTTAAAAAATCACATAAATTCTCTGATATCGCAGAAATCGGCTTATCTTGTCGGATTTTCATAATTTAGTCATCATTTTATCAGACGACTTGGTGTAACCTTGTAATTCATTTCGCAATTCATTCTTATAAAGAGGAAAAAGCCGCTTTAGCACCTTTCGATCAAATATTGACATTTTTCTAAGAAATCAAATTAGGTCTGTAAAAACCCCGTAGAATTTCCCTCCGATTTCATGACCCAATTTATGACCGAACCATTCAGCGGTATTTTGGTACACACATGCAGCGCGCACGCTGATGCTGTTTCCACTGTAGCAATCGATAAGACTGGATCTTATCTCCTCACTGGTGGTCATGACTCCTCCATCAGGTTTTTTCTCTCTTCATTAATTGCATAAATAATTGAATCCAAGGCTCTGGAATATTGATACGAAGGTTTGTGTGCAAGAAATGACAGCTCACAGGCCAAAGAACGACGAAGCGGTTCATTTTGCTACATTCCATATAAATAAAGGTATGAAAATCAATCAACCTTTTTTTGAATAAATTTTTCAGGCTACGTTGCTTCTGCTGGCGCTGATGGCTTGGTCAAAATCTTCGTGTAACAAATTTAATATCGCCACAATCTACCAACATCGCTACTATCATCAACTATTTTATTTCATCCCTTTTTTTATCTTCTTAACATTTGCCTCAGACCATCTTGAGGCGGCTTAGGAGCCATTTTGAATTGCAATCACTTCAAGCTCTTCTAAGTCGACTTTTGACTTGACCCCACAATTTTTAATAAAAATTTTTCGTTTTCGGACACACACATGTGAAATGTTCATTTTTGTTATTTTCAATTTTCTTATTTTTCGAAAGTTCAACCTCTAACTATCCCACCGCCACCTGGTTTAATCGCGGCTGGTTATTTTTGCCGTCCCACTGTCGTCTCTCCACACATTTTTTGAATATCTTATGTGCACAAAACAATATCGGCCGCCCATTAATACCGTTTCGTTTATTTTTATTAAATACGATTTATAATACCCTCCAAGCTTTCTACCGCGATTCTGATTTCTTACTGACTCCTTGATCTTAGAAAAACGGTTAGAAATTGGAAATCGCTTGCGGCTCCGAGTAAAATAAAACGGAAAAGCTGTGCCGTGCACGTCTTGTGTTTTCGCTTACTCGAAGCAGCAAGCGGCTTCTCAATTTTTAGCAGTTATTTTAAGATCAAGGAGTCACTGTGGCAAGAGAATCGCGGTATCTTGGGGTTAAATTCTACCTGTTAATGAAAGCTGGGGAAATACCATTTTGTTTGACACAACCAGAATCTATCCTTTTTTGACTATTTCGAGACCCATTTTTATTTCGACAACTTGCTGTTCATTTTGACGTTCCGTTTTCAAAAGACTCATTCTCACACTTTATTATAACCATGTTCTATTTTTTACTACTACGAAAGACGAAATAACCAACTGGCGTTGTTTTCATTCGATTACAGTATTTACTGCATTTTTACAAGCACCAATTCAAAAATACAAATAAATTATTACAAAGTAAGCATTCTACTTTTCAAGTTTCGAGAAAGAAGGATCGTCTTTTAGCCGCTAATTGACGTACAAACCTACGCAAAATACAGAATTATTACATACTTTTTGTACCAAATTTTAAGTTTATTTATTATTTTTCGCGATATTTATATTTCTGAGTTACCTGTTAACTTTTCTTTCCTCTCTTTTTGAGACTTATCAGCGAATTCATTCTGCCACGATAAAAGAAATCACTACTCTTTTTATTTAAAAATGTCATTTTCAAATTCCATTTCAACCAAAGAATCATCGTACAAACAATTTTCGGCTCCGTTTCTCAAATTCTCAAAAAATACTGCAACATGTTTTTACTTTTCAATTCAATTCAATTAACTCAAAAACCTAAAATGAAAATTTTCAAATAAAACGCTAGAATGGTGAAAACAGCGGTAGAAGCAGGAGTCGTTCGGGCGAAAAATGCGCGACAGAAGAGAAAATTGGAGAATGAGGCGCCGAAAGTCTTTGAAAATGCAAAATCGACGATATTTATCAAGGGTGGAAATGTGTCAGATGTCATTACCAGCGTTTTCAAGGATCTCCATCGACTAAAGGTTTAGTTTTTACAAATCTGAAAAATCATCTAAATCTTCCTTTTTAGTCGCCAAACAGCATCGTCTTCAAGAAAAAGAACATCGTGCGGCCTTTCGAAGACGCCAGCTCGCTGGAATTCTTTTCCAAAAAGACAGACTCTTCCCTCATCGGCTTCGGTAGTCACAACAAGAAGCGGCCGCACAACTTCGTCATTGCCAGAACATTCGATTACCAGATTCTTGACATGATCGAGCTCGGCATCGGAAACTACGTTCCACTACAGTAACTTTCCCTTTTCATTCTTTTTCTCATTGTTCAGTCCATCGGCAGAAATCGCGATGGGAACAAAACCGCTGATGTCATTCGCCGGAGATGCGTGGGAAAATGAGCTTGAATTGAAAGATGGATCGAAAATAGACTTCAAGAGGATTCGAAATCTTCTAGTGGACTTTTTCCGCGGATCCACGGTCGACAAAATCAGAAGAACAGGCCTCGAGCTTATGATGCAGTTCACTCTTCAAGAAGGTACTATTTTCGCAGGCTGCGAAGCAATTAAATTTTGTTTAGGTGTTATCAGTATGCGATCGTACAAAGTGATCATGAAGAAATCAGGACAGGAAGAGCCCCGAGTGGAACTAGAAAGCATCGGACTAAACATGGATCTCACCATTCGCCGCACGCAGCTTTCCACACCAACCAACTTCAAGAAAGCCTGCAAACAGCCTTCTGGAATCAAGGAAAAGAACAAGAAGAACATCACGAAAGACGGGCTCACCGGAGAAGTGCGAGGAACTGTACACCTGCCCAGCGCGCGGCAGAATCTGGACGAAATCGCGCTCAATCATAAGAAGGTTATGCAGCGGCCAATGCCGGAGAAAGAAATCGATTCGGAGGACGAGAAAGAGTTTGACGAAGATGTGGAAATGGAAGAATTGTAACTGCGACATTTTGAATTGTAATAAATGTGAAACGGCCTCACAGCTTTTCCTTGTTTGTTGAGTACTCTCTAGATACAGTTATGTAACCCTAGAATCATAAAGTTTTTACTGCTATGATTACCAAAACACCGGAAAAAGAGTTCCTAAAATGACTAAAGTCATGCGTTTGTAGATTTGCAATAGCCGGATCGTGTCGCAAGATTTCGTCATTTTTCACAATTTCCTCCAATAGCCCAGTCTCAACCCTTTCCAAAAATGTCCAAGTTGTACATTGGTAACCTCAGCTCAGACGTTTCCCAAGAACTTCTTCACAGAGAGCTCAACGATAGGGCGATTGATGGTTAGCAAATCAAATCTTGAACTTTGCTAAATCAATTCTAGTGCAAAATATTGTCGTTAACAAGCGAGGCTTTGCCTTTATCGACCTCCCAGATCAAGTAGCGCTCGACAAGGCGATAGAAAAACTCTCAGGGCTCAAGATAAATGGCAAGGAAATCTCCGTTGAGCATTCAGGTAATCATCCTTCTCAAAATAGCCCTAGCTCAACAACTTCTTTAGTCCCTAGAACCTCAAGAACTCGCAAAATCCAAATCCGCAACATCCCCTCGACGATTCACTGGGAGGATCTCGACTCGCTGCTGTCCAAGTTCGGGCGAGTCGACTCCTGCGAACAAGTAGCTACGGAATCAGAGACTGCATCAGTCAATGTTGTCTACCACTCCCGTCAGGTCAGCTTGACATTTCATCCATTTTCGCAATCTCTTTTTAGGAAGCATTAGCGGCGGTTCGAGAGCTCAATGGACACAATTTGAAAGATCAACAACTTCGATGTTCATTTTTACCCGACAACGCTGACTCGGAAAAAACTGTCCGTACTCGACCTAGGTAAAAAGACTAAAATCGATGATAAACTCATTTCCATTTTCAGTCCTTTTGGATTTGGGACACGAGGATCACCAGATACACCCCTAAAAATGCTCGTTCCGGCGTCCGTTGTCGGTGCAATCATCGGCAAAGGGGGTTCTACTGTTCGCCAGATTACGCAGCTCAAGGATTCGAGAGCTCGAGTCGATGTCCACCGACGAGAAGGCCCGGGATCGGACAAAGTGGCGACGATTTATGGGGCACCAGAAGCTTGTGGAGCTGCAGCGATAAGAATACTGGAGATTGTGAGGAAGGAAGAAAAGGATAATGAACTACCTCTGAAGGTTTTGGCTCACAATGCGCTGATTGGAAGACTGATCGGTAGAGATGGAAGAAATCTCAAGCACGTTCAGGTAAATCAACCTCTCCTCACATAATTAAAACTTTCTAATTTCAATTATCAGGACAAAACCGGAACACGAATCGCCATAAGTTCAATGCACGACCTCTCCCCTTACAACATGGACCGTACAATCTCCATCCACGGCGAAATCAAAGGCATCGCCGAAGCAGAACAGCAGATCACCGAGAAGCTGCGACAGTTCGAGGTACCCAACATTAAAACTTTCTACTGCTAATATATTTCTCTTAGACCGATATGGCCGCGATGTCACAACAGAGCCTCTATCCCGGGCTGAATTCACAGCAAATGCAAATGTTTCCCGGTCTCCAAAGTCCTACAGCTCCTCCTGCATATAATGTTTCTTATCAAGGTTCCTTATTATACAGTTGACCGTTCTTATTCGTTTTTTTAGGCAATTCTTCAAGCAATAATACTCAAGAAACAGTAACTCTTCTTATCCCGTCTGGAGCCGTCGGGGCAATTATTGGATCCCGAGGAACGCATATTCGAAATATCTCAAGAATCGCTGGAGCCAGCATCCGAATCCACGTAAGATCCAGTTATTCCATCGATAATCAATAATTTAACTCCTTTTCTAGCCCCCAGATGAGAACGACGAAAAGAGTCGAGCTCAAACTCAGCCAGAACCAGTGGAAAATGCCGATGGAGAGAATACAGATGCAGATCGAGATGCCAAAGGTAAGAATATGATTGAAAACTGACGATTATTGTGACAATAGCACGCGTTACGATCGTTGGCGTGCCAGAGTCCCAGTGGAAAGCGCAATTCTGTATTTTTGACAAGCTGAAACAGGAGGGCTGGTTTGGCAATGAAGAAGGCCGCCTCACGACGCAAATCACGATTCCTGGCAAACTCGTCGGCCGAATCATCGGCAAAGGCGGTGTCAATGTCCGGGAGCTACAGGTAACCCAAGCCACCATTCTTTTTCTTAATCATATTTAGCGCATTACATCTTCTGAAGTCACGATTCCCCGCCAAGGCGAGTTAAACTCCTCGGACGAGATTCCAGTCTCAATAACCGGGACTTTCTTTTCAAATCAATCGGCGCAGCGCAAGATTCGCGATCTCGTCGGTCGCGAAATCGCCCGAATGAGATAAAAAAAGTCATCCCCCGATATCGTCCTATAACTTGATTCTTGCCAAAACAATAATAAACTTAATAAAAAATGAATCTGAACTCACAATTTTTAAATTCAAAATTCAAAAATTCTGTCTCACCTACAACTAAATAATTTCTCGGTGTCTATCAATAATACTCATCCAGCCCTCTAATATTACCATATCTTCTTGCTTTGTACAGTCCATATCCGGTTTCCCAAGCCCATTATTTCGAAAAAATTAAAGACGAGTTCATTCACAGCATATTCTACTATTTTCACGAAGCTAGGTGAAATTTTGGAGACAACAAGGACAACACCTTAATTACTACTAGTTTGAATTTGAAAATTGCCTTTCCAATCTTTTACCTGTATCAGATAAAAATAGAGCCAAAGAAAGATTTCAACTTTTTTTTCATCATCAAGTTTCTACCCGTTTATCCGCCCAGTTCAACATTTTAAATAAAAAGAATAATTCATACAACGATCAAAAATCTTGACTGTCTATATATTTATATATTACTAATTACTCTATTATCTCGTTGGTTGATTTCTCTTTCGATGGCCCCAGATCTATTTTCGAAATTTCGATTGGTGACCTTGAGCTTCCGTATTTTGGTGCTTTTACATAACTAAAAAGAGTCTCTTTCCCCCATTCACACTTTCAATTTTGTTCATCGACGAAACTATAACCCCCTTTTTGTTTTGTTAATAAACTTATTAGTCGAGCGAACATTTTTTTTCTTCTGTAGTCATTTATTTCTTGTATGAAGAGCTCAGTATTCATTCACGAGCTTTTTTGTTAATTTTTCCGTACTTTTATTTTCACGTTCTTTTTTCAAGTCGTCAAGTCGTCAATTCTTACTCTCCAAAGTATTCAAAGTATTTCCCCTGTCCCTTCGTATCTTACCTATCTGTATCTGATTTTCCAAGAGTTCAAGAGTTAGGAGCTCAATTACTCCCTTTTTCAAAGTATTGATCAGACTACTGTAGATCTTGATCCTTTCCTTTATTTTCAATTCTCGACTTTCTCAACTGACAACTGACTTTATAAGAACATATATTTCATTTTTACCTTTTCACTTAAAAGTTATTTAAAAACAGCTTCTTATCGATCTTTGAAATTGAAGAAAGATGCAGCATGTTCTTGGATCGCTGGATAACAACGAATTGTTCATGGACTTTTGGTCAAAAATCAAGTTGGCATTAATCCACTTCCTTTTATGGGCATGGACAGTAAGAAATAAGAAGTTATTTGAAAATATAACAAGAAAAATAAGAGTCCGGAACGATGATTTGCGATCTGTTCGAGAAAAACATGTGTACCAGAGGCGCGAACTGTCCATTTCGCCACGTAACTCTTGACAAGCATGTGGTATGCAAGCACTGGCTCCGAGGATTGTGCAAAAAGGGCGACGACTGCGAGTTTCTTCATGAGTATGACATGGCAAAGATGCCCGAGTGCTACTTTTTCTCGAAATTTGGCCGTTGCGAAAATCGTGATTGCCAGGTGATTCAAAAACGTGACCTTCTCCAATCTTTACCTTATCTATTCAGTATCTTCATATCGACCCGAATTCGAAAGTGAAAGAATGTCAGTGGTACGCGAGAGGATTCTGCAAGCATGGGCCTCTTTGCAAATCAAGACACGTCAGAAAAGTAATGTGCCAGAATTGGCTGGTTGGTTTTTGCCCGCTTGGTCCAAAATGCAAATATGCTCAGTAAGCCCGCCCTTCAACCCTTCTTTTATCAATCTACAAATTCTAGTCCGACTTTCGATCTGCCAACTGTGGAGGTAAAATCGAACATCATGTGCCACGCGTGCAGACAGCCCGGCCACAAAAGCACCCATTGCCCAAATCTAATCAAGCGCGAGTAAAAAGAGAGTTAACCTTCAAAACTGCCTCATTGATCAACACTCTATTGGACATATAAACTACCTTGTCTTCATCCTTTTAGAATGATAAGTGATGATGGACAATCGTGGACGGAGTCCGAAGAGTGGTTGAACTGTCTGGCAACAGAGTTTAATGATCACAACTTTGTTTCGAAAGGATTAAGCTTGGATTCAGACTGAGAATTTGATGATTTTAAAAGCTGCAGTAGACATAAAGAATCCCTTTAAAAATCCATCTAAAGAGGCTTTTTAAACTGGTCGATTTATGGAAAGCGTGTCCCTTCACCTCCTAAAATGCACCTTTCTCCAGTGAGTAGCGCCGCTGAGTTCAAAGAATTCATCGGCGCGGACAAATCCCTTATTGGAAAAGACCTGAGCAACCTAAACCCGAGGTTCCGAACCAGAAGAAGAGCTTTTGTCCACGAAGATAAGTTGCTGTTTGCGTGTAATCAAAATGTACTGAGAATGGGGAAGAAAAAGTTGCGAAGGGCGATTGAAGGATCCGAAGGATCGATTGAGTTTATCGACACAAACGGACGATATACTCTTGTTGGCTGGTCTTATGAAGACGTTCCTGGCTGTCAAGTTGTTGCGTTTGGCGAAGAGTTGACTCAAATGGGTGAAATTAAAACTGTCAGGGAGATGGAAGAGGATGATGGAGAAATTGTCCTCACTGCTGCGCTGGTGTCTTTAGTGGCGCAAGACCAGCAAACCTTATTTTTGACTGAAGACGGCGAAGTTCGACGCTGGTCTTATGAAGATACTTCCTGTAAGAAAAATTTCTTGATAACATTTTACTTATCGATAATTAGATATCGATGAACTTCCAGTTGTCCATACGTTTCTGGAGTACGAAGAGCACAAAACCTTCCTTGGAATCGAATTCCTCAACGACTTCGTTTTCTACGTCGTTGAGTCTACCCGAATAATTTTGCTCAATACGATTACTCAATCCGAGGATGAGTTTTACACGGACAACTCTTTAGGAGACAACGCATACAAAGACATCATCGCCTATGCCAAAGATGGAACTGACTGTATACTTTTAACTGGCTGCGGTGTTTTGCAAAGTGTTTCACTCGTTGAAAGAAACAAAATCAATTGGCGAATTGGAATTCCGATCAAACATAAGTACTCCAAATTTACAGCTGAGTTAGACCTGCATTTTCTTCACGGGAAGAAAATTGTGACGATTGTTTGGACACAGAATAGAAAGCTAGAGATGAGAACGAGTTTAAAGCCCGGAGGAAAGACGGGAATCGGAGCAAATGTGATTGACATGGTTCCGGATGAGCAAGAAGAGATTTTTGCAATTTGTATTGAAAAGAATGCTACCTCACTGCCAGTTTTTCTTCCTTCGCCTCTTGAGTACATCAAGAAGGTATGCCATAGTTCCATATGTCTTGAAATATCTGCTTTTGTTAGGTTGTAAAGATGAGGAGCGATAAAAAGGTCCTAGACTACACAAAAGCGCGTCCATATCTTGTTGTCTACCGGGAAACAATGTACGTTTTTTGCGGTATGTACCTCCTAAAGTACGAAGAGCGGCAACCTGATGAGGACGAGCTGTTGGAATACCTTACCAATATGTTCTTCGATTCTGAAGAAAAACTTACCTGCGAAGAAGTTGATTTGAACGAGTTTGAACTTCCAACAGATTGGTCATTTTCGCTTCCAGAGACAGTTATCCAGACGGATTATCAGCTTGGAGCGAAGGGGACAAGGAATAATATCGCAAGAATGATGGATATGACTTTTCCGTTGACTGTCGAGAGCCATGAAATCGATGGATCTATGAAGTATGACTTAGGTTTAGAAATGCGAGCTTCATCGATTTTTATAGTGAGCTTCAATGCGCAAATATCGTTTATAACACGATGCGAGAAGAAGAACTTTCGGTGAAGAAAATCAGTGAAGTCCGGATGAAACGCATGAGCTACCTGCAAAACATGACAGCTATGGAGCAAAGTTTAGCAAATGATGGTACTCTTGTTGAGCGTGAGCCTGAAACGACGGTTATTCCATCGGCTCAGAATGACGAAGAGATGGAGGTGAAAGAAGAGGTGGTTAGCAGCGACGCAGAAAGCGTAGCGGCAATGGATTTCCGCGACTGTTTGGACCTCCCAGATGAAAGTGTTCTGGCTGGATTTGAGCCACAATCGCAAATTGCGCTTCCTGAACCAAACACCCAATCTGACTCGATTATCGCTTCAAAGGGAACTATTTTGAGTCTTGGAGCTCCCGCTGATAGTTCCACGCAAAAGAGTTCCTCGAATGAACCAGAATGCCTGACTAAAAAGCCTAAGACGCCATTTAGAACTCCAAGAAAAAATCGAAGGTCGATTTTGCCAGTCGCTGATTTGAGTGGAATCATTGAAGAGAAATCGCAGGACGGACAAAGCTCACAAGAAAGCCTAGGAAGAGACGACACCGGTGTTGGACAAAGCCAAGACTTGTTTGCATCCCAGCCGATCTCTCAAACTCCCAGCACGCAGAATCCCTTTTCACAGATTAATGATACACAGAGTCAAGCTGTGGACTTTGAGGACTCGCAAATTACACCTCTTGACAGCGCTGGAAGTTCTCAAAACACGACACTGACAAATATTGACAGCTCGCAGAAAACGCCGAAGTCGTCTGCCAAGAAAGAAAAGAAAGAAGAACGAATGAAAAAGAAAAAGATGAAGGCTAGAAAGTCGATCGGTTTTTAAGCCTCTAAGTTGCCAGTATTTAATAAAGAACTGTACAAATCTACGGAAAATAACAAATTTACAAACATGATTGCTCATATTCAATATGCATTTGTTAGAATGGGAAGATCGAGAAGCCGTTCGCGTTCCCGATCTCGTGATCGAGATCGAAAGCGAGAAAAGAAAGAGCGCAAGAGATCAAGATCCCGCGAGCGACGACGATCGCGTTCTCGAGATCGAGAACCTCGACGGGATAGAGATCGAAGTCGGGAAAGAGGATCCAGAAGAGACAGAAGCCGAGAGCGAGATCGAAAAGATGACAAGAAGGAGTACGCTGCGCGAGGGTAAATTTTAGTATTCTGTGTTGAGGTTAAGCTTCTTTCAGTCATGAAAAAGATTTCGCTAAAAAAGGGAAAGAGGGAGAGTCTCTGCGAAAGACGAAACGCAAGAACCCAATCGTCTGGATGGAAATTGTCGCCAAGCAAAAAGTAGCGCCTTATGCCGAAACTGCGTTGGGAAAAGTTGTGATTCTCTTGCGAAAAGATGTTGTGCCCAAAACAGCTGAGAATTTTTTGCAGCTTTGTACTCATAAGAAAGGTTTTTTTATCTTCACTTTTTAAATCCTTAAACTGTTTACGAAGGATACGGATATAAGAACTGCGTTTTCCACCGAATCATCCCTGGTTTCATGTGCCAAGGAGGCGATTTTACCAATCACAACGGAACTGGCGGAAAATCAATTTACGGCGAAAAATTCGAAGATGAAAACTTCAAGCTCAAGCACACCGGCCCTGGCGTTCTGTCCATGGCAAACTCGGGCGAAAATACAAATGGAAGTCAGTTCTTCATCTGTACGGCTAAGACGCATTGGCTGGACAACAAGCACGTCGTTTTCGGCCATGTCCTTGAAGGTATTTACCTACGCTTTAGCGAATTTGTCGTTGCGAAATTTGTAAAACTGTATTCAGGAATGGAGGTCGTCCGAATGATGGAAAAGGACGGCAGCCAGAGTGGCACAACCAAGCACTTGATCAAGATCAAAGACTGTGGCGAACTTGCCTAACTGCCCTTTCATTCTAAATTCAATTTAGTCGAACATTTATTTCCTCAATTTTAAAAATACCTACCCTGATAACTCTAACTTTTCAATCAAAATCTGTAGAATGTCGACTGTTGAGCGAAAAAGCCGGGGTCAATCGCACAGGCCCGCGCCATATTCAATGAATGTAAAAGTAAAGAACATTGACACCGTTTGTTTTATATTAACCCAAGCTGGGGAGTCTATGCTCTCCGACCACAGTTATCACAGAGGGTTCCCTAAAGTACCAGAATGTAGCTTAGGGTCTGATCTGTGGCGTAGGGGTACTTAGAAAAAGTTATTGTCACATGTTCTTTGACTTATGACGTCATTAAGCCGGAAAAACCCGATTTCGCTCATTTTGACCCCTTTTGGGGAGTCTATGGACTCGGAGTACAGGCATCATACAGTGCCTCAATGCAGCTAAAATAAGAGGTAAAGGTCTATTCTGTGGCGTAGGGGGGTTAAAATAATCTCAGGATGTCCTCATCCCTTTTCTAGAAGGGTTCAAAAAACGGGTGGATAATATAAAACAAACGGTGTCATTGATAATCTGAAGGAAGCCCTGACGAAGAGAGAGCCGAGACTGTTGATTAGAAATATTCCAAAAGACTGTACTCAGGTAGACTAAAAGAATCATGCGATAATCGAGAATTAAATGATATCTTTTTCAGACAGACTTGATTCCCCTCATTCCAGTCCAGCCAACAGAAATCAAGGCGATAGAGTTCTTGAAGAAGACAGACATGACACCCGCAGGTGCAGCCGTCGTTGTCCTAGCCTCGTATAGCGGAATGAGCAAAGCAGCCTTAGCCGATGGGCGAGAGTTGAGAGGACACAATTTATGGGCTGTTAAGGATGTGGAAGGGATGCGCTCGCTCAGGTAACAAAAGAAAACAAAGGGAGATCAATCATTAATTTGCCCTTGGAGACAAGGAGGAGTCATCTGATGACTCTTAAGGCTACATTTCGAAATGAAGATTATCTGCCTAAATCCAGTTTTTTATTTAACCAGAGAATTGAATTTTTAATAACTTTTTTCTCTTCCAGTTTGCTCCAAAAACTCGGGCACAAGAATGATCCCGCCGCAGCTTCTTTAAAAAAACCGTCGAGTAGCTCCCCCGTCGAGCCCGTGGAGATCCCGGCGGAACTGATGCAAAAAGTGGATTTGACCTTGTTGAACAATATCAAAGCCGCGCTGAGCACTCTCTCTGGGTAGGACGTCGCGCCCAAGTCAGAAATTGTTTTTCATTTATTTTTTATTTTTAGTGAAACAAAGCCAGCTCCAGTGGACACGGTCAGGCAGAGATCCGTCAAAGTCCGAAACTTGCCAGACAGCGCGAGTTATGATAGAATTTCACAGGTTTTTTCATTAAATATATTTATTTTCTAAGTTCTTCAAAGGTCTTTCTTGGTTGTGGTACAATCGAGAGCATCAGCGAGGCAAATTACAAAAACGAAGTGATAATTAAGTTCACGTAAGTCAAAACTTATAAACAGGTCGAAATTTTTTCAACTCCTGAAATTAGAACTGCTGATGAGGCAGATTTGGCAGTGCGCTTTTACAACGGGCGACGAATGGACGGCAAAAGGCTTCAAGTCCTTTACAGAGATCGTTAGTGGCAATTGTATTCGCGTTATTACGAAACAAAGAGACATAGATTCACACGAAGAGCTATTTTGTCAATTGTGGCAAATTGTTTATTTTCTGGTTGATGCGACTGAACAGAACTCGAAATGTGTATATTGCTACTGAACCTAACTCCTGATTATTATCACTTATCATCATTATTGTTGTGCATTTTCTGACTGTTCCCTTTCTACTGATACTTTTCTCCTTTCAATCATTTTCAGAGCCTCTTTTGAGCCCTCTGTTTTACTTCTTCTAGGACCAATTCAGCTCCACTAGAGTCATATCTAAAAAGAACCTCGAAGCTCTATTCTTAGGCTTACCGGACTAAATTTTGGCCCATTTTTCTAGCTTAGTTTGGGGGTCATATGATACAGTTTTAGAAAGCCCAGAAAATGGGCCGAAATTTAGTCCGGTAAGCCTATCTATTCTAGTGGATCTGAAAGCGGTTCTATTGAAACCAATTCACGGAAACTGGCCCAGTTGGCCTTCCAGTTTGACGTTCCATTTTTACGAACTCCTGGTAATCCCCCCGTTTAACCAGAAAATAAACTTTTTAGAATGATCCTAAGAAATGCTCTTTGACACAATTAGAAATAATTCCAAGTCGCTCCAAGCTGCTGCGTGGATCCTTCTTGGCCTGGTCGTTACTTGTGGCGTTATCTCGGATTGGGAGAACTGCCACGTGCCGGAGTCAAAGTGTTACTTCTTTCTACTTATTCCTTCGCTCATTCCTATCTTTCTCGTTACACATTTGATATCGTGGATCGGGTTTCAGCTGTATAAATATAACTAATTGCTACCGTCTAATTGACCAAAATATTAAACACATCTCTTTTAGTCTGAATCGGTATGAAACTGAGTATATCCAAAAGTTGACCCACCTTTACCAACCTAAAACATGACAGAAAACGGCGGGCGATTCGAGTTCAAGAAAGTTGCTGAGCCAGCTGACGCTGATGATGTAAGACTAGAGCAGCTCTTCATCAATAAAACTTTTCCTTAAGAAATTCGAAAAGGTCCCACTCCATCAAAACGATGACGACAATAATTTCAACGACAATTTTGCCCTCTTCGAGGAAGAGATGGAGAAGCGCCCGACAGTTTCACAGTTCATCTCCACCGTTCAAAACTACACAAACTTGACCCAAACAGCAGCCGATCATGAAGCGAAAGAAAACGGCGAGGATGCATCTTCGGCAAAGATGGGCACACTCGCTGGTGTTTATTTTCCAACAATTCAAAACATTTTCGGCGTCATTTTGTTCCTGCGCTTTGCTTGGATTGTTGGCGTTGCTGGGGTCGGACAGACATTTTTACTCGTTCTTATTTGTTGCATGACGACTATGCTTACTGCCTTTTCAATGTCGGCTATTGCCACGAATGGTGTTGTACCAGCCGGTGGCGCGTACTTTATGATTTCTCGAGCGCTCGGGCCGGAGTTTGGTGGCGCCGTTGGAATTCTCTTCTACCTGGGAACAACCTTCGGAAGTGCCATGTACATCCTCGGAGGCGTAGAAATCCTCATCAAATATGCGTTCCACGATGCACTTATCCATTTTGTTGACGATGAAGACATGAATTTGATGCACAACTATCGCCTTTATGGAACAATTTTCCTTGCTGGCATGTCCTCCTTGGTCTTCGTTGGTGTCAAGTATGTCAACAAAGCTGCCTTCTTTCTCCTCGTTATTGTCCTCTTGTCGATTATGTCGATTTTTGTCGGGCTTTTTAAGACCCTGGCTGTTTCACCAGCCGGTGTGGATCCTGACTCATCTCTTTGTGTCGACACGTGTATGTGTATGCTTGGGGATCATCTCCTTCATGCTACAGAAGACTCTTACTGTGCAAAGACTTTTACTGACGAAGAAGGAGTGATTCACCCGACAGATTATTGGAAAATCTACTGCACGGGGGACTTCAATTCAACGGACACGACTTTTGCAAATTGCGACCAAAACTTCGCCTCTTACGAGATGACAAGACGCGTTGGTTTTCCAGGCTTTCGTGGTGGAAACTTTTCGTCCAATTTTAAGTCGATGTATCAGCACGAAGACGAGCTCTTGGTCGATAAACATATGCCTCCTACAACATTTTACGTAATCAACGAGTCTAGTCCTATAACAGCGAACGAGGACTACCCAGCTTGGATAGTTGCAGATGCCACGTCTAGTTTTACGGTCCTTCTTGGAATCTTCTTCCCTTCCGTGACTGGAATCATGGCCGGCTCGAATCGATCAGGAGATCTCAAAGACGCGCAAGACTCAATTCCAAAGGAACCATCGCCGCTATTGCGACAACTTCAATGGTTTACATTCTTTGCACATTCTTGTTTGGCGCCGCGATCGATCGACTCTTATTGCTTGATAAGTTCGGGAACTCACTTCAAGCTGGTGATGGAGGAAAACTTGTTGCCTCTGTTCTTGTCTGGCCACATCCCTATTTCATGGTCATCGGCGCGTTCTTGTCCACAATCGGTGCGGGTCTCCAATCGCTCACCGGAGCTCCTCGTCTTCTTCAAGCCATCGCGAAAGATAACGTCATTCCTTTTCTGTCATTTTTCGCTGGCGGAAAAGCCAACGGCGAGCCAACCTGGGCGCTGCTTTTAACAGCTCTCATCGCGGAAAGCGGCATCATCATTGCTGAACTTGACGCGGTCGCGCCTATCTTGACGATGTTCTTTCTCATGTGCTACATGTTCGTCAATTTGGCTTGTGTCTTGCAAATTCTACTGCGAACGCCTAGCTGGCGACCGCGATTCAGATACTATCACTGGGCAGCTTCGCTCTCTGGAATGATCATGTGTATTGTTCTAATGTTTATTTGCTCCTGGGTATATGCTCTGGTTGCTCTGTCTCTGGCGGCACTGGTCTACAAATACATCGAGTACAAAGGAGCGGAAAAAGAGTGGGGAGATGGCATGAAAGGTCTCCAAATGAGCTCGGCGAGATACGCACTAGGGTTCCGCACGATTGGACCAAAATTTTTATTTTTAATAAAATTTGGAGATTCCACCAAAATAATGCCTAGAAATTCATTCCTGGCCACTGTTTTCCCAGAAAATCCCTCCTTCAGCCCTTTTTAGGGCTTCAAATTATATTTTGCCAAAGAGGCCTGCTGCGCGCTGATTGGCTGGCGCTTTTCGCGGGAATATGAATCGAGTAATGCGCTGCGCTCTCGCACTGGAGTTGGCAGAGTGGTGAGCGCTTCTCTTCGCACAGAGGTGCTGGCGAGCTCGATTCCAACTCGAACCCACTTTTTTCTTCCAGCCCCGTTCCTTGATTTTTAGATTTAAGGGGCTTGACGGCCCTTCGGGCCGTTTCAGCCCCGTTCCTTGATTTTTAGATTTAAGGGGCTTGACGGCCCTTCGGGCCGTTTCAGCCCCGTTCCTTGATTTTTAGATTTAAGGGCTTGACGGCCCTTCGGGCCGTTTCAGCCCCGTTCCTTGATTTTTAGATTTAAGGGGCTTGACGGCCCTTCGGGCCGTTTCAGCCCCGTTCCTTGATTTTTAGATTTAAGGGGCTTGACGGCCCTTCGGGCCGTTTCAGCCCCGTTCCTTGATTTTTAGATTTAAGGGGCTTGACGGCCCTTCGGGCCGTTTCAGCCCCGTTCCTTGATTTTTAGATTTAAGGGCTTGACGGCCCTTCGGGCCGTTTCAGCCCCGTTCCTTGATTTTTAGATTTAAGGGCTTGACGGCCCTTCGGGCCGTTTCAGCCCCGTTCCTTGATTTTTAGATTTAAGGGGCTTGACGGCCCTTCGGGCCGTTTCAGCCCCGTTCCTTGATTTTTAGATTTAAGGGGCTTGACGGCCCTTCGGGCCGTTTCAGCCCCGTTCCTTGATTTTTAGATTTAAGGGCTTGACGGCCCTTCGGGCCGTTTCAGCCCCGTTCCTTGATTTTTAGATTTAAGGGGCTTGACGGCCCTTCGGGCCGTTTCAGCCCCGTTCCTTGATTTTTAGATTTAAGGGGCTTGACGGCCCTTCGGGCCGTTTCAGCCCCGTTCCTTGATTTTTAGATTTAAGGGGCTTGACATTGGCTAGGAACTTCGAGGTGATCAATCTCAGTTATGTCCCCAACCCCACCCTCACCCATTGTTGTAAAAAATCAAATTATCGAAGATTTTTACTTTGTTATGGTTTTTATTTAAAATTTTGGAGCTTCTTTTCATATAGATATTTCTTTCAGCAATTATGGCTTTCCATATAACAAGGGGTTAATTTTTTTATCAAGAAAGAACTTCTTTTCAGTGAAAAATTTTCACCAACAACGACAAAGTCGCGGAAGCTTAGAATTATCTTCCTTCAAAATTGATTTTTGAGAATGTCTTCCTCTTCAGCCAATCAGAGCGCGCCTAGCTTTCTCACGGCGATTCATAACAAACTGCTAGAATTAAAACTACCAGCACAAGAAAACGGTGAATTTTTAGAGAAATTTTCAAAAAGAAAAATGATTTTTATTTTATCGCTATCATAATTTGGCAACGCGAAGTTTGTGCTGCCACTAGAAGTATGAAAAACCGAGAGAAATCGGCGATTCCGATGGTGAATCGGAATATTTATTTCATCATTTTTTCGCCGTATTCGAAAACCTAAATTTTATAAAAAGTCAATTCTTAATACAATAAGGATTTGGAGTTTGAAAAATAAGGTCCTCCAATCGTGCGGAACCCTAATACGCACTTCTGCGTCTCAACGAAGGCCCACCCCATACGAAAAACTGGAGGCCACAAATTTTAACTCTGGTGAAGCTCGATAGTGAATATCGAATTTCAAAGGATCAGCTGCTCGATTTCGTTACTCAGTTGAAAGCTGGTAAAGGTAATGGTGACGAAATCCACGGATGATTTCAAAAAACTTTTTGTGGGGCCGGAAATCGTAAAAACTGCAAGTGCAGTTTTCTTCAGCTCGTCAAGACGAGTCGAATGATGGGTCTAACTCCTGATAACTCTAAGGATTTACCGGTTTACCGGCTGGTTACCGGAAAATACGTTGTCACCGGCCGTTTTTGTTCTAGAAGTGATAGACTAATGTTTGACACCGGAAATTGTTCCTTATAGTCAGTTCTCCTGCAGCCTAAAAGATGAAGGTTGTATCAATTCTCTGAAGAGAGTTATCACTAAAATACTATTTTTGGCGAAAATGGGACTAGAAATTAGGAACGTGCAGCAACAACAAAATTTCAGTAAAAATTACAGTTTTTAGTGATAACTCTCTTCAGAGAATTGATAAAACCTTCATTTTTTAGGCTGCAGGAGAACTGACTATAAGGAACAATTTCCGGTGTCAACCATTAGTCTATCACTTCTAGAACAAAAACGGCCGGTGACAACGTATTTTCCGGTAACCAGCCGGTAAACCGGTAAATCCTTAGAGTTATCAGGAGCTAGACCCATCATTCGACTTGTCTTGACGAGCTGAAGAAAACTGCACTTGCAGTTTTTTTACGATTTCCGGCCCCACAAAAGTTTTTTGAAATCATCCACGAGCATCAATTCAGATGCAAGTGGTCAACTCAAAAATATTTTTTGAGTTTCGTAGTTTTTTAGTTTTTGTTCTAGTGGTGAAAAATTGAACCGAAGGTAGATTTGATTTTCAGGTCTGGTGATGGTTTACTCCGTGGTCAACGGCGACTTTTTGGTCAATTTTGCCGAGAGTCAAGCGGCAGAGAATGTCCTCAAACGAGCGCTAAAAGATCATCAAATCAAGGGCTTTTCGAATGTTCTAATTGCTCAAAAGGTTGAAGAAGGTCTTTCCGCTCTCATTCAAACCGCGGGTCTCGGCGGATTGAGGTGAGCGACATAAATGAGGGGTTGATCTTCCTTTTTTCTATTAGACACAACACTGTCCTCTGTGGCTGGCCAGCCCACTGGAAGCAACAGGCCGAAAGTGGATATCGAAATTTCTTGGCAATAGTTCGCGCAGCAGCTGCCGGCCATCACTCGCTCCTTGTGCCGAAGAATATTCAATTGTACCCGACTAAAGACGATACGATTGAAGGAGGAACTATTGATGTCTGGTGGATTGTGCACGACGGAGGATTGCTCACTCTTTTGCCTCATTTGCTTCAACAGCATCGCGGTAAAAGCGCCATTGTTTTTCTTTGAGTCATTATTTCTGCTAGTCTGGAAGAACTGCCGCACTAGAATCTATACAGTAGCGCAAGCAGAAGACAATTCGATCAAAATGAAGAAACAATTGCAGCAGCATTTATACCAACTTCGAATTGAAGCTGAAGTCAGAGTGGTAGAGCTTGAATCGGCTGATGTTTCTGCATATGCGTATGAAAGGTACAGTTATCTTGAAAGGGAGCAAGACTAAACTTTAATTTTATAGAACTCTGATCATGGAGCAGAGAAACCACTTGATTCATACGCTGCGAGAAAATAAGAAAAAGTCCAAAATCCGTAAGTCGTCAAAAGACTCATTTTTCTTTACTACTCTTCTATTTCTCAGAAGCAGTTCAAGCCGTTAATGGCATTCATCCTCAACCCGCCAAGCCCGATGTCCCAATGACCTGGTCTGCCGAGAACGGAAAGCCACCACCGCCAGAGCCGAAAATCGAAGAAGTTCAAAATCTCAGTCAAATGTTCGACATGAAACCAGACCAGCCTAATCTCCGGCGAATGCACAATGCCGTCAGGTACGCTTGCCACCCTTTAACAGCTTCACAACGTTTCTAGGCTGAACGAAGTAATTGTTACCGAGTCCCACGATGCCAAACTTGTGATTCTAAATCTGCCCGGACCGCCAAAGAAGAATCCCTCTGATGTTGACGGACCAAACAAGTATGATCATAATTTAATTCTATCATAAATTTAACGTTTTGCTAATTACAATTCTAGACGCCAAGAAATTGCCAATAGGTATGAATCGTCGGCACAAATTGTAGAATTTCTTTTCCGTTGACGGTGAACTTGTTTTTGCATGCATGTTGTATTTTTAGCGAATCCGAACTATTATCTAAACAGATTTCAGTAATCGCCCTCAAGGAAATCTGATGTATATTCTAGTTCCCAAAACTGACATAATTTTCAGAGAACGAAACTACATGGAATTTCTGGAAGTTCTTACCGAGGGACTCGATCGAGTACTGATGGTCCGCGGCGGCGGCCGAGAAGTCGTAACTATTTATAATTGAAAATATAAATTCGCACAATTGAATGTCTCTCCTTGCCGAATAAAACCTTTTAATTTTCTTCTCGAGCTCATTTACTATGTACTTATATTTGATACTACTGAACTACTATCAACTACGATTAGTGAAAATTTTCTGTTTCTCTCTTCCATTTTGTTCTTTTACTTTTTTTACCCGTGCAATTATAAAAATCAAAGTAAAAACTCAACTGTATCTACTAAGTGGGAAATTCTTCAAACTTGTTCTCCCCTATTCGCAATTTTCAACAATTTATCAACATTTCTTTTACTCCCCTTTCTTCGGTCTCAACCCCGTCTGTTTAATTTTCTTCCAGCGTGAATCCGTGCTTGAATGACCTCTGATCAGGATCCACGAAAAACTTAACTACTGTGCAGCTTGAAATGAGTATATTGTGGTGTTAGTGTAAGAAAAACCTTTAACTCAGCTTCCAGTTCATTGAAATTTTATCACCAACAATATTATTTAAATATACACTTTATAATTATGAAAGAATAAGACTAATTGGCCGTCCAATAATCCAATTATTGTTGTTTTCAAATTTTCTTGCAGGAAAGGAAAAACCATACTTTCAAAAGATTTTTTTTTTGATTTTATTAACGCTCAGTGTGTTAGACAGAATGAACTTTGGCTGTTGTTTTTTATCACTAAGAGTTTTTCACAAGTTCAGTATTTTTAACACGCGCAGCTTCCAACGTCGCAGGGGACAGATTTTTGGGCACACATTGATTACGATTTACGCAACAAGGGCACACAAACTATTTCTTTACTATTTCACGGGTATATTGAAGCATTTCTACTAAAACGCGGTTATTAACCAATCAGATTCAAGAGTGGGCGAACAGCGCCACCAAGAAATCTGCACAGCAAATAAGAACGCAGCAATGAGCATCAATAAAGAGCGAAAGTTCAATATTAAGGAAATTTGGCAATTAACTGTAATACAGTAATTATAACAGGAAAATAGAATATTTTGAGTAGCTTTGCGGAGACGTGGTAGCTGTTGATTGTCGTTATTTTTTATTTTTTTCCGAACTTATTACTTTTCTTTCGCTTTTTGAATTTTGGTTATTTTAAGGAAAACTTATAAGAGCAGGAACTAGTCGGAGTTGTTTTGTTTTTACTATTTACAGAGTTGAATTAAAGTTGTATATAGAAAAGTATATGCGAAATATACCGTTTTATACAGGCCGCCCTGTCTAGTTACCATTCGCGCGTCGATATAATTTAATAGAATAAATAGAAAAGAAACGATAAAGTCAAAAAGTTAACTATGATATTATTTTTTGGGCATTTTGGGTTCAACATGCGTCTGGGCGTTTGTCTTGGTTATTTGAATTCCGAATCGAACTGTAAGTTTGAAAAATTCCGGGAAAGAAAGTTTCAGTTGAGAATTTGTTGCTTTGGAAATTGTCTGTTTTAAAGTTATCGTGACAATACAGTTGGTCAAAAATTTGATTTTTCTTTGGACGAAACGGTATTTTTCGGGGATCGAACGGATTTGCTGAAGATTTCGTTTTTAGGATAGGCGGTATCATTTTTTAAAGCTTGATACTTTCGACCTAGAACACAAGAATAGAAAAAGCAGTTACTTTTTTCTATATAAGCTAGAGCTGGGCATAGCAGTTCAGTAAAAAACTCGTAGGGTTGAAATATGCGACGAAGTGTATGGGCACACATACTTTTTTGGGCGTAGTTAAGTTTTTAAAGTTTCTTTTTTCAAAGTTTGGGCATTTTTACTCTTTAGCACCAGTGCGAATGCCGTCTGCGACTGTAGGGAAGAGACGCTCTTCGGTGACGAGCTGCTCGTTCGGGTTCAAGCCGGGTACTGAAATGGAGGTTAAAAAAGACGCAAGAGGGTTAAATTGGGCGATGGATGAAGCAATGAGTCCTAGCTATTTTCAAAATGGCTCACCACTACCGCTGTGGAGAGGCACAACGGCTTGAATTGGCCAGCCTCGATTACCCGCAGTAGTTACAGGAGTGTAGCTCAGCAGCTAGAAATACAGTCAGTCGAAAGGTCAACAAAAAGGTTGATTACCTGTCCGTCCGGTTGTGGAGCGGTAAAGAGCGCCAATTCCTTGAGGTCCTTGTTGCCCACAGCTTGAAAGAGATTCTGTTGCATTTGAAACGTTTGATGATTGAGAACTGTCGGCCATGGATGGGATGCTACGATTCAATATGTTAGTCTACGTACTCGCCAGATAAATTAAAATGATTATCCTTTTTTCTCGTTGTTCACCGCATGTTCTTAACTCCCCGAAGATCACGTGAAACATGCACGATGAAAGAGAAAAAGAAAAAAACGTGACCGAGTTTGTCGGGCGAACGTTTTCCTTTTTTCTTGTCTATATCGTTTAGGTTTATTCTGGATGCTTAATTAGCGATGCCTCGATATTGAATAAATAATCCGAAAATGGAACGAACCTGCGAATCGCATCGAAGTAGCGACGGAAACCGGCGGTCTCGCTGCATTTCCGATCGTTGTACTGTCTGGAGCTTCTGTCTTTGCTGTTATTCGCGGCGACTGGAGAGGAGATTGATCTGAACGAGCTGGTTAAGTTTTTGTTCGTTTTTGACATTGTTGATTTGATTAATTTGATTGTTTGTTAATTGCGGGGTAAGTTAGAAATTTGACTGGCGATTTAAACTGCACTGGGATTCGCTTTAAACTTTGTTTAGTCTGAAAATTTTCACGGTTGTTTTTAGCTGGCTCAGTCTAGGGGTTAGTACCTGAACTACCTGGCCGCGAATTGTTAAAATGTGAGTTGTTATCAGTCTGTGCAGAGTCCTCCGTACCGTTGAGTTCGTCGGGACTCGTCGAACTAAGCTTCATCCGTTTCGAGCTAGAATCATGTTTAACGCTGGCTCTAGCGTTAGTAGGGACTGACCCTTGATTTTGCAAGCCAACAACGGGATTGAGTCCAACTCGGTCAGCGGCGTAATTGTTGGCATAAGAGTAGGGCGCTGCGTCGACAGAGTTGAGCATGAGAGGCATATCGGGTGATACCATTGGAACTGAAAAAGGGATGAGTGCTAATCTCCACCTGTGCTCCTTTCTTTCCAGTGCTTTTGTGGAAAGAACGAAAGAGAATGAAACACTATCGGATGTAAAATGATGTACCTTTGGTTAGTCTGTAGATTTCATTAACGCCGAAAACTCCGCGCGTTTTAAACGCATCTGCGGCACCCATGACACCTAAGAGCGAGGATTAGAACTCAAGCAGTTGTCGGAAAAACTTGCTCTTACCGAAGTCCAGTTTGCGATTTCCAAAAGATAAGTCCTTTGGATCCTCTTCCGCTTCCTCCCCGTCTAGGATCGCCGGGTTTAGACTTTCGCTCAAGTTCAAATTTGCGCTTACCTTTGGAAAAGAGTCGATCTCGCTGGCCCACGACGTTGGCGAGGAAAAGATCTAGCTCTCGGACTTTGATTGAGACATGATACGGTTGGACACATAAGCCACTGTGTTGTCCGCAGGTTTCGCATTTGGAAAGGCGCTCACCGTCTGTTGACTCAAGTGGAATGCCTCGGAAGAGAATCACCATCACCAGATCAAGTCGCCAAACCTAAAAGGCAAAGAGAGTCAAGTACTGGTTACATAAGATAGTGACGCAAAGGAGCTCGGAAAGACCGACTCCCCGCCAAAAAAGATGAAAGCGTACGTGTGCAAAAATGAGTGGCGTTGAAGATGAACATGGTTTTTAGTAATTAATAGCGTTCTTCGGAGAATCAATTTTGCTCGGTCCGCGGAGTGATGCACTTGGTGCTGAATTATGCAGCTCAGATCATTGTTTTTAGATCGTCATACTCGCGGCGAGCAGCTATCACGTATGATTATCCGGCGAGCCGGGAATCTCGCTGCCAAAATATAGAAAAAGACCCATCGCCTCAACTTTGGACTACTTTACAAGTAGATCCTGTTTGTTGTTTCAAGTTGAAAATGACGTTCAAGCGATGGCTAAGCCGCCTCAAATGCGCACTAAGGGTTTCAACTTTTTGAACTTGAAGCGCTTCAAAAAGATGGTTCTTTCTTACCTTATCGGCTTGTCTCAAACAGTCGATTCTTCTGATTTTGCCTTTTTGATCTGGATTTGAAAGAATACAGCAAACAGGCTTTCTCCCCGTAATCGTCAGAACAAAGTCTTCTCTGTACTCCGGTCTGATGTCTTTTCGCAGCTTCGCCAAAAGACGCGAAGCCCATTTTTGTTTGACCTCGGCTTTTTCGTTGAGAAGTTCTTCTTTCTGCGCGCGCTCTTCTTCTGGTGGCATTCTTTTCTCGTGCTTTTTGAGGTACTTGCGCTTGCGAGCTTGGAGATTGAACCAAACATAGGCGAAGGACTTCACGTGGGGCAGCAGGGCTTCGATAAATGGATGGAACTCGTCCTGAAGGGAACAGAATGAAGCAGGAGTTCATTTAGGGTATACAACTTTTTGAATAAAGTAATGAAAAAAAACGTGATGGAAAAAACGGTCTTTTGTGAACCCCGTATCTTGGTCCAGAGGGTGCATGAGCCGTAAATGCACTCGCACCGCTGTGCAAAAAACCCGACCCAAAAGCCCCATTGATGAAGCCAGCATCAACGTGTGGATTTTGCGCTAGAAGACGAGATGAGACATGATGCGGAAAACCGTGATGGGCGGCGATTCCCGAGTCCATAAACGGGTTTTTCATTTGCTGATGGCTATCGCGAAAGGGGTCGACTTTTTTCAACAAAAAATAAACTTCGTCTGGAATTGATCGAAAAGAAGTGAGGACACTTTGGTCTTCGAGACTGAGCCAGAAAGGAGGTCTGCCAAAGGAACATCGGTAAAAGCGCCGGGCGCTACGTGCACCTAAGATCGATACGCGAAACGGGCACGTTTAAATTGGAATGGAAGTCTTAGAGACTGCAGATGGTATTTTATGTTCCCTAAAGAAAAAATATCCAGGGAATCGAATCGAATTTATAAAGGCTAGAATCATGCTCCGAAAAAGTGATTTTCATGTTTCTCAAGGTTCAAATACTGCTAGAATTTTTTGAGTAGTTCGATCTTAAATTTTCTTTATACAAAAAATTTATTCACTTTGAAATATATGAAAAATTTTGAAGACAAATTCAGTTTTGGATAACTACCTCTTTTAATCTAACAGTAAGAAAGTCAACCCCTCGTGCCTAAAGTCCATTCCCAGTCTCTCCAGCCGGGCATATAAAGGTCCATTTCATTTTATAAATTATGATGCATTTCTTTAGATATCGAATTAGTTTCTAGCACTCTCGATTTCGATGATGACCGCACGTGATTGGCACCGCGGTCGCGAACAATCTGAAACGGAAAAAGGTTCAATTTGGGGCCTCTAGAAGCTTCTCTTCGCGCAGTGTCTCTTGGTGGATGAGGTTTGTTTTTATGAATTTGTTTGTTGCTTGAGTTAGAACTGTATAGCTGTTTCTATTGTTGCTATTGGAGGTGAGGCTCTCCGCTGGCCCTGTTCAGTGTTATTCGAGATCTTGGGCGTTGAACTAGGCCGTTGGCATGGGCCAGCAAACGGCTTGCCACTTGGTAGTGCCACCAAGCTCAGAAGAGATCAGAGTCGCCTCAGATTCGAAAAAACGCAAGACGTGCGGCGAGGGAGCGAGAGGGAGCTACAACGAGCCAGCGGACCAACGCCAATGGCATCAGTTGCGAAGTTCCACTCACACTTTTTTTCGGAAAAATGAACTCGCTTCAACCCTCAAATGGAAATTTTAGAAATATCTCATAGTCTCTTTTTGGCTCTGAAAATTATTAATGACATTTTATTGAGATTATTTTATGTTTGGCGAAAACATCTCATCAAAAAGCCAAAAAGGCTAAAATCATAATTGCTCAAGTCGGATAATCTGACACATGATTTTGGCTGCTTATATCCACCCAAGGAGTGATAAGACAACCCGAAAACATATTCCTTTATGCCTCAGAAGGAAAACCGGATGGTACCGGAATAAAAGCTGCAAATGCCATCCATATTGCATGCTCAAAAAATGTTCGAACAAGGAAAAATAATCATCACCAAATGGGCGAGGCTATCAGCTGATGATAACGACGAAACATGGCATGGAAGACGAATTTCAGATGACAAAACAACGACTTTCCCACCTTCCAATGCCAGAAAAAGCTTGTTTTATGAAAACTCCCGGTCGTTTTGTTCGCGATTTTACTCTTTACCCAATCGGAGAGCCGCGTATCGAACAGCGCCGTAAATTGGCGTACAGCGCCGTACAATTTTCGTAACGCAAAATTTACGAGTTTTTACTTAGAGAAGAAAAACGCAAAAGCTTCGAAAAAAGCCGCTTGCGGCTTTCAAGTAAATTTAAATATAAAAAGGAAGTCGGAAGCCGCCAGCGGCTTTCTCGAATTTACAATGAAATCTTCATTCATATTTTGAGTTTCTAGCGATTCTAGTGCAACTTTTCGACTGCTTTGGGATCGGTTTTTCGAATCGATTAAAACGGTCTTGATTCAGAGTAATGACAATCTGGATCAAACCGCTAATCGCCTGTTCATGTCCAGGTTCAACTTTATCATTTGGAGGAACAACGTCAATGCTAAATTGAAAATGACAGTAACCGCACGGTGCCTGAGCTAATCGGGCGGTGGCCTTTCTCCCACTGGCGCCTGCTGGCTGAGAGTAACTCCGGGCAGCTAAACTTGAAGATAGCCTAATCCGGCGTGACATTTAAATTTATGGTGCGGAATCCTCAGTCCCTCCAATGTCATCGTGGCTCCGCCAAGACGGGCGCGCGCTGGTTGGTAACGCCGCTGCACCACCACCAAGCACCACCGTCATGGTCAAATCGACACATCAGATTGTCAAGTCACGGTGGATCACCTCAAAGCCAGTTACCCCCAGTTTCTGGCTTCGAACTTGGCTGCACTTTTCAAACTGGTATTCTTTTCTTTTCTCAAAAAAAGTTCTCTTTTTCATTGCATTCAGGGGCCCATTCTACAGTGACCAAGATACTAATCCCGTACTCTGCAGGGTGCCTTCCATGCCTTGCTGGCGCAATGGATAGCGCGCTGGACTTCTAATCCAGAGGTTCCGGGTTCGAGTCCCGGGTAGGGTAATATCTTTTATTTTCTCCCATCACGTTTCTTTTCAACCCTCTTTTTAGGCGGAATATCGACTTACCCATTCTTGGTCGCCATTTTGCTCCGACGGCGATCTCGATCCAGGGCGGTTTTCTTTCATCAAGGAAGGATACTGGACAGAACCGTTGCTCGAGTTTTGAGAGATTTTTCGGGACTGAGTTGCGATAAACGATGCTTCTTGCCCGTTAGGGTACGTTTCCATTAGGTTAAGTTCAATTTCGTCGTTCGGCTTGGATCGATTATGAAATAAGGAAAAAAGAGAAGGATTTTACCTGTAATGCATGGACACTGGCTAAGGTCAGGTGATGTGCTGCTGTGGGAGGCCCGGAACGTGATAAAAACCGATCGAATAATTCGTTGGAGTTTCCCTCCAAATCTTCCTGAAAGAAATTGTTAGAAATTTTGACTTTTATTACGTTACGATTGAAATCAACGAGGAGATATTTTCTCAAACGTGGGCATAATTTACGATTGATTTCTATTTTGAAAACATAATTAAAAGAATTTTTATTAGAAAAAATTTTTTCAACAGTTTTCTCATTTATTAATTTATTTAATCTTTTGATGATCGTTTGAGTATTTTTTTCTCGGCTGAATAGGTTCTCTTACGTTTCGTAATTTCTATTTATGTTTTGTGTTTCGTTTGTCTTATGAAACAAGTTGCTTGTTCACGTAAAAATTGGCTCGCTGCCCTATTCTGAGTTGGTTTAGATCTTGCGGGCGGCTCAGAACGGGAGCTTCACATCGCAATTGGCTCAAGCGCCCCCGCCTGATGCCAACGCGGCTCAGAGCTTGGCCCTGATCCACAGCGAGCTAGAATTTCTTGACTTTATGAAGACCATTTTCTAGTTTTACATAAATTTTAGCCAAAAAAAAAAGATCCAACAGTATCTTTGATGCAAGCCTAAATATACTTTATTATTTTTACTTTTTATCATAATTTTCCTCATAAATTACGATGAAAACTAATTAATTAGAAGCAATTAGTAAATCAATTAACTTGAACATGGCCCTGTAAATAGAAAAAGAGGTCACGTGCTCACTCATTCAGGTGCACGGGCGCCCCCACTCGACAAGACAAATGTTGGCCAAGTGCCAACACAAGGTGAAATTTAAATTTCGCGTTTTAACGTCATAACTAATTTTTATTAGCCTCGATGAGTTTTGAAACAAATATCACGCTTGAGGGTCAATCTAAATTCTTTATGAGCATTAAGCTCTTTTCTCGAGGATTTTTCTTGATAAAAACTGAATCTTAGCTTTTTAAATGTGTATTTAGGGCAATTAAAAGACAAATAAAATATCCGGTATTTTGACAATATGATTTTTTTCGCGATCGCCATAAAAGCAGCCATCGCTGTAATTAAAATTTGACGAGGCGTTTTAAAAATCGACCTTGGCCTTGAACAATGCTCGAATATTGATTCCCTTGCTCGTGAATGCTAATTGGCCCGACCCTTGTTTTTTTCAAGGGCGCTTATGCAACCGGCTGGAGAACCGGTGATTATCCCGGTGCTCGAGCTTGTGCGATTACGAAACGCATCTTGCCGGATAAATTTTGATCTTGACCGTGCGCGCCCAAGCGGAACGCTTCGAAATTGGCGCTTCAATAATTTGGGGCCCGGCCTTGAGCCGCTCCTTCGTGGCGTAAGAAACAACCTCGCTAATCCGACAAGGCCAAGGTCGGCGAAATTTTAATTATCAGGCGAATTAGCTCAAATGATTTGGAGCCCAGATTCGGGGTCTAAAAAGAAACCGAACACGGAAACGCCAATTTAGTGGAAGAAATGAGTAGGAGTTGTTAGCGGTTTATAAGAATAAGAAAGTTTAGACTAGGGTCAGACAAGGACTGAGACTTCCACAAACTTTATTTTAATAAAAATTTCCTTATTTTAAAGCTTAAGTCGTTAGTTTTTGGTTAGATACGAAATTTGATAATAAAAGAAAAATCTATAAAAAGAAGCTTTCATAAACAGTGCTCAAAAAGTCGATTTACTTTTCAAAAATATATTTCATGTCTATCCTATCCATATCGATAAATTTGAAAAACAGAGCGTTGGGCCTATTGCTCGAGACTCAAATTATAAAAAATAAAAGCATGGCTTACCATCATCATGACTGTATTTGGTGGAGCGGGCAGGGTTGCCCTTGATTCCTGAAGTGAATCTCTGTTCGTTGGTGCTTTTCTCTGGTGGTGCTTGGTCGGTTTTGACCGGTTGCCAAATTGGTTGCCTTCCAACCAGTGGACTTGCTGCTGCTTACAAAAATATTAAAATCAATTTCTGGCGATGGTTCAAGTTCTCTTTCTTTCCTTGCTTCAAGCTCGCTGGAGGTCGTGGCTAAGAGAAATAGAAAAAATGGCTCACGCTGGCTCACTGCCAAGCTCAATACAGGCCGCCCAAGTCCAAGACGAGGCGGCGCGCTGGCGCAGTGCCAAGGCCAGCGCACGTGACCAACAGCGACAAATATCGTGGCTGGTAGACTGTCCCGCGGACGACTGTACCGCCACGCCCGTGACCTTGACCGGCTCTACTAGACAAATATGAATAGAAAAAAGGGAGATCAGCCGCTGGACTTGACGAGCGCGGACGAATTTCTTCTCCCAAGTTGAAATTAGCGACGATCAGTAGCGATAAATTAAGAGCCAGACATCTCTCATGTATCAACATCAACATTCAATTTAGATCACGTGAGAAAGTAGCTTCTATTTTGGCCGATCTTTGAATAAACTCCAATTTTTGCTTTAGACTTTTAGGGTTAGCGCTTCAAGGCGGGCTCAAAGTAATGCTGGCTTGAAGTTCAAGGCTTTTTGAGTACCTTATCGAACATATTTATAAAAGGAATGAGTGAGATTTTGAAGCTGATTGCTCAAAGAAGCGTAACATCTTCCTCGGCTTTCGTTTCCGCTGTGGCTAATTGACCTTGAGCCGAGCCTATTTTCAACAAAGAATCGATGTTGATCCGATTTCGGTGATTTCATAATCGCCCGGATATTTTTCACTTGACTCATGATCACTTCTTGCTTTGAATTTCTTACGATTTGTTATTCTGGACCCTTACTGGCTCAGATCCAACAACAGCCCAGATTAAGTTTATATTTTATAGTTATTGAAAAGCGAAAGCCAAAGTTACGAGCAAACGATCAAAGGCAGTCAAACTGAAAGGGCAGCTCAAGGTCATGGGGATAATGGCTGGCTTGACACTCTTAAAAGGCAAGAACGCAAAGATTCAATGGTCAGTGTTGGATTTCCTTTTGAAAACGTTTTGAGGCTTTGAAGGGGATTTTTTGTGGTGGAAAGGGATTGTGTCTCCTGACGGGGCAGGAGAAGGGAAGACAAATAAGACATTTCCACGGGTAAATAAGCAAAATTCACGACAGGAAAGTATGGAGATTTTTAACATTTTCATTCTTGATCGCTGTTTGCCCAGATCTTCGATAATGATTACGATATGAAAATACAGACGAAAATACGTAGAAGATGGATTAATAGATGTTAAGATTTGGTGAGCAATTTCAACGTTATTTATTGTCTTTTGTTAGAAAGCAATCCTCGATTCTTAGTTTCCGAAAAGGCTCAGAATCGAGTGCACAAAGTGGCTTTTTCAAGGCCCGGCAAGATCAATGCCGGGGTTAGGGCCTCAATCAGGCAAATTGCGCAACGAGCTGGCCTAGGGCTGCGCACGTGACCCGGCGTTGGAGTCGATCCGACGAGCGGCCGCCACTCTGGCGCCGCAGATGATCTAGTGGGGCTTGTCTAGTAGTACCCTAGCTCGGCGGATGAGCTGGTTACTTACCTAACAACTCGTGTCCCGGTGCGGTTGATTGACGACGACATGGGAGGTTCAAGGCCAAAACTTTAATCCCAAATTCAGCTCGCATTCAAAATACGAAATCGGGCGAAGAAAACATGCGGTTATCTAGCCCTCGGTACCAGCTGAGGACTCGCGAACTTGAGCTCCACAAAATTCGCGAACACCTGAAAACTATTGATAATGAAGAAATATATTCCCATGAGCATATATTTTTAATTTGCAAAAGGCTCAAAATAACAAAAATAAATATCTGTACATCAGTCAATTATACAGTCTTTAGTGCTTGTATATAAAACATAATTAGTTTCGCCTATTTTGTTATGCGATAAATACTCAAATTCTGTTGGTGATTTGTCCAAGTTCAATATTGAACGGTAAATACAGTCTGTATTGTATTTGCCGTTGGTAGAATCTCCAAGAACACAATTTTTCCCATTTTCAATTAGCGGTCGATGAGAATTATCTACGGCGGCGATGTCTGTAATTATCGATAATTCAAGGGCACGGCGCGGGGGTAGCGCTCCGCGGGGTACTGATAATGCTAATACATTTCGATAATATACAACCGACCATTTTCATCTGTGCTTTGCCGTTTAAGATAACCTATCAATAATTATAAATATTCAAAAGAGAGTCAGGCCAGCCCAGAAATGTCCGAAAGTTATGTAACAAAAGTATTTTCTTGTCTAACAGAAAAACTTGCATAACCCACAATAATTAGCCTTGAACTCGATTTACCCCAAAACAAAAATTACCGAACACGATCACTTGAAACTAATTTTCGCGGCGGTGCGATCAAAGCTCTTGGTGCTCATGAGAAAATGCAAAAAAACGCTAGCTCAAGGTCAGGGCTGAGCCGAAAATGAAAATATCGCGCTTGTCGTGCAATTTTTGGTCGAGCCCTCAAGAAAGGGATAAGAATCAAAAGCGACGCAGATTGCACAATAAACTTGAAAGTGTTTGCATCTTGGTGGGATTAGGGAGAACCAGCTTTGGAAGGGGCTCAAGCTCAAGATCAGGGTCGGTGTTAGGTTTAGCCTTAGACTTTGGCAGTGGCGAGTAGACATGGGTCCGTGGTGGATTTTGTTTCAAGCAGGAAAAGTTTCTGTTGAAAGAAGATGACTTGCTTTTTAGAAAACAAATAGCCTCATACTTTGGCAGCGCCTGGATTGCCCATTTTCCCGGATCGCCCACATCCCGGATCGCCCATTTTCCTTGATCGCCCATTGTGGGCAAAACGGGAAAATGTGCGGATCAGGAAAATGTGCGATTCAGGAATGGGCAGAACGGGATTTTTAAAAAATTCCAAAAAAACTCTTTTTCTCTGAAAATTATTACCTTTTCTTCTTTTCTTGAAAATTGAACAGTCATTCATGGTACGAATAATCCAGATCACAGAGGTGTTCCGACCGTCGAACTCTGCACAAGGGTCACTCTTTCAGAGGATCAAAATGATTATCATCAAAGAAAAAATAAGGAAAATTTTTTCTGACCAAACTGTATATGCTGATTGCGAAAAGAAGAGTGATTCATAAGACAGCCGTTTTTAAAATCATATAAGAAAAGGATGTTCTTGATGACCTCAAAAAACTTTTTGTGGGGCCGGAAATCGTAAAAAACTGCAATTGCAGTTTTCGTCAACTCGTCAAGACGAGTCCAATGATGGCTCTAACTCCTGATAATTCTAACGATTGACCGGTTTACCGGCTGGTTACCGAAAAGATGGTTGACCCCGGAAATTGTTTCTTATAGTCAGTTCTACTACAGGGTAAAAGATGAGAGTCGTATCATTACTCCGAAGAGAGTTAAAACTAAAAACAGCAAATTTTGCATAAATTACGTTGTCGCTGCACGTTCCTGATTTTTAGTCCCATTTACGCCAAAAATAGTAATTTAGTGATAACTCTCTTCGGAGTTATGAACGACTCTCATCTTTTACCCTGTAGCTGGGGTGCAAAACGGGGCACGCATTTTTTAAAATAAGCCAATCACAGGTCCGCATTTTGCTTATTAACCAATCAGAACCGGGCTTCCGTGCCCCGTTTTGCACCCCAGCCCTGTAGTAGAACTGACTATAAGGAACAATTTCCGGGGTCCATCATCTGTTTATCACTTCTAGAACGAATACGGCGGCTGACAACGTATTTTCCGGTAACCAGCCGGTAACTGGTAGATCCTTAGATTTATCAGGAGTCAGACCCATCATTCGACTCGTCTTGATGAGCTGAAGAAAACTGCACTTGCAGTTTTTTACGATTTCCGGCCCCGCAAAAAGTTTTTTGAAATCATCTCTTTCATGCAGGCTTTTATGTGGAAAGTTCCCACTGGGAACTCTCATTTCTTGAAGTTACAACTATAATTTTCGGAATCTTCGCATTCGATTTGGTATTAAGAACCTTTTTCCTGACGTTTTTGATGAAAAAAATCTTGACCCTCTGAAAAAATGACACTCTGGCTGCCAGAGTCTGGCAGATAAGCTCGACCGTCGGAACACCCTTTTGATCAGGATTTTGCTTTGAAATCCTGATTTGCACAGAAATCTCGTATGAGAATGGAATCCCGTGTTAGAATTTCTAAACCACCTTCTTTCATTATCAAATTTCAAATTTACAATTGCAAATCCTGGTTTGCACACAAATCCCGTTCCGCACATTTTCCCGTTTTGCCCACAATGGGCGATCAAGGAAAATGGGCGATCCGGGATGTGGGCGATCCGGGAAAATGGGCAATCCAGGCGCTGCCTCATACTTTGGCTAATGGAAGACGCGCGTAGCTATTAAGGGTGTCCCCAACGATCGAGGCCGAGACTGTCTAATTCGGTGACTCAAATTTTTCTTCTTATTTAGGAAATTCTGATTCAGAACCTTTTTTCAGATCTTCAATATCTTATCTACTTCTCGAGATATGGCTTTTTCTATGAGCGCGCTAATGCATTAGCCTTCGATAGAAATGCACTGTGAAAATGGCTATTTTGAAATTCTCAATTAAGTGTAGCAAATTATATATCTCCTTAAAGCTTGAAAAATTTCCTTTCTGCTGATACCATTTTCAAAAAGATCCAATGAATTTTACTTATTGTAAAAGCGCGCCAAAACTCGAAAACACCTGCTCTTTGGCGCCGGAAAAGGGGATTAACCTACTTATCGGTGCACAATCTGAGCTCATCGGAGCCTTGTTGAAGGATCGAACTATCTTCAGACTGAAATTTGGAAAAAAAATCAAGCGAGAAGAGCCTTAAAATTTGGTTCAAATTTTGTTAAAATCATCATTTTATATATTGTATATTTATATATGCATTTGATATAATTATAAAAAATCTGTCTCGATTAATGCAGAGAAAAGTGTTCAAGCAACATAATTCTTTTCGAAATTTGAAATTTGAACGAGTAGATTTCGAGAAAAACGATCTCAAAGTTAACCGAGATTACAGAAGTCGACCTTCTTTGAAGCGGCGGTAGGGGATTAACGGATCAAAATATACAAAATCGGTCAAGATTAATGCAGAAAGAAGGGTCCAAATAATAATATACAAATTGATTTTTTACGTAAAAACTATCCGATTAGTAGAAATATTAACTCAAAGTTGATCCTGTTTCGAAAAAATCGTTGGGGACACCCTTAAGGGGGTAGAAACAGCTTTTTTCCGAAAAAGGCGATTTTTGACCGGCGCTACAGTCAAGAGAATCTTACATTTTCAAATTTTCTCTTCTGGTTTAGATAGATACATCTTAGATCTAGGAGCATCTCCCTCGAAATTTGTTTTAGTCATCAAATTTTTGAGTAAGCGGGCTCAGAAGCAGCTCATCTCTCCGAAATTCACGATTTTCGCAAATTTTTAAACACGTATATCTCGAGTCCCCTGATTGTTAAACAAATATCATGCACATTTTTGTTAAGCTCAACCCTTTTTCTAGGAACATTTATGAGGAAATTCCGTGAACATAAATAAATCTTATGTTTTCTTTTATGTAGCTGCAGTCCAAAATCGAGAAAGCTGTTTCTACCCCCTTAATAAAGCTTTCTATCCGAAATTTGAAAACCCGGTGAACCTGGAACATGGAAGCGACATGTTGAAAACCGCGTTGTTGCAGTTTAAAACAAATAAACAAAATTTTGATTTACGAACATTTTGCAGACCAGACAAAAATAAAACTGCTTCGTTTCAATTTCCTGTCAAACGTGGACTAACAAAATTATTTATTTAATTGCTTATCACCGGCATCAGAAAAGAGTTAACACGCAGTCCTTGATCTCGCCGACCGCAATTGTTGTCTGCTTTATTTAGTTAGCCAGCATAACAGAAAATCGTGCATGAACCTGGATTTTGGAATTGAGCTTGCTCAAAACAAATAAATCCATTATTGAAAAAGCAAGCGTTTTTTTTGGAACGAGCTTGCTTTCCATAATCCGTTCAGAAGAAGAAAAAACCACCTCCTTGTAAATGGGATTGTGGCTTGCATTTACAAACAAGCAATTTTAACAAAAACCGAAAAGTTTCAAACTTATCTTCCGAAACAGAAAAGATCGTCAAAATTTATCTTCATGAGCATCATCAACCGAAACTTTGGTTTTATCAAGATCTGCATTTTCCATCGCGCGAGAGTCCTTATTAAATCGTCATTCGCGAAAAAAGAGATTGACGAAAATGAGACTTTTTGGATGGCTTTTGTATTTTGTTAGGAAAATGTTTCAAAAATTATATTTTATCAGTCGCTCGAAAAACAGAAACATATTTTGAAAACGTTAAAAGCTCTCAAGTTTGCGAGTTGAAGAAAAATACGACCGGCTCCATATTTTTGAAAAAGGAGAAAGTAACATCCTGCATGGTTTCTGAATTTATTGAGTCACCCAAAACTGCTCCTATCAAGGTACCTATTGAATAAGACCATTTGAAATGCTTTACTCAGCAAAACTTGCCATTCGTTGGTCCAGAAACGCGACCCCCACCAGTTGTTCTCGACATGACCCGGCCAGATCACCGAGAAGGTACTTGCCTAAAATGAAAGGAAAGATTTTTGATAGCTTTAAAAGGCATGGAGACATCGTACAAGAAACAAACTTGCAAGCAAATCTACGAAAACAAGGATCTCGAGCGCGATCAACGGGTTGAAATGATGAAAACGCTAAGCTGTCATAAGATGGAATTCAAGAATTTCGATGCTTCTCTTGACCCGTTTTTGCAGGCTGACACTAGGCTCGTGCTCTCAGAATTTAAATGCACCAAAAATATTGAATCACTGAAAACACGACTGAAAGCCTTGGCATGCAACAACTAGCGGAGAAATTTTCGGACGAGGAAATCAAGGAGGCCATGGAGAAGCTAAAGAAAGATCCAAGGAAGGAGGTCAATACCGTACGTGTATTTTCGTCTTCCATAATTTCTAAGAGGGCAAGAGTTGACCTCACTTAGATTCAAGAACAAATTCTAGTATTTCTGCGATTTTGAAAGCTAGTTTGAAAAGTTCAATAAATATTTTGCATCAGAGACTCTAGTTTAAAGTTGTGTCATCACAATTTTCAGGGAGATTCCACACTTTCTTGATAATCATGTGCTACTGAAAGCTACATCAGATAAATGGGGTTTCGCCAGGTCTTCGTCGCATTTATGGTGTTTTGATAAAGGCCATTAGAAAGATACAAAAGTATATTTCAAGGATTCTAGGGCAGCAGAAAGCAGAGGATTGAGAATAAACCAACAAGAAAGCAGTTTATCGAGCAAAGCGGGATAGCAGAGCTGATAAGCGAAGCGGTTTTGGGGACTTTTGGGGGTGTCGGGATTTTGAGCGCTTTTTCAAGAAGGGTGGAAATGTGGTTTTCTTCCAAGACTTTTTGGACTTCTGGGAGCTCGTAGAAGTTGCGGAGGGTCTGTCGGCTGTCTCTAAAGAAATAAGTTTAAATTATTATTTTAAATATTTAACGAAAATTACGTAATAAAATGTATTTTGATAACTTGAAACAACTCTTTAGAACTAACCTTGGAAGCGATTTTATCCTCCTCATCAACTGATAAGTATCTTCATAATACGCAATAAAAATCGTCCTCAAATTTTCATCCAGCAATAGAGAATTCAATGACTTTTGCGCGCGGAGATCATTAATCCCGGCGAAATCATTCTGTATTTTCTCGCCGAAGGAATCAAATCCTTCCACAATCGACCAGATTCCAAGCAAAAGCATTTTGTTCACGTCAACTTCTGATAAAAATCGTCGGAGAACAGTCCCGGTGAGTTGAAAACGGACTGAACGGTGAGCTATTAGAGGGTTGATGATTTTTTACGACGGGGAGAAAGTGATTTTCAACGGTTTTATTACGCCTTTTTAGATAATTTCGTGATTTAAGTGATATAAAATGCTTTAAAAGTCAACCCATTCCTTTGATTTCTTGTCCATCGTCGTCCAAACACTCTGTGCATCGTCGCATTCTCCAAAAACTTTGTCGAAAAAACTTCTGCTTCCTCTGTCATCAAAAAACGCCTTCAAAAATGTCTCTCTAGTTTCTTCTCTTCTTATTCCTCTTGTGACAATGTCCAATATCTTCGCTTTATTCTCTTCTTCATCACATGATCTTGCTTGGACTGTTTGCTCCGTAAATAACGAAATGAGTTGTAAGAGGATAAAAGCTTTATTTCTCCCGAAAAACATGATTTTCGCGATGTTGTTTGGGGCCTGGATGAGTTTGACTGGGTGCTTTTAAAATCATCGGGGCGGAAAATTTAATCGGCAGATGGGAAACAGCCGCTGCTGTTGTGGACCGACTCGACAGGGGGTCTCTCTTGCTTATTATATACTGTTAGAGGCCATGTGACGCGACTCAGCAGGTAAATGCTTGATTTTGATTAACAACACACGTATCAAATCAACGAACAATTGTTTATTCTGTGGATGAAACGTTCCAAAGTTCCATGAAAACATACAAGTCTCAGGTGGTCTTATCTATCGTTATTGTTTTATCAATTTGTTTAAACAAAAACGACAACAAAATGCAAAGCCACATCCTTTTTACATACAGCTGCCAGACAAATGTTCTAACATTTATCGTTCTCAGATTGAGTTTCCATTCAAGATCAAAAGAGGGCAAATTAAATGGTGGGTTCATAATATTATATATATTTAACCCGATAACGAGAGCGGGAGCACTAAGTGCTCCCAGAGCTAGTTGTTGCATTGTGATTTTCTTCAATTTTGAAGATAATCCAAAAATTCGAAAAAACTTAGATTCTTACACCTATATATTAACTTAATATTGTAGAGAAAATTATAGAAAAATTTTGTCATAAAGATATTTATCTTTTATTTATCAAAATGACTCTTTGTGAATTCATTTTTGTTGTGCATTTTGGTTGTCCAAAAACTGCATTTCAAATGATAATATGTTTGATTGAACAATTTCCTTTGAATAAAAACATTTTTTTCATGCTTAATTTATACCTTACTTCTGTTGTTGAGAATCATTTTATTCTATTATTTCACACTATCGAGCAATTCTACTGCGCCCCGCCCGTGGGCAGCGCAGCCGACCTTCTCAGTACTGATCGCAACAACCAACCGCTTTGCGCCACCAGAAAAATCCAACAGAGAAATTATGAGGAATTTTCTGTTAATATTTGGTCTCGTTCAGGCTAATTTGGAGCCGTTGTTCTTCGAAATGCTTCCAGGTATTTTCTTACACTCAAGGCGAAGTTCTTAATCTGTTATTTTTTCAAAGGCGAAAAGCCTAGATGCTTTCTTGAAGAAATGCCCGGTGACACCCTTATGACGGCGCAGTATCACGCAATGCTCGTCACTCCTACCATCGGAATAATTACAGATACGAAAGTTGGTCAATCGATGATGGTCAAAGTAACGAACCCCGATGGCAAAACGATTCTCGAACGTACCTATGGATCCAAGGGTCGATTTGCTTTTACCACTCAGCAAGCTGGAAGCTACATGATGTGTCTAAGGTAGAATTATCACTTGAAATCCAAGTTGGTACACTATTCTAGCTCCGATAAAGGTGCATGGACGCAACCAGACACCAAGGAAAAGCCAACCCAGCAGCGTCTTCGGATCAACATCTCCTTCCACATTGGCGAAACGCGTCAATACTACAAAGAAGTCGCCAAAAACGAAGAAGTATCGAGGTAACAGGGCAATAAAGTAAATCTCCAAATTTATATCTCGCCCTTTCAGATTGAAAATGGAAACGATGCGGCTTTCTGATCAAATCACACGGATCATGAAGGAGCAGGACTACGCTCGAACTCGCGAAGATGGCTTCAGAAAAATTTCTGAAATCTTGAACTCTAGGGTTCTTTGGTGGGCGTGTGTTCAGGTTGGAATCACATCATTGCTTCTTCTTTGAAATTCAGCTTTAGGTTCTCCTCGTGGTTGTGGTTGGAGTCTGGCAAGTCACGCACATGAGAAGTTTCTTCATCAAGAAGAAAATCTCCTGAAAGAATACTCCTCCCTTATTCGGAAAATAATTCAATCTTCAGTTTCAGTTAATTAGGAATGAAATGCAAAAATATGCTTTGCTACCTAAAATTTAGACTTAAATAAAGCAAACAAGTACAGATTTATGCTGACTGATTATTATTGACAGGACGCTGAATGGCAGGAATCATTTATTTATACAAAGATATCTGATAAAAAGAGCGTTAATATCGACTTTCGGAACGGGTTTTGATCACGGGACTTCTGAAAGAACTTTGAAGATATTAAAAAAAATGGAATGACCTTTCGGTAGAAGATGGGAAGAGCTCATTTTCTAGGTTGACTTCTTCTTCTAGGGCGGTTTCGTCTTTCGTATCTATCGGCCCATTAGCTTTCAAAGATATCAATATTGTAAAAATAATAATTGAATACTTAGTCTATCAGGTAAATAGCAGACTTCGCAGCCAAACAAACTCTGGAATACAATAAATGAGACGATTATTATTCCAGTGACAGAGCATATTCCAACTAAATGAAGAGTCTTCAATAATGGCCATTTGAGATCCCGAGATCTTACCAAATCCACTGAGCGCGTAGATACAAATTTCTGGGAAGGTTTTACTCTGCATAAGTTTTAAAATTGAAAGGTTGAAAGTTCAAAATGTTTCTTTTAAATAAATCTTTCTCTGTTTGAGCTTGTTCCTGTAGATCCATATTTGAATCGGGAGTCAATCAAACTTTCTGATTAGTTTAATTAATTTCAGTCCATAAAAATTGACATTTGGATTAGGCTTGCGGGCGTTTTGATTCTCTGCTGCTTCTCTGAATCGAGAAAAAGGATGGTAACTGCAAATTGGCAGGCTGATTGATTTCCTTTTATATTTATAATTCTGAGTCCACTCTTACTGTGACAGTCTCTAGAAAAAGGGAAAGTTTGTCTTTCTGTGACTGGATGAATAATTTTCCGCTTTATTTATGAAAGGAAAAAACGGGGACATGAGGCGATCTATAGCAGCTTTGATTTTGGTTGTGAATTATGCATTCAGAATGAAACTCAATTATTTATTAAATAAATTAGCAGATTGAGCCCACTTGCCCATCAGAGGCTGCCATTAGAACTAATTAGGGCCTCATTTTCGACGCAAAATGCGTTCTAAAAACTTGCAACTCTGCATTTTTAAAATAAAGATATATTCTCTAATTCATAGATTATTTGATATAATTTATATTTAATAGTCATATTTTTGCTATTTGTTCTTCCATTAGAATTCTAATAATTTTCTCATTTTTATGAAATTCCTCCATTTCAAATAGACCATGTTTATTGACTGATTATATAAATAGCACCGGACATGTAAAATTTTAACAGAACGTTATGTACACAAAATGGCATCCACACGTTTTCTTCAGGGAAAGATCAATTTGTTTTTGTGTGTGATACTCATATACAATGACGGATAATTCTCCATTTAGTACGTTTCAGACATTCAGTGAAAGCGATGTTACTTATTCCAGAGAAGGATCTACGGGAAATGCTCAAAACTTATATGGTATCGGTAGAATTTTTTAGATTAAGGGGGGGTTGACGAGAATTTTTTCAGGGGTGATCGTAATTTCGCTTATACTGTATAAGTTATACTCATAGTCTGGCTATGAAACTTATATTTTTAGAATCGCTAGATTCTCACAAACTTGTTGAACCTAAAATAAAACGATATAATTGAGTTTTAGGAGGTGAAATTAACAAAGTTTGAAAAAAATGACAAGTTTTTGTGTGTTTTCGCGAAAATGGCCCTACTTTGACGCGATTTTCGACTAACTTTTTCTGGTCAAAATTATTTATTCTTGTCGCCGCTGGATTTTTTCAATCCTTTTCTAGTCACCATTAATTTCAGATTTTGCTTATCTAATCAGGTATTCTCGCATTTTTGGTTAGAGAAATCCCGATTCTCGTCGACCCTCCCTTAAATCAAGGAGAAATTTCAGGTTCTCTGAAAAATCGGCTTGACTTTTTTCAAAATCAAATAAACGAAAATGCAAGGATACGGATTGAAAATGAACAGTCCCAAGGAGAACTAATCAAATTAAATGCTGGTAAATATTTTTTTTCTTATTTTGATTCGTAAAGTTATTAAGATGAAATTAATGAGATTAATAAACGAGTAAAACTCGTGGAATCTCAATATACTGAATACAAACAAGATGTAGAAGACTTCCGTCAAAATACCGAAGCAGAAACAATTAAAATAGAACAGAAAAAAATCAAATCAAGACTAAAACTCGCGCACGAAAGAATGCGATCGGAAAGAAAAAAATTGCAACAAGATCAAGAAAAACTAAAATTGGATCAAGACGAACTCAAACGGGAACAGGAGAAACTGAAAAAGGATCAATACACTCTAAGAGAGATGATTGAAAAGAGTGGTCTCCGTTTGCCCAAGTCGCCGTTTGCCCAAGTCGCCGTCTGCCCAAGATCGCCGTTTGCCCAACTTGGGCAGACGGAGACTTGGGCAAACGGCGATCTTGGGCAGACGGCGATCAAATTGAAAATATAATCATAATTCAATTTAAAGAAATTAATTATGAAATCAAAATTAGCAGGATAGGATAGATTTTAAGTGGTAAAGTTAAATCGCTAGTTTTACGTCCGAGGCCTACACATTGAGGAAACGATGGATGCGCCGAGTCCTCACAAGCGCTAATCCCCAACTTGGTTGAATTGATGGTTTCCCATATTGCTGTTTCTTGTGATTCATTTTCGGTCCGTTCTATTTTTGGAATTGTTTCTGATTGAAACTGAGGGAAAACAGTCATTGTGAGAAGTGAGAAAAAGGGAAAAACTGATGAAACTCTTCCAAAACCTCCGGGAGACGGACGGTGCCGGAAACAAATTGGTACCCGGTCCCAAAGTCAAGCATATTTTCTGGCTCATCAAAAAACTAATGTCCGCTCCGCGGCTGCAGTGTGAGGAAACTCTATTTATGGACCGAGTATACCGGGTAAAGGCTTGCTTTCACCGGTACCTAATGACCGACCTAATGACCGACCGAATATACTTCAAGTATAATGAATGATTAACTCTTCCGGGAATAGTTTATTAGGACTTTTATTGAGAATTTAGCGACTTTCATAATTAAACCATCCATGACGAAGGCTCTTCGTTATCAATGTAAACTATGTCATAATTCGGAAAGCTTCCGTAGAGTCCACGATACTGTTTTTTCATTTCGTCTCTTATTTATGTGTTTATGCTCAAGAATTTATTCGAAAATCGGATACAACTATTGAAAAACAATATGAGAAAATTGTGGTGGTCTTGTCAAGGATCCACGGTTAATAACCGTTCAAAATACATCACAGGACAACCTTTGTTTTCACCAGAAAGTTTCTGCAAATCAGAGCGCAACCAGAAGACTAAGTGATGATAATGAAATTGTCGCCTTACTTCTATCATTTTATGATCAATCAATTAAAAAAAAATTTACATCGCCGTTTGCCTAAGATCTCCGTCTGCCCAAGTTGGGCAAACGGCGACTTGGGCAGACGGCGACTTGGGCAAACGGCGACTTGGGCAAACGGAGACCACTCGATTGAAAATGCTAGAAAAGAAGTATCTAATGTGGTTAAAAACAATTCAAACTTGTCAACGCAAGTAATGAGGCTTGAGATACAATCCAGATTACAAGCAGAACAATTGAAGGAAACCTTTCGTTTAGAAAAAGAGATTGAACTCTTGAAGCTGCAGCAGCAAATCAACATTGTGAAATTTGTCTCTTAGAAAGTTGACTTATTTATTTTGTAGAATCAAACAAGGGTGATTACAGAAACTAAAACACAGGTGCATGACGAACAACTAAGAAGACCACACTCGACCAGCATGGGATCGAGAACCTCGTCGACACTGAATTTAGCACCAGTTCAACAGCCCACAAATTCACTAACTAGACTACATAATGGAACGCTTAGGCCGGATTCTAGCAGGAACAGTCGTAAGCAATTTTTGTTCATTAAATAACTTTTGTTACAAATTTTTTATAGAAGAACAGTCTAAAAACGGTCGATTTTTGTACTATTATGCCTAAGGATCGTCCAATGTACAGATGTCTTCAGAAGAAGAAAGGATTATTGCGAGACGCATAAGTCTTCCAGATACTTTAAAATAAATCTTATTTGGAACAAGTTTAATTTATTTGTATCACTTGTGTTGTCATGAGTTAGTTGCAGTTGAATGATGTGATCTGTTATTTACATGGCTCGTTACTTGTACAAACTCATCGTCTTCTTTTGAATCGCTCGCAACTTTTTTCTGTGGCTCTCCGCTCATATCGGCAATCGTGGAAGACGTCATCGCCGCATGAATAGCAGTTGCAGTCAAGGAAGACTTCACGTCGCAAGATTTTTTCTTCTTAACTTGGCGCAGCTTTCCCGAAGCTGGGTTCATAGAGTTTCGCTTATAAAAGCCGTAGCTAAAAAAACTTCGTAATGAAAGGCCATCGTGAGAATTTTCACCTGATGACAGCAAAGAAAGATGTAAGAACGCCAAGAAGCGCCATAATTGTTATATTGTACGCGCTTTTGTCAACAATCGGATCGCAAATTTCTTCTGAGCTGGGCAAATTTAGCTCTCCCATTTGGCGACTTAAGAATCTGTTTTCATAAACTTTTTTCCTTTACGAAATAAGTGAAAGTAAATTAGGGCAATTATCGACTGAACTTCAGTCACTGAAATTTAACGGCTTTTGACCTCTAACTTGTCAATATGGTGAAAATGACCTCTTTTCAACCTAAGTTCGAATAACTTTGATTATCCTAGTTAAGAAAGGTCAAAAACAGAAAAAAACCTAACTAAACCTAACTAAAATCGTCAACTTACAATTCATCAAGCTCGGATAAAGCAACATCTACAGGAATCGAGGGACTGTCTTTCAGTGTCATCCCTTCGCAAATGCATCCAGGTTTGCAGCTCTGCGAGAAAGCCATATGATCGGACTAAAGAATATAATGGAAGGTTCTCAATCTCATAATGCTTCAATTAGCGCGATTCTGGTAAGTCTGATAGGTACTCAGATAGCATTAATATTTTTATTTCTCGATTGTCAATTAAAAATGACGCGATTTGTCTCGGTCTAATAATTTAACCGATATTAAGTAGACATTTTATAAAATTTTAAAATTCAGCTTTTGCTGAGAATGCATCTCTGGTCAAATATCCGGAGAAAGTGAGTCACCGGATGCTCGACATCCTTACTATTTGACGCTTCTTATGGAATCTCCGAAAGACAAGAATTTCGTCTACAAGTTGTTGAGAATTTAGTTATTTATGATCAGGACTTCTTTACGTCATTAACTGACAGCTTTTGCATTTACCATAAAGTACGAGGAGCAGCAGTTCTGAGCTGAAATGAGCATCGAGCACTTTTGGATTAACGGCGGCGGCCCCTTTTTGTACTGCACGACAGTGTGACACTAAAAGTACAGATTCACTTTCCATCTTTATTTGCTCAACGAACGTTCCGGGGAGAAAAAACGGAAGCTTGAAAATAGCTGAGAACCGGAAGCCTGGAGGGTCACACAAGAGCATTATCTTTAATCTTCCATTAATAATTCAAACTCAAGTTTTTCAAATTCAATAGATAGATTTTCAAAAATGCCTTTTTAAAAAAGTTCAAAGCTTCAATGGATAATGATGTCAAATAAGTTTAGATGTCAACAATAAGCCTTTTATTCAGAGGTGTATTGGATTACTGCGACCCCCGAATTAAGAATTTCCGATGGTAAACCAAAATTATCCGAAAATATCGGCAACTCCTATTTTCAGTAGATTTTTTTCTGGACCTATTTTTCAAACCAATTTTTAAGTGTGTTAGAATAATAATTAAGGGTGTCTGACTGGACCAAAAGAAAGCCCGGATCCCGGGCCGGGTTTTTGCCAGGGTTTGAGGGGCCGGAAGGCCCCTGACACCCTTAAAAATCGATTTGAAAAATAGGTCCAGAAAAAAATCTACTGAAAATAGGAGCAGCCGAAAATATCATTGAGTACATATTACTGTCAGCTTTATCTCAATCTGTATCTCCCGCTTAAAAATATTCTCACTTACGTTGTGACAGTTCTTCTTACTGCACGGGCTTCCTGCGACTGATCCGATGAGATACAGTTGTGACGACAGTAGAATCAGCATAATCTGCATTTTGGTCTCCGATTCGGAAGTGTTCGTTTTGTAAATTTTTCTTCTGCGTATTTTACGAAGTGGGAGGTTCTTTCGTTTTGGCGACGCACAGGAGTAGATCTGAAAATAGACCTAGATTAATTTAGTGCCTTTTCATGGAATGGCCTGGGCAAATAATTTGACAGATTTTATGAACGTGAAAAGGACCGTCCGATCTCGGGTAAATTAGAATATTTGCCGAGTTCATATTCACTGCTATATTTTTTGAAAACGAGCCAATAAACTTTTTTTATAAGAAGAGCTTCCTCTACTTTCCGACAATGAAAAAGTGGATGATTTGGTGTCTCTTTCTCTTTCATCTAGTAAGGTTCTCTTTCAGACGATTTTCAGTATATTTGTTTGAACTCGAAACGCGTTTCCATAAAACAAGTCTGTGAATTCGGCATTTGTTGTTGTTCCAGCCTACCTCGTTTTTATTATTGATGAACGATGCTGAAATGATTTTCTAAGGACTTCTTGTTGTTCAACTTCGTTTTTTTTTCTCCTTGTTTCGATTTATGATGATTTCAAAAATTCGTGCTCTCTTTTAAACACTTGTTCTGGCGGCGCTCTCTGCTGCGCTCGGGGGACTCCTCGATGATTTCTTTCTTCTTTTGGGATAATTGTCGGTAGAAGTGCGCTCTTGTGAGGAAATTGGTGGGGATTTAGTGAGTGGCTAGGAATGCGTGATCTCGCCGTCAGAAATATACGTTTACAATAAGCAACGTCCCGAGGACTCCCTCTACGCAAATATTCACACGCAAATCTTTAATTTCCCATCATTACGTTTTTGTCATTACTAACACCTTCTTCCTCGAAGCAGACTCATGTAACTTGGACAAAACAGTCAGTTTAAATCCCTCTCATTTTGGAATAAAGGAGTTTTTTTCACAAACAGACGTCGAGGAAGTCTGTTATCTCATCAAAAGTTAAATCAAAATAATGATTTTTTTCTACCTTTGAAATAAGAAAACACTGTATAAATGTCACAGTATTGTCCAAAGACAAAAATAAAACCGGAAAATCTCCCCCCTCCGGAGACCACTACGGAGGGCTTTTTGAAATTCTCATCAATCGTGTGATCTCAATGATGAAACCACTTATTTCTTTCTACTGTAAGAGCTCTTTGAACTTGTGAGAGCTTCTAAGATGGCTCGAGCAATCACTTGAGCAAGAAAAAACAGTGCACGCTAAATATATTCATTTTTCCTCCGGTAGACCAACATTCGCACGCGATACTTCGGAACACTTCCAATGTGCCCGTAGATATTTTACGAACTCCACTTGTCATATGGCTCGTAAAGAATCCGGGATACTGTATCCCTCAGATTCGATTTCAAATATTTAACAAGTTAAAGTCGGAACATTTTTATTGCTCAACTTGAGTCGCTCAATCCGGTTGAACTTCAGCTTGAGGAAATAATTAGAGACGGAAATTTTGACATTTACTACTCATCACTTATTTCAAGGAAGTCAATAACATGGTTCAGTTTCATTCTCAATAATCTTGAGTCAAGATCGTTTGGGAAAATTCTAGATGAAAAAACATCAAGGCCGTTTGTTAATCGACGATTAATAATCGTCCTTGATCCCATTGATACTTTGTTATACAAAAATTGTTTGACCATGAGTAAGAATGAGCTTCTTAAATCAAGAACAGCTTCCGGGAAAGATGTCCCTTTCGCTAGAAATTCTTTTGGTGAATCATGGTGATGAAAAACGTGTCGATTATCTTGGGTGAGGCCCATTAGGTGTAAATCCCATTAGGTGTAAATACCCATTTAGTGTAATTTTCTAGAAGGTGTAACACACCTAATAGATATTTACACCTAATGGGTATTTACACCTAATTGTTCAATATTTTTCAAAATTATTTTGTAAAAAAGGGATCGACACAAGCTGTCACACATTCTCGACGACCCCCCAACGAGCATTTTTTTTTGGAAAAATATTTTTTTTTAATTCTTTCTAAATTGCACTCAAGAAACAAAAAACATCTTTTCGAGCAATTTTCGAAGTCAAAATTTGAAAATCGCGCGCTATCGATGAGTAATCGTGACAAGCTGAAGCGTTTCGTCATTTGCGCTCAATGAATTATCATTTTTCTTTCTTTTTTCAAACGAGAAATCTTTCTGCGAAATATGTTTTCTTGCCGACGTTTATTTAGCTGAAGTTTAATCTATTTCCTGCAATTTTTTCTGATAAATTTTTATATTTAAAACTAACCCGTAGGACCTTTAATGGTACCTTTTTTGATTACAGATAGATGATCAAATGTATATTCACAAAAGAGAAGAAGAATTGAAGCTTAATGAAAACAGCCCGGCTGAAAAATGATGAGTCCAGGAGCAGAAGAGAGATGCTACTCCGAATCAAGAGGAAAGTTAATATTCGCAGAAAAAGGAAGACCAGTTCATCAAATCGTTGAGAATCTCCCTCGACCGCTGACTCATGAACTTGAGGTAATCTTTTAGAAGGGATTTTTGAAAATAAATTGTAAAATTCTAGCGTCGAACGCGAAATCCAGGCGGCGCTGATGACCAATTCCTCGAGAGCACGAACGTCTGTCACGAAGAACTTTCCTTCGCGGAAAATGTCGACCTTTTTTGGCAAAGTTTTGAAGCCGATCCACTCGCTTTCTTGGGACCCGTTCAGCTCGCTTCTGGCGCTGAGTTCGAAGAACGCGACTTTTGTCTAAATCTGGGACTCGGATCGAGAAGAACTCGTTCAGCGACAAGTTGGACAAGTTGTGTTGCCTTCGTCGGATTTAGTAACTCGGGAGAGAAACTGGTCGTTTCTGAAAGCGATTCTATCGCCATTTTTAGGTAAAACTGCGCTCAATTTATGACCAATAAACTGTTCTTTCAGCTGCGTAACCTGGACAAATGAAGGAACCTGGTGCAATTTGGAAGGCCCTGCTTTGAACGTCTGTTGGTCACATGACGATCAAAAGATCATTTTCGCCATCAAAAACAAGGCAAGTGCTCCGTCCATGTTTACGATTTCTCACCCTCATTTTAGATCTTCATCGCGTCTTTCGAAGGAATCATGGGCCCGGACGAAGAAGCTCGCGAAATCGAAGGCTTCGAAGGCGACGTCCTCCAAATGTCCTGGCATAATCAACGCCTCGCAGTTGCGGTTGAGGGGCTCAGCGATACGCTTTTGTACTCGAAAGTAAATAACTGAATAAATCTCTGTTTCTGATTATGTTTATTTAAGAAAAAGAAGTACTGGAAAGTAAAATCTTACAGCTGGTTCGCCAAACATCAGGTACCAATCATTAATTCGCCAGTGGATATGCACGCTGCCAAATTTAGTCGTAAATTTTTGGAGCTCTCCTTGAGTTTTGTTGAATAGTTCTCCAGATTTAGGCACACGATGAAAAATAATCCATACGCCACATTAATGCCGCAGTCCATGTATTTTTGTTTTGGGCATTTTTGATATATAGGAGCCCAGTCCTTTTCGTCTTCTTCGAATACTTCAAGAAACACTTAATTAAATTTCCAATTGCGCTTATGATACGGTTAATTAATCTAATATTTTTTGAAATTTGCCTTGATAGACATCTCCATAATCTTCGAAATTCAAAGAGTCGTAAATTGTAAATATTTTTTTCCTCTCTATCCGCCTTGACAATTATCCAGTGTCCAACTCGACCAGGGATAAAGACAGGGCAAACAAATCGTTTTATTTCTGATGGATGATAACCAGTACCAGCAAAATTTTTTCCTTGAAAGACCATTTGTGAGAATTTCGTGTCTTCAAGAATAATATCATTAGTTTGGTGTTGCTGTTGGTAATGTCTCATAATGATGATAAACAAGTCCAGAATTTTGTCTTTTGTTTCTGTTCGAAGTTTGTAAAGTGGCAACAGATCTCGGACGCGAACTTCCTCCTTTTCTATTAAATTGACCAGCTGTCCTTCAGGCCATTTTTGTATATTTTTAGCGATATTTTCTGCTTCAAATGACATCTTGTAGCCATTAAACTTTTCAAACTTGAAAGTTGGAGTTTTGAACATTTTTCTATCAAGCTCGTTTTCGTATTTCATTGCATTTTCAGATTCCTCAAGAAGAATGGAATTGGACGATTCATCGTTGTTTGTTGCTGTCTTAACTTCTGTGTATTCCGCGGCTTCTTCAAGGACATCAATACGACGCTTTTCTTCCTTGATTTCATCTGTTTTCCTCACAAAGGCGCCGCTATGCTCGCCCATTGCTGGAAGGTTCTCTTCGTTGATTTCATGACCAGGTGAGCCCTTTTTCTTTTTTGCGTTTTCTTCTTTCTTTTCGACCAAATTGAAATTCATTCCAGCGAGAAAAGTCTCAAACACTGGATTTCTGCGATCCAGGTCACAAAGGAACTTGTCAAGTGCGTCTTTTGAAGAGAGTAATCTTTTTGCCTCGGTCGACGCCCCTTTTAGATCTTTTGAAGTCGATATTACAAGCTTTTTCAGCTCAGCATGGCTTATTTTTAGAGGCATGGAAGAAGACTGTCGATCCAACTTTCGATAGAATCGTTGCATAGCGTTAAATTTAACCATCCATGTTGTACCAGTTTTTGCGTTGTTTTTATTGGCCATTTTCCATCTTCAAGATAGCTCAACTCATCGTTAAACGTCGTTTTCTTGCGATTTGTGATCACTTTGCAAAGCTCTTGAACATCAGGCTTAGACTGCAGACCGCGCAAGAGTCGTGCATTTACACTCTCGCTAAATCTTGGTTCATCGTTGATTTCAAAAGTTAATTGATATTTTAGAAACGAGTCAAGCTGTTGTTGTCGCTGGTCATGAAGCTGATGAGAAGCGCTGCTCAATTCGAATAAAAATAGAGAGACCGTGGTCGAAATCATGGAGAAAAATTTAGGTAAAAATGATCAAACCAAGCCTGGCGTTATTAGTGCTATCGATTTCCCCAGTTTTGATCATATTGGATGATTTATCGGCCCATTCACTAGGCTTGAATGTGGCGTCTTCGTTGAAATAGTTCTTGAGGAGGTAGTCGCGATAAGCGATCCATCCATTCTTCTTTTTCTTCTTTTCGCCGTCATCAACATCCACCTTTTCTTTCGCGTTTTCGTCATCATCAACATCCACCTCTTTTTTCGCGTTTTCGTCATCAACATCCATCGACTCAACAGCATTACCGTCGATTTCAAGATTTTTTTGGCACTCTTCTGTGATGATTTCGATGAAAACAGCCCGAAATTCATCTTGTCCAACAGGGAAATAAGGCGCAGAATACAGACAATTCCTTATTGATTTTATAAAATGAAATTAACTGACTTTCACAATACTAATCCCCCTTTTAGAAACCCTCAACGATGATCAATAGATCAGAACAAGAAGCTCAATCAAAAGGAAATGTTGAACATGATCCGTCACGGAGCGAGAAAGATCTTCGCTGGCGAATGCACAGGAGCTCTCGATGTCAATCTGAACATCGAGGAAGTCCTCAAAGCCGGAGAAAAGAAAAAGCTGAGCAAAACTACAAGTCCTTTATTAAGTCAACCAAGAGCGCAAACTAGCAACAAAAAAAATCAAGTTCATCGATACTATTTGCCAAGGTACGAAAATACGTCAGAATTTGATTTTGTGGACGATTTTTAATTGATTTCAAATAATACCCATTCTAAGCGCACAGTTATCAATACACACCTCCAATGAAGACCAAAAGCGCCTGTGTATTCTTCATTTTGAAGCTCAGTCAGAAAAAATTCATCTTCCGCAGAAGATTTGCCCGAATGGCAACCGAAACCTCAAGCGAGTCGGAGAGCGGAAACTTATCTACAAATCAGCTGATGCTAAAAGATCAAAGGTAAAATAGCAAATGTTAGCAATCTCATTTTATAAAACCTTCCTGATGACTTGTGTCCGTTCTTCCTCCCAAGCCTTCAAGAGGCCTTCCTGTCCTGCCCGGCGTTTCCAGGATTGATACAAGTGGAAGGAACACTTTATATGAATAACGCCGGGCAGGACAGTTTTGTGAGCAGAGATAAAGGATTTCTCCCAGTCACTGCACACATAGCGAAGATTAGGGAGCCCATTCGTTTGGCTTTTGAAGAATGCCCATAACGCTTCATATGTTTCCGCTTTGTGATCTTTGAGGAGACAAGTCATTCGGTCAACGCAATAACCCTTGACAGGTTTTTTTAACGCACCGTCGATTTTTGATGATTACCCCGAAAACAAAAGCCCGAATAAGCGACACCAAGCGACTTAAATAAAAAAAACCCGACCTTGAATTTGTTCGATTGATCGCGGCAAGGTTCGGTTACCATCACAAGTTGTGGCCACTGTTTTTTGACGGCACTCACGACACTCATTATTCCATCTTTTCGAGTTTCATATTTTTTTTCAGATCACGAGCGAACTCACAAACAACCTGTCTCATCTACAATAACAACAACTCAACTGTACTCAATAAAGGTAAAAAACTCTTCCTATATTGAGACTTGATGCATATTCACTTCGGCGAGCGTCATGGTCCAAAAAAAAACACTATATTGTGGCGCGTGAAATCGTTGCTAAGGGAAGGGAGTCGTGAATCCGCCCACCATCGTTGAAACATATATAAGAAGTGGCATTTTGTCGGCACAATTTGTTTTTCCTTGGCAGCGACATTTGAGTTTTTAAATCGAAGCGCCGCTTTTTTGGCATTCTTTTTGGCATTTCCACCGAAAATTCGATTTGAAATTTCACTGTCAACGACTTCATCTTGCAACAATTCAAGCATTTTTCTCGAAGTCCGGGGCTGTGATTCAAGCTCGTTTCGACGGAATCTGTAAACCACATATCTTTTCCAACAATCAATCAGTGCATTCAAATGACCACCAAAGCCACAAACTTCAAACGCCACATGAGATTTTCTTGGATCGTAGATTATAAAGTTTTCAACATCGTAAAATTCTTTCGATTTGTAATCAGAATTTCGTACAAGCACCGATATTTTCGCTTTACAGTTAGATGTTTCCAGATTCTTTCGAACGTGGTGGTTTTGACAGTTGAGATTCATTCTTTTCCATCCTTTTTAACAGATCTCAAAATGATAATTTTTGATTTCAGCGCACGAAAAAACCGTCACAATTCCAGCATTTTGGCAAGCAACAGTGCCAAAGCGATGTCCACAACATGATTTACTCGATTGAGAAGCGTTTTAGGTAAGTTAATGCCCTAAAGATGCATGCCGTATATATTAAAGGGTAAATCATTCTATTTGACCTGCTCCTGGATATTTTGCTGCTAGTTCTTTTGGAAGATCTTGAAAATCGTCTTTATTGCGCGGAGTATATGAGAACAATTCATTAGGTCCAAAGCAAATAAAGAAAATGAAATTGACCATGCTTGTTGCCAATTGAACTGATATCAACTATTTAGTGCTCTCAAGATTTCAATTTGATGATGAAGAGTTCTCCGCGAAAGGGTTGCTCATTTCTGACCGAGGCTACTTGGAAGTTTATCCTTACGACAAATTGCAAGGTAATTCAATTATTAATAAAGAGCACTTTTCCTTTGGATCGGTACTGGTAGAATCATCGATGATTTCTTGAGTTTCAATCATCGTTGGGGGACGTTCAGGCGTAAGCAAGTCTTTGAGCTCAAGTTTAGCTTTTGGCGCTTTCTTAACCATGTCGCTGACTTCTTTTGTTAATTCCAAATCCTCATTCTTTTCATCATCCTTTTTACGCTTCATTTTTATCTCTAATAATAAGTAGACTCCTGCAGAAAATCGAGAAGTAAATGTTCAATTTTTATGAAAATATCTGTAGACTTAAGTTCTAGAAGCACTAGAATTCAAATTCATATAGTCAATATAATTGTATAACAGTGTTTTAAGCAAAACGACAACGCAGCTGCAAATGGATGAAGATCTCAATGAATACGAAAGTACCAGCTCCGAAAGCAGACCTCAACCTCAAAGATTCGATGGCATATCTTGAGAAATACTACAAGTCCTCCTCAGCAGCTACAGCGATTTCTTTTTCACAAAGAGCGAGAAACTGACACAGAACTCCCGACCACTTCTGCTCACCATGCTTAGTCACAAAGAAAACGACGCGATCGTGATTTAGTGCCTGAAATTGCTCCAATTTGGCTGCGTCACTTCAGAACTACTACGACCTTTGTACAGTATTGTGCGCACGTCAAAATGTAAAGATGTCGTTAACGAGTCGATGATTATCCTGTCGCAGCTTAACTCGGAAAAGTCGATTGCAACTATTGGCTCGTTAGGATTCATTCATGAGATTTGTCTCTTCATCGAAAAGTACAAATCAGGTACTGTCCTACTTCGTGACGAATTTCCTTCTGTTGTCAATTATTTAGAGGGAAGTATTCAAAAACTGTGTAAAGGCATTATGATCGGCTTGTATAAACGAATCAAACGCAGAGCTCGCTTCCAAAGAAAAAGTTCGATGAAAAAGATTTTGATGGAGCAAGTAAATTCAAGTCCGATGCTTTGGTTCCTGCAGAAGTCGTTTCATTTTATAAAAATAAAGAGGCTTCAAGGACGATATTATCAAAGAGCTTCCTTCTTGACCGGTTTTATTGAGAATCTCTTTTATTCGTATTATTTATATTCAGGCAGATCAAGGTTTTTTTTCTTGTTTTTCTTTGTATTTTCTCGTCAGCAGTCGGATTTCGCAGAGTTTTTTCGATCGAAAGAAATGAATTCGGCAACAATTTACACCAAATGTCCCAAAACAAAGAATTTTCACCCAATAGGTGTAAGTTCCCATTAGGTGTAAATATCCATTAGGTGTGTTACACCTTCTAGAAAATTACACCTAATGGAATTTACACCTAATGGGTATTTACACCTAATGGGCCCTACTCGATTATCTTATTTATTCAGATTCGCTTGTCACAATTTACGTGCCAATTTACGCCATCTACGCAACGCAATTGTGCATCCTCGTTTTCCAGCGTTGAAATACAAATCCCGCGGATTTTGGGACAATTTCCGTTTTCAAAATGGAAACAATAATCACCTTGAGCCCCCTGCTGTCGTCTATCCTAAGTCTGAAAGAGTTGTCATTCATTACTCATTTGCTTTATTAAAATTGATAATTTATAAAGTACAGAAATATACATTTATCATATTTTCTTTATACTGTCGTTTCTTCTCCTTTGTCGCATCAATTCTTTCCTTGAAAGCGGAACAACAGGTGATTCTTCGCGGCTCTCGGGTTGTGGAATTTCATGAATGACTTCAGAGAACTTGACTTTTGTAGCAGTTCGTTCCATAGTGATTTCGCTCTCATCAGGCTCTGGTTCTTCTTGAATCACTTCAATCGAGTCTTCTACAGATTCATTCACACTTATTTGAACGTTGAAATCTTTGCTTATTTTGGCTTTCAAAAAATAAAAACTTAATTTTGTGATTTCATTTTATTGAAAAATTCCAAAACCAAGACCTAAAAGAGTCGACCCAATTTGGCCTTTCATCAGAAACCGTTCTTTTTCGCCTCTTCTTCTTTCTCTGATGGAGGCGTTCTTCTCCTGTCATCAGTGAGCCCTTGAATACTTGATTGAGCTTCGCCATTTCATCCTTGTTCATTACTGTCATGTCGCCATGAACGCCAACAGTCCAGCTCTCGGCTATAAATAATAAGTAGGGGCCGATTGAGTAAAATTCTTGCATACACATGTGACATGTCAGTCTACTCTCAGACAGCTCAACGGTATTAATTAACAATATGGTACCGTCATTTACTTACGTCTAATTGCCACTGCTCTGTGACTCAGCCTCGGATTAGGAACAACAGGCTCTGCTTCCTTGAACCCTTTCAAAATTGTTTTCGGTACAGAACCGATAATCTCGCCCTCCATCGACGCGGTCACGTGGTTGTTTGTTGTGTCGACAATTTCGATCTCGTCTCCTTTGTCGAGATAAATGTCGTTCAGTTGGTCGGTATAATCTTTTTCTAAGATAACTTTCGCTCCAACGAAGAAAACATCCGAATCATCTGGTCGAGGCTGATTTGATGAGTTTTCTGATGAAGAATTGCTAAAATAATAATCAAAACTACTCCCTACCCAACTAAAAATAACCTGGATGAGGTTTGAGTAGCAAAAGTAGTGAGCATATCCGCCAGATTGAAAGAGTTCTTTGATTTTCGCTTGTCATCTTGTAACTTTTCCAAGTCTTTCTGCGAGTCTTTATTTGAAAAAATCTTGAATGCTTCTAAAATGACCGCGATCACCATTTGCATGCAGACCAGATTTATGATGATGAAGCATCCAATGAAGTAGAGGTATACGAAAAATTTTGGTTCATAGTCGAGCGCAAGATTTTCCATGATTGCTGGCCAATCGTTTGTGCTAAAGATTTGAAGCTGGATCAGAATCGAGCAGAGAAACGAATCGAAGCCAAAGCCGCAGTTGTAACCAGAAGCGTCTCGCCCAGAAATGATAATTGAAAGGTCGAGTTCGGTGCCCACAAAGGACTCGTATCCAACTTGGGCGAAGAAGTATTGAAGAACCATGACAACAACAAAGAGGTCAACAATTATATTGAAAAGATATGAGATCATGGAGGATCCTTTGTCAAACCATGAAATGCTGAAGAAAAAGCGTAAAAGCATAATAAAGGCGGAAAGTGCTCGTAGAATTCCACCAACAGCTAAGAGTAACACAGTGGTGCTGCAAGCTTAAATATATTAGAAACCTTTTTTCCTCTGATTTTCTTACAATTTGAATAGTCTTTGCATACACAATCATCAAGAAAGAAAGTGATATACCAGCAAGCCGAGCATCCCAGTGCAATGAGGTAGAGAGTAAGATCAAATTTTACTTTTTTCGTAATTTTTCTGAGAAGAATTTCTTTGTTGATTGAAATTAAAATTATCAGAGTCTGAGCCGAGTGAATCGCAAGGTAAACGTAGCAGTTGATATTGACATAGTATGAAAGGAACAATATCGTATGCGTCGGTACCAGAAAAATCTAAATAAAAAAATGTCGTCACTGTGCATTTTAAACTCTTACCAGTAGTCTTTGCGAGTAATTTTGTTTTGACTCAACAAGATTTTCCGTCGAATCATCGATCTCATCGTTTTTAAACTGTATTCGTAAAATATCAAGAAGCCTTGTTGTCCAATCAAAGGGGTCAATGTAGCCATCATTAATTGTGTCGAGCATAGATATGAGATTCTTGTTTTCTTCCTCGTTGTTATCAGGTTTCAGAGTTTCAAAGAGTTCTAGGGGAGGTCTATATACAATAAGATACAACATGCTTTTATACCTAGAAGTTTTGGATCTTCGACAGATATTTTGTTGACATCCTCATCAGCATCATCTCCGATCAATTTTCCCCACGCGAGAGCAAGAGATTTACGAATTTGAGTACGCTCAGATTTGACTTCATCCTTCGAAACAACCCAGTAAGCATCGATGATAACGCCAATAATTAGAGCATTGAAGAAGAACGCACCAAGATACAAGTAAATTGAAAAGAAAAGTGTGACCCAACGAGAGTTCTGAAAATTGAAATCAAGGAAGAGTATTTGGATCAACTGGCCCACCCGTTCACTGGAATAGTCAAACGCCGGGAACATAATGTCAGGATAGTTCTCCGTCGTAAATGTTGTAAACATTGAAACGAAACCGCGTCCTATGTGATCGAAACTTCCAGTAAAGATATTTCCAGTGCACCACTCGGCCTTCAAATTGTCCTTCGAGCAGTCGCCGCATAATATAAATGACGCGTTAAACTAGAAGGTATAATTGGTAATTGACTAATTTGAAATCCATTTGAAAATTGCTTTCAAAACTAGGTCATTTCGAAAAAAGAAAATGAAGAATAAGAGGTTTGAAAAGACGCTGAAGAGTATCGCGGATAAAAAAGAGAGCATTGAAAAAGTTTTAAACCCGCTTCATGTATTTTTCGAACTCGTGGCATTTATGTGCGCGCTTGTGCATTCTTGCCAAGAGCACTCTTGCCATTTCGAGAGCACCAGGATATTCGCATTCTCGATAAGTATAATCTGCATCGTCTGGCATATCATAGTGATCATTCAGGAGAGGCATGAAATTATCTAGTCCCTGTTTTTCGTGACTAGTTATTTCATCCTTGTCAGACTTGTTTTTTATGCTGTAAATGCTGCCCGAGTTTTGAGAAGGTCAAAATCGCTGTCTGGTTTGCTCTGTATCACTTTGTATTTGCCTCAGCCTGGATATCGGCGGGGAGTAAAGACATTATCTGGAGAATCGCGAGTGGCGCCTGGTACTTTGACTTTTCTATCTATGTCATTCAAGTAAGAAACAAGGGATATTGAGTGTTTCATTTGAAGTGTAGGCTATTTTGCGAAGCGGGTTGATGCCTGCACCAACTCCTCCTAAACCTCTGGCCAAAAATCGAAGAAAGGGCCCAAGTCCGAAGACCATTACTGCTGCCAGGGTGTGACCTGATGGATAATTACCTGATCATTAACCACCGGGTCATCAAAACATCTGTACTCGTCCACATTCAATAAATTTAAATTCAGCTCACGGAATGACTCCATATCGCAAGAAATAATACAATTATAAATATGGGCAAAGGTGTGCACGCTCATAGAGCTGAAGAAGAGAATAAAGCCAAATAAGGCCGCCCAGAATTTCCACATTTTGAAGGAGACGAGGGTGATGACTTTGAAAACGTGGCGGGATTTTGGCCGAACAGTCAGAATTAGTAGGGAACGGAAGCAGGCGAAAACTTGTGGCATTCTTTGTCCAAGACAGTGTTGTATTGTCTGAATTTTAAGAATTCTGGATCAAGAAAAATCACTTACTAAAAGCATAAAATCAATAAGAAAAAGACAACTAAGCACAAGATAAATCAGTTCGGCCCTCATCGGTCCACTATTTTCAAATTCCTTCCAGCGTACTAGATTCTTCCTATAGAAAAGAATGATCAAAATCGAATGAGAGACGTAAATTGCCAAAATAAATCCGGAGACAATAACAGGCCAAAGCGGAGTTTCATCATCACTGAGTCTGTCTGTTACTTTTCTTGGTCCAGTAAATTCATTTTCCCAAACTCGAAGAATACAGTGAATGAGAGTCGTGAATTGAAGAAACGCGTTCCATTTTTTCGAAGTAAGAATTCTGAAGATCTTTATTTTTCCAATAGATCTCGCATAATTGTGTCCATAAATCGTGTGTCCAGTCTGAGCATCTCTAATATGATCAGCAACTGAGATTATGTCCGTCATCTTTCTCTGGTCATCTTCTTTGGGGCGATTTGCAATTGAAACTGGTCTCGATAATCATCTGGACGAGTTACTTTTTCAATAGTAAGCGCGACAAAAGAATTGAGTCGGATGCGAAAAATGATGAAAAGAGCTTAGAAACACAAAAATGGATAAAGGACTGATTAAACATTCGTAAAAACGCATAAGTCTTTGACGAGGGGATCTAGGGCAAATACAAGATTTCACTTACATAGAATGCTTCGAATTCTAGCTGTTCAAATCAACAGCTACAAAGGAGGTCTATTATTTTAAGACTCTTATAATTTCATTATGAGTTCTAGCGGACTCTTTTGTGAGATCGTAGACATTATAATCATTTTGAGTCAAAATTAAAGAATGTTTTGTCTTTGCTAAGACAGTTATTGTCGAAAGGAAAAGCATTGAGTTCAAATAATCAAGTTCCTAGACCTCCTAGAATTTTAAGAATTGACTTTTGCCTTGGTAACCAACAGTTGATTAACGCGGTCACCATGAAAATTAACTGCTCTGAATCTTATCGGTATTCTTGACAAATAGAAATGGTTTAAATACCTCTTGATCAACGAAGAAATAAGTAGAGAACGTCGTCCCTCTAAGAATGAAGCACAACTATCAGAGTGTTTCAAAGGTAATGATTTCAAAATAAAGGCGTCTCACTATTTAAGGCAACTGGAGCAACGCTCATTACATTTTCGATTTTACTAATCATCTTCGACTCGACTTTGGTCTGGTATGATTTATATCTCGCTGGGCACAGCTACTCGTCATATTTTCCAATCTATACTTGGACGTACGGAACAGGCATAATCTGCGGGATATTGAGCTTGGTAGCTGGATCGCTCGGAGTCTGTGTGTCATGTAATGAAACATTGGTTGATTTCTTTGCAAAATTTGGCCCAACCGGTGATATTTTTCATTTTATTCTGATCATTATATCTAGATAGCGGTAATGGGAAATGTTGCTGGCTCGATTGCAATCTTCTTCTATGGCTACATTTCTTGGTGCGTTGCAGCTCACCTCTATTGGATGTCTTGGGTTGCCAATTGGAATAAAACTGCATTTTGGGCTTCACTCATTGCAGTCCTTATCTGCGAGTGGATATTTCTAACATTGATCATGGCTTTGTCCTTCTTCCAAGCAAACTTCATAGGATGTACTTGCTGTTGTAGGGATCCATCGGAAGTTGGAGCCATTGGTAATCAACGATTAAATACTCCGAATTTATAGAGATTATAGAACCAGCCGGTGAGATGATTGGTACTCAGAATTTTCAGCAATATCCAGCTCCTGGACAAGTTTATCCAGTAGCAATCGAACCAAGTGTTCCACTGGGTCAACCGAATCCAACCCAAGTTTATCCAACCACTCAAGAGGAATATCCTCCAGCAGCTCAGCCGAATTATGATCAGTCAGCACAGGCTCCTTATGGTCATTACGAAGCCAATGCAGCTCCTCAACAAGTGAATGAATCTTCTTTCCAATGAGTTTTTCTTTCTGATTCCGATTGATTCATGTTAATAATAAATGCATTTATTTTCTTTCTATAATATTTTCTTTTGAATTGTTGATAGATTTCAGCTTTTGCATTCAAGACAAGTTGTATTTTATTTTTTGGTGTGCTATCGTTACCATCAAATTGGTACTCCTACATCAGGTAAATTTCCTACGGTTCCTTTACAACATCCTATCGCATTAAGAGATGTCCGACCCACGGCCGATAAACACCGTAACCATGAAAATTGATTGTTTGGCAATCTATCGAAGCCACTTGCAAATAGACAGGGCTTAAATAGTTCCTGTTCAACAGAGAATCAGTAGAGAGAATCGTTTGGGAACAAGAGATGAAGCATAATTATCAAAGTGTTTCAAAGGTTCATTTCTATATCCAAGACCTTCACATCAAAATGTTCTTAGGCAACAGGGGCGACCCTTATTACATTTTCCATATTTCTCATGATCCTTGACTCAACATGGATTTGGATGGACTGGTACGTGCGGGATAGATGTTATCGGTATCACTCGGGTAATGGGTACTACTACTGTTCCCGAAGCCAATACTTTCCAATGTACTCGTGGACGTATGGATAGGGTTTTTCACGGGAAAGGCGCGGCGCGCTCCGGGCCTTCCGGCGCCAAAATCGAACTCTTATTTTTTATCAAAAATCAAAATTTTAATTCCCAAACCTACTAATTAAAGGTCGCAGATTCCAAATATCAAATTTATTTTCCTTTAAAATATCAAATTATGCCGAAAAATCACTTTTTACTCAAATTTTCTCACTTTTCTCCCGGAGTACACTAAAATACACCTTAGATTTTTAGATATGATGGATAATAGACCTTTATCACTAGTCTCTCAAATTTTCAGAATTCAGCAACATTCAGCAGATACTCAAACTGAGGGTTAACTAATCGTTAGGGCTTGGGCGCGCGCTTATTTTCAGAGCGCCCGGGGAGCAGTCCGAACCTTTTTGTAAAAGGTGACGAAATAAAGTGGTTCGATGCAATAATTGGGGGATTTCCGATTCAAAAATGATAACTTCTTTGTAAATAATGTGGCTTACCCTCGAAAATGCCAAAAAGCTTATTGTCGATTACTTTCTGAACATGGGTTTGCAACTTGCAACAAGTGTAAAGATTCTCAAAATATAAAAAAGTTTAAAAAAAAACATATTCCTTCGGCAGAACGAATCCAATCTTCTCCAGAGATTTAACAAAGAAGTCAAAGCAGACTATTCTTATTTTTTCCAGAGAAGTCAGAGCCAATGTACCTAGTATCTCATGAAATGATTAACTGCATATGTTGAAAGATACTGATGTATAATAATTACTTTTATTTAGCCAAAAAAAATATGATTTTCGTGCTCACCATGTTCAAAAACCTATAGAAAACTATTTTGGAAAATTTTCACTGAAAAATCACCCTTGCACCAAGTGCGCCAAGACAGCGCGCGCCGCTCCACCAAAACGTCGACCGGCGCCTCTGATTTTTGTATTTTTGGAATCAGCGGGTCAAATTAAGCCTACACTGAAATTTTCAGAAAAAAAAGATAAATACCATTTTCCCGTGAGAAACCCTACGTATGGAACAGGCATTCTCTGCGCCATATTGAGTCTGACAGCTGGTTCTCTTGGGGTCAGCGTAGCCAAAAATAAGGAAATGATAGATTTCTTCGCAAAGTTTGGACCAACAGGTAAAATTCCTGGTCGTTATATGACTTTAACAGCGGTTAAGCTGCAATGGGAAATGTTGCTGGCTCGATTGCCGTCCTCTGCTACGGTTATATCACATTTTGTGTTGGAGCGCATCTTTATTGGATGGACTATGTCATGGATCATGCATATTGGCATAACTGGACATTCTTTGGGTCGTTTATTGCTGTTGTCATATGCGAATGGATCTTCTTAACTCTTGTTATGGCTCTTTCTTTCTTCCAAGCAAATTTCATCGGATGCACATGCTGCTGCAAAGATCCTTCTGAATCTGGAGCAATCGGTACGAAGTATTCGAAATATTTTTATAACGATCTCTTAGAACCTGTTAACCAGGCTGTCGCTCCGATTCCTCCACATGGTTATCCAGCTGTTCCCTTCCAAGGCTATCCTCAAGGTCAGCCGGCATTGATGCCTGTTTATGGGCAACCCATCCCTGCTTATGGCCAACCGATGTCTACTCCTTACGGACAATATGCTTCCCATCCAGCTCCTAAAGAAGTTGATGAGTCATCTTCGGATTCTTCATCCTCAGACTCCGATTCTGATTAATTCAAGTTCAATGATCCAATAAATATATTTTCTTTTTGTTTGCCTACTGAAATTACCGGATCCGGTAGCTGTTCAAATTATACAATGGATGAAGTTCTTTTGAAAAGACTTCTATTTGAGATGAAGTTTAAACTTACCTGGAATAGTTCCGAGTGATTCAAAAAGTTCAAGTGAGCCTTACTTAGTTAGCATTTTTCAAGAGCCCTCTCTTCTCGTCATGAACAACAGAGCAGTCACCTACAGGTTCGTGAATAGAAAAAACCAAGTATTCATTGATTTCGGATAAAGCTTCAAAAGAAATAGCTCTATGCCCGCTCTCACAAACTTAGATACCAGTTACATGCCAGCCACAAAAGTTTTAAGCCATGAAACTGTCGATGAAATCGCCGACGAGAAACACATCAAGAGATTGAATACAAAAACAAACGGCTTTGCAGCGGGAAGCAGCATTATCAACTCGGGATTATTTGTGCAGAATGTCGCCCAGTTGAAAATTATCCTCGGGAAACAACGAAGATGCGAAAATTTCTGCGGTCCAGAAAAGCTCACCGAAGCAGAGTGCGTTGATAGAATCAGAAACGCGACGCAAGAGAGCTCGATTTTTAGAGATTTTGATTGCAACTTCACCAACATGGCAATGCTCAAGGTAATCAAGTTCTTCAATAAAAACTGTAACGAAAGTTTCAAGGCTTTTATCATCACCTCTATCATAATGCAAGTGATTTATGGACTTGTTGTTATCATCGGTAAGTAGTAAACTTACCTCCTTATGATTAGAAACTTTGAAGATGTCGCGATTGGAGAGAAAGCCCTAGGAGCGAGCATAACTTCTAGTGACCCAAAAGCGACGTCGAGCAAAGACCATTTTAGTCCTGAACATGAGCCTTGCATTTCTTATTTCAACTGTGAATTTTTTGATCGCTGGCTTTGAATAAACATCACTATCGCGTATTTCTAACAAGCGTTCTGATCCAACAACAGAGAAAAAGAATCCATCAAATAGCAAAAAGAATTTTATTCAAACATAAAACAAGAATCGCATTTGCCTTTCAGGCACGTCCTGTCCAAATAGCAAATCTCAGTTGGGCACACACCACGCAAAAATTTCGCTCGCTTTCTTTACAGAAATCAGACAGAGCGCATTCCTAAAAACCTAAATTTTATCAAGAAAAATGTCGATCCCCATTCAAGAGTTTCGAACAGTACCAATCAGAGATGACTTGAGACAGAAGAGAGAAAATGGTGATGTGATTTTGGATGCCGACGGTAAAAAGTTTACCGCGCATTCTGTCATTCTAGCGTCGCAGTCAGCCATTTTAGCTAATCATATCGAGAGGCAGTTCGAACAACAGGTAAAAACAACGATTTTTGGTCAAGTATAAATCTTTTTAGAGAAAAGCAAAAGTGAAATCGAATGGTCGAATCGAGCTAAAAACCAAACTCGCTGCTCAAACTATGAGAATTCTCTTGCAGCTTTTGTACCATGAGCAAGTCTCCGCCCCACTTGAGACTATTTTTGATGTTCTTCTCGCAGCCGACAAATACCGAATCCTTCACATTGTCGATTGCACAGGTTCACTGCTGTAAATCAACAACTGACGCTAATAACGTTTATTCAGCTGCGACGCTCTCCGAGAACATCACCCTTCCGGTCGCCGTCAGCGTCATGAATGTATACCACGGAACTCAAGATCCAAGCCAGGGTCTTGTCGATCTCGCAAATCCTACTTAGTAGCTTCCAAATTTTCCAAAATCTCCCGCATGTTCTTAAGCTAATAATTCAAATGTTGATTCGCCGTAAATCGAACACTTGTAAAAGCCCTTACGATTTCCTTAGATAAGTGACGCCGTTACGGGCGCGTCGACAGATTCTGAAGATGCTGAAAAGACTGTAAAGACCCGAAACAATAGTTTGACGGATTTGGTTTGCACTGCTTTGGATTGTATCTGCCTCCCATCGAATTATTACGAGCTAACGGACGAGTCCAAGCCTGGAAACCCTCTCAACAGACACATCCAGCTTCTTTCATACGATGCTGTCAAGGTTTGCCTCCTTGAGAAATTAAGAAACTTCAACATGATATTCAGATGATTGTGGAACGACAAGTTATGGCTGAAAATAAGGCAGAATTCGTTCACGCTAGCTGCAAATTCGTCAACATCTGGGCCAGCCCCATTCCATCGGAGGAACGACTTCTATTCATTACAGAGGTAAATCAATTTTGCGGAAATTTATGAGCCCGGCATTTTAAGTTGCTGAAAGTGATGGACATACAGTCACTGAACGCGATGCAAATGGCAAATGTCATTCGGCTTGAAGCTTTTATGGACAATCATCAAACCCAAGGATACCTTATGAAGACGATCACCAAACTCTTGGTCCAGCTTGAGGTTAGTGTCATTCTCCTGTGGTTTCTAGTTTTATCGATATTCGACTTTTGAACTATCTGTCAAAATAGACACTGTCTCAAAGCCAAGTTCCAAAAATAACATTTTGAAGGTCACAAAGCTCCACCACGATTTCAAATACGTAAATGCTGACATGTACAAGGAGAATCTCGCCAAAGCTAGAGGTAAAACAAATTTAACAAAGTTCTTCAAACACCCGATATAAATTTCATATCGCGACTTTATATCTTTAGTTCCAAGTTCACGAGCACAAAGTGTTAAAGGGGCACATCACAAAAGTGGGTACTGGGATTATGAGCCGGCAAAAATGAGCGCGACAGGTTCAAAAGAAAATTTTTAATACTGCGATTTTTATTTCAATAAAAATTGGCCTCACAAACAACTAAGAGAAATTTTTTCTTATTCAACTTGTAGCTCGATCAATGCCCGGTCTTGTTGACGACTACACGATGGCACCTCATCCAGCAGCTCGCTCACATCGATCCCAATCTCGAAACCAGTCACGTTCCCATCATTCCACCCGCCACGAGAGTCCTGATCGAGAATCGCTCATGTCTCACAACACGATGAGAACCGTCGACTCCAGAAGATCCCACGCATCCAAGTGAGTTTCTCGTGACCTTTTCTATTTACCCACTGTTCCAAGAAAATCAACGAGTAGAAGGTCAAAATCCCGACATCACTCTCCCGAACGAGCTTCCGGCGGCAGCTACAAAACGCTCCCATCCGAACTGAGCCGAGCAATGAGCCAGACGCATTCTTCAAAAGTATAGAAGAAAAGAACTTTTTACTGAACTACTAGTCACTTCTAGTTTATAAATAAATTTAATCCTGCACAAGATTTTAGACGGTTTCTGTTCCGCGCTAAAAATAATTTTCAACCCTAACAAAGAATTCACGTATCTGGGTCAAATTAGCTATTTTTAAAGCAAAAGCGCTCATTTATAAAGAAAAGTAAAATCTGCAAGTTGCATTTGAGGAAATAATCTTTGAATAACATGAAGATTTTTGCCGCTTTTTCGCTCACGCTTGCAGTAAAAAATCCTGATCTTGGACTGAATTATCAGCCAAAATGCAACTCCTGCACGGGCTCGTCATATGCCGATTGCTTTGTGAACGTCTGGGAAGAGTTTTGTAGAGATGATAAGGTTTGCCAGGTTCAAGAGAGAAGGAGAGGAGGGATCGTTTACTCGGTCGAATCTGGGTGTAAGCAGGTCATGACTTGCGTCAACAATCGACTGAATAACAAAAAAGAAAGCGGACAAGATAGGCTCACAGAATGCACTCAGAAAATTAAAGATGGTCAGTTCGTAAATTTTCGTTCAATATGAAACTGATTTTTAGGGAACGAAGCTGAAATTGCCTCGGTGTGCCGACAGTGCATGCACCCTGACGGCACATCTGGAACCCTTTTCATGCAAAAAGTTTCCGCTACTGGCAACACAGGCTTGCCACTTTCAGGTTGGATGGAAGAAACGCTCGACTACACTATCTATCCTGAACAAACGTTGCGAAAAATTGTTCAAAGTATCAAATAAATTTTCGTTTTCAAAAATTGCTTTAATTTGAATTATTCGTCAGATGCTATTTTTGAATTAAATGGCAGTTGAATGATACAGAGATAGAATTTTATCTAGGTTCGACCATAATTTCGGGAGTCTTGAGTTTTGGTGGGATTTCTCCGAGAGCTTTAAAGGGTCAAAAATCAACCTTGAGCTTTTTATTTTTTATATGAAATGATTGACCTTTCCTTTGGCTCCTCGGGAGTTCGAGACGCAGAGTTCTGAAACAATCTTTCCATTCGCTTTCTTTCGGTGGCAGGAAACGACGACGAGGGGTGTTTTCTGCAAGATCTTGATCGCCTGCTCCGTCGCTAGTCTCTTCGCTTCCTCTCGTGTTGGAGCTACTGCTTGGGCGATGAAGGTGTTGATGATGCTTATTTCTACAACTTCGTCGCACGCTAGAATGGGCGTTGGAATAAAGGAAAAGTTTTTTGTTATTACCTGAGATCGGTCGCTCATAAAATTTCTCCATTTCTTCTATCTGTTCAGGCGGGCATTCTTCCGACAAAAAGGTCACCCGCTGCTTCTGCATTGACACACAATGTGCCAACTTGGCCTCCTCTCCCTGTTTTCTACAGTAACTTGACAAGTTCAAGAACAGCCCGATGTGTTTCGCATTTGGCTTGACTGGAGGAGGAAGATCGCCTTGGTTCACTTTTTTGTTTTGAGCCACGCTGTATGCCGAGGAGGACCTTCAGCTGGCCGCCTAAAATTTGAAATAAAAAAAGGATGGAGAATTTTTTAATTACTTTCGGCTATTTTGATTGTCGAGAGTAATGACTTTAGCTTGCTCGTCTCTTCTTCTTCGAACTTCTCGGCTGTGAATTTCGCGATCAGCGTCTTTGAGCATATCGGACATGTTTGGCAACCCAAAGGACATCTCCCTTATCTTCTCAACCACTAAAAGAACAGTAGATTTTCTTGTTTTTTAATGTTGAAAAATTACCTTGAAGGGGGTAGCCAACACCAAGAAAATGAAGCCCAGACCAGCATTGGGAAAGACACTCAAGCTTTTCGCGATTTTCGTCCGTATAATCATCCCAGTTCTTGAGCAGAAACTGCTTTCTAGCCAGCCAGTGTCTTTCTGCCTCCATACTCCCACTAGAATCACAGTAAAGAGCAGAAAAATACGAGAAAACAAACCGGAGTCGGTCGATTTGATCATCCTTGGATTTCGCGCTCGATATCAGTGATTCAACGGCACTCGTCATTCTGAATTCTACTGCTGAAAATGACTTTCTCTCAAATTTCTTTCTCAAACTTCAGAAATGGCTTTCCAATTCTTCGCGCTCTAATTGGGCGCCGCTCGACCAGCGCAGCGAATAGAAAAATTCGATTCTTCAGAATCAAGAAAGAAAGAGTGAAATCCTCCTGAATCGTAGAGAGAGATCAAACAGGAAGAAATGAGATTATCTGGTGTTCTCGATCATGTGGGGAAGCGGCTCGGAAAGGCGGTTAGGAAACAGAAGCAAAGAAGGTAGAATTATGAAAAAGAAGCCCCCTTTCATGATTTATTCAGATCTGGCTTTGGTGGAAAACTAACAAACCTCGGCTACACGATCATGGATGGCAAGTTCCGCCACGACGTCAACTACGGCCGAGGCGACAACGTCCACAACAACGAATTCCCTCCGATCCGAGTGAATCGTCGCCCGTACGCGCCGATGATCAACAAGACCTCTCCAGCGACGCGAAAGAGGGTCGATTATGACATGCCCGGTCCGCTGTATCTTCACAGATGGCTTTCAACAGCGCCAGATATGATTGGCGTCGAGAGTTCGCAGAATTGGCGACCGAGGGATTACATCGAAGTCGACCCAAATATCTTTTTGAAAACTACAAAATACCCAAGAGATGAAATGATGCTCAATCCTTATTTACGATTTCCAATTTACAACAGGTACAATTCTTCTTTTCAGAAGAGTTTTGACTAATCAACTCAGACTTCCTCTTCATTACCGATTGATGATGGAAGAAGAAGTCGTCCGCTACGACAACATAATCAACAACATCGGCTCCAAACGACCCGGCGAAGAGGGCGAATGGGTCCTTTGGGAAAAGAAGATTCGTGAAGATCGAGAGCGAGGCCGTATTTATCAAAAAGACTGGAAATACATTCAGAAAACAGCGAACAAAAACGAAAATGAGCTTGTCTTAGAGCCGGACGAGGCGCCGAGATCTATTTCGTCCGATACACTAGGATTCGAAGATGTGAAATTTGTCCCAGTGAGAGTTAATAGAGAGCATATTCCGTACGAGTTTCCAAGAGGAAAGTCTGACAGAAGATTTTACCATCCAATGAAGGTATTTTGTCTTCTTTTCAAACTCGTTCAGCCGATTTTAGGGAGGTAGAAGCGAGAACATCCCCGGCCGAAAAGACAACTCAACAGAATACAACTACGCTCGAGACTCGTTGGAAGAACTGTGGGGCGGCGAAGGAGTCATCCGCGGCCACACTTTCCGCTCGCGAATTCGAGAGTATCCACAAGGAACGCCAGAGTATAATGTCACCTGGTGGCCCGAGCGAAGGTACAACCACAAGTTTACATCACTTCTTCTTGGAGAGGTCATTCAAACTGTCACAACTGAAAGCTGCCTGGACCAAATCGACCAATGCGGTGGCTTCGACGAGTACATTCTCTTCACTTCACCAGCGAAACTCATGTCGGACTTGGGCTGTCGGCTCAAGCAGCAAATGTTGTATACGCTAAATGACCCAGAAAAACTAGTTGAAAACTTAACGGTATCCTTCCTCGATTTTCAATCTTTTTGAAGGTGAATTTAGGCTGCTTCGAATATCTATCCACATTTGAATCCTGAAAAGATGGTCGATTTCTACTTGGATAAATTTGCTTGTGTAATGATGACGGATGAGGCGATCAGCTGGATAAATATGCCTATTTATGAAGGTACAATTGTCTCCTCTTCACTTCAGTTGACAACGATTTTCTAGCGCTAAAACGGCAATTAGCGATTGACATCGACCTAGCATCAAGACCAAAAGAAACGCCAAAACTTGAAGAAAAATCGAGAAAAGGAAGTCTTGAAAAATTGCTGAGAGGAGAAGAACTAGACGAAAAACCATCGCCCATGCCGAGATTGTCTTTTAAGAGCGAAATGAACATGAAAAAGATTGAATTGGAGCTGAATAAAGAGCGATTTGGAGCTAGATATGAATTCGAGGTAAAAATAAATCCCTCAATTGCATTTGCAACACTAAATAATCCTAGAATGCGATAGATGAGTTCGGAATAGAAGAAGCTTCTGAAATGCTGAATTCTATGTCGCCAGCACTGGAGAAATTCAGAAGAGGATTCCCAGAGCTCAGAACGCCTGAAGAAATAAAATATTCGAATTTGGCTGCGCACACTAAGAAATCGAAAGCATTCTGCTAACATGTTCAAATAAAGCTCTTAACTAATTAATATATCGATCCTTTTTTAAAAATCATTTATTATCGGGATGAAAGAATTAATATTCAGTAGACGAGCGTTCCATGAGACTTATATCCAGCATATTTATTATGTCCCTTTTGAATCATGCCAGTATCGACCAGCCTCTGAATTTGATCGAACTCTTTCTTCGAGATTTCCTTCTCCCCCATTTTATGTTCTTTTACGGGTTATGATTTATCACTTACGACTTTCATGAACTATGCTTAAATATTCCTATTTCCACAGATTTACTTTCAGATATCGAATTCACTAACCCTTTCCTTGAATTTCCTTGATTTTTCGAATGTTTGTGAACATCGTTGTGCTGTCAGGATTTTGGACGTATTTCGAAGATAGCTTTCGCCCTCCTGCCAAATTTAGATCAAAGAGATCTTATCAATGGTTAGTGAGTTTGAAAGAAAAAACTACCGATTTGAGTTGACAGATCTCCGTTAGGAAGAAAGAAGAGGAATCTGCTTCCAATTGATTTTTATTCATTCCTGCCTCTCGCTCGAACAGTTCTGTTGCAGCTTTAGTGGTCGCTTGACCTTCTCCGAGCTCTCTTATCTTGATGAGGTCTGCCTACAAATTGTTTACCATTTATTTTATTGTTCATCCTTTTACCTTGTCTTTAATTGGCATCTTGTAGTAACGATTTGTCGCTTTTTTCTGCATTTTCTCATTCCAGTTGTATCCTCCTGATGACTTCGCATCACTCTTTGTAATCTAAAACCAAACTTATCATTTTCATTCAACCATCGTAGTTACAGATTTTTTCGATTCAGAGGCACTTCGACCATTTTTTTTATCTGAAACTTTGCAATCTGAGGCCATTTTCTGGTCAAGAGTCTCGGCTGTATCTGGTGTTGAAGGCATCCAGTTATCCGGGTAAACATTACTCGTTCCCTTGTCAACAGGATTTTTATGAATGCCAGATGCAGAATCACTTTTCACGCCCGGTCGATTGTAGTGTTCATCATACATTGCAGCGATATTATTTCCGATATTATTATTAGCATCCTTATTTTCATTTTGAAGTTCGTGATGAAATGACGGGGAGTTGTAGTCGTCCTGTGGTCGATTAACATAGTCATAAGGGCCAGACTCGCGAGTATGACTCTGCTGAGGTGGATAAGCGCCTTCGTTGACGTTTTTCTGAGGGTTGTATTCATCTGTAGATTTTTCTTTATAATCATATAATGATGATTCATCTTGAGGCTTTCTTTGCTTATAATTGTCGACAAGTTCATCCGCAGCAAGGAATTTTCTGATGAGGTAAAGCGTGTTCTCGGGATGAAAGTAAATATTATCATGTTTTATTCCCTTTTGTTCGATCATCTGCTGTAACTGACGATTAGACGTGGTTTTTTTGCGCTCGTCGTCTACGAATTTCTCACTTATAGAATTAAATTTCGCTATTTCTTACCAAAAACAGCATCAATTGCGTCGAGAGCAGTTTTGATATGCTTACTCAAATGACGAAGTTCTTTCATATTCTTGCTAAGTTCCTTTCCCGCCCGTTGTCTATCATCTTCGAGTCTTCTCTCATAGTCACAGTCTTCCATGCTATTGCGCCTTGCTAATTTTTCTGTCTGATATTTGCAAGTCTGATGCTCGAAAAATGAAACTAAATCAACAAGAGGTGTTTTCCCTTTCTATATTTGATCAAGAGACACCTCATCGTTTTTAAGGTATTTTTTATTCTAAATAGACAGGAAAATTTGTAGACGGAAGCTTGGAGCAAATGCTTTTTTTATAAATACGGAACAAAAAGGAACACATAAGCTGAAGAGTTGAATTCAGTTGGAACGCAATGTCCAAAGTACAGAATGTCGCTTTACTGGGTTCGGCATTGGTCGTTTGATAAATTCGGATGACCAGAAGAGTGATCAGAGTCGTCACGGCGTCGTTTCCGGCTACTGTGACGATCCTCGCAGTAGTCTTCCAGAACCATCTCGTGTGTCACCTCTGGGCCAGCTACAAAATACGAAATTAGTCATGCGCGCACCCGGATGGAACGCCTGAGTATAAGACATTCATATTGTTGCGTCAAGTTTATATGAAAATGAGCTCATATGAAATGATATTCCCAAATTTGCTCACCTTGGTCTTCGATAGGAGGTAGCGCGTCTCGGATTCGTTTCCGAATTTGAGGATCTCGGAGCCAGCTGCTGTAGACTTTTTCAACATCAATGTCAATGATAAGATTTCCAAATTCTCCTGGGCAAGATGGGATAGGCATTCCTGCATTGGGGACTACTTTTTGACCTGAAAAAGACTCGGGTTAGAGGACAGTAGCGAAGAGTAAGAATCTCACCATTGTGCTGGACACTTTCTCCGGGTTGCATTAAAATGGCGACATCTTGGCCTGATAGGGTTTTCAGTTTGCGTCGAAAGCCGAGGAGACTTTCCGCCAAACTGATTTGGATTTTCGTTGAAATATTATCACCTAAAATTTTGTTTAGAAAAAGAATAAAGAGATAGGCTCTTACCGTTTCTTTCGAAAACAGGATGCGACTTTTCAGCGAGGATTACAATAACATCTCCCGCGTTTGTTCCCGGAAGATGATCCGCCGCGCCGTTGAATTTGAGCTGCGTTTCTTTCGCGCTTCCAGCAGGAACGACAATATCGAGAACCTTCTTTTCGAAAGTTATTCGCTTTCCCTTGCAACCAGCGCACTTGTCTTTCAAAAGAAAGATGTGTCCCTCGCCGCGGCACTCACTGCAGGGCAGTCCTAAAGAATCCAATTGAGTTTTTTCATTGAAGAGTTGAATTTTCTTTCATTGCAGAAATTCTTCGTTGAAGAATTCATCTTCTTTCTAATCTTACCTGGTCCGAAAAAGGCCTGTCCAAAGCACAGTTGGCATCTAGTTTTAATTCCCGATCCACCGGCTCCATCACAGGTCCAGCAGCAGACTTTCCTTGTGATGACCAGTTTTCTTGCTGTTCCAGCATAGAATTCTTCCAGCGATAGTTTGAGCTCGTGAATAACGTCTTTGCCCTTTTTGAGATGCTTCTTTTGAGGTTGTTTCGGTTCTGTGTAGCCGGCAGTAGATTGGGTTGTAGCAGGGGTGCGCGTCGGGAAAGGCGCGCTTGAGGTAGAAGGGCAGTCAGAATCGCAGTAGCCGGAATCTTCCAGGCCTGCTTCGCCGAACTTGTCGTAGAGGGAACGCTTGCGACCATCAGAGAGCACTTTGTAGGCGTGGTTGATCCGCTTGAAACGCACTTCGCAATCGGCTTTCTTTTCTACCGGGTTCTTGTCCGGATGAGATTCGCGGGCCAGCTTTATGAAGGCTTGCTTTATGTGCTAAAATAATTATTTAGCAGATGGAATATACAGTTTTACAGTCGTAGAGACCAAGAGAAAAAGGTTCCTCGAAACTTCTACAAGAAGAGGTTATGTAACTGCTGTGTTACGTAACGACCGACTATCGGAAAGTTCGAGACAGAGAGATTATCTTTCCAGGTGGATATCCTCCTGAATCCCTCTGTACTGAATCAGATTAAACATAAATTAGCAGGCTCACAGAATTTTATAATCTAACATGAAGAGTAGGTATCCTACCGAGTGGCTAGCGTTTCCAGGAAGCCCAAGAATATCGTATAGTCCCATTTCAAGCGGCATTTTCTCCAGCAGCTCCAATAACTTCTTTCACAAAAGTTTCTCACTGTATCTTCCCGTCAGTTCCGTTGGGCAGTTTCGGTAGTCGAGTCCGTTCGCCAAGGTCCGATGATCCAGCCAGCCGGGGAAGAGATTTTAAATTTTCGTGATTCTCGATTTAGATTTATTTTTTCGTCTCTTGAAATTTTCCTTTTTTTTTAATCAAGGAAATTGTGGGTTGGCTCTGTTTTATTTCTGGCTAGAAGAGTGGCGCAATTGGGCAGACCTGGTTTACCCCCAAGTCGGTCATTTCTTCCCGACTCTTCCAGCTCGGGACGCATCGCCGCGCTGAGAGCGTTCAGCGTTTAGACGAAGCTTCCAGAACTGAGCTTATGTAACGCGCCAGGCTCGCTATTCGCTGAGGCGACCCGCGCAGCGGCGCCTTTCTCGCCCTGGAGGACACGGACTGCTGGAAGAATCGACGTTTGAAAACAGCTGATTTTCATAGTACAGTTAATTATGGAATTTCTGGACATTTTTTGTCCCCCATTCTTCCCGAAAATGTCCAGAAATTTGAGACAGAATTTTGAGAAAAATGTCCCAACAAAATTGCTTAAAAATTTTTCGAGAAAGAAAAATTGACGACTTTTTCCGAAAAAATTACTGAAAATCAATAAAGAAACTCGCTGTAGCCGCCTTTCTTGTTATATCATAAGATTTTCGAAGGAACACAGCTCTTTATAGATGAAATTGGCTTCAATAACTCAAGTTTGACCATAAATTTAGATGTGGAAGATATCTGTTGAGAGAAAATGTCCAGAAATTTGATACACTCTTTCTTTGAGTTTGCCCCCAGAAAACTCCTTAAAATCTGAAAAATGTCCAGAACTTTGATGTCCAGAAATTCCATAAAAAATTGTAATTTACAACCTCCGATGAAAAATAATAAATTCAAGAATAATGAATTCATGTATCTTCGAAACCAATCTATCCGCAAAAAATATACTTTAAATCCCTGGTATATTGAGTTTTTCATGTTTATTTGATTGAGTAAGTCATAATTCAGATTTTGATTCGTAAATTATCAAATTAAAACTAACTGATCATTTCTGAGAATGATATTAACATGTTAGTTTGGAAAAGTCCTCCAACTTCCAGGTTAATAAATATCGATTATGTAACGAGGGCACAACGAAGTCTGTCTCTTTCGAGTTCATTCAAATTTTCTGGGCGTTTCTCGTTCCATTTGCATACTGCAGTTTGCTCATTTTATTCCGATGGATTTACGATCTCGTGGCGTCACATCGAAGATGCTGGTCATACTTGATTGATGAAAATTGGGTGCTTATTCGAGAATAATTTATTGAATAAAAATGACAGCTACCTTCTTCATTGTGCTAGAATGAGCGACAGATAAATGAATCGTAAAATTGACAAAAGAAACTTTCTCGAAAGATCAACTGATTGGTATTGACGGGTCTGTCAGTTTTCGGCCTTCAGTTCAGGACAGTCAGACATTTTCTAGCATAGGAATCATTGGAGACGGTTACTTACAGGATGACTTCTTACAGTAGCTTGTGTAATTTATTGATTTTTATCGTGACTGGGAGTCATTTGGAAACAGGGTGTCATCTTATGTTATTATTGTTCAACCATAAATCATCTTTCAAATTTTGAAATTCAAAATGAATTAATAAATCGAATTTTCATAATCCAACTAAAGCTTTAAATTTTCGAAAAAAAAATTCAATGATGTTTTGGGAATCGAAGTCGATACTGAGTCTTAATTTTATTGGAAGCAAGCAGCATAAATATAGATTTGTGACTTTTAATCGTAAATCAAAGTGACAGATTTGTCGAGAAGGTTTTTACTCTTGGTGCGAGGACAAAATTTTGTTCACATCAATTGTTGCTGCCAATTTCTCGTAGTCCTAAATATGATATTACTGGAAAACTTTTCATTGAAAGTAGAAATAGAAATAAATAATTTCAAGTTACCTCGTTGGTTGGGAGGTCAAAATTGAAGACTTGGTCTTGGGGCTCAGCAGAGTTCAGTGGAGTCTCGGTGGAAGCGTGCTTTAACCGGTCGGCCTCATAGAGATTCGCGAACCTCATCACTTTGAGCGCGAGAAGACTTAAAATTTTAACCTAAAAGAACAGAAAAAGACTTACATGAGAGCGATCACAAGAAGTAGAATGAGTCGCAACCATGTTTTACCGGAGATCTTGTCACTCTCTCCGGAAGTATTAGCAATCAAAAGCTCCTGATCATCGGCTCGTCCTCGTTGTCGATGTTGAGGGATGACCTGGACGACGACGTCTTTTGCGCGTTGGTGTTGCATTCTATAATGAATTTATTGGCTATTTTCTCGATTTCTCTTGGATGTAAATGATGCGTCTAGAGAATTTCTGAACTAAATAACAACCGCAATGAAATGATGAAACCTCGAGCCAAAGCGATAGCATCTCAAATTAGTGTCCTTTTGACTCAGTTCAACTAAGTTTATTCGCATATGTTGAGACAGATATTAATTGAAAGAAAAATCAAGGTCGGTTACAGAGACAGTCGCATTCTTCCTTAGGTCGAAGAACCCATTTGAGTCGCCAGCCGATATCCTCTACAATGTGATCAGACTTGAATCGGATTTTGAGTTTGTCTCCGCAGACTTTTCCAACCCAGCCGCCTTCCGCAACGCATGCGTCGCCGCACATTACAGCCGCCCCGGCAGGTCGAGTTGCAGAGTGATCCATATTTACTAAAGAATGTGAAAAATCGAAGTTTATTTTTAGTCAACCTTGATCAGCATTGATGACATCGTAAATTTCGAGTCGATCATTTCCACAATTCGCTGAAGCTTCGACTCCAAAAGAGCTTTCTAAAAGAACTTCGTAGCAACTACCTTCAGCTCGGACAGTCTCAAACTCATAAGTACAGTCAAAATCGCTAGGATAGTCCACTCCATGCTCTCGCCAAGGAGAGCTCAGTTCACCCATTGCATAGCCGAATTCATTCTCCTAAAAAAGATGAGATGGATCCTGGTACTCTTTTCGCATACATGAACTTGAACAGGAGAATCCGGACAACTGGCAGCGTAGCAATGTCCATCTAGTTCCAAATGATCATCCGGGCAGAAGCATGTTCCAGTAGCAGGAGCACACTCATATCCATTAAAGCAATCGACAGAAGCGCATCGATCGAAAACGCAGTTTCCACCATCGTCCGGTGAATATTGAGGAAAGCATTCGCAAGCTCCAGCAATGCAATGTGAGTTTGGAGGACAGAGAACTGGATCTGGCTCGACAGGCCCGGAAGATCCACCGCTATTGATTTTTAGAGAGACGAGAGCTTTTGAAGGTCGATAGTTGTACGCGGATAAGTAGACGAAGGTGTGGCCGGGGCCGACATTGTGGTTGATCCATTTGTTTATGTCGCTTGACGTTACGTTGAAAGTTTTTTCAAACGCAGCTGGTCCTGGCTGCGGATTAGTTCGATGGTAGAAAAATGTAAGTGGACCGTCAGCTTTAAAGTCATAGTTGTCTTTTCCACTCATCCCAATTTTCAAGATAATTTTTCCCGGATTTCCAGTACTACCTCCGACTTGCGTGTCCCCGCCATTGTTGTTCTCAATATTACCAGTGCAGATCTTGCTGAAAAGATTCTTCTTGATAGGCTCAAAGTCTGCCCATCCATCAAGCATGTTAATGTGATCTCTCGAGGTAGCAATAGCTTCTAACTCAGCGTAATTTGCTCCAGCGACTCCAATTGCAAACGATTGAATATTTCTTGAATCTGCTTTGACCCTGTCAGCAGCTGCCTTCGTCGCTGAAAATGAGCTGCTGGCACCATCAGTAATTGTGACCATAAATTTCACCGATTCTGGTCGATCAGTTCCGTAGTCGGTGAGCGCAGCATCAAGTGCAATAGCAGTATTTGTTCCGCCACCGTTGTAAGGCATGTTTTTTATTTCGTTGATGATATTTTTTGTTTTGAAATCATTTAACGAAAAGTAAAGATAGTTTGAGCTGGAAAACGGTCGAATAGCTATACGAGCGGCATCGTCAGCAAGGTTGCTGTCTTTGGCGTAGTCTTCCAGAAATTCCCTGATAAGTTGAAAGTTTGCAGCTCCTATTGAACCAGACTCATCGACGACGAAAACGATATCCAGGGCTTTTGTCAAGCACTCATTTTCGGTGATCTGGTCGAGCTCGTCCGTTGCGTCCTTGAAGCCGTCAACGGTGTGATGAGTGATCGATTCATAGATAGCAGCTTGTGCATCGATGGAGAAGGGAATCGGAAACTCATTAAGATGCTCAAGGTAAAGAAAAAGCGCAAGCATGGAGTAGGTCGGCACTGTCATTTCATCGTATTCGAGCTTATCCCAGTCGACATTGAATTTGCCTGAGACAGTGCTTTTGAGAGCAACAGTCTTTGTAGTGTTGAATTGCGCTTCGTCTATTGACCAAATCTGCTGGACATGATGATGTTGGACGATACCTTCAGTAGAGATTAAAGAGACAGTCTGTTACGAATCTTACCAAAATTTGTTTCTGCATAAGCATAGCGTAGAAAAAAATCTCGTTCTTCATATTTGCTATTCCAAGAAGATATTTCGCCCCAGACTTTCCCAAAGGTAGCTCTTGTGACATCTTCACCTATAGATCCAGGAGTCATTGTTAGGTCCTTGACTCCTGATGAGCATTCTTGCGCCCAAACAGAAAATGCATGAAGCCAGAATAGGGCCTTAAAATGCGATAAAAATATTAATGGAAAAATCTCTTTTAGATACCTTCATCTTGCTAGATCTAAACTGTTAGACTCAACAATTCTTTTTTCGGCTTCGCTTTATATTCTGAGAAACACACGTATAACAAATATTACAACATTGACAGTGGCGGCTGCATATTTTTACGGGCACAAGAGGCGGATATGAACAATAAAATAATGGCACTCCAGTATCAGAAGGGAAATTCACATGCAGACGGCTCTGAATCAACCAACAGTACCAGTATAAGAGCCCTTGCCTTGAACAATCATGCAATCTGCACATAAAAATTTCATTGTTGAGTATGAAAAATTGCAAGCTGAAAGATTTTTCACACCGAAAATATTAAAATGAAAAATACGGAAGGAAAAAATGACATTTTCCCATCATTCATTGGCCATGAACCACCGGCTAAATTTGGGAGACAAAGCTTCTATAAGAAAAAACTACTATCGTATTTAACTCTGTCAGCAAATTATTGACCTCATAATAAAAAATTATCTATCTGATAGCTTTGCTCACATTTATTCTCATAAATTTATTACTGTATTGACTTGTTAGGAGAACACAGTTATGGTCGGTTACAGAGACAATCACACTCTTCCTTAGGTCGAAGAACCCATTTGAGTCGCCAGCCGATGTCTTCTACAATGTGATCAGACTTGAATCGGATTTTGAGTTTGTCTCCGCAGATTTTTCCAACCCATCCGCCTTCCGCAACGCACGCGTCGCCGCACATTACCGCCGCTCCGGCAGGTCGAGTTGCAGAGTGATCCATATTTACTAAACAAAATAAGAATCGAAAGTCTCTAGTATCATACCTTGATCAGCATTAATGACATCATAAATCTCGAGCCGATCATTTCGACAATTAGCCGAAGCTTCGACTCCAAAAGGATTTTCAAGAAGAACTTCGTAACAGCTTCCTTCAGCGCGGACAGTTTCAAACTCGTAAGTACAGTCGAAGTTGCTCGGGTAGTCATGGCCATGTTCTCGCCAAGGGGAGCTCAGTTCACCCATCGCATAGCCGAATTCATTTTCCTAAAAAATATAGAAGGTTGCTCAAGGCTTTTTTCATACATGAACTTGAACTGCAGTATCTGGGCACGTGGCAGCGTAGCAATTGCCATTAAGTTCCAAATGTCCATCTGGACAAAAACATGTTCCGGTAGCAGGAGCGCATTCATAACCATTGAAGCAATCGACATTGGCGCATCGATCGAAAACGCAATTTCCTCCGACATCAAGTGAATACTGAGGGAAGCATTCGCAAGTTCCGCCAACACAATGAGAGTTTGGGGGACAGAGTACTGGCTCAGGATCAATTGGACCAGATGAACCGCCACTGTTAATCCGTAGAGACACGATTGCCGGATTTATATTGTAATTGTATGCCGAGAGGTAGACGAACTCGTGTCCAGAGCCAACATGATGGTTTATCCATTTGTTCAAGTTTGGCGAGGTAAGATTGAATGTCTTCTCATATGCAGCAGGACTTGGCTGAGGATTACTTCGATGATAAAAGAAGGTCAGTGGACCATTTGCTTTGAAGTCATAGTTGTCTTTTCCGGTCATACCGATCTTTAAGATGATTTTACCGGGATTACCGGCACTTCCACCAACTTGAGTATCACCACCGTTGTTATTTTCAATATTGCCTTCGCAGATCTTACTCATGAGATTATTTTTGATGGCCGAAAAGTCTCCCCATCCAGCAAGGAACATCACGTGCTCTTCAGAAGTTGCTATAGCCTCTAATTCAGTTTCATCTGCTCCAGCAACTCCAATAGCAAAAGATTGAATATTTCTTGGATCTGATTTGACCCTGTCTGCGGCTGCTTTTGTCATCGCGAATGAGTTACTCTCCCCATCTGTAATAGTGACCATGAATTTAACGGATTCTGGTCGATCAGATCCGTAATCTGTGAGAGCAGCATCGAGTGCATCGGCGGTGTTTGTTCCGCCACCATTGTAGGGCATGTTTTGAATCTCGTAAATGATATTCTTCGTTTTGAAATCATTCAATGAAAAGTAAAGATAGTTAGAGCTTGAAAATGGTCTAATGGCGATACGAGCGGCATCGTCAGCAATATTGCTGTCTTTAGCGTAGTCTTCAAGAAAATCCCTTATGAGTTGAAAATTCGCTGTTCCAATTGATCCCGACTCATCGACGACGAAAACTATATCGAGCGCTTTTGTCAAGCATTCATTTTCTGTGATTTGATCGAGCTCCTCTGTCGCATTCTTGAACCCGTCGACAGTATGATGAGTGATATTCTCGTAAATAACGGCTTGTGCATCGATAGAGTAGGGTATAGGAAATTCGTTGAGATGCTCCAAGTAAAGAAAGAGCGCTAGCATGGAATATGTCGGGACGGTCATCTCGTCGTACTCAAGTTGATCCCAGTCGACATTGAATTTGGTTGAAACTGTACTTTTGAGTGAAACTGTCTTTGTAGTGTTGAATTGGGCTTCGTCGATTGACCAGATTTGCTGGACATGATGATGCTGGACAATACCTAAATCAATTGTTTAGAAGCAATGATGATTATTTTTTCACCGAAATTAGTTTCAGCGTAAGCATATCGAAGGAAAAAATCCCGATCCTCGTATTTGTTATTCCAAGTTGAAATTTCGCTCCAAACTTTTCCATAAGTTGCTCGAGTCACATCCTCACCAGTAGATCCTGGGGTCATCGTTAGATCTTTGACCCCTGATGAGCATTGTTGAGCTCCGACAAGCACACCAGCCAGTATGACGAGGATCTTAAAGAAGTTACTATATTTATAAAATAGGTCTCTTTTTATACCTTCATCGTGCTGGATATCAGGAGAAAGTGATTTTTATTTTTTTATTCGGCTTTATATACAGAGATGTAAAACCGATGACAAATATTACAAAATTGACTATGGCGCCTGCATAATTTTATGAGTACTAGACTGTCTTAGGAATAATAAACCAAAAGCCCTCAAGATTTGATAGGGGAATTTACTCACAGAAGGTGTCGAGTTGGAGACAGACGTAGGGGTGTCCTTGTCCTACGCAGCGGAAAGGTCAGCACTCATCTCAAATTGGAGTATGAAAATTTTTATAGCTTAGAAGAGCTTTCCCACAGTATCATGCATAAAAATTTTCGGGGAAATGGGGAAACAATGAATTTTCATCTTGTCCTGCTTATTCAGTAGCTGCCTAAAAGAGACCTAAATACTGCACGAAGATTGCAAAATTATTGTAGGATCATAGGAACGACTTTATTGAATAAGGACGGCAATAAATTAAAATCACTTGAAACGCGGTCTTGGTCGCAACAGCAATGTACTTTATTTTATTTGAAATCCGGTAGATCATTTCCTGACAAGTACTCCTATCTTCTGATCTAACTCTTGCACAACAATGTTGTGGCAACAGGGAAGATTTTCTAAATGAAGTGTAATGTTGAATAGCCAAATTTTATTTGTAGCCACTTAGACATGACCTTGTGGGAGCTACGCCTAGTACTCATGTTAACATTCTACATTTCAAAATTGATAAAAATAGAGCTTTCGCCCGCGTCGATCGAATTCTGCGGACACTTGTCCGACCCACGAAATCATTAAGTATTTGTTTGGTGCTTACACGGTCAGGTTCGTTTGAATTCGCTACTGCTTATCACGAATTAGATGAACATTTTATGTCGGAACCAACATCGAAATCAAGGAAGAGAACTGCTTCTGAGAGACAAAGTTCTAGAAATTTTTATTTCTCATTTCAGTAAGAATATTTTTTCATAAAAATCGCGCTTGTAGTAAACTTGTGAAATTATTCAAATTCTGAGTGGTCGTCGTCAAACTTGGAATAACAAAAAATGCAAAATTTCCAATATTCGTCGGAATTTCTGTCCACGCGCGCCTGTTCTTGCGGCTAACCCCAAAAATCTAACAATCTTATCAGAAAGCTGCTTGTACGCCCGGTACGATTTTTCTTTCTTGCTTAGCTTGTTAAATCCTGTCAAATACTATTTTTACATCATGTCAGATAAGCGTATCGGAGGCGATATGGGAAGGAGGAAAACGATTTTTGTATTATTTAAACAGCGCTGATTTTTGCTTTTCTGGCCAGTTCTTTTTCGAGTTTGAAATTATACATTTGCCAAAAGGGAATTCAACGGAGTACCATTATTTTGATCGGATGTTCAGGACAGCTTATACGCTCGAAAACATTTCTGGGCGTTCCAAGTCGGAAACGCACTTCGCTGACGTTCATAAATAAGCACATACTTTTTCCTTCAATCCCTCTAATCGGACAACTCCAAAATAAACAGTTAGCTGTTCGCTTGAAATGATCCCAAGTACAGTATCGAAACTGCGAGCTTTCATTATTGAAAACCCGGGATTCCAGCTGCTTGTTCTGTTTAACACGAGCTTGTGCAAAATATTTTGACCACAAAGGGTAGTTTGATAAAAGTACTGCTCGGCGTGATAATTTTATAATTGACGTGGCAATTATAAACTGCTTTGAACAGTAATGGTTGGGTGGTAAATCAGCAGTGGTCAAAGGGCCTTTTTACTTCGCCTTCTCATTCTTTTGCTATGAAAATTTAATTTAATACTGAGAATATCCCAAAATGACCAGTATTTCGTTAGAAAAAAAACAACGAATCTCTTTTCGGCCATCTGAAAACCAACGATCCGTTAGGATTCAAGAGATTCAGGAGAGCAAGAAGGTCGTCACGTTCGCAAAACTATAAGTAAATAATTCTTTGGACGCAAGAATCGGATATCTTCTTATTCCGCATGAAAAGCAAGATTACTTGCTTTTTCTTTTGGACTTATCGTTTTTCGATATAATTCTTGTGATAAGCAATTAAAAATCGTTTAGGAAGCAAAAGATCATTTTAAAAGATCAGCAGATATTTTAACTATTCAAAAAGTCCACGTTCTAAAAAAGGATCTTCCGGTGATTGTCAGAACCCGACGGATGATCTTCTTCGTCCCGGGCTAAATGGCTTCCTTGATCAAAATATTTAACCTATTAACATGACGTTGATAAGAAAACGTCGGAAACCAGCTGCCATTCACTGTTTTCTTTCGTTTTTCTTTTCATTTTTTTCTTTTGGAAAAGTAATCTTCGCGGTATATGATGTTTTGGCCAGTAACGCGCTTTGAACCTGTAAGCCGATTTTAAGCGCGATTAGAGATGAAAAGATTATTGATATCAAACGGCGTTTTCTAAACAAGGACACGACAGACTGTTCAAGTTTCAAGTGACGAGGAGACAAACTCTGTCAAACAGATCTTCCTCTTCTACCTAAGTACTACAAGCAACTGATAGAAGATAGCACAGTGCATGCTTCTGAAAGCTACTGTATCTAAGATACATGTATATATATTGGGCAAACTTTCAAGCTTGTTAGCGGTCGACCTCGATCAGTTTACTGTAATCAGTAGATCGTTCAAAATTCGCGGAAGATATTCATTTCTTTAAAATGATTATACTCACCGTTTTGGATCGCTTTCTTAGCGTGACTTTTCGAAGAATGAAAACTGTAGCGAGTTATTTAGACCCCGAACAAAAACCATACCTGAGATGTCTTCAATTATCATTTTAAACCGCTGCCCTTCAATCGTTGGAATTCCACGCTAGAATTGAATAATTCTATTTCAAATTATGAATTTGTAATTTTTTTTCTTTTTCTCACGTAACTTGACATCACTTCTCGTTAAAAAAAGGGCTCCATTACCATAAATTATCACTCACTCTCGCTCAAAAAAAAACACAGCTTTTGCTCCTTTGAAATCAATCTCAATCGCTACTGAGAAACTTCGCAAGGGCTGAAATGAAAACGTGAGAGAAAAATTTCGAGTTCTATGATCGATTCTTGCTTTTGGTCCTTTTCTCATGGAAATTTTGCTGTATCTCTTTTCGTGATCACAGAAATTCCAAAATTCCAAAGCCTAATTGATCGTTCGGGGGGAACTGAGGTCTAAGCTCTAGAAATGGCATAAACTAACACTGCAAAGTCAAGATTCAGAAGTGACTACCAGTAGTCAAAGAACCCGAAATGGCATGTGCTCATTTTCATGTTTTCCGTGTTTTCCGTACACATCAGTAACGATAAATTTATTCAATAAATCAATCAGAAAAATTTGAAATATGATCTTGGACGCGTCTAAATTTAAACTCGATTATATTAGATACTCCTTACTTTCCACTTTCACTGGAATATTTATGTCCCAAGCAGTCCTCCCTTCCTCTCCAGTCCAGTCTAAGTTCTTATACACAAAAACTACCGAAGAAAAATACAACTTTTTCTTGTTCCTGTTATTTTGAACTAAAACGAAGTGTTTTTCAAATGAAGATCCTGAAGTTTGATAACAAGCCCTTTAATTTCTCTTACAGATATTTTGCTGACAAACATTTGTGAGAATTAAATTATTGATTTCTTTATTTGAAATCAAGATTCTTCGGCATCGCATTTTTCTGAGAGAAAAACTATTTGCCCGCCGAGTTACGGTCTAATACGATGAATTGAGCAGCGATCTTCAACCTCGAGGTCTATTTGCTTTTTCAGGCTAATCTGCGCAATCTTCTGGGGCCACTTGGAATCGAGTCTCTTCAAGTCGAGCTCTTTTCGATGAAGCCACCGCAAGACGTGATGAGTCCTCCACGTTCAAAATAAAGTTTTAATCCAGTTTATCCTCGCTTCTGTTTTTAGGTTATTTTTTCTCGCAAACAATATAAATTTAATATATATATATACCTTTAGTCTTTAATTGATATAAAATGTATGACATATCTGAATATTTCACTTAAGAGGTTAGAAGAAAAAATGCAACGATCGTAAAAACTCAGAAAATAGCTAGTCACCAAAGTGAACAAGAAAAAGTCAATTGTAAAAAAATTGATTTATACGCGCTCTTACTACTTACATTACTTTTTATTATTATTTGCGCATCAAAGGCTTTGATTCAAAGCAAAAGAAGAGAATTTTCACATTCCGTTAAAGAGATTTCAAAGATACTTTTCTACAGCGAGAAATGTCAAAACTTTGTGAGAAAATACCCGCTCCAAACTTCAAACCATTTGATAGAAGTGGACGCACGAAAGATGCTACTGAAATTATCAGCTCAAATGATAGCTTAGCCTCTACGGAACCCATTTCGGTTGGATCCTATTTTATTCTACCACATGAGGGTCTTGAATCTTTACAAGAAAGGAAGACTATCCAAGACACAAATAAAGAAATTGCCGAAGAAATTAATCAGAAAGAAATAACGAATTTCAATGATAAAATGCATTCCCAAGACAGTGGCAACTTCGATCAAACAGGTGAAATGTCTACCAAAAAACGTGAAGATGAAAAGAACGGAAAATGCGTGATTCTGTGATCATAAAAAATAAATAATTTTGAAGCACATCGTAAAGAATCAAAGTTCTAAAAGAATCTATTTATTAAAAAATCCACTTTAATTCAGCATGAATCGTAGTAAAAACAAGCTGGAAGTGAGTGGTAGCGCAGCTGAAAGCATTTCATTGTTGCAGCGATCTCCTTGACTTGCTAAAACGAAAACTTAGCAAACAAAGACATTTTACCGTTCTCGTTACTTGTGTTACAGCAAGAAACAGTGCCCGGCGGAGCAAGAGTTGTTCCGGGATCACAAATGTTTTGCTCCTCGCAGCCGCGCTTAAAAAAATATACAAATTCGAAAACTGTGTAACAAGTTCTGGCTTCTATTGTAGAAGACTTACAAAAACCACATTCGTTTCGTTAACATTCGGCTGTCGAATAGTCACGCAAAGAACCGAGGTATCTTCTCAAAGGGCTTTTCTGTTGTTTTGTGGAATTGCTTAGTAAAAAGCAATTTTTAGCAAATTGCACGAGTAATTGGCAATAATTCCGAAATTAGTACTGAGTTGCAGAGCCTTGACTGAACAGGTTTCGGTTGCCCGCCGATCGCATGAAGAACCAGGTGTGGTCTCGTTACAGCTTTATCCTTGTTTTCAACACAGTTTTAAATTTGGCGAAACTACGCTTTGCCGCGAAAAAGAAATCTTTATCAGCTTAGGTGTATTTAAAAATATCCTGAAACAAACTTGCCCAAAAGCCGTCGCCAGCAAAACTCCTAGAATTTTCATACTCTCGATTTTTTGCGAATTTGAAGCAAAAGATAGATATCAGAGAGAAAGAGAGACAGAAAGAGAGCGAAATGACAAAAGCTGGGTTTAAATTTATTTGAATTTGATTAACTTTTGTTTGAGAAATTCCCAGACTTTCAGAAAGTCAAGCTTTTTCTTTCCTACTGAATGCAACCTCAATTATGAATTTCTTCAAAGAGTTGCTGCTTCCGCAAAATTGCGACCGCAGTTCTGAGTTCATAACTGGCGGTTTCCCCAAAGAAAAAAACAAATCCCTTACGTAAAATTTTCCGCTTTTTTTCTAAATCACAGTGTGGCAGGTGGGCTGACCGCTATTCCATAAAATGCGACTCTAGCTTACCAAAACGGGCATCGCTCGTGGCCGCAATTGCGAGGCATATTACGGTCTACAACACGTGAAGGTTTTTACGTGTCTACCGATTTCGCCTAGAAAAGTTCTCCATAAATAACCTTTTTTGCGAAAACTGAGATTCTTGGAATTAGAAAAGGTGAGCAGTTTCAAGAATGTAAAAGCAAAATGACCAGCTAGGTGTATTTTTGGAAGTTGTGCAAAAGCCGTGATGACTTTCGCCTGTCAAGAGGGATATTTCGCGACGTTTACTTTTTGGTTTATCGCCTCTCACTTTCAAGAGGAAGCGTACTTGCTTCTCAAAACCTTTTCCCGTGCAAGACAAACAGCAGCCGGCCTTCAAGACGAGACTCTTACGACATTTTTGCGATTAGAACGATTAAAATCTTTTTGAAAAGTGAAAACGTGAAAAACACGGATTCTGATAGGCTGAGTACATTTAGAACAGCGCCACCTTCTGTGTCTGATATTTTCGATTCTTAGTGGTCGTTTGAAATGCCCTTCCTAGAGTTAAACCGCGAAATGAAAGAAATAATATAGTCTTCAGATATACGGGAAGAAGCAAAAGTCTTGTTAAAAGGCCATCCCATTGGTCATCTTGTCTTAAGGGACCCCTGGAAGCAGCGCCGAGCTCAACTTCACGCGCTCACGGTTCTTGTTCGGATAAAGATTTTTACAAGTTTCCTTTTGCAAATCGTATCTGCAATTCATCAGCTTTCTTTTCCAATTTTCAGTTTTTCCCTATCATAAGAAATCAATGAGATAGGGAGAGAAAGAGAAATTAAACTTCAAATGGCATCAAGTCTCGTTATTTTTATCTTATTTTCATGAAACCTGCACCATTGAAAAGCCCATTAAATTCTGCACAGATCTTACCTAATCCGCAAAGCTCAAAGTTAACAAATCGCCCAGGAAGCGCTGATTAAAAGAGGAACTTAGCGCGCTCAGCTCGGTTGGACGCTCCGATGCAGCTATTTTGGGCTCCCGGGACATGATTCCCGCTGGGCGCGCGCTAAGGTATCTTATTTATTTGACCTTTATCGTAATTAGGAACTGTTTCCCTTTGCGGATTAGGTAAGATCTGTGCAGAATTTAATGGGCTTTTCAATGGTGCAGGTTTCATGAAAATAAGATAAAAATAACGAGACTTGATGCCATTTGAAGTTTAATTTCTCTTTCTCTCCCTATCTCATTGATTTCTTATGATAGGGAAAAACTGAAAATTGGAAAAGAAAGCTGATGAATTGCAGATACGATTTGCAAAAGGAAACTTGTAAAAATCTTTATCCGAACAAGAACCGTGAGCGCGTGAAGTTGAGCTCGGCGCTGCTTCCAGGGGTCCCTTAAACAAAGTACAAAGTAAACTCAGAGACTCTCGACACGGTTTCTGGTTCTTTTTTTATCCTATTCTTGGGAACGTAGACCTATGATTTATTCAGTACAAAAATTTGAATTCCATCGAACACACGAAAAATTACGTACCGCGAGTAACTTGATCATTCAACTGGAAAATCGAATGGGATTGGAACTGGCAGGCCAAAATCACACGTGTCGGAGGCACTGAGGTTGATTTTACGAATTTTCACTACACTCGATTTTACAATTTGCAAAGAGCAAATTGGAGGCCCCAATCTTTCCTACTAGACTAGGTACCAAAAAGGCAACACGAATGCAATTATGTTCTGGCGGTTGATGGGTCGTTTGAATGATTCGTTTTTTTCATGGATCTTTTTTTTTTCTTTGAAAGAGAAGGAAAAAAAATTCGTTTAATTGAATCCCGCGCATGAAGCGCTTAGACGAAATTTAAACTGAACGAACGCTTCTCGGAGAAAATCAAATTCATATTCGTCGTTTTCTGTCGAGTCACCGATTTCGGAAATGTTTTCACCAAAAGCGGATATCTAAAAGGAAAGATTTAAGAAACCCGAGGCGTATCTAGAACACCTGTCTCAGCGGGGTATAATCAGATTGACAGCTTGAATTCAATTTCTACTCGAGCTTGAGTTTTGAAGCTTTCTTTTCGGAATTTCGGACCCGGAAATTCGGAAGCTCCAAAAAAGTGGACTTTACAAAGAGTCAACAGGATGTACTTAAATTTCTCCCTCTTGATTTTGTATTCGCTTCGCATTCTCGCTCCAACTCAGAGTAGAATTCCGTAAACGACTGTAATTCGCACTGTTTTCCTGCAATTTTCGGAATCGTAAGAAAAGTGCGAGTGTTCAGAGAGCAAGCGCGAGTAGGAAAGCTTGATTACCGCTTCGGCTGATCCTGAAAGACGAAGAAAAACAAGATTGGGAATGGCGAGTAAACAACGTTGTTTCAAAACGACTCTGTCTCGAGCTTTCAAAGATCCTGTGCCGCTAGATAAGCCGACCGCTTGATGATGCGTTTTTCCGAGCAAGAGACTTTCTAGCTTTACTGCTATCAGACGTTTTCTTTTTCAGAAGATTGGCACCTCACTTTGTTGAGACAAATTTAAGCAAGCCAAGAAGTGCCAGTTCGTTCGCAGCTCGTTTCTAGTGCAGTAGAGGTGGAGTCGCACCAAGGAGCTAATCGACTTGTTCATCAATCCCGAAACTGCCCTGGGCAAGTCCGAAATTCTTCACCTTAATGAAGTCCTTCCCAAGAGCCTCGTGTTTTTAGGTTTAACTTGTTGTACATTGGACGAAGCGATACTACTTGAATTCTTACTTGTATTCCTGAAATTGCATACGACGCACCCATGCTTGGGCAAATAAAAGCTCAGCTATAGAAAAATCTGAAATCCCCCTAAACGAAAGCCCTTTTCCAAGAGCTCGTGTGTTCAGGTTTAATTTGACGGTTTGTTTACTTAAAACCACTCAATTTTTAAGTAATTTGCGAAGATCGCAGGAACCCAGATTTGCATTGAACGGAATGTTTATCATTAGACAAAGTACGAGTCGACTGTATCTGATCAAAATTAGCATACTTTTATGACTTGAGGATTTCTCAAACAAGATCAGCAAAAACAGAATAACGTGAAAACTAGAAGCATGGTGTCTTCTCATTAATCTTGAGTAGACTTAGTTGTTAATCAGTTCGGGGTTTATTGACGGTGAAACCGGTATCGCTTTTCGTTCTTTCATTTGAAATTGGACAGTTTAGAACACCTCATCGTATTTTGCCACAAGCGTTCAAAGTATGTTTTACACAACTGAAAAGTATTTTTGGAACCAAATCCAATTTTTGAAATTGTTAAATGTTCAAATTAGCATTTTCAGCATTCAATATAATTAAAGAAATTTTAATTTAGACAAAAAAAAAACAAAGATTTTCCATGATGGATGGTCTTGCTTCTGGCATTCTATCATTGAAACACGGACAGTGAAGCAATTCCAAATATCACGTGGTTTTATTATTGTGTAGTAAGAGATGGCTGACGATTCCTCAACAACAGTCAGTGAGAGCACCCTGGGTGATTGGAGAGCAATAGATTTGAACGAATATGATGCAAAGCAAAACGAAAACCCAACACAGAGTCAAATCAATCGGGCAAATGCTCGAATCTATGAACTAGAAAAGGTTGTTTACCCTCTTCGGCATGGTTTCAATCAACAGACGGAGCAAATTCGAAATCTGAAAATCGAGAACCAGCAACTAAAATCGGAAATAAACGAACTAACTAAATCATTACAGTCTATGAATGTATGTAAGAACCTGTTATATTTTTTCATGAGTTTTCAAGGCCGGACCCTCTAAAAGAAACATAAGAATTGAAAGAAAGAAGCCAGAGATACTGAAGAAGCGTCCAGCACCAGAAGTTCCCAAGCGCCCTAAACCAGAAATTCCAAAACGTCCGAAACTCCGTGTACCCGAAATTCCAGAAACCCAAAAACTAACTGCACATCCATCCAAAAATTTAATCCGATCACAGTCAAGCATTGGTGCTCTTCTGCACAAAGAAGAGCTAAAGAAGAATATAGAAAGATTTCAGAAAGGTGGCAACATAAGAGAAACTGGTAATGATTTTTATCAAATATAATTTAACAACTAGAAAATAGCTCCGAAAGAAGAAATTGTTCGCAGCACTTCTTCATTCCGTTCAGCGCGAACCTTCTGGGAAGAAAATCAGAAGAAGTAGAAGATATAAATTTGACTATTGCCACGAATATTACAATAAATCCGAAAAGTCGTAAGCCGAAGATTCCCAAGTGCGGAAAATTCCGCCTTTAAAAAGTATGCGCATCAAAATTCAAAGTTGTACCTCAGGAAGCAATAAAGGAGCAACTCGAAACTTTTGTCAGCAGAAATGCACAAAACAAGCAGGTGCAGTATGTAATGCAAGGTTTAGAAAATCAACAAATTATAATTCTCTGCTGTAAGTCAAGTACGGTTCTTTCGAACAAGAACGTGATTGATTCTAGTGCAGATGCGGCGTGTGAAACAATTTTCTTGTCATTGGCTTCCGAAGAATGACTCGCTACCCCACCATCATTTAGTTGATCAGACAATTAGTGTCTCTCTGAAAAAAAGATGCATTATTTCAATCATACTCTGAAATGACTTGAACGCGGAATTCCGAGTTCAGAAGAAAAGGAGCACATTTGTAACTTTGTACCCCTTCTTTTGCCCTGTTTAGCCGATTTGAGCTTTTTCCCGTTTTACCAACCGGTTGTGTAATTCAACAAGCAAGTGCTTATTGCAATGATCCGCCAAAAATATGTTCAAGTGTTGAGCGACGTGGTTCAAGTGCAAAGTTTCAGAGAAAGTCGACTTTCGAACGACTACTCTGTTCGTCAATTATCTGACACTCCTTCTTATCCAGGCCAGATGGGTTTTCATGAACACTTTTGTCATTTTATTAATATTTCAACGAAGTTGAAGACCTTTAACTCGACAAATAAGACATCAAAAAAGCTGATTTTTTTATTTTTTTTCACGTATAATCAAATTAAATTCCCCTTTTTTCTTTCTTCATCACGTGTGAAGACGCCTTAAAACTCTGAGTCTCTCTAAATCCAACTGCGGTCACTAACTCCGAGTCCAATCCAAATTGCGACCGAAACTTCTGTCGCTGGGCGCAAAATCAAATATCACGCTACGTAATGATTCCCGATCTTAACATGGGCAAGATATGTTCTGAATTTCACACATGGGATTAACGAATATCCGGGCCGGATAATCCGGCTTTTTGAAATCCTTCTTTTGAATATTTTTTCAGAGCTAGTCCACTGCCGCTGAATTTATCAGACTCTTCGATTTAGATTAGTATGGTATCTAAGTTGGTGTAGAATCAAATAGTTCCATCTAAACCAGATTAATAACGCCTCAATTACGGATGGGTTGGAAAATAATCGTAATTAATACCGGTGAAACAATGTTAATTCCTCGAAATGTCAAGTGCGTTGTTCGTACAGTCGCTTTCTGGTAAAACTGTATTCCAGCTTTTGAAACACTTGTTTAATCAAGTTTTGCGTAATTTATGCACAACCCGCGTCCAGTTTCTATCAGCTGCTGCATAAATGTAAATGGATCAAAAGCTTTTTAGAATATTTCGATTTCCGAGAATGCTTTGTTTGTTAAAATAAAACATCTATTAATTCATGTCGAGTGCATTTGGAAACGAAGTAGCTCACGATAATTGCTTTACAAAATTATCCGTAAACAGTGTAGTTCTAAATCTTCAAACGACAAGTGTTACATACTTAAATATTTTTGGCTTAAACTCATTAATTAATAATATTTACCAGAGCTTAGCAGTGTTAAATCAATCAAGTTAAACAGAAGGTAATTATTCCCTAATGTGTTTATCTACCAATCAATCAAGCTTGCCGCTGGGAAGAAATTAATTGAAAATTCTTGAATACAAATCACCAGTACTACAGTTTAGCCGTGGGGGGGGAGTAATATTCTTGAGACGTAAGAAACATGTGCCGCGGTGAGTTAAACTTGGTATTGATCTTGACGACCACAGGATCAGCCGAAATGTCACACGGAGATGTCAGCGTTGATGTTTCTGCACATCATTTATCGTTCATTTCATTCAATTAGTGGCTTTATAAAATTTGTAGTGTTGAATAATATTAACCTTTTTTGACACCAGCTTCTCGTGAATAGGTTCAAGTGAGTGACAAAGTACTACAGAGCATCGTGTTTTCTGAGAGCTTGTTATTCAGAATACTCGCCTCGGTTGGGGTATTTTATCACGTGACAACGCGGCACGAATTGTCTCAAGAATTGCGAAAACCCTTGTAAGTCGTGTTTTTTTGTCCACCTTTTTCAGAAGAATTCAGCGCTGATTTGAAGTAAACACGCATTCTTTAACCTAAGTAAGCATCACTCAAAACTTGATGATAACAAATAAGCAGCAACTTTGGACTCCTTCGAGGCGAAAGTGTTTCACGGAACGCTTCTCGCGCCCAAGTTTTCTGTTGCGGCTTATCCTTGGCTTTCTCGTGTTTCAGCTGAGCGGATTTAAGCGGCGCCGAGAGCCCCTCCTTTTTGCATTTTGCATTTTCGCTTCTTTTGGGTTGAGTTGTTACTCTCCCTTCTTCTTTAGATTCAAGTTAGCTTGAGTGCCGCTATTATTACGCGCTTGAATAATGTTGTATTTAGAAATTCGACAATTTATTTTTGTCATCAACTTATTATTCCTAAAAATCACTCTGTTGAGTTACCTACGTTTTCAAGATCCTTGCAATTGATAAGCTATCGACATCCTCAAAACAGCATCTAAAACTGGACTTAGTAAAATCTCAAGCACCAACAGCGATTGTCAAGAAAAAGATCAAAAGTACCACGTGCAGAGAAGAGCCTCTTTAGCTTCGACTAGAAAAAAACCGCATGCCGGTACTTGGTTCAAGAGACCTGTGTGTCCACAACTAACCCAGCTTGACCTCATACTTCTTTGATAAAATAAAAGGGCCGGCAATATATTTTTTTCTTTATTAAAAATGCTTCACTTTATCTTTTGTCTGAAGACTCTGCTCGGAACAAGATGAGTTACATCACCTTTTTACAAACCAATTTGCATAAGTTGGTGAAGCTCCCACTTCGCACAGACCGACGAACACCGCCGCGAAAGTTATCGACCACACCCTTCATTTTTGCGCAAATTTTTCACGTGGAAATGAACTCAATTTTTGGAAAGTCTTCTGAGAATCTTCGATCCCATCATTCACTTCTCAAGGATAAGAAAGCATCTTTTTATAGTTCTGTAAGTAGAGGACTATTGCTGGATTAAGGGAACATGGACGAGGGTGCCTTTAGCCCTGCTCTGTTTGGTCTGAGAGGTGCTTACTGAAAACATCGTGAACCTCAACAGTAGCGATTACGGGAAGATTTAGCGACGGAGCGAGGTCGAATTAAAGACCGCTATTAGCTGGGCTAAATGATCAACCAAGGAACACATAACTGCCCCTAGAATCGAAGAGCGAAAATTGCAGACGACTTTTGGATTCGATGATTTTTCATTTAAAAAAAAAATACATCGAACTCAGATTAATTCGGAACTCGTGATCAGCCTTTGCATGAAAACACTTTTCGCTCAGCTCTGTTTTCAAAACATATTTACATTGAAAACAGAAAGGCTGCGACCCTGAATACACGTCAGTTCTTCATCAGATCTCGTAACTTCAGGAGAATGAACTTTTTAAGAAGAAAAGAATTTAGCTAAATCGATAATTTTGAACCCACAATAACGATATCTGGTCACATTCAAGTGGAGAGACTTTTGGTGAGACATTTTTGAGAAGTGAACTGGATTGTCTCATTCTCCGCGGCCGCTAGAATTAGAATTGTGCTCGTGCAAAGGGTCGGTTAGCGGTTTCCCACGCACTCGAACTTGAGAGACACTACTCCAATTGTTTCAAGCCCACTCACTTTCGTCGTTTCCATCTACTATTGCTTTGCATAACCTCTCAAATTATGACACAGTTGCCAGCATAATGCGAAGCGCTAATTATAAATTCTAGCGTTTGCGCCTCTAACCCGTCGCTGCATGACATAACCTTTTGGAGCCTAGTTTCAGTTGTGCAAATAATGTCTCACTTTTCTCGTCGCACCTGATGAAAAGGGATGAGATTAGTCGCCGCCGCGCTGATTTGAGCTTCTAACCCGCACACTCGAAATTGGCTTAACTTATAATGATCGAGTCCATCCGTGTTGCGAGTAGCGGCTGAGCAAGCACGTCATGGGAGTTAACCTCTTCGGGGAAAAAGGTCGAAAATTATCACTTTCTAGTGAGCCCTCGTAATTGTTTGAAAACATGGATCGGTCTGGAGTACGGGGAACCCAGATCGGTCATTGTAAATAATTGAATAACAATTAGTTCTTTTCTTGTTGGTTTTGGAAACATTCTAAATGCGGATGCTTCAATCGAATAATATTGAAAGAAATAAAATTGCGACAAAACGTCGCAAAAATGCCAAATTTGTAGCAATGAAAATTTTCAAATCTCATTTTGAAACGATGCAAATGAGCATCTGAACAAATCATCTATGATTCCTGATTTGGAGATTTGAAAAATCGTCATCGTTGCAAATGTTCATTTTAGGATAAGCATGGAAGTTTGAAGACGACACAAGAAAACTTCGCGCGAATCGTTTAATGGATGGCAAAGGCGAATTTGTTATGCAACGAGACTTTAACAAAGAACTTGTTGTAAAAGTAACCATACTTTTTCTCTTGAATTTTTGATTTCAAGCTCACTATCAAACACAAAGGTCATCGATTTGCTCAGATTAGAATCGAAAGCAACGAATTACCGTAACAAACTCATTAAAAGGATGTCCACTCTACTTGCACCGGGGCAGTAGGACCTCTCTAAGTTCGCATTTTCAGGTCGTTTAACGTTTAAGGGTGTCATCGCTTAAAAATCGGGACACAACGGTCACAAAAGCTCTCGAGAAACGTTTTAAAAATTTTATCTCAAGTGTCCCGTTCTATTTATATAAACATCGCTACCAAGGGAGACGCTTTAATCTAGCTTCAGATACTGTTAAATGACCAGTTACTGTGTCAATTCTCCAAAAAATACGTGTTGATTTTCAATATGGATCGTTTTCTGAAACAGCCAGTTTGGCGGTCGCCGGTTGAGTAAAAACAGTAATTTGCAAAACGCAAGCTTGGAGCACGTGAAGGCCCAAGTTGAAGATTCGTCAGAAATTATACGCTTAGCTATCTTTTGCGCACGGCGGCTATCTTAGAGCGCAGAAAAGTAGGACTTATCTGATACCGGAAGGAGAGCTCAATTTTACTATCACGGGAGAGAGAAACTTATGTTACGAGCATTTAGTTTATCAATTAAAAGTCGGCGACAAGCACGCGTCATTATTTTGTCGAAAACAAACAGACTTGAATTGGTATTGAAGTATACTTTTCTACCATTTTAACTGCTGAAAAGTAACTTATAATCGGATTATTATAATCGAGTGTTTCTTTTTGTGCACTTGCCATCTTTGTATTCTCAACAGAAAGGTCTAGTGGAACTATGAGAGGAGCACGTTGTGTATTGATGAGGCAGAAATGTTGAGCCGTGAAGGAATGAACTCTTGCCCCGCACAACAAATATCGATCCAGCTCCAAAAGACTCCTTGCTCGGAATTTCGATCACAACAAACCTTCGTCAATTTAGAAGAACTCCAGCAAATGAACTTTCAAATTTGAAATTTCGCAAAATTCAACGAAAAAGGGGGTATTTAATCAGACTCAATTTTAGTTCAAGGTCTTGGCTTTGAATACAAAGCTCTAAAAAGCCAATCTAATCGGTGCATAAGAGGATGATTATTAATCCGGTTTAGAAAGAAGACGACATTAGTCTTGAAAAAGCTTTGCCTCCGCCGCAATCCATTTTGCTAGCTGGCAGAAAGTACAGTGTGAGCTGTGTGCTGGGACTAATCTCGTCGAATTTGTTCAGAATTCTCCACCCAAAGCACTTTACCAGCGGTAGCCCGGCGGGTTACGGCCAGCGAGGTCCCTCTCTCGTGATTGCTCGCCCTCGCTCCTTTGCTCCACCTAGCCAGTAACCCAAGATCGATCAAATGGATGAAGCTTTTTGTAAAATGTAAATTTAAGCCTTACCCGAGGCTAAACGAAAAGTTGACCGTAACCCCTGTCCTGGCCAAGCTGGCTCAGCTTGACTCTTCCTTCTCATTAGCGTATTTTGGTGATTAACATATTTGCAGCATCCATGCCTGGAATGTTACTCCAGCTTATTTTGAGGTATTTGAGCTGTTTTAGAAAGATGACTACAGAAAAAAGACATTTGGCATTTGGACGTAAATACGTACATCTTTCTAGCGGTTTTTGAAACAGTTATTTAGATTTATATCGAAATTATGAAAACCTTGTCACGGAGCGGCTTCCAAAAAAATGGTAATAATAATGATTTGAGACTGGAATCGAACCTAATTATTCATTTTATTACAAATGTGCAATTCAAAAATGAGAATTATGGTTTCTTATTTACGCGAAAGAGGAACAGTAAACATCATTACCATGATTATCATAAAACCTTTCATCAATTTGAAATTGATATTTCCTAGTCTTCCATGGTCTTATCGAATAAAATTCCGACCAGATCATAAAAATTATTTGAGAAAACATCCTCTGCGGCTCCTAATGGTTATTTATATACGATCTGTAAAAAAGATACCGCTCGGAAGAGCTGTGGCCGACTCTTACGAAAGCCTTAGCTCCGCGTCGCAAATTGCTTCTTACGAGGAACAACTTTTCCAACGCGGAAAATTGCCCGTCTCGTTCAACCGCATTATTATTCGTTGTCTTGTGCTTTAAATAAATCCACTTTTATAGCTACTCTAGGATCTACTAGCTGGTCCACCAGCAGCAGCGTGGATGGCGGTGATGCTGGTGGTGGTGCTGCCTCGCGCGCGCCAGCATGCGGCGAGCCCGCGGCGCTTCCCCATCGAAGGTGATGGGGAAAAATTACGTTTTGCTTTTTTTGGTACTTTGAGAGACCTCTGCGAAGAAACTTGTTCGGGCTGAAATTCGCCTGAATAGCTTTTGGGTTCTCTTAACCTAACCTTTCTTTTTTATAACCCAACCGTGGTCAACCACGCTTGAATTCATCACTGATCATTCTCAGTGATCGACCAAGATCTGCAAAAAACTAGAGATCGTCGAAAGAACTCAAGAAGAATTGAAGACTCGCCAATCGAAAGATTACGAGCTCAATAACAGAGAGATTACTAAACACACAAACAGAATTTGAAACATAACACAGAACAGAATCGAAGAAAAGAACCTTCTTGAAAAATGAAGCTCTTTTCGTCAGTACTCATGCTTGCCGCCCTTTTGGACGGCACAAATGCCGGTAAGAATTTTACTTCAACCATTTTTACTCCTTTTTTCAGTTTTTTTTGCCAGAATTTCTTTACGAGAAATCTATTTTTGGACACTCTCAATCAACTGAAAAATAATTTTCAATGTTTGGAGGTCTAAAAATATCTTTTTCGCGAATTCTAAAAAACCGTGGTTTTTCTTTTGTTAACCCTATTAACGTGTTAACAAGAAAACTCTGAGTTATCACTCTCAGTTATGATTTGCAAATCATTAATCACTTTCGGTAGCTGCTATGATTGAAGCCCCCTATTGATCATCCCGCATTTCCGTGTTGCCAACCGCTAGTTCTTTTTCGAAATCAAGGAAGACTACCGAATCTCCCGGTAGCTTCTTGTAATGAAGCCATCCGTCAATACCTGTTAATTGTAAACCAATCACCATGTAAAACAAAGGCCTTTTTCTTACGAAGTTGCAGAACAACTTGTATGGTGCGGTGGCGCCGCGGAGCACGCCATATCTTATGTTCGACCGTCCGTGCGCTTCCCGAAGCAAGGAAGATACCGTAGTTGTCGATTCCTTCCCAAAGGAACCAGAAAGTTCCTGTCTCATTAGAACGCTCTTTCTTCGTCACTTATTACTTCACTCTTGTTTTATGTGCATTATTTTATCGCGTCATTAAAAATACCAAATTTTAAACCTCTTTTGAACGTTTTCTTGCTTGAAAACTGATGTTTAACTTGAAAAACCAACGGTTAAATACAGCATCAAGTCGTCGAATCAAGTTGTTAACCATTAAAACATCAAATCAGATGAAACTCGAGCCGAAATAAGACACGGTAAATGTACCCGTATGTAAAAGAGCTTTTTCATCAAAAGCATCAACGTCTTCATTTCCTCTCCCTTTTTCTTTCAAATTGAGTTTTGACCTTGTTGCAGATAGTTTTCTCACCGCGAAAGAAATGCTAACAAACGTGACTTTCTCTACCATGGCATGGTTATTACCATTTTTGCTCCCCATCATTTCTTTATAAAGCAAAAAAATGTTCCACCACATGATCTATTTGCACAACAACTGCGAGCGCTGGGCTAATGATAGTTTCGATAAGCCGCGGAAAATAACGATAAAAAAAGACGCTCGTTCAACGGGTTTGTTTTCGTTCTGTGGCCAGGGCGCAAGGGTAGGTACTGAAACGCTGTTTTCTCGGTCCTACCGGTCCTTGAACTTCTTGAGGGAATTACAAGCCCCCTCGTGGATTTTGAATTTCTCTGTGGCACCGTTACGGAACAATTATTCAAGACCATCATAATGCAAATTTTAACCCTTTGTGATTACTCTAAAACAGCGAGGTCACGAGGCTGATCCTCGCTCACATTTGATGGCGCCACTTTAAGTACTCGTTTTCCTCTCATGGTTACCGTATTTCCAAAAGCCGACGTGACGGTGATTTAGCCACGCACTTTTCCGGAGCATAATCTAATGCCCGGCCGTGATTTGAAAAGAGGCTCCAGTACCCGCGCATCCATGTGGTGACATTTGAAACAAGTGGATGCGGTTGAACATCCACTTTTTTCGAGGTTTTTGGAGAGAGAATCACGGACTTCGAAATCCAACCTAACCAATGGTCAGTTTTTATCAAGTTGAGTGCTTCTTCGAAAAGTTATTTTTTCCGTGCTTGGATCCGGTGAACATGAGCTTTTAGAATTAAATTAGATCTTTTGATCCGCTGTTCGATCATTTTGTGATCGCGAGCTACAAATTCGATGAGTGTAATTGATTCCCAAATCGGATTCGACAGGAAAGAGATCCTCATCTCGTCATAATTCGCGGATGTGAAAATTTGTTTCGTCGTGTTTCTGTCACTTTGCGGTGTGGGCTTCCACCCGCTTTCCCGCTAAAGGATGATCCAACGGTGGAGAGAAAAGCCAGTTGATATATTTGGCAGTGTTAAAACAGCTCAACTTCATAATTAGAAGAGATGAGAAATGGAGCTTCGAGTACCATTTTAAAGGCCAAACAATAATAATCATGCATACGGGAGGAAAATATACCCAACGTTGGAAAGTTCGCGGAAAGAGAGTAATCTCCTTGATCCTCTTTTCGTTGCCCACTTTACCGAAATTCAACATGGCGACTCTTATGAGCCATTACGGAAAAAACTGGTCTATCGATCTTTGCTGTGGTCTTATTTTGATCATTCTTTGCAGCTTAGAATAGAGTTTTTTTCGAGACAAAGATTGAAATTTTGAAAAAGCTGACCCCAAAACCGCAGAGCGTCAAGCGTCGCCCTGACCAAGAGCGAAGACTAAACGAGCCACATTATGTCCTCGTCTGACATGCGCGGTAATTTTCGAGCTGAAGACAATTTCTCTCCCCTCTCAGCACTTGGCGGATAAGCTGGCCTTATTTCGCAGTGTTACCCTTGAGTCTCTAAGGGTTCGCAACTGGGGACGTGCTAAGGCGCGCGGAAGCTCGTAATGAGAGGCTCGGCGAGAGCTGAATTCTTGTGGAACATTCTTTTGGCGGATTTTCAATCGACTTTCTACTGATCGACTCTTGTCAAACACCCAACATTCTTCGAATCTGAACTTACAGTATCTTCTTATCGGAGTCATTTTTCTCGTTCTAAAAAATTCTTTGTTCCGAAAAGACTTTTAAAGTTGTTATCTCTGAAAATGTTAGCTTCAAGCTTCGGCGTCCGAGCCTTATCTTATTGAAAGGAGCGTTTGTCGACAGTCGCTACAGGCAAAAGAACAGTAACCAGAATCTCGGCTAATAGCTAACAAGGTGATAACTAATCTAAGGCTGAAGTCGAAATCTCGGATTTCTGCCTTAGAAAAAAGCCTCAATAAAACCGGATGGTTTGAAATCCATGACCTTCTCTAATTCCCAGATCGAGTGGCTCGGCACGAAGGATTATGGATAGGCTTTGACAGGAAGAAAATTTGAAGACGTGTTCTTTGGTAAACAATACCAAGCCAAGGCCCTTCTAAATTTCAAACACTTGCCGTCTGGCCCCTGTCAACCCCTTCTTCTTCAGTCGTCTTTTTTCATATTATATCAAGGAGCGCCTGCGGCCCAAAAATTGAGAAACTCAAATTATTGTAATGTGAAGAAGAGGGCGATGAAAACTTTGTTAACAAAGATTTTTTCGAATATTCGATTACTTTGGAATTTCTTTGAAAAATTCTTCAAAAGTTCAAATTTGACAAAGCAAAGAAATCTGGCGGAGATTTGAAGAATTTCTTAGACGCGTCTTTTCTTTTGAATTCTAGTTTCGAGTTAGGAAGAAAAATGGTAATTGAACGATGAATGGAATTAGCCTCCTTTTTGATTCCCTGTTTCGTTTTCCAATTTTTTTCTGATTTCGTATGAACGAAAAATATTGTTAATATCGACTCAAGACATCGGTATTGGTTTTGACAACATGCTCCAAGTCTTGCGACGCTCTATTTTCAAAGCAATTTGGAGATCGCTCACATCATCACCTACCAAAATAGTAAATATGTTGGCGGCTAGATATGGAAACCCCAGCGTTTGAGTATAAACCCAAGCAAGGATTGATGTTATCATTTTGAAATTAGAAGTTTAAACTTGCGAACTTTTCTTTCCGGAAAGTTTTTCAAGCAAATGCCCTACCCAGGCCGGTTTCTGAACAACGAGCAATGCCGACTGTCTCTTGCGATTAGGCCCTGACCCTTTGAGAGTCTAATGACAATCAAATTCAGCCACACCTGGGTAGGGTTTTATCATCCCCTTTTTGTGGTTGAGCAGGTCAGTCAGGGACACGTTTCTCTCTCTTATGCAGAATCTTTTCGCTCAATTCCGAAAAGAATTTCAAATTGACACGCGAAGTGTAAATGTCCTTTGATGAACACCGTCTCTCCCAGCTTCTGTCCAAAAATAGGAGCCAAGCCACACCCAGCTCAGTTCTAAAGCATTGGGACGCATCTCAAGTTTTTTCCCAAGTCTCCTTAGACTACCTTCTCAGCTGCCTAGAAAAATTATCCAAGCGGATTATCCACCCGGGGTATCACCTTCAGGTTGATTGCCATTTTTCCAAGCAAATTGTTTCTCTTCTGAACTCATCAATTACGGCGCGGAAACTCGAGCCAAAATTGTTTCGTTCATTCAGTTCTCAAGACTTCAAGTTCCAAAATTGTAATTTGCAAATTGCAAGAAGAATCAAATTCAAAGTAATCCTTGTTTTTAATCCTTTGTCTTATGGGAAGTGATACTCGTATTTACCTTCTATCCGATCGTGGAAATTTCATTTTTCGCCAAAAGCGGAGGAAATTTGGCGCGTCCGACCGCCCGGATCTCACCGTTATGAGCTTGATCCGTTCTAAAGTGAGAGCTGACGGCCGATTACGCCGTGTTAAATTCGTCCTCGCATTGCGATGAAACCAAATAGCGTCGAATCCGCACAAGAAGATGAGCGAATTGAAAAGCACACGTGAATCGATAAGCCGGGCTTGTGTTCGAAGCATTTAGAAAAAATAGAAAAGGTCTGAACTTTTTAGCCATTTTATAAAAAAAGTTACCCAGCAAAAACTGGACCCAAATGCAAACCGCTGTATCCGGTATAATTCGCCACTTTTATTTTGTGACAGTTTTTCCGTTTCATCGGCAATTTCTGACCGCAGAATCCGTATTTTCAAAACAATGTTTTTTTCTGAAAAAATCTGAAAATTACGGCGGCCGCAGCCATTTTCTTCCGGTAACGAAACGTACCCAAACGCGTTGTTTGACATTTTTTCCTTTCGTCATGAAAACGGATGAACATGGGCATGTTCCGTTGTTTCCGACGGAAGAAAACATCAGCGCTGGTTGCTATTCACAGGCGCTGTCAAAAATTCATCAACGCTGTCAGGATAGAATGCGAAGCGAGTTAGTTGAAAATTAACCGGGATCGCTCTCGGGGAACGAGTCGCTTTTATCATTCAGAAAGCTGTCACCGCGAATGCCAAGTTCGTGGAACTCGCCAAACCTGATCTCAAGATAATCAGCACTGACCTACCGAAATAGTGGCTCTAAAACTCTGCTAAAAATCATCAGATGCTCTAATTATTGAAAATCGATGTAGACATAAGAGCTGTCAGATATTTACAAAGAACCCTCATGTTTTACGTGTTAACTTTTTCCCGCGAAAACGATGACGGCGCGTATTTGGCTGATGTTTTGTTATCTTGTAACACTTGAAAGGTTCGCTGCGGCTTACTGTTAAAGCTGGACCCAGTTTTCTTTTTCGATAGTTAATCGCACCAAATAAACGCTTCTCTCTTGTTCTTTTGAAACTAGTTGCCAAAATGACTTTTGCAACAGAGCACAGGTGCGCTACGAGCTCCATTGACGGGGTAAATCAGACTCTGAGCTTATGATTTCCTCGTCCAAATCTGATGAGCGGCTGATGAGCTCAATAAAGCAAAGTCAAAACAGTTTGTCCGGCCTGCGTTTCATCCAATTACGCGAAAGACAGAGCCCAAACGGTCGCTATACGCCCGAGTCGTACCGCGTGACTGGCGATCTCCTGTCGAGCTTATCAATAGCCGGTACTGATAACATGTAGAGCCCCATAGTAAGCATAGGATAGAAGGAGCGATAAGGAGGTAATGGCCCGGAGAGAGAAAATTGGTGCTCTTGGAATTAATGGATTAGCTCCGCGAATTCAGATTTAGATAACTGTTAGTATAAACCTTGCTCTTTTTTTTCCGAAAAGAGGTTCTGGCAAACAAGATCTACCCTCAACAATCATCGTCTCTCAATCTCATTTTATGTATTTCAGCAAAGAAAAAGTCTAAAATTGCCGGCAAAAAACACCCTCTCGCAATCAGATCTCCGGACAAAGAACCCTGCCAGAAAATGAGAGAAGGAGTACTTGAACATGTGTCCACTGACGACAAATGCAGATGTTCCTCTGGATGGAAAAAGATAAACACAGAAGATGGAAAGAGATGCCATGAGGTAAAGCTTTTTTCGATATGTTCCACTGCATGGGAGGCATCTAAAATGGCAAAAGTTTGGCAGGTTAAGCGACGCCCGGTACTGGATAATTCCGGGCTCCGTGGAAGGTTTATTTGAAGATAACTGGCGGCGGAGCATTTATTTTCACTTTGAGTACGCCCTCGCTATTAAGAACATATACACGGCACCCTTAATGCTTGAGTAGGAATAGCAACAGCACGCCCCGGATTTGCATTTCGTATTGGATTATCTTAACTCGAAGTATATACGGCCCAGCAGCTGACGTATAAAAAATGACATTAGAAAGCGCGTGAGAAACAGAGTGCTCGACCGAAACAGCTGGAAGGATCCAACTTGAGGATACGACAAATCCTAAGCGCTCTCCCAGGAGCCTTTTTTTTGATCAGTTGAAGGATGTAGGATGCTTGCAACTAATGAGCACTTTGCCCTGACTGGTTAATTTTCGTGTTAGAAGTAGTCCCTCCCGGCATAAAAACATGATAATTATGCTTGTAAAAGCGAAAATAATTAGCGACGCGGAGCGTAAATTGGCCCCACTGCAGTTGTGAAAATTTTCATTTTATTCATCAAAATAATCTTCGTATTAATTTGGTCCCTGAAACGTTCAAGTCTTAACCAAGAAACGAGCACTTTCTATCATCGCAATGAAAATTCCCCCGACGTGTATTTGAACTTCCCAAACACCGGCGCAAGAAATTTTCATCAAGAATCTTGGCCTCGTTTTCAAAAACGCGCGGGCCATAATCATCAACGTGGAAAATTTTCATTAATTTTCTCATTCCTGGCGTCCCTTATCGGCGTCGGCCCGCACGAGCGTAAAACAAATTTGCAACTGCGAAAATTTCCTAAGTAACAATTTTCGACGCCCTGGAAATTCTGCGTCTTGGATAAGTGCTTTTCCAAATATTCAGGAAAAAAGAAGATAATGTTTATTAAAATTTCATTTGAAAAGGCAACAGAAATTGGATAGCGAGGGAAATTTTTTTTCAGTAGAAAATAGTTGTGAAGCCAGTGATCTTCGATTTGCAGTGCGGACAAATGTCGTCGTCTTTCAAACAGGGTCAATAAAAACAACTTGAAAAAATATTTTTGATAGAATTGTACCCTGTCCCTGAAATTTTTATCGCGCAAGCGGTGCAAATCGGGTGTCCACAATTGAACACTTTTTGTATGCGATTTTTCATGCAAATCTGGCAGTTTGGCAATTCTGATCGACTCTCTAAAAACAAAATTACACTTTTTTTCTTTTGAGTCAATCGGTATTCTACCGTCAGTTTCCGCATCAAGCATGCTTTCTAGCATGGTTTTTCTGGCTTGAAGTTTTAAAATTTTGTTTTCTTTCTTCAAGCTTTTAATTTTGTTGCGAAGTCGTTGAAGTTTCTTTGCCAAGAGGTAGCTGAAGTCGTTCATTTTAGTTTTTACTTGTTGCTTTTACTGTAAATTCTATCCAAGATCTGATTTCTAAAATGCACCATGGAACGGCAAACAGAAACGATTCTAGAGATAGTTTCATGTCGTCGGTTTTCAACGATAAAACTTGTATAATGGGAAACACGTACACTGCATCCTCAAATTCTAGTGCCTTCACTCAAATAAACCCTCAGCCAGCTGAGCCCCTTATTGTTGGCCCGGTAATGCTCGCGCCACCGCAGCTCGTTGAGCATCGTGTTATTTCTTCGCCGTCATAATCCATTCAATTTTCTAATTCTCAAACCATGCTCTCACCAATTTCGAACCTCCAGCTGGCGAATGCCGGAGGAATGTTGCTCGAAGCGATTTTCAACAAACTCACGAAATTCCAAAGACTAATAAAATTGGTACCCTGAGTTTGATCCATTCTTACCTTTCTTGAATCTTTCGTCGCACTTTTAGGAGACTAAAAATATTAAAAAAAAATGAGTGGGATCCGTATCTACCCATGAGAAACTCTCAAAAGCCCCTCTAAGCAACCTAACTTCCTGAAAATAAAAACCACGTGCAGGTAGCTTTGTGTGTACTTTATATAACAGTGCGGTTGTCCACTGATTTGGTGATCACCACATCGTGTCCGATTTAGAGGCTCGATAAAAAACCAACCCAGCGGGGGATTAGTACGAAAAAGAGCAAAAATCAGTCTCGCAGAAATATTCCTCGCCGTCAAAAATTCCCGTCAAGTTCTAGCAACATCGGCCTTTCTAAAGGGCAAGTCCTACAATTTCTTCCATTCCGGAATGCAAGGAATTCCCAATCGCGGCAGTTGCAATTCTTCTTTTATGACATTTCTGAGCAAGCATTTCCGTGGAAATATTTCACTCGAGATTATTGAAATTATCTTCTTTCTTGCCGAGCAGACAAATAATTTTATCCATTAAGTCAAACACGAAGATTTACAACTCAAAGAAGCTTGTCGTTACTGGCGAGACTTTGGCCGAAGCCCTCCTCGCCCGACAGAATATCGCTGGTGGAGCTACCAAGTGCGCAATGGCGACTGGAGTTGAACAGGCTGTGGATTGCAGCGGCGCTAGAATGGACGGAAAGAAGGCCAAGAAGATTATTGTTCCAGCAAGCACCAAGGTAGATTTTGTCAATTATTTCCCTTCATAGTCAAAAAAGATAGTCAAAAAACTGGTTTCTAGCTCTTATCCTCCAACTCAATTTTAGAATAGCGTACCAAGAATAAGCTCCACGCAAGTATTTTCGTACAATAGAAAAAATACGTACTATTCGGTCCTTGAAGTAACCGCCCTAGCTGGCGCGTTCATTACCTGTCAAAACAGACGACAGAGCTTCGCGATAAAAAAGAAACTCTCTTCTCCACTTACTCGTCATAATTTCTCAAAGTCATGATTTATTTGATGAAAAACTTACAAAAAATATTCAGAAACTTTCTTACGAGTCCAACCATCTTGACGAAATTCACCCACAGTGGCTCGAAGGACTCACCAACTTGGAAAAATTGAACATCAAGTAAGAAAATAATTGTTAGAATTTGATCCATATCAATATTCTAGGAACAACTTTTTGGACAAGATCAGTCCTCAACTTTTCCGAAACAATATCGCTCTTGAAGAGCTCGATCTCTCCCAGAACCAGATCCTCAAGCTCGACAAGTCCGCTATCTTCAAGAAGAACAAGCAACTCAAGGTAAACTGATTCAGCAGAATGTGGATTCATTCAAATGAAAATTTATTTTCGCAAAAATACGAAAATGACGAAGATATTCGTGTCGTTTTGAATACGATAATTAGTGTTTTTGGAACAACCAAAATAATTGGTTGTTTTTGGTTAAACTCGAGCTGATCCCAATTACCCAGCACAGATAATTGCGTTCTAACGATAGTCAAAACTAATCAGTGGACTTTTAATTGAGCAATTAATAATTGCCAATTATTTCAGAATCTGAAATTGAACAACAACCGAATTGTCGACATGAAAATGAAGATTCTCACTGCTCTGCCAAACTTGGAGAACCTCGAGCTCCAGCACAATCGACTCACACGTGTCAATGGAAAGATGCTGAAATACGCAAAGGACTTGAAGACAGTCGATCTTTCTTACAACAACATCAACTCAGTCGCCTCGCAGGCCTTCAGAATGAGCGCAAGCGTAGAGAAAGTGAGCCTTGATCACAACAAAATCACACAAGTCAACAAGGCCGTCTTCTCCAACCTTAAAAATTGCGAAAGAATGTATCTCCAGAACAATAATATTTCAAAACTGAGCAAAGATGCCTTCCGAAACATGCTGAAAGTCAAAGAAATCAATCTCAGTGAAAACAAAATCACAGAAATCGCCTCTGGACAGTTTAAGAGGCTGCCGGAATTACGCATTGTCAACCTAAACGATAACCAAATTGAATTCCTTCCCGTGTCCACATTTGATCATAGCCCCAACCTTATGTTTGTTTACGTCAAAAACAACAAGGTATTTATTCGATAAAAGTTGCTCAGGCATTAATTCATCTTTTTAGATCAGATCTTTCAATCCAGATTTGTTTCAATACGCCATCAACTTGAAGATCTTCATGGCTGACGACAACGTTGTCGAGGAAATCAGCGAAGGCCTTCTTGAAGGAAAAGCAAACTTGAAGACAGTCGGCTTTAGCGGTAACAACATTGAGAAAATCAACAACTTCATCGATGATGTAAGATTTTTAATTTTTGACAAACTTGTTAACTTAAAATTTCTAGGACTCTCTCGCTGTTAAGAACGTTTTCCTCCAAGGAAACGAAATCAGCGAAGTCGATTCCAACTTTTTGAATGCGCAGAGACAGCTCGCCAAGGTCGAAGTTCAGCAAAACCAACTTTCCGAGGAAGACATCGATTTTGTCAGTAACATCATCACAGACGACAGAGAGCTTCAGGAACTTGACCTCCGCGACAACCAATGGGCCTATCCTCAAGTAAGTGCGATTTTTATTCATAAAAATATTCATGGGGACATGCAGCAACGCGTGTTTGAATTTTACCAAAATGTTATTCTGTCCAAAATGCAACCGGCGAGCTAAGAGACCGCAGTATTATAATGTAATGCTACTTGGTACTACAGTCGGAGTCCAAAATAAGGGACACTAAGATAAGGGACTTGTTGGCCAAAAATGCCGAAAATCTGCGGCATGGTTTATATGATTTTAATGCTAAATTGTACCAAAATAAGGGACTTTTTACGAAAATTTTGGAGCAGAAAAAGTCCCTTATTTTGGACTCCGACTGTACGTACTGACGCGAGGCTAGAAATGCTGCCTGCCGTATAGAACGCGTTCCTGCCGAGATAAAACTGTTTGAGCTGGCGGTCAGATTGGCCCACCGCGAAACTTGCACAGCCCGAACCTGCGTCAGAATATTGTACATGATCACAAGGACTTCTATCGTACCGAGTCTACTCAAGATAGTGTTCAAAGAAGCCAAATTTAGTTATAAAAGCAATTCGCCAGGCAGAAATTTTATCAACCAATTCAAATTCGAGCGGAAAAATAATATTAAACATTGAGGTTCAATAATGAATTGCCCTCCATATACGACAAATGACGTTCATCGAATAATGCCTGTTTTGGGAAAAGGCACTTAGATAATTGACCAAAAATTGAGAGGCCCTTAAATGGCTTCCTGTATTTCTTGGGATCATGACGGCGGATCAGAACGAGGATCACAATTTCCTGTCCACGAATAATCCTTTACTTTTAGGATTTCAATAAAAAGTTTGGCCGAGCAATGTTTGGACGACTTGCCGACGATATCGCAAACATTGGAGAATTTGGCGAAGAAACCTTGTAGACATTATATTAACTCCAATAAGAGTATGATAAAAACGATCAAAACCTATATAAAACTAATGTCTCACGCTCTTCATGTACATACGCCCTCCGTAAAATATTATAAATATCCCCTTTCCAACAACATAGTTCATAGTTGCCAAGAATCAAGAATTTTCGAAGATTCATAGACTGAAAACTATAATTACCTAAGTCCAGTTTTAAACTTAAAAAATTGCACAACTCAAAATCCAAAAGTCCAAAATTTGAGCTTCGAATACTTTCTCACAGTAGCAATAGAAATCATTTTCCATCCTTTATTCTCCTAAAGAAGGGAAATTCGATCTTGCCAGTGAAACTCACCATTGGTTTTTTCAACCCTTTCTTTGATAGAAAACACTCATGTAAAGCTTAACTGACCAACGTTTAATTTTTTTTCTACGTGTTATTTGCTCTTTTGCTTTTTATTTTAATTGTTCCTTTTAAATTATCTCTGCCTAAATTGATGAATTGAGTGAGCTGAATTTTGAAGAATCTGGAAGGACCCGCATTGCAAATTTTGTCCGAAATGGGGCGAGACTGGACCAGTTCTTGATCGCTAACTAGTGCGTGTTTATGAGGTCAAGTGGTATTCGCTTTTCACGCCGTCCGAGTTAATTTTTTACACTGTGTAATATCGGTGCAGAATGCATTTAACTTTCCCCAAGCTCGTTAAAGCAAATGGTGTGCCTGACCCCAGTGGCCCCAGATTGAAGGCAAAAACAATCGGACAATCCAACCAGAATCTAATTTTTTTGAAATCTCGATATCGTCTACTAAGGTAAGAATTCCAACACAATCGCCGAAGCTACCGAAGATGATGTAAATATTCCTGATGATTTATCCTGGTGTACAGTTTATACAAATAAAATCTCACAAATAAATCTCTTCCTTGATTTCATTTTTGAACAATTTCAAATGCGATATATTTGCAGGCAAATCATTTACAGTCTAATCAATTCCGCAAAAAGCGAGCATTTTACAGGGTTTCTATACAAGTGAACATTTCCTCCGGTACGTCCATTTAGTTGTTGTTCAGAAGAGCGAGCATGCTCTAAGTTTGAGCGAGGTGCAGCTTTGTACAAAAGTCGGAGTCGAACTTCGTCTGGCGGTTGCGCTTGGTATCAACTTTCCGGAGCCAACTTTGAGGTTCTCGAGGACGAATTTGAGCGAGTAGTCGTTGTATTCTTCCCAAGGAGCGATCTCAGTTGAAATTTTGGCGGTGATGAATTCTGATCTTGGAGCCATATCTAATAAGATCGACTCTCAATAATAAGATAGAAATTGTTTGATGGCTCTAGGTGAATCAATCCTTGCTTTTTATATGAGAGTTTTGATGGGCGACAATATAAGCTTCCGAATTTGGGCATTTCTTGAGCATGTTGTTGGCGCTAGAGCACCGCGGAGATCCGACAGTCCTGGAGAATTTTCCGATTTTCTTATAGAATTCTCTGAAGTCGATAACTGTCTTAAATCCCAGTCAAAGCGGAAAATGACAAGCTGTCTTTAGAAATTGTAGACCTTGGCAGATTCTGATGTTTCTGACAGGCCTTGGCATCTCTTAATCAGTACACATATTTTTCTGCATTGAAGTTGGCACTTAGATATATCTTCTTTTAAAGATATCGATAATAAATCAATACCTGCTATACTATTCATACACTGACAGCTATAATAAAGCGTATAAAATTTCAAAATGATACTTCCTAGAGTATGAAAAATCATACTGAGTAAAAATTTATCGTCTGGGTCATAAGCTTCCAACACAGTCTTGGTGGAAATAGTAAGACTTGTGGAGCACTGGAAGTCGATTCTTGTGTCAAATTTCGGGAACACATGTGTGTCATGATTGTATAACCCTCATTCAATTCACAGAAATAGCCAGAGACCGCCGCAAAAACGCTTCACATGCCATTAACGGCACCGTATTTGTTGAAGATAGATTTCCTACAGTAATGTCAATGCGAAGCCGCGAGATTAATACGGGCGCGAAAAGGATGAAAATGGATTTTAAAAGAAAATCTTTTTCATGATGGCATGATTTAGCACCGCGTCAGACGGCGAAGACGCGAGCATCATTCACCCGAGAAAAACTCATTTTCGACGGAGTAATTTTGTCAGAGTTGAACTTGCGATGCAATATTGGAATATTGGTTGCTTGATGTAAAGAATATAGTCTATATTAGATAGAAGTACACAAAAGCATGGGAGAGAGTCAGAAAAGAAGCCCGAGAAAAATGCGCAGCGGGAGTGCTATTCAAAAATACAGAAATCATCTGAAAGAGTACCAGGAATGATGGAATCAAATAACTTTCGAATGAAAGTTTATCTAAATATAAATTTATTATTGAATAAAATTCATCATTTGAAAAGCAAGCAACAATGTCCGACGACGATGAGTCCTCAGATGGTGAGTTCATCGCTTAAAATTGTTTTCAGTATTAGTAAAACTGTATAATACATAACTTTCTTTCATTTCCAATAATTCCATCGCTGCCAGAAAATTGAGTTTTCTTCTGTGGCTTTTATCCTGTTGAATAGTTGATGCGAGACAGTAGAAATAATAACCCAGCTCTCGGGAAATAGAATAATATGTTTGTCGATGTAAATGCATAGTTGGAATGAAAGAGGGTGATTGAAAAGATGGAGTACGGAAGTTGACAAGTTTTTAGAGGAGATTGAGGAGGTTGGAAAGCTTACCTCAGCGAGATGCTTATCAATGACATGCGGTTGTTTCACGGTACCACTTATCCTCTGCTTAGATTCATTTTACTTTTGATAACGCTTTCATTGATAGTTCGTTTGCGGAATGATCGGTTATTTTTATCTATTGGCGGCGCCGCAAATGGCCACATTCCCAAGCCTCAAATGGCAGGTAATGGACATTAGACGAATTTAACAGGAGAAATCATTATTTATTACTTTTACAACGGCAGTAAGTATGTTTTAGTCATATATTTTCCTGACTATTGGAATAGTTCTTCTTTCGATGACAATTTACAAGGGATGGATTTCAATGAAAAATAGATAATAGATCTGAAAATTGTGATCAATTCAAAAGACACTACGCAAAAACAAGAAAAAGACGGACCAAAGAAGACGCTCAAGCTCAAGCATTGCCGAAACAAGACGAAACTCAACCCCGACTCCTGTATGATTTTCATTGAACATCGCTTCTTCCTGTTATACAATCGCTATTCTGCAAATAAAACTAGTGATATGATGACTTCGTCAGCTGAGAAACTTCGAATCTTGGCTTTGAACGATAAGGCTGGGAATATTTTTGACAATTGCACTGCGTCAATCAGCCTTCTTTCTCACAATACAATAAATCTCGCGGGCTGAAGGCTGTCATACCTTTTATTCTATTGTTAAAATGGACGTGAAGAGCCATCCAAAAGAGTTGACGAAATATGAAATCAAGATATGGCTAGAATCGTTTGTAAAGAAACTGAAGAGATCGACAAGCAGGAACAACTTAGACAGATTGATTTTGTCGGTTGAGAGAAATGACACTCGATCGAGTTGAAAACGGCGAGTACGTTCTTCAAAATTCACTCCTATGTCATTCTTCTTCGCAACTCAGAATACTCGCCCGAAATCGTTACTATGCTGATTTCCTTACGATGAAACGATGCCAGAAGTTCTCTGGGGATTACATTTATAAAGGACCAAATGGAGAAAGTCTCCATCTTGCGAATGAGAAATGCGAAAATATGCGTCCCGGAGAATGGTACCTTCTTCCACAAGCGTTTTCAATCACCCTTACTCCTCAATAAAACAAAGACAATTCGCCTTTCGAAACCGCCCATATCTGGTCTAATCTGGTATCATTGAATTTATCACAGCTGATTAATAAACAAACAAATGTTAATTGAATTCGTTGTTTGCTCAGCGAGAAAATTCTAAAATAAAAGACAATATTTTTTCGCTCAGTTTCTCTCAAAATGAAGCTCGCACTTTCACTTCTGAGCCTCACTAGAGCCAACCCTCCTGAAACTCCACCGGGTAAAGTATTTGCGGATGCGTACCAACAAGTTGGCGAGTATCTTCACGAGAATTGGCCGGTCTTCAAAGATTTTGTTGACAATCTGAATACCTCGTAAGTTTTTTTATTTCTGACAATTTTTATATTTAAAGTTTTCTCGAGCCAGTTTGGGACTTTTGTCACGATGAATTGGAAATCGACTACGATATTTCCCTCGAACAAGAGAGTTTCATCGGTTGCGGAGTAGCTTTTGCGGCATATTACGGGGATTTCCATCTTAGTTTTCCATACTGGGGAGACTTTTTCGATGCTATGTGGGAGAAAGCAGACTGGGATCACAATGGAGCCGTCGATTGGGATGAGTGGAGATACACCGAAGCTGTTCTTGCGGCAATTTACTCTCAAGTCACTTTTGGTTACTCAGATTCGAATCACGATGATGTTCTTGACATGATGGAATTCGGAATTTTCTTCGAGCAGCAATGTAAACTTCAGTAGAAAAAATCAAATTTGACAAAATTTAGCTCGGCTTCTGGAGGAAATTTCACCTGATCCAGCTCAGACAATGAATAACCTGTGGCTTGAATCCCAACTTGACGATGATTCTGAAACACTTAACAAACGTGAAACCGCCCTATTTTGGATTCATTACTGGAATCTGCTTATTAATGAGAGTTGAAATAGTACTGCAATCAAAAAGAACAAATAATATTCCATATTTGGCCCGTTGGCCGGACGTGAATACGGACGTTGTTTGGAGGGCGAATATTGGTTTCAACCCCTTTTTCAATATTAACGCTTTGTTTATGAAAGTCAATACGACTGGAATCGGTAAATGTTTGTTGTGCAAAAATTTTTCGCATAAAAATCGAGCGCTCCCCCAGCTTTAGGAAAGAATGCAGCTTCTTTGTGCGCTTTTGACGCTTGTGAGCGGTCAACCTCCCCGGCCAAGTGAAATCTTTGAAAGTTCGTATCGAGAAGTTCGCGGATGGGTTGATCAAAACTGGTGGGACTTCAAGGCTTTTGTCGACGCGCTCGATTCATCGTAAGAAGCCTGTCAATAAGACATATCAGTATTTCACGTTTTTTAGGTTGTTTCAGCCTTTCTGGGAATTCTGCCATGAAGAATGCGAGCTTGAAGATGATGCCGGACTTGATCGAGAGAGTTTCATTGGATGCGGTGAAGCTTTTTCAACTACTTATGGCGAGTACCATGAGAGTTTTCCCCACTGGGGCAGTTTCTTAGAACCAGTTTGGGAGAAAGCTGACTGGAATGACAGTGGATTCGTTGATTGGGATGAATGGCGATACACTGAGGCTGTCTTAGGAGGAGTTTACGCGAACGTTTCTTTCCAAAGAAGTGGCAAAAGTACCGCCGACGAACTGACAGGATTTCAGCTTGAAATATCCATTGGTTTCACTCGCCAACAAAGTAGAGAACCAACATCTCTATCAGTATTGATCTATTTTAGTGCGTCTTTTACGCGAGCTCGAAACTGATAGGCGAAACTTTTACTTTAACCTTTGGAATGCTTCACAAGTGGATGAAAATTCGGATACTGCGGATAAACGAGAAATCAGCCTTTTTTGGATCAACTTTTGGAACTTTCTCATTACTAAAGCTTGAAAACCTGTAGTGCTGCAATAAAACACATCGCAAGACCTTCAAGTTTTCCCTGCTTCTTGGAGGAAAAAGCTTTTTGAAATCTCGAGTATTGATAGATTTTATTTGAAAAGATAAAGATTGGATTTAAAGAAAGCATGGATATATAGAGTATACAGGTGTGTAGATTAACTTTTGACGCTGAAGGATAGTAAACTGTATTTGTCTTCACTCGGTGTCGACTAGCACGAGCTCAAAATTTGTCTGATATCATTCTCGATGTCATAATGCTCAAAGTATTTGTCTGAAATTGAATTATTTTGAACTCGACCTTCTTGGTTAGCGCCAGCAGCGAGTGGAGGAACTTCAGCTTCCTGAATTCGCCGGGCGATTTTCGCGTAGTACTCACCGTTTCGTGGAGTATCGTTTGCAACAAAATCGTCGTCGTTTTCGTTCACCTCATGTTCTTCGATGTTATTTTTTGTAGCTAGAAGAGGAAATTAATGAGAAGGCAGAAAAACTATTTACCTTTGGAAAAGAATTGCTTGAAAACCCAGCCGAGAGAAACAGTGAATAGGAAACTGCCAGCACAAACCAAGCATGCGAGACCAACAAGAGTGTTGAGATTGGTCATGTAATCGCTCTCGGTGTAGCTATTGACAAAACCTCTGTGCTGCTCATAAAGCCATTTTGCGGTGGCATCAAGAAATGTTTCTAAAGAATGATTGATTTTTCTTTGCAATCAATTTAAATTTACCAATTTCTTCGCAGGTGTTGGTTTCGTCATTGAGTTCGAAACCTTCATTGCAGTAGGGTACAACACTCTTGACTTCTTCCTCTCCCTGGACGAAACCCAGAAGGCTGCCGAATAACTACGAATAAAGAATTTGAACAGATAAGTTTTTGATAGCATGACTTACTGAAATCAAAGCACCAGTTGCCGGCTCCTCAGTTTTCTCGACGATACACTGATTTGCCTCTGAATCGAAGAAGAATCCCTCGCCGCATGCGGGAACTTCATTACCAGTCTCCAGTGGAAAAACGGATCTCCACACAAAATTATAGAAAAACTAAGAGAAAAAAGTGTGCATATGACAAGCTTTTGATTTCAATTTTCTTACGCTGAATAATGAACCGACGATAGCCCCGACGAGAAGCTTAAAAGCAAGAGGAGTCATGGCGATTCCGTGTCCGAAAACTGACAAAATGAGAAAATAATCTCTGACAAACACATTGATTCTAGAAACTTTGCTCATATGATCTTTATATCATTTATTCTCATCGATTAATACAGTAAGCAATTCCATACTGTCCACCCGGATAGGTGAAGTCAAAAGAGTAGCCGCTGACGTAGATGTAAGCTGGATCCGAGACAATAATGTTGTGAGAATCCGAATTCGGGCACCACTCTGAGGCTCGCTGGGAGATAAACATGCCAGCACAAGTGTTGAACTTCAGACCATGCTCGGAATAGCAAGGCGAGCCCCAGGCGGCTGCGTCATCGGATGCCCGTTTAAGAGCACTAGGAAAATATTTAATCTTTATCCAAGATTCTATCCACGAACGCAGAGTTGATACCACTGTAAGTCAGCTCACCGCAGCTGACGGCACCGTACTCTTCAATGCTGGCAAACCAAAATGCCATGCCTGCGACGTTTTTGCCATCAGTGGTGAAGCCACAAGTTACAGTGACACCGTGAAGGCTTTCAAATTGGCTTCGGATGTGTTCCATGCATTCTTGGTGGCCTCGTCCTCGCATATGACACCTTCAATCTTATAGATATTGATATTTCTTAAGCCTTACAAGTTGAGTTCATTGACCATAAGATAGTTGGCAGCGCTGTCACTCAAAGCATTGACCGCTGCCAAGGTAATGCCCAAAATCTTCATCTCTTTTCCGACTTATGCTGACTTATAGAATTCTACAACAGTTGCCCTGCTATTAGTTACAACAGATGTAGAAATAGTTATTAATTCCCATGAATTTGACCTTGCGAGGTTATTTGTTATAACAAATCTTATAACACGCGATCGGTTTTTGTTTGAATCAATACTTTGGTTTGCTGTATTTCGTACAGAAATTAAAGAATGTCTTCAGGAATAATTCGCAAAATTAGCAGCATTTTGTCTGTACCCACCTCTGAAGCCTCCTCGTCCGCGGCCTCTTCCCCGACCTCCTCCACGATTGAACGCACCGCGGAAGTAGCGCCCACTGTTTCTGTCATCTCTATGTCTTCCTCCTTGATTTCCACCAGTAAAAGAAATTGGAACCTGGGCGTCAGCACTCAAGAGCGTCGTGATAACTTGAACAAGTCCGTCGTCTTGAGTGTTTCTTGTTTCTAGCGCGTAATTGAAGAATGCGTTCCAATCGCGATGTAAATGGGCGAATTTCAGCGCGATATGTTTGTCCGGACAGGCTAATTTCAAATTCACTTGATTCCACTGAAGATACACCTCATCTTCGTCAGTTCTGATCACAGGACGATCGATTCCACCGAACAGTGCTACTGGGAGGACAGGAATGGCGGTAACGGTCTTTAAATTTGGCACGGCTCCACGTGCGATCTGGTACATTTCATCGAATATTACCCACTCATTCGCTGACTCGCCATGTCCGTTTTCGACGTACATTGATGAGTTTGCTGCTTGGAATATTTTTCTCTCAGGGGCGGAAATCACATTGAACTGCATCTTCTGTCGACGGCCTGAAGCTCTTGGATTGGCCATTCTTCCAACATTCGGGAACGAGCCGATCCCCAGGCAGGCGCGTATCAAATTCCAATCATTCGAATTATGATCCCCTAGAAAGAATCTATCTTCTTGCTGGAATGAAAAAGCCTTACTTGGTTTCAAGTTGCATTTGTGAAGATGATCAATGATTTGTCTTTTCACATCTCGGATGTATTGCAATGTAGGGATAGACATGATTTTACCGACAGGCCACGATCCGCTACGCCCTGTATCCCAGGCTCCGAAAGCTTGAAGGATGAGATGATGATCAGACTGAACACCACCCGACATGGCGCTTTTGAATTTCTTCGTTAGGTGATTGTCGTCGCCATTGGCGGAGATTACGAAGGGGTCTCGATAACCAAGTGATGTAACGATGGTAATAACAGGACTGGAGCAGCCCAGTAGGACAGATGCTAGGAACGAATCAACGAAACGAATTTATAAGCGGATGCGCGTCTTGAATGCTAATTTTTTAACGCGAGATATATTTACCTAGCACAGCTTTCCCAAGACGTGGTTCGAGAGGCATATCGACTAACAGCCTCCCAAGAGGTGTAAGCTCTTCATTTGCTTCAATCGCTCCAAGTGCTTTGAGTTCTTCAACAGCGTTATGAATAGTTTTGAGCAGGAGGATCAGGAGCTCTGCCGAGGAATTCTTCGATTTTAATGTCACCGCCGAGCATCTTTGCGGAAAGGCACAACTCTGGAATGGGAATACGGACAAGTTCGGGGGCTTGTTCATTCAGCATAATTTCGTTGAAAGTTTTTCGCGAAAACAGATGAAAGCAAGTGCCAGTAGTTCCGGGAAGACGACCGCATCGCCCAGCACGTTGCCGGGCCGATGACTTGGAGATGAGAGTTGTTAGCCACATGGACACGGAACTTCCTGGCTCGAATGATTTCATTCTTTGTTTTCCGCAATCAACTAATACGATTTGAAAGAGTTCGAATATTTTTAGATATCTCACCAATGAAGTCAACATCTGGAATTGTAACAGATGTTTCTGCAATGTTTGTCGACAAAATAATTTTCTTCTTTCCAACTTTGAATGCTTCAGCTTGTTTTCTTGGGTTAATTTGTGAGTGAAGGTAGAAAAGGTTTCTGGAGGAACTTTGAGGAGAAACGGAACTTTCATCATCATAAAGGGGAGTTAAGTTGCACTCGTGAAAATATTCAATCAGGTCCAGCCCGAGGGATTTAATTTCACTGAAGCCAGGGAGAAAGACAAGAATTGAACCAGTATTTGAAAAGTCTTTCTTTTGCCACAATTCAGAAATGAGCATTTTGATAAGGATATTGTCGATCGTACGAGAGAACAGTTTCTCGTAGCCTTTCTAAGGATGACTATAGTTGCTTAATAAATTTCAGAAGCAATCATTTTTCAATCCTTTCCTTCAGCGATTTTACAGATCTCCTTCCTTGGATCATCCGCTTCATCATCATCAGATTCAAATCCGGGATCATGGTCGTACAAAAAGTCCATGATTTCTTCAAACTTGTCGTGGTCCTTTTCGACAAGTTCTTCTACCCAAGTGACAGCATCGCGTCCGGACTTGTCTTTTTCCCGAAGAAGGGAGAAATCGTCGCTTTCATTTGTGAACTTGACGAGATATTTTAACGCACCTGCTCGAGCTGCGAGATTCACTGAATATGGGTCATTATGGCGATGGAAATAGGTCATTCGGAAGAATGAGTCTATCTCAGACTCTTATTTAACCCTTTCGATAGAAGAATCACCACCTATTTTATAAATGAAACTTTTTTGTTGGAAGTAGTAAGGAATTATTACTATAACAATATTTTCCTCTAAAATAAAAGCCTAAATAAAATGACCCTGTCCTAAATTTTCTCCTCTTGGAGTTTTTGCACGCTTCAGATCTTCAGACTGCTTAGTTTCAACATTTTTAGGATCACAAATCATCCTGTCCAAAATTCTAAACTCATGCTCAAGACGAGGTGCTCCTCCTCGATGCAGCGCGCTAGAAATTCTTGATAAAGTCGCGTCAAATCTTCGGCGGCAATTCGGAACTCGTTCTTTAGTTGCCAGATCAACGGGAAAGGGAAGCTCTTGGCTTTCTTCAAAGCTTTCTGTACTCTCAGGGTCGCCTTCAATTTCTTCCATCTCGAGTTGCTCAATGATTTCGACTTCTCTTGCTCTTTTTCGCACGTGATTCTCGACGCTCTTCATGATTAGCGGGAATTCTTCCAAAACATCTTCCAGGCTCTTTTCAATAATCTGGCCAGTTCTTCCCTCAACAAAAACTGCTTCTGCTTGAATTCCTTCTTTTTCAAAATACGCCTTGAAGAAATCCACATCAATCGTAGCAGACATCAGTACCAAGCGATTCAGCTCGCCAGTTTTAAGCATTTCCCGCAGCTCGATAAGAAGAAAGTCAGCATTTTTGTCCCGTTCATGGATCTCATCGAGAATTACGTGCGAGACCATCGTGCTAATATTGGAATAGAAAGCGCCGGATGTTGCATATACGGTAGCATCAGAGTTTCCGTTGGCTTAGATTTAAATCCCATGCCTGAGCTTTTCCCTATTTTCCTTTTTTGACCCTACGAGTGTGCGAAGTAGCACGCCATGTGTACACAGGATCATGTTGGTGTCGTTCGAGATTCTGTTATCAAGCCTTTTAAGGATACACACCAGTCCATTTCGAAAGCGTCAAACTTTTCCGATGTAGAAATCATGGAGGAGTATCCGATCCTTATCTGATAGCCAATTTCCTTCCCGAGCATTGAGCCTCGCTCTTCAGCAATTCTGTTCGCACATGTTACCGTCGCCAGCCGTCGAGGCTGGGAAAAGTAAATCCTCGTTGGCCTTAGTCTTTCCTCTGCGTCTTCCAAGATAAACTGTGGAACTTGAGTAGTCTTTCCACTGCCAGTTTCTCCAATGATGATTGTCACTTTTGAGTTGACGATAGAATTGACGATTTCAGGCTTCTTTTCGGCGATCGGCAGGGCAGCCCGGAAAGCTTTTCAGAGGTTATAAAATTTCATGGAGATTATTAAATGATGACATCAACGATTGTAAATTTGAACAAATTCTACCCTGCACTTCAAATAAGTTCTGTGATAAAAATAAACCCTTCCTTGTAATTTCTGAGTTGGCCTGTTGTATTGGCTCTTAAAAATATTCTCAAACAGATGAAAACGCACAAAACTTACAGTGGGCAGTGACGGTTTTGAATGAAACTCGAGTCTAAACTTCGGCTCCAGCTTCGGTTTCTTGTTATTCTGCCATCCCTTTTCCTTGTAATTTCTCAAAGCATCCACAATGTGCTTCTTATCGTCAGGAATCAGCTTCGGCAGAACTTCTTTGAATTGATCATCTGATCTCCTGCTGACTGTTAGTCGTCGTTTTTCGCCAGCGCCGTGGCTTGCAGACAAAAGACCTTGTTTTTTGCACAGGGAATGGACGTATTGACGCTCGTAGTTGAACATTCCAGGCGGAAATGTGTACGAATCTGAATGTACATCTGTAAATTTAACGTAATTATGCTCTCTTAGTCGCCAAATGATGCAATTTTCCCTTGTTGAAATTTCTCGCTGAAAATAATGACGCACAATTCCAGTCGAAAATCGGTAAATATAAATTATCATATTTGAATAAATTTTTATTTGAATGGTTCAAATTAAATCAATTTAAACATAAAATGATGACTATCAGAAATTTACCTTTTCCGGAAGCGATGAAATCTTCAATTTTACTTTCCAAGTTTTTCCTCATTTCTCTATCCAAGTTCGGATTTATGTAACCCCTCATTTTGGCCTTCTCTTATTTCTCCTGCTACCGATAAAATTCGACAAAATCGACTTTTGTAGGAAAAAGGCAAGAAAAAAAAGGAAAATGGAAATTTCGCGCGCGGCCTGATTGGACCCTTCGCGCGCCTTTCGATTCGAAAAGATCTTGACGCAACAGGAAAGAAGCTTGCCAGAGTATCCAGAACTTTCGGCTAAAGAGAACTTATCAGCGAAGAAGAATTTTAACAAATTGATAATTTTTTTAAATGAAATAAGAAGAGTCTTTACGAAAATTGACGAAAAAACAGAGCTTTACGAAAAAAATGGGAAAGAGAATTTTACGAAGAAATCATTTGTTTTGTAATTGAAAATTCTGGCAATATACGGTATATTCAAGAAGCATTAATTCTGGATGAATTTATATTATTTTTGCCAAAAACCCGCTTCCTGTTGGATATTTAAATAATAATTATTCGTTTGTTATGTAAAATTATTTTCCCGTTAACGAAAAATCTCCCAACCCGGTTTTACTGAATTTCTTAATTACGGCATTCTGTAAAATCAGCATTTCCGGCCTTATTCGCGCATTACTCACGTTATTTTTCCTCTTCAGATGATAATTTCTTTATTTTTTTCAAAAAAGTACCAAAAATGAAAGGGATTTTCTAGATTGCGAGGTGTTTTGAAGAAGACTTTACGGTTTTTCGTCAGTTAGTTTTGTTCAAGTTTACGAAATGGGCGTTCCAGCGTTTTTTCGATGGCTCAGTCGCCGATGCGGCGCGATCGTCATCAACTGTGTTGAAGAACCGCAAAAAGAAATTGATGGAGTCCAAGTGCCAAGTAAGATTTCCTTTAGATTCTCCTAAGATTCGGATTTGAAAGTAGAAGTTATCTCACAAATCATTTTTTCCTTATAAAGTCAACTCTTTTTGCGTCAAATTTCCTTATTCATACTTTTAGTCGATTTATCTGGCCCGAATCCGAACGGTGTAGAATTCGACAATTTATACATTGACATGAATGGTGTGATTCACCCGTGTTCGCATCCTGAAGATCGTCCCGCGCCGAGGAACGAGGAAGAAATCTTCGAATGCATCTTCGACGCTTTGGACAGAATGATGAACATTGTCAGGCCAAGGAAGCTGCTTTATTTGGCGATTGACGGGTAAGGTCATTTTTGCAAAAAAAGTGGCTAACGATCCTGTTCTTTAGACCCGCTCCAAGAGCGAAAATGAACCAGCAGCGTTCGCGTCGTTTCCGCGCCGCGAAGGAGTCCATCCAGCTCGCCGATCTCAAAGCAGAAAAGAAGCTTGAGATCGAGCGGAACGGTGGTAGGTTACCGCCACCAGATCCAAAGAAGGAGAAATTCGATTCCAACTGTATCACACCTGGAACAGAATTTATGGACCGTCTCGCCAAAGCGCTCAGATTCTACATCTCGGAAAGGTAAAACTTCTAGCATGAATCAGTTCTTTTTTCACACTACTTTTAAGGCTGAATAAAGAAGCCGGTTGGCACGAGTTGAATGTGATCCTGTCCGACGCCTCTGTTCCCGGCGAAGGAGAGCACAAGATCATCGACTACATCCGAAAGCAGCGTAACACGCCAACCCACGATCCCAATACACACCACTGTATTTGGGGTGCCGATGCTGATTTGATCATGTTGGGTTTGGCCACGCACGAGCCCAATTTCACTATTGTTAGAGAGGAGTTTGTTTACGGAAAAGTAAGTTCCTGCAAATTCATCAGAAACTAACCTTCTTTTATAGCCGAAGCCTTGTACGCTCTGTGGACAATGTGGCCACGAGCTGATCGATTGCCAAGGTCTTCCAGAAGGAGCGGAAGACAAAGAGCCGCCTGTTTTCTCCAAGGGAAATTATATTTTCATCAGAATAGCGACAGGTACGGCACTTTCCCCTTTCAAAAGCTAAACAGGCTCTAGTTCGCGAGTGGATTGCCCAAGAGCTTCAAATTCCAAATATTCCGATTCCTTGGGACTTGGAAAATATAATAGATGATTGGATTCTATTGTGTTTCTTCGTTGGTAACGATTTCTTGCCTCACTTGCCCTCGTTGGAGATCAGAGAGGGTGCGATCGACAAGCTCGTTGGAATCTACAAACGTAAGTCATGTTTTTCAAAACCTTTTCTTATTTAAATTCTAGGAACTGTTTGCGAAATGAAGTCCTACATGACGAGGGACGGTACAGTTAACCTCAAGGCGGTAGAATTCGTCATGAGAAGTATCGGTCGAATGGAAGACGCGATTTTCAAGAAGCGACGGCAAGAAGAGTGCCAAAGAAGAATAAGAGACGAGCGAAGAAGAAATCATGACAGAAATAAACGCTTGAATAGAAATCAAGGCCACGAAACACGTAAGTTCGAAATTGAAAAGAAAGAAAAATGAGCTGGAATTCTAGCGGTCGCGAAATCAGGAGTGATGGAGCCAAAAATGGTGAATCAACATCAGCGACAAGCAAAAGCGCATGATCTGAATAAAACTGCACGTCAGATTCGACAGGAAGCTGCCGAGGCGAGACTCACTGCAGCCAAACTCGAGGATCAGGATACGGAGCAAATTACGCTCAGCGCACTTGCGTAAGTCTTGCTTCTATGTTTCACTATTTTAAAGTTTAAAATTTAAACTTGTTTTTAGAAAAGCACGAGCTATGCAAGCCCGACAAAACGACAACGCCGCGTTAGATGCCGAAGACGAAGTCCGTCTCTTCGAAGATGGATGGAAGGATCGCTACTTTAGGACGAAGTTCGACGTCTCTTCTGATGATCATTCTTTCAAGCGTAAAGTTGTTGCTGCTTACACTGAGGGGCTTTGCTGGGTCTTCGCTTACTACTTCCAGGGTTGCTTGGATTGGGGATGGTACTATCCGTTCCATTACGCTCCTTTCGCTAGTGATTTCGTCGACTTGGAATCGATTAGTATCAAGTGGGACAGAGATGCAAAGCCAAGGTAATTTCCCCATTCATTTTTTCCAGATTTATGAACTATTTTTACTTCAGAAAGCCTCTTGAACAGCTTATGTGCGTCTTCCCAGCTGCTTCTGGCGAGTTCTTGCCTCCTTCCTGGCGAAAACTCATGTCTGATCCTTTCTCCCAAATCATCGACTTCTACCCGACCGATTTCGTCGTCGATCTCAACGGGAAGAAATTCGAATGGATGGGAGTCGCCCTTTTGCCATTCTTGGACGAAGCTCGGCTACACAAGACCTTGGCGACTGTTTACTCCGATTTGACAGAAGATGAAAAGAGAAGAAACGGAGTTGGAGAGGATAAACTTTTCATTGGAAGAAGGAATAAGATCTATGGAAAGATCAGGGACATCTACGAGTCTGACAAGAAGGAATTTCACATGGGTAAGAATTCAACTTCATTTCACTGTTTTATTCGATCGTTTTTTAGCGGAAGAAGGAGCAGATATTGAAGCCAAAGAAATCCACGGAATCCAAGGCATCCTCTCAGTCGACCCCATGTGCAACCCTGAAGATACCTTCCTCCAATCCCCCGGCGACTTCTGTGAAGACATCAAAAACAATTTCGCTATTTCTGCAACTTATAATCTTCCCGAATTCCCACCCGGATTCGTCTTCCCTGCAAAAATTCTTCCAGGCGCAAAGTTCCCCGAATCGAGACTGAAAGAGAAGGGAAACAGAAGTAATCGTGCCCCACAGGTGAGAAACAGAGAAAAATCAGATTATTCGGAATCATCCGATTCTGATTCTTCTGATTACTACTATCCTTCCGACTCTGATTCTTATTCCTCCGATTCTGATTAACTCCTCGCAATACAATTATTAACTTGCAAACCATTTTAAAGCGACTGTTTTGTGTGTTCTTGAACTGGTTTGATCGTTTAAGGTGTTGTCTAACTGTAGTAGGTTCAAAGCTCTTAGACTAATTGAACATTAAGGATTGGAGCAAAAACAACCACAGAACAGGCGCTCGCGTCGATCACGCCGGCCACAGAATGCTCGACCACTCGATGCCACAGAGTGCACATCAGGCAAAGGATAAAAGTAACGATTCAAGGACAGGCTTGTTCGGTATTGGATACTGAATACTGCCGTCATTCAGCTTCAGAATAAAACAGATAAACAACGCTTTTCAATGTGTCTTTCAAATTGTGTTTCTTTTTTGAAGAGGTTGAAATTGGTTGCTTTCTAGAGCTTTATTTATTTTTTATCGTTTCTATCCGGGATTAGAATAGATACGGTCGACCCCAGGACGCATACTCGAGAGGAGGAGGATACGGAGATCGCGGAGGATATAGAGGTCGCGGGGGTCACCACCACCATCGACAGCACCACGGAGGAGGAGGCTATCAGCAGCACCGTGGAGGACACTCGGGCGGATACAACCACCGAGGAGGACATGAAGGCGGATATAATCGAGGCAGAGGCCACCAGCGATACAATCCTTATTGAACGAGTTAATTGATCTACTGCCTTAGAATTTATCTTTTGATTTGATCATCAGAAAGGAAAATCCATCATTTCATCTTTTTTATACAAAAGCTGCTATATTTCATTTGATGATTTGTAATTTTTCTTTCTGCTGATTTTTTAGGTCCAGGTTGGACAAAAATTTCCTTTTTATCCTCATCTATTTATAATATCATATGAATAACGGATATCTCATTTATCAGCTATTTTCTCAACTTTATAAAAAAAAGTGAATTTTACTAACTTTTGAACGATGAAGAATTTCTCAACTTTCTGTACTGCCAACTGTCTGACAAACTTTTTGTTACGTATTGATTGTAATCGAGATACAACTACAATTATTGTAAAACTTCCTTTTCAATCCTTTTGAAAATGATGATTACAGGTTTTTCTTAGAAATTCGGAATCGAAATGGCCCGGGTAGGGCGTCCTACCCGCGAAGACGTACTTGACAAGTACGAAATGATGGGCGTCGTGGGAGAGGGCTCCTACGGCACCGTACACAAAGCCCGCAACAAGGAGAGCGGGCAAATTGTGGCGATCAAGAAGTTTCTCGAGGAGGACTCGAACTCGTTCAAAATCGCCAAACGCGAGCTGCGAGCGCTCAGACAGCTCAGACACGAGAATCTCGTCAATATGCTGGAACACGCGAGACGAAGAAGACGACTTTTTATTATTTTTGAATATGTTGATGGAACGGTTTTAGACTACATTGAAGCACAGGAACTGGTGATCAGTAACTCTTCACAAAAGCGTCAGATTCTCTTCCGGCGTCGGGAAATACTGAATAATCGACAAATTTGAAATTTATCACCTATTTGAAAGAGTAATAAGAGGATACCTAGAGATAAATGCCGCGAAATCACTTGGCAAGTCCTGAGAGGATTGGAATTCATTCACAGGGTGAGTCACCTCTTGTCACTTCCGTGAATAAACCCTTTTTTAACATTCACTTACTTTCAGAATCGGATGATTCATCGAGATGTCAAGCCTGAAAATATTTTGTACTCAAGAGAGGGGGTTGCAAAGCTCTGCGACTTTGGCTTCGCGAGGCCAAATAGCATTATCAACGGAGAAGTTTTTACAGGTAAATACACTGTGCCACACTTGTTTGGCCACCTGTCACCAAATGAGGCGAAATGACAAGAGACCACCACTCGTAGAGAAATTATTCGAAAGCCGTTTTTTTTCTAAAAAACTTTTCTTCGAATCGCGGAGATTTAAAAAAGCGGCTAAGGCTACTTGTTGAAGTCAACATTGTAACTGACTCGTTGAGAAAATTTGCACACCTGGCGCCTTGTTACATCGCGCTATTAACGCTAATCGCCAGCACCTTGAGTCTTTATTGGAGTCTGTACTCCTTGTTGATTTTTGATTTTTTCAGAGAATTCTGGAGACCTTGGAATTTTCGTATCCCTGAAGAGTTCCAATTCTTCTTCTTTTTAGGAAATAAGAATAATCAAACACGAACTCTGAAAGATATGCCGTTATTCTGCAGGGGGTTATGCGGTGCAGATCGGCTTAGTTGGGTTTAATTTACCAGTTGTAGGGGAGGAGAGGGCGCAGGGCGGCGCGTCCGGCGCCTGGCTGGAGCGTTCCGGCGCCGATGTGGCGACGAAGGAATTTCGAACGTGGCTCACTAAATGGCCATGGGGCGGCTCAGGCAGAAGCGCGCGCTCTGGCCTCCTGGCTCTAACCAGCTCAAATGGAGAGTCTCAAGCAGACTCCCACCTGTTGGCCCATGCCCGGAGCCGCTCAGGCGCCCCAAACTTCCGCGACGGCCAGGCGATCTCTATCAAGAGTGCGTAGACGGACAGTTAGAGAACTTGATCGTGATCAGAATAATGCGTAACCGTGCGTAAAGAATAAGGAAGTTAGAGATTTGCGAAGATTAAATTTATGCGGCTCGAGTGGTGTTTGATCAAGGAAGTCGTAAACGCCGTAAAATCGACGCATTGGTAATTATCGTCTTTGCGTGATTGTATTAGTAGCATTTTTACAGTTATAAAAGCGAGAAAATAAGACTTGGAATAGATAAACGTTTTTTATCGTAGATTTTGCCGAATCTTTTGAATATTTCGTGCGTTTCTTTATTCAGTTTATTGAGCTTAAATTTTAGTCAACATTTTTTTGAAAATGTAACTCGAAATATTTCTATTTCCAAAATCTTGTTCATTTGTTTTGTCATATTTTGCAAACGCACTCGGGTGAATTATTCTCGGAATCGGAGCTCCCATGTTAGCGGAAAATCCACCAATTCCATACCGGATATGTCTAGCTATTTACCGTGTAAACAATAAGTTCCTAAATGGATTAATTTATACTGTCCCCGCTTGCGCGTGGCTAATCACTATTCACAAGCTACAAATTGGGGCCACTCGAAGTTGCCCTTTTACCCTAAATACCGTCGCCCCTTGAGAATTGAACATAGAAAAGGGCCCAATTTTCGAAAATTGATTGTTGAATTTTTAAAATTTCGAAGGCCAAGTCGCACAAGTGGTACCTAAGCACAAGTGCTCGCGTGCCTTTGTTAGATTCAGTTTTGAGTAAAGTTGAAAGTAAGCATCGAGCCCGAGCTAGTTACGAGTGTCATTTTTATCAAACAACTCGCCCTTTCATAAAAATCAAGATAAAGGCAAGTTTGCTTTGAAGACAGCTCTTCCTCAGAGAGACCCATTGCGAAATCATGAGATTTGACGATCTTCGAAAATTTAGAATGCTTTCTGAATAAAAATCAGTTTTCGCTTGAGAGAAAAATGGACAATCAATTGGAAAGTTTTTCTTTCTAAATAAGTTATTGACAATTAATTTTAAGTTTTAAGCTGTCTGTCATCCAAGACAGTTGAAAATTTTTTTTCACCGATCTAGTGTTCATTTTCCATAGTTATTTGTGGTACACATCTTTCCGGAAGTTTTCCTATTTTTGCCTTATCAGAGAAGCGTTCCTTGCCAGGTTAAATCTATTTCCGCCAAGATATCATCATGTTGCGCATCTTTTAACTATCCTTTCATATTTGGTTAATGTCAAATCTGAGTAAGCTCCTTTCTACTCCATTTTTACGATCCAGAGCGTGCTCCTTTCGTACGCTTACTGAGACTTTTCATCTAGACTATGTGGCGACGCGTTGGTACCGTGCACCGGAACTCATCGTCAAAGAGAGGACCTACGATCAATCCATAGACATTTGGGCAGTCGGATGTCTCCTTCCCGAAATGCTGAGCGGTGACGCCTTATTTCCTGGCGATTCAGGTAACGAAAACGAAAACAAAAGTCACTTTTCAAGTGCAAAAATCTTTTTTGAAATCAAAGAAGAGTATCTTCACTCATTGTCGTTTTTTCATAGATGTCGATCAGCTGTATCAAGTAATGGCAGTATGCGGGCCACTGCCGCGCGATTTGCACGACTCCTTGCGTCTCCGCCCCGAGTTTTACGGCTTCCGCTTCCCCGAAAAACAGACAATGCTCGATGACCATTGCCGCATTCTTCGCAACCTTCCAGTTGAGCTTGAATTTATCCGAAAATGTTTGAACTTATCCTCCTGTGCAAGGTAAGACATGCAACTTAGAGACTTCCAATAATTTGTATCCTTAGAGAAACCGCCTGCAGCTTACTTACAAATTCTGAATACTTTTTGAATGAAGACTTTACGCGAAGCAAGCCCGATCTGCTCGAAAAAATACACCGTTTCAACGCGCCGGTGCGTCACATCATCCCAAAGCAATCCAAGTCTGACCTGAAATTTCCGACGTCTACCTCAAAAATTCAACTCACCCCGCAAGGCAAAAGGAACAAGCACCAAGCGAAAGCGCAGGCTGCAAATAGGTCCGGTTGTCAAAGAGAAATATAGAGATTTTCTATGTTCAATTTTTGAATAAGTCCCAGACAGTAAGGCTCACTCTCCTAGCCGCTATTTTGCCAACCAGCATTCAAGTAACCACAGATTAGAACAGATTGACGCGCACAACGTCGGATTCTCGAGTATGCCCGTCACATTATCCATGCCGGAAATTAAAACGAAGAGTAGGAAAAACGAGATAGGCTCAAATGGATTATATATTTTTCAGCTAAACAACACAAGCAAAAGCAGAAATGGAGCAAAGTTGGGACGCAGAAACAGAGTCAAACGAAATTGCCCAAGTTATAGCGGTACCCGCTAATTATGATCAAAAACATATACCCACGACACGAACATGTATCTTCTTCAATATCTATATTTTCCTACTGATTCAAAAACACACACAGATTATCATTTTATACCTATCTAACCGATAACCAAAGAGAATATTTTTATAATTCAAGGTCTTTAAATTCATATTTAGAGATATTAAATTATGAATGAATGAGTAAAACGAAATATCAAATCACAACTGTAAAGCGTGGCACAGATGAGAGTCACAACATCGATGCTGACTCGAGTTGGACGATTAAGGTGACCCTCAAAGGGGAAAATCTCCAGCTCGGGGAAAAGGGAAGAGTTCAAGAGGGCTGCGCGCGCGGAAAACTAAGAAGTAGACACGCTACTATTAAAAATGACGTAAAAACTATCAGATCCGTTCCACAAAGTCTCCCTCACTTACCCGAGGCAAAAAATGTGAATAGCTAGCTCCACAAGTCTTGAACTCTAGCGCCAGCAAAAGACTCAATACGTACGCGTTCGCGGAGAAACGAAAATCAACCATGTAGGAGGTCTCATTCAAAAAGTTGTTACGAATATAGAAAATGACGCAGATAAGCCAAAAGAGAACTGGACCGAGTATGAGCTTTGGTGGCCATCGCAGCGCAAATGGCTTCTCAAGCATCACTGGATGCTCGAAAAATACAACATCCAGGTATTTAACCATTTTTCGATAAGCTTTCAAGCTTTTTCAGGCAGATACAGAGCTAGAATTCACAAAGCGAAACAAAAGCCTGTTCGTCGAACTTCCGAACCGCAAAACCCTCAAAGTCAAAGCAAACTTCAGCATCGATGTCTTATCCGTTGTTCGCGACATTTGCTACCTCTGTGAAATCAGATACCATACAGAAATGTCTCTCGTCAAAACCGGTCAACAGGTGAGCCTTCCTTGATTCCAATCGATCATTGTTCACATGCTCACTATTCCAGATACGCGATGGAGCTCTCGATAGTGCTCAATCACCTACTATTGAGCTCAAGAACACTCAGGAAACGTACGGTACTATGCGCGCTCCAGCACGTCACGGATCCAAGAATGAGAAGCTCTCTAGCGGAACAGTGCTAGAGAATACTTCAGATGAAGACTACAAGAAACTTTCTGCACCAAGCCAGAAGCTTGATACTGAAACAGTGCAGGCTGCACCAAAAGATCTACGCCAGAGAGCGGAAGAAACAAGCCGTTACTTGGACTCGCTGAAAAGCTTGATGGAGCAGGGAATTCAAGAAAACTCCTTGGTGAAGCTGCGATTCAAATACTACAGTTTCTCTGGCTTGAGTGAAAAGTCAGATGTGTTCAGAATTCACCAGATGTACGAACAGCTTAAATACACTGTCCTCACTGATGATACCCCGGTGTCCGAGGATCAAGCACTGACTCTAGGTGCGATTCAATACTTCATCGATGAATTCAAAGGTCCGGATTCGAAGCAAGCTGCGCGTCATGGCAGCTTAGAGAATGAGCCACTATCGACATCAGATGATATGATCAAAGCGATGCTCTTAGCCTTAGAGCAAGATCTCGAAGGATCAAGCCACCAAAAACAAAAGCAGGAGTACAACGAAACGCCGACTCTTCAAGACGGCACTCTCAAAATCGCCTTTCCTACTCGTCTTCTTCAGAAAAACTTCAAACAGCGATTCTGGATTAGCTACGAAAAAAACAGAACTCTGCGCTTTCAAAAGTCGAGAGGATGCGTTTAACAGAAAGAAGGAAGCTTTCAAGATTGATATTCCTAGAGCCGAGCTGACTTCTGATGTCTCAATCAAAGAGAAGAAGTTTATTGTAAAAATCAAGCCGCATACAAGGTAAGAAGATGTTTAGTATTTTGATTAGAATTTAACCATTAATAGTCTTTCGAAAACTACCTCCTGTATAAAAAACTTAAATAAGAACTTACGGTAAATGCCTCTATACTGGGTGAAGTTCACCTGGTGAAAAACTAGGTGTCTGGTGAAAGACTCAATATTAATGACTGGTTAATACTGAATCGAAAGTAAAAAAGATCATTTTATTTTGGCGGTGGCAAGATGATGAGATAGGTTTTTTAATAGACTTCTAGCATGACGGGATTTCGCCAAAAGCGCTCTTGATTTTCGATGAACGGTCGCATGTGCTTTTGAGGTTGATATTGAAGATATATAAATAGTATAAATGGTGGTCCATGCAAGAGTTACGAAAATTAATAAACCAAGCCTGAAGCACAAATCTTCGGACGACGGGCACGTAAACTTTTCTGTATAAGTGGACATATATTTCTGAGAAGGTGCTTATAGGCGTGTTAATTGCATTCCAAAAGAAGTAGACCCATTCCATCACCGAGGCCCTATAAGAAAGCTGCGCGTTTTCTTCATCTCGGTATCTTTAAAAGGCTTTCACTTGATTGTTTCTTTTTCGAATGAAAAATTGCTTTCAAGCCTATCCTGTTGATGATTTTGCCGATAATCTTCAATGTAAAATATACCACCGCCATTTTAATTTCGAATCTACTGACTACATCTAGCTTGAGCTCCACCATTATGACTTTGAGTAAACTGTTTCAAAGTTGCATCTTAGAATTTCTGTCAGCAAAACATCCCTGTTATGTAATAGCCTCTAGAAAGACTTCTAAAGAGAAGATTATTAGAAAATTTTATGTCCTTGAAAACAGAATGTCAAGGACGGCGTTCATGGTGTTGAAAAGTAAATGTTACAGTTATTTTTAACGTTGATTTAGCGACGAGATTTGGCTGAAATTCGAAACTGACCACGATTACTGCAAATGGTTCGCTGCCCTGAAACTTGGATGCAAGGGCCAGACCATGGCCTCGCCTAATTACAGTCTCGAAATTAGTAAGTTAACGTTGAAATGCCTTTATTCTATTTTCCCCTCTAGATAATTTAAAAGAAGTGATCAAAATCCAAACACCAAGTAGCCTTCAAAGACCAGTCACTCTTCGCGATCATCCAAACTTCGATCCAAAGTATTATGTGCCTAGAAGACTACTGCGCAAGCTCGGCCCAGATGCAATCACCCAGCATATTCTTTCCCAGCAAGATTCGATATCAAAAACTGTGAAGAACTGTTCCACAACTGCAAAACGCTATTATATCAACACTTGGCAGCATATCGAAGATGCTGGCTGGGCGTATTTCAATGTTACTTTCAGAAAAGACTCTAAAAAAGCTACTTATCTGGCTCTCTCTAGGTATTTGTGGACGATATTCTCTCTTTTTTAACTGCGTTTTTAGTGAAAAGATCATGAAGCTAGACGACTCGGGCAAAGTCATCATCTCCTGGTGGCTTCAAAATCTAAAAGAGTGGAAGATCAACTGGTACGCAGATCCTAAGCATGTGACCCTGTTGTTCGACAGTGGCAATCAAACCGAGAAAAACGGAGAAGACAGTAATGCCATTGCATTTTTCATTCCAAGCGAAAGAAACCCAACTGGAAACAGAAAAACGCAGGAGTATGAGCAGAGAAGAAAGCTCCAAGGTAATTTCTTTCAAGGAGAATTGCTTTGAACACGTTTTTAGTCGTTCACGAGTACATTGGCGGCTACATGTTCCACTACAAGAACAAAACATCAGAAGCCGACCGAGCCGAGTCCGAGCAAACTTTGAGGAGCATTCTTGAAGTGAGCACGCCTTGGCACAACTAACACATAAAAAATCTTCATTATCAAACAAAAAAAACGCTAATTAACCGAGCAATTATCTCAAGCAGAACCGCCTCTAAGCTAATATTGACATTTGTAAGCGGTATCTTCAACAATCCAAACTTATGCATGATCAAAAAAAGAAAACTAAATGAATCCACTCTTATCAGAAGTTTCTTTCTTTTCACACTGAACTGTTCTTTCTCACATTTTTCGATTCCCTACTTTCAAATCCCACTTTTTGCACTGTACACGACCCAACGTTTCCAACCAGTTATTGACCTAAATCTTCATCAGCTGATTCCTTTGCCAAAATATGAGATTTACATATTTCTTCTTTTAGAAACAAGTGAGTGAGTAAATAGCGATTTGATCGAATGTCCTCCATTTGGAGCCTCACTACTCCTTATGTGAAGAAGTTGCTTGGATGGAAACAAGGCGACGAGGAAGAAAAATGGGCTGAAAAAGCCGTCGATGCCTTGGTCAAAAAGCTCAAGAAGAAAAAAGGAGCCTTAGATGCCCTTGAAAAAGCGCTGAGCTTGCGAACACACCAGACAGAATGTGTAACAATTCCAAGGTCGCTCGACGGTCGACTTCAAGTTTCTCATAGGTGAGAGTCTCTTTGATCTATTTATACAAATAATTTATCTTTGTAGGAAAGGCCTTCCCCATGTAATTTACTGTCGAGTATGGCGTTATCCAGATCTACAGACGCATCACGAGCTCAAGGCGCTTGACTGCTGTCAATTTCCATTCGATGCTAAGCAGAAAGATGTAAGATATTCTCGTTAAGACTTCTCTTATTTTCTCAATAGGTGTGCATTAATCCCTATCACTACACGCGAGTGGAATCCCAAGTTTTACCCCCTGTTCTAGTGCCTCGATATTCCGAGTCTGTCGCGAGTCACAGGTATTATTCTTGTACGAATTCATTTTGATCCGATTTTCCAGCATGCTCAACGGAAATAACCCGTGTCCGGTGCCACCCTCTCCTGTACAAAGCCGTCCAAACGCTCCACCAATGCCTCCTAATCAGACCTACGCGCAAAACGGCTTCCCTCCCAACTTCCTTCACCCTGGTCCTCACGGCCCTCCACATCCCAACATCCCGACATCTCAGGCTCCTTCGCCGTACGGTGACCCGCGATTTCCTCCACACTCAGTGATGCCAGGAATGCCTGCTCACGGGGCGCCTCCACCAGCCCATCCCGGATATCCGGGCGCGCACTATCAGCAGCCATCGCCACAGCAAATGGCGCCAAGTCACATGCCTCGACCGCCAGTCGCCCAGGTCCACTCACCGCAACTTCAAGGCCAAGGAACTGCACCAGAGCAACGCCATCCATCCCCTGCTCCTTCTCCTCCCCATGTTCAAGGGCCGTGGTCACCATTTGGTCAATCTCCGCCGGCGGATATCAAGAAGCAGCCTCCCATGACACCTCCTACTACGGGACACGATCAACATTCGATCCAAAACGGCTCGTCTCCTCCACCATTTGCCACGCCTCCATCCCCTTCCTCGCCAATTTCCACGCCCATCCCTCCTCTTTCACCAGTTTCTTCGGCAAGTATGATGATGCCTCCCCAGTCTCCAGGTGCACTGTCTACTGAGTCACTCGACGAGTCGATGCAATTCTCCACAGACGGCGAGATCACAAAAACAGAGAAGACGACAGGATTAGGGCCACCAGTCGAGCGAGAAACTGGCCGGCTCAACTTGACACGGAATCCTTCCTACCGTCCCTCCAGACATCCATCACAGCCCATCGTAACACTTGCTGGAAAGTTCCCTTCCTCATATTCTTTTTCCTAGGCCTTCGACCAGGTGTGCTACTCAGAGCCAAAAGATTGGGCGACGCTGTGCTACTACGAGTTGAACAACCGAGTTGGAGAAACTTTCAATGTTCATGTTCCTAGCGTTGTTGTCGATGGGTTCACCGATCCTAACACGAGTCCGAATAGATTCTCGCTTGGTTTATTGTCGAATGTAAATAGAAACTCGACCATTGAAAATACCAGGCGCCATATCGGAAAAGGCAAGCTTTTTTTCGACATTCAGGGAGTTATATTGAACTCTAGGCGTTCATCTGTACTACGTCGGCGGCGAAGTATACGCAGAATGTCTCTCCGATTCAGCTGTATTCGTCCAGTCCGTGAACTGCAACTACCATCACGGTTTCCACCGCTCGACAGTTTGTAAAATTCCTCCAGGTTGCTCCCTCAAAATCTTCAACAATACTGAATTCGCTCAACACCTATCGCAATCCGTCAACTACGGCTATGACAAAGTCTTTGAGCTGACTAAGATGTGTACGATTCGAATGTCATTCGTAAAAGGTAATTCTCAAAAATCCGGTCCTGACCTGTTTTAGACGGATGATTCCATCCCAGTCATTTCAAGGTCGTCAGCAATTTCATGAATAATTTCGCGTGCTGAACATCTATTCTCCGTCCACAAGGCTTAAAATTCCCCATTTATTGGCGCCAAGACGGCTCCGCATCTGCATTAATTATATCTATCTAATTAAACTGATATTTGCGATGATTCAGGGCTCAAGAATTTATCTGATATTAAGGATGGGGCGCAGAATATCATCGACAAGACGTCACTTCAACTCCTTGCTGGATCGAAATCCACCTCAATGGGCCGCTACAATGGCTCGACAAGGTGATAACGCAAATGGGCAGCCCATCACAGCAAATATCTTCTGTCTCCTGATCACGTGAATGCCCTCCCTTAATTATGAGTCATAATTTATGACTCGAAATATGAAGTCAAGTGCCTTAAAATATGTCCCCACTTCCTAGTGTATGCAATTTGTTATCTATCAAATAACATTCGTTCAATTCTCACTCTAGCGTGCTTCCACAATCAATCCATTCTTGATCAAAAGAATACCTTTTGACAATCTCAATCTCGCTCATATTTTTCCTTTCCCTCCGAATAGCTCCATTCTTATTATATTCTTATTCTTGCTGTATAGTTCCATCTAAAGTTTAGATTCTAAACAAAAAAACACGAAATTCCCAACACTTTCCAACCCAAGATTTTCACCTTATCATGCCTTACATGTGATATTCTACTGGTATTTTATTACATTACTCGATTCCTTTATTGACCGTACAAGTTGAAACATCTTTGAAACAACTTTTTATGAAATTGTCCGCTAAAAAATAAGGAAATCCTCTTTTCTGCTTCCAAGTGAAAATATTTTATATAAATAAAAAATACGAATACTGACACTTACAATTGTAAGACTGGTTGTTGACAATTGAATTGATAAACGGCTCTGGAGCCGAGTGAGAAACTCAGGGCATGCTGTGGTCTTTAGCGTGTAAAAGAGTTCCTACTTTTACTTGTTTAGGAATCGGATTTTCAGTACTCTTGTTTCAGCAGGATTAATTCTATCGACGATGATTCATTTTACAGACATTAGATCATTGATCAAACATTTCTTCTATTTTCGTCATTTCGTTATTGTCGAGTATAAAAACTGCCAGTTGAAAATCATCATCAGTAAAACGCCTTTCGTATAGAATGGATATATACAACCAAGTAACGGCGCAAGGCGACAAGGTTAGAGAGCTGAAAGCGGCAAAAGCAGCTAAGGAAGAAGTTTTGGCGGCCGTTGATGAGCTCAAAAGCTAAAGATTGAATACAAGTCGCAAACTGGCCAGGAATATAATAAAGGAATAGTCTCTAAATGAGATTTTTGCATGTCTCAAAGCATAAGCCACAGATGTAGACTTTTAAATAAGACGTTCTTCCTGGAGATTCCTCCGGCGCACCCGCTGCAGCACCAAAGCAAGATCTTGTTACTCCTTGGGACGTAGAAGCTGCTGACGACGAAATCGATTATGATAAGGTAAATTCGAAATGAATATTCTTCATGAAGAATTTACCAAAATCTGCCGCTTGCATGAAATTTTCATATTGTTTTCCGTTAGTTGAAATTTATTAGCTTATTGAACGATTTGGCTCCTCGCCGATTACGCCTGAGCTATTGGAAAGGTGTGAGCGTCTCACTGGAAAGAAAGTGCACCGATTTTTGCGACGTGGAATATTTTTCTCCCATCGGGAGTTCGAGCAAATCCTCGATCTGTACGAGCAGAAGAAGCCATTCTATCTTTATACTGGCCGAGGTCCTTCAAGGTAATACTTTTTGAAGATGAATCCAACGATGAAACTGATTCTAGTCAAGCCATGCATCTTGGGCATTTGGTCCCCTTTATCATGACCAAATGGCTTCAAGATACATTTGACGTCCCACTAGTCATCCAACTTACTGATGACGAAAAATTCTTGTGGAAAAACCTCGAGCTTGAGGAATGCGAGCAACTTGCCAAGGAGAACTCAAAAGACATCATTGCTTGTGGATTCGATGAAGACAAGACCTTCATCTTCTCGGATTTGAACTACATTCCATCTTCGAAAGCGTTCTACTGGAACATGAAGAGAATCGAGAAGTCCGTCAATTATAACCAAATTAAGGGAATCTTCGGATTTGGAGATTCAGATGCTATGGGAAAGATTAGTTTCCCTGCCATTCAAGCTGCGCCCAGGTAAGATCTAATCCCATGACTAAACTCAAAAATAGCCGTCTCAAATATAGCGATGGCTGGGATTTTTCCAGATGTTTGTCGGTCTTGAATGTAACTCACTTGTTCTAGTTTCTCCGGCAGTTTTCCACAGATCTTCAATGGAAACTTAGATGTTCCCTGTCTCATCCCTTGTGCGATCGACCAAGATCCCTACTTCCGAATGACCAGAGATGTCGCTCCGAAATTGAAGCCTCCAGGGCTCCCAAAGGGTGCTAAAGGTTTACGAAAGCCAGCCTTGCTGCACAGGTTTGTTGATTACGAATTAAAATCATTCCTTGTTCATAATAACTTATTATTAATAAGCGTCTTCTTCCCTGCTCTCCAAGGCTCGAAAACAAAGATGTCCGCCTCAGATGCGACCACATCGATTTTCCTGACAGACACGCCAAATGAAATCAAGAAAAAGATTAATAAATATGCCTTCTCGGGCGGACAGGTAAGCATGAAATAACGTAACGATTTTTATTTATTCAAAGGGGTAGACGATTATATATTTTTATAATTTGGTAAAAGCTTACGTAATAAAAATGATAGGTCGATGTGGAGACGCATAGGAAATTGGGCGGAAATCCAGATATCGATACGTCATTCCAGTATTTGAAATTCTTCCTCGAGGATGATGAAGAACTCGCGCAGATTGAAAAGGACTACAGAGCGGGTAAACAACTCATATTCTAATTTTTTCAACAATAACTGTCTTCAGGTAATCTGCTAACCGGCGAGATCAAGCAAAAGTGCATCGCTTGTCTTCAAGAATTGGTAAAAGAACATCAAGAAAGAAGAGTAAACGCGACACCAGAGAAGGTTCAAGATTACTGGGCGATTAGAAAGCTAAAGTACGACTTCCCTGACCCTCCTAAAAGTAAGCCATGAAGCTTTTACTTTCCATTCATCCGATTTATAGTTGAAGAGAAATCTGGGAAGAAAGAAAAGAAACGTGGTGGCGCAAAGAATCAGAAGTGAGCTGTTCTGAGGAGATTTTAAGTTTTATAACATCAGATTATCTGAGTTATAATTGGTGTTTGTCTATTAGGTTATAATTAAAATACTTTCTGTATGTGGTAAAGGATCTGTTGAGTTCAACCGAACCGCTAAATAAATAAATAACCAGTTCAAAAACTTTCAAATGAAATATGAATACAATTAAATTTCAAGGTTTCATTGAACAAAATCTTGATATTATTGTTCTGAGCATTCGTACTGGAATTGCAGGCGTTCTAGAATCATTTGTAGGACTTGTTGACAAAATGCAGGCAAAAGCTCAGTTATTTCGTAGCAAGCGAAGATGTCGCATCGAATTTGCAAGAGGTAGGCTTCCCTTCTTTTTCCACTTTCGCGCGGCATCTCAAGTGAAGGCGTTCGGAGATCATGGGTAGGGAAACTCGATGAAAAATGAGCTTTTTAGGGCTTAGTAGGGAGGAAGTATAATACAGTTTTAGAAAGCCCAGGAGCTGGGGATCATTTTGACTATTGATAGTAAGGGGTTTGACTCATGCCCTGGGGCACTTTTGGCCTTCAAAGGGCCAAATTTCTGGTACTCTTCGGATAAGGGACCGTAACTTCTAGTATCCCGGTCTATGGAAATAAAACTTATACTCGGTTGTAGAGGAGGCTCTGACGGTTCCAAATATGTATAGAAAACCACCGGGACCCCCACCTCTAGAAGGTGCTAGAGGCTCTAGAAGTTGAGGAAGTCAACCAAAAATCGGTACTTTTTGTCAAAAAGTGCTGGAAATGCTGTATTTTCATTCGAAATCGATTAAAATTACATTTTTGATGATTCTGTTAGATTAAAAATAAGTTTTGGGGTAATTTTGGGCACTTTTAGGTCATCAAAAGCGAAAACTAGAATTTGCTGAAAATTCACCTCAAATGACCTCAACTGAAATTTTTGAATATCACAAAATCGCTAGAAATTATTTATAATCGATTTCGAATGAAAATACAACAATTCCAGCCATTTTTAGGCAAAAAGTACCGATTTTTGGTTGACTTCCTCAACTTCTAGAGCCTCTAGCGCCTTCTAGAGGTGGGGGTCCCGGTGGTTTTCTATACATATTCGGAACCGTCAGAGCCTCCTCTACAACCGAGTATAAGTTTTATTTCCATAGACCCGGGATACTAGAAGTTATGGTCCCTTATCCGAAGAGTACCAGAAATTTGGCCCTTTGGAAGGCCAAAAGTGCCCCAGGGCATGAGTCAAACCCCTTACTATCAATAGTCAAAATGATCCCCAGCTCCTGGGCTTTCTAAAACTGTATTATACTTCCTCCCTACTAAGCCCTAAAAAAAGCTCATTTTTCATCGAGTTTCCCTAATCATGGGTTCTTGGGACCGGCCGTTGCGTTTCCAGAATTCGAAAGTGGTTGGTTGCTTTCACTGATTAAGAAGTTCTCGCTTTCCAAACAGAAATCTTTTAGCAATGTCTACTCTGAAGAGACCGAGGCAAAAGCCAAGTTCCGAGCTGAACGCGCCACTCCAACTGACGTTTTGAATGTTAACGAGGATCCAAGTCCTTCCGAAGGTCCCGTGCAGAAACGCCCTGCCAAGAAAATTGTCGAGGAGGGCCATATCTCCAGCAAAGATAACGATATCTTCGGAATCCGAGAGCGAACCACCGGTGAAAAGACAAGTAAATATACTTTATATTGATTGTTGTTTTCAAATTTTCTTTAGCTATCCACGAGCACGACCTTATGGACGTCACCCAAGCCAACAATCCCAGCACATCCTAAAGCTATTCGAAAATCATGATATCCATAATCAGATGCGCACAAAAAGAATCTGTGTAGAGCTGTACAAATTCAATAAAGACGATGATCTATCTTTCAAAATTTGTAATTCAAATCTTATTGGAAATGTAAATAAGCTCGAAGATACCTGATTTGGATTTTGGAGAATGTAAATGAGATCTGTTTTTGTATTCTTGTGCAGTCTCGTAGCCGCAGAGGTGAGATCTTGGTCGGCTTGGACGCCATGCTTTTGAAAGAGGAGAGATTGCAGAGAACGCGCGAGGAAATATGCACCGAGAGATGTTCACATCCAGTGAAAGAAACTAGCTACGAATGCGAAGCTAGGCCGGTTTTCAGCGCATGGATGAGGTGGGAACCATGTTCAGTAAAGCAGGGTCTATGTCAGCGGTCGAGGAATCGGCTTTGTATGCAGAATGGACTGCTCTATGCACAAGATTCTTATCGATTCATTACTGACTACCGAGTTGTCCCTCGGAACTTTTCATCTTTCACCGATGCTGAAAAATTATGTGGATCGGTAAATTCGTTTAAAATATCAGTCTTCATTAGATTCAGTCTGCTGAAATCAAGGAAGACCCCAACCGGTTGACATTCTACGCCCTTGATAGAACGTCAACTCTTTGCGGCGCTCATCAATGTGGAATCAAATATCCAGTTTCAGAAAGAATACTAGTCGATCTCAAAATTGAGGATCCTTGGACCAGAAAGCTCTTCAACGGAGTTTATATAAAATTTGAAAAGAGACGAAAGAACTCAATAAACGCGAAAATGACCATTTGGAGAAAGCGGGATATGAGACGAATACTTTTCTATAAGAACTCAGAAGATCAAACATGGAAGATCTTGAGAAAGAAGTTTTTCAAGACGCAAATAGAAGCGATCACTCTATTTCCAAGAAATTTCAACGAGTCGGATCCAATTAAGTCAGAATTTCTTGATTGCCAAGGTACTTATTGAATATTAATTTTATCTTTTTTAATTAGAGACGAGATCACAACCGTGGACTCAAACAACCTCCTGTGCGCCAAAGCACTTCCCCCTGATACGACCTTCGCAGGATATTGATTCTGTGAATATCATCGCTCAGCAGGTGAGCATGTATTAGAATCCAAATCATCTATCATGAACAGAGCTCACTGATAAGGGGAAGGCATCCAATACTCGATGAAACTGACGAAAAGAGCATCTGTCGAAAACGAATTCAAAACGACTTTCCCCTGTATCAAGGTCGCTACGATCTGGTTGCCTTCAAAGACTATCAAGAAATTTTTGGCTCAGAAAGTCAAAAAGTTATTGCTGAATCCGATGGCCACCCAGTCTTTAGAAACCAAAATGTATTCCTTCAGTACATTTACGATAAAGCAAGTCCACATGTGAAAAATGGAGCATGGATGTTCTTTTATCTCGAAGCTACCGACTCTACTGTCCATAGATATTTCGACTTTATGGTAAGATTTCGCTGGTAATCTTTTTATGTTTTTATCTAGGTAACATCTATCGACAACTACTCAAACTTTACCCCCAAAGATCTCATCGGAAAGCTGAGATTCCATGTCATCAACCACAATGTTGATCTCGACAACATCTTTATTGCTGAAAATGGCTGGCTTGACTGTGGAGAAAATGATATTTTTTATATTGAATAAAAACTTCGGGAATGTATTTACAGTGAGTCATCTAGGTACAGAGAAATATAGTTTGAGATAGTTCAGTAAGATGGTGGCGCATTCATGTACCACTTTTGCTTAGAGAGTGCGGTGTTTGGTCGAAGTTCTTTGAGTGGATGAGCGAAGATTTCCTAGGAAAGTAAATTTTTGATCGATGTTACTTTCCAAATTTTTACCTCAAAGGAAGAGTAGCCAAGAATACCATTTGGATCATTAGTCCCAATGGTGTCGTTTTGAAATAGAAGATGTGTTCTAAAAAATTAAACAAGGCGTTAGAAACTTGGTACTCACTTTTCCCATGTTCCCATCTTATGGCAGAAAGTGCATGTACTTGGTCTTCCTGGCAAAACCCAACCCGGTCTAAAATATTTCTTGCTAAAGTTCCAAGCACGATAGTTTCATTCACCTGCATTGCATGGTGTAAATATTTCGTGCGCCGTGAGCGCTGCCCATGTTCTGACGCTCGTGATTCTGGCACTCATCGAGCTTCATACAACCAGATCGGAAGATAGCTACGCCATGAGTTCTTCGGAAATTCACGTGACATGTCATTGAGGGATTTCGACAAGTTTCGAGACGATTTGCTTTGATACAGTCCTCGGCAGTTTCACCAACGCATTTTCGGCAGTATCGATATTTTCCAAAGATTTCAGGATCAAGTTTAACTAACTCATTTAAAAAGAAGAATTCGCCTTATATTACCTAAAGCTGGCCGAGTCACACGAGGACGAGTAGTCCTTGGAGCGCCTCTTGTAGTTGGTCGCTTTGTTGTTGTTGTCGATTTGGTTGTAGTCGTTGTTGTTGACGTAGTTGTTGAGGTTGTAGTCGAAGTTGTAGTTGACGTCGTTGTAGTTGTTGATGGTGCTGTTTTTGCTGCTAAGGCTGCTTCTCGCGCTTCTTTTCGTGCTTTTCTGATGGCAATGATTCGTTGTCGCCGGGCTTCTTTTCGTTCAGCTTCAAGTGCTGCTTCTTTTTCCTTTTGTGCGGACTGTCTTTCCGCCTCAAGCGCAGCTTGTTTCTCTTCTTCTGCCTTCTTCAGAGCTTCTTCTTTCTCTCTTTCAGCTTGCTCTCTTGTCCGCTTTTCGGCTTCCTCAATCGCGGCTTCGCTACTTTTTCTCTCTTCCTCTCTAGCTAACTTTTACAGGGCTTTTAGCCGAAAAACTCTTATCTACGAAATCTCTCTAATCACAAGACCGTTTCCTGAGCCGCTGCCTGAGCCGATTCCTGAGCTAGTCTTGCTGCAGCTTCTTCCATCGCCTTCTGAAAGGCAACTAAGTCGACTCCATTTGGGCCCATGAAATCCATTATGTTGACTCCGAGGCCACCCTGGCCTCGAGTTACGTTGATCAAAGCAAAAATGAGTAAAAATATCTTCATTTTTTGAATGTCCAAGAAATGAAAATGTTTTAACCGCGGACTAAACTTTATTGAGTGCCTAAATGTCAGCCGCCACGTTCTAAAGAGAGGTTTCGTAACGCTCGATTTAGTTCCCAGAAGCTTTTGCTAATTGTCGATTTTCCTCTTCCCACATCTTTTTACATGTTCAAATTGGATTGTGTATTCTTAAAGCCTAGAATGTACAGAAAAGTGCCAAAGTCTTTTTCTAAAAGCGAAAATTTAAAGGTTAACAGGCGGCTGCTCGTGCGTTCCGTAGAGATCTAGACTCCATGAGATTATTTCTCTCTTCGGGTCTCCATTTTGATGAGTTCCGTGGTTCGCGAATCTCCTAAATTTTTATAGGTTTGCTTAGATTTAGATACTTTACTTTCTTGGTAGTTTTTGTCTTTCTTTTATGCTAAGAATCCATGCCCCGCGCGGTTGTTCTCCCCAAAATTGAACCGAACTCATTTTCCAACCATTCAAATGCCGATTCTGCTGGCTTTTAAGACCAATATTCGCTGCCTAAATACCCTTTCAAGATTTTTTTCCGCACTCATCATTACCTCGTCATTCGGTCTGTAGTCCAGGAGCGTTGAAACAACCTTATCCCTAGGTGAGCGGAGTTCAATCTTCAGATTTCCTCTTTTGTATGGGTATCGAATCTAAGTAAAATAATAAGAGTTGAAGACTTAAAACATTTGTGTAACCTTGACGGACACAACCACATGTTCAAGGAAAAAGGGACAATCGGACATATGATCCGTCACAAATAAATGGGTTGTTTTCGCCGTAAACTCTTCCCTGGGCCTTCTCCTTGGATCTTTGTCGAATTCTCCAGTCGCGTCTAGACGCAGTTGTTTGTTAAACTATCAAAAATCATGGTCAAGGCTGACATACTGTAAGGTGTGTTCTTTGGGGGCCAGTCAAGTTTACAGTGTCGCTGTTCGCCAATTACAGAAGGCCATCGCTCCGCGGTTTCGATGAATTTTAAGGCATCTAAGAGTCCGAAACCAAATGACTCGGATGTCCAGAAGCCTGCGTCATTTTGCTGCCAATTTACTTCTGAATTTTGTTGTTGTTACAAGATAAATATGGTTAGGTTTATACGGGGTACGTTCAACAAGATGGCAGTGAGGATAGATTAGTTTCTTCACTGCATCCGTGCTAAGAAAACATATATGCCAAAAAATTTTATTAAGGTTATGGTTTGTCTTCAATAAAAATATGGTAATTACTTCTTTCATCAAGTCGAAAATGATGTCCAGACGATTCGATGGACTTTTTTGAACTTCTGACAACAATGTGCTGAACATCTCTCCAGGAAAGACTTGGATTCGCTTGCAACCCGAGCGCGATAATTCCTGCTCCAAATGGTGCCACAGCAGATGTTCCGCCAAAATCTTGCTCGCAGGTATTGTTTATAGAAGTGGTGCAGATTTCGGTCGCGCCGGCAAGGCCATTGTCACCAGTGTTCGAGTAGATCGTGCTCATAACCGCAGAACACTTTTCTAAAGGAATGTTCCAACCTTTGCGAACCTTTAAATGCCACCTGAATATGAAGGAGGCTGACCAAAATGAGTGGCCGCGGCAAATGTGATCGTGTACATGGATCCTGCGTATCCATCTGCCCCACAATCGTCGCTACAAATATTCCAATCTATTTCTTGATTAAAAAACTACCCTCTTCCAGCGCCGTTTCCACTTCCCCAAACGAATATCGACCCTTTTCCTCCTCTACCATCTCTGGTTCCTTGAGCGAGAGCCGCACTGCCGAGCACTCTTGGTCCATCCATCATGTAACCCGTATCATCCGGTCCCCAGCTTGAATAGGGCTTTTAAAATTAAAGAAAGTCTGAAGAGTGGAAAACAAATCACACGTAACGTGTAATCAATTAACAACCTTTTTAAGAAAGTGCGAGAAAGACCCTGTCCTGTTTGAGTAAATATCAACCAGGTCTTGTCGGTGCGTGAGAGCATCAGCTTCTGTTTCGTCCCTGATTGTCCCGTCTAACATACGTATTCCACCTTTTAAAAGTTGAGAAGGGTTTTTAAGAAAAAAAATATACGATCTTAACTCGATTCCTATATTTGCCTCATGAGCAACTCCGACAATGCATTCGTTATTATTAGCCTTGGCAGCGATAATTCCGGCACATTTGGTTCCATGATTTGGACAATTTCTTCTGTCGCACATCCAGCTATTTGAATCAGTACAAATCGGGCACTTGTTTCCATTGAATTTGTCAAATATTTCGGGAGAAGGATCAGAGTCGTTGCCATTGAGATCGGTCGAGATCTCTAATTTTCATCATTTTGTTTAATGGAAAAAAGAAATCTACCAGGGCTGTAGTTTGGTTCCAGATCGTGATGAGTTCGTTCCAAACCATCATCTGCAACGACTACCTTGACTCCTTTACCACTAAGAAGTCAAATAATTACTGTGTTTGATGATCAGCGCTCGCAGCTAGCTATCCGGTCCCAAATCAGTGCTCTAACCCTACCTGACTCACGTGTAGCCTTTCTTCCACGCAGCTTCGATGTTGTGGCGCCCGATTCTCCATTGATTCTTGAAGCTTGGATCGTTGAAGAGGCCTTTAGAGTTGTGACTGGTTAACCGCACTGAATACGTGGCTTGTTACTTTACTTGTATTGTGGACTTGTTCGAGCGGAGGACGCGGCCAGTATTCATTCTCTGTGGTGTCTACACTCGATGTTGAGTAATCTCCGTTCGGAGAGCAACTTAATTATGTTTTAATCGTCTATTTTAATTCTATTCTAGGGCACTTACTTAGCTGTATAAATGCAGAGCACTTGCTCGTAAAGATCAGCTATATTATCGCAATGCTATTATACAGGATTCAAAATATATTCGTTATGATGCAATTATGGTTATTTAGGATTTATGAATGAGTCCTGAGTACAGCTACTTTGATCATCTGGTGGAAAAGTACTAGAATCGTATAATGGATACGTATATGGCGACAACGTTTCTTGCTCCAACAAGTCAACTGGCCCCTCGGTAAAACTATTCGGGATTATCTCAGTTTCTTCTAAGAAGAAAAAAATGAGTAAAATAAAACACAAAACAAAAGCTTACCATTGACCCGGCTGACTCTCCTCATAGCTGGTCTTCGGCCATATTTTCGATCTGTCAGAATTCTTTCCTCTCCTCTTTTCGTTCTTATGAGTGGTTCTTCAAGGTCAAAGTCGAGCACATCTTTCTCTCGCGCTAGAATTTCTTCGAGAGACTCCGCATCTCTTTTTGATCTGCCTCTCGATTTTTCAACAAAGTAAAAGTTCTCAAATTTCGCCTTCTTTACAGTAAGGCCAAGTTGTTGAAGCTTTTCGACTTCTGCTTCACCTGAGAGTTCCACAACATATCTCTACAAGTAATTTTTGCATGAAGGATCTTATCAAATTATTACCTCAGCAAAAATAGAAATAAATAATAGAAGTAGTTTGAATATCATATCTTTTGCTTCATACAAAAAAGGGCAAAAAGAATCTACAAGAATCCCACCAGAATTAGTCAATTCGATACCTTCGCCAAGTTAAATACCAACACAAATAAAACAAACAAAGTCAATTCCGCTACAGAAGAGTAACAGAAAAGAACCAGGGTAAATGAAAAAGAGAATTTATGAATTAAAAGATAACCTTTCTGACTTTTTTGACTTAAATAATATATTTTGTGCAAGTGTCAAAAGGAAATAAGCAGACAAGCTAAACATAGTCGTGTTGTGCATATGAAAATTCATCGTCGATGTATTTGGAGTAATACTCCATGTCGTCAATGATCCTCAAGTCGTCTTGGAATGAATTTGAGCGGGAATGAAAGAAGCAATCTATGCTGATGATTGTATGATTGCCACTTATAAAATCGTTAGTTATTATTTTTTCTCTTGTCAAAAAAACCTGGATTCACGACTTCCATCAGAACTTCCTCCGTCATCATCATCGTCGAATCCGTCCTCTTCGTTTTCTATGATAGCCAAGTTTTTCTCTTCGCCTAAAGAATTCTCTTCCATAGATGCTCCGGAGCCTGAGCTCGAATCATCTTCGTCATCTTCTTCTGCCTCTGCATCTCCTCTTAAAACATAATTAAGGCTCTAATCATATTGAAAATATATCAACCTCATGTTATAATCAAACAAGTCTGCATCGACCTGCACATAATCGTTGCTGTCATCGTTCTCATCATCACCGTCATCGTCTTCCAACTCCAACTCTTGCTCGAGCCGTTCGAGCTCAAGCCGCCAAGCCGTGTTAGTTCTCGCCAAAACAGCGTGTGATTCCCTTTTTTCGATCTCTTCCTTGATGGCTTCCGTATAGTGAAATTTCGAGCAGGATAGCAAATCGCATTTGAGCCTGCTGCAGTCGTCTGGGTCCATTTGTTCATTCCATCCAAACCTAATATTTCGCGATTTTCTTTCATTCAAATCATTTCTTTACCAAATCAGAAGACACGAATCAACACATCCCCATTGACAGTACTCTCTTGCCGCTCTTTTTAATCTGCTCACCGATTGACTAAAAAACAGTTCTCAAATAGTATTAAAACTATTTTATCTTACTTTAGGTGACAACAAAGACACCCATTCATATTAGATTGAAAAGTAGAAGGATTCTCCGGACAAGGGCTCTATGAATCTTTCAAACAGACATGCTAAACTATTCTTTATTCATCAAACTGGGCAATTTCAGAATACTGTTTCGCGTGAAAATCTACTGTATCATCATCGAATAGAGCCGAAGAAAATTTCCGAATCGTTGATCTTTTAAATAGATTTACGACCGTGGAAAAATGCCTTCATGGATTGTGGATATGATAATCATCCGGTATTTTCATCGAGTGTGTCTTTCATAAAGTCAAGAGAAAACATAATAAGAACCCTTGAATTATGAGAATAGCGAAAAATATAAGCCACAATAGAAGGCTTAATGAAACAGAGCATTTTTCAGGCGAAGAACTTATTTTAAGACAAAATGGAGCACTAGAACTTGCTCTCGAAGATGTAAGCTAATTAAATAAGCTGCCAGTTGGTAGTTCGTTTATTGAAATTTTTAGGAGATAAAAGGATTGGACGTTGTCATCTTTCACGAAACCACGCAAACCAACGTGCTTTGGCATTCCCAAATTCTTATGCCAATGCCTGGTAGCAGTCTTGCTTTTCCGACGATAAGAATATCCATCCCAAGCGATGCCAAACTTGGAAAATATACCGCGAAAGTCCTTGTTAATGAGACACGATTCTCCATTGACTTCTATGTGATCTTCGAAGGACATTCAGTAACAGAAGAAAAGATTGTTATTCCGACGGGATCAGCAGCTCTGGTTCAGACTCAAGAGTTCGAAGTCTCAAAGAACTCTGAAGAGTTCTTGAAGCTGATAATTAATGATATGCGTGGACACTCTATATGTAGAAGTGCCGAGTTCATCAAGTTTTTGATAGCAAAGAACAGGGATAGAAGCCACAACTCTGTCTTTCAATATTCTCAAGATGCAATATCATGTCATGATTGTTATGGTTAGTAAAATAGCTTAGAATACACCAAAAAAACACCGCAATATCGACGATATTATATCGTCCAGTTTGGATGTCTTTGTTAGTTGCAATTATTTCAATGGAATGACGAAGACAAAACTCAGAAAGCTAACACCCTAAAAGCTTAACTTCTCAATACACGTGGTCCAATCATTGGACCACGGCGACTTTGACCCCCTGTAATTCCAATTCTAGTAATCTTTTTGACCTGAATTTTGTAATGTGAGTTGACAAGACGGAAACGAACCACTGTGAGAAATTTCGAATGAAAACTCAAAAGTGGTGGCGTTTTGCGCCAGATTTCTCTTTCACTCTTTGGTGGAAAATCAGAGCTGATTTTTCGATTTGCAATTGTAAATTTTTATAAAAGAAGGTTCAAGCTTTCTAGCAATGAATTTACGAGCTTTTTTACTTGACGGAAACGTCAATTAGAGCCAAAAGTCCTGAGCGCTATTTTTCACACTCTGAATTTGGCGCGCCGCGCGGGGCTGGATAATGCATTGTGGTCCAATAATTGGACCCCGTGTTTTGAGCGCTTAGTCGCGCGCCCGTGTAATGAGAAGTTAACCTGTTACCGTAACAGAATTTTAATTTTAGCTAACTCTTTCGGCAGTCTCGAAAGAGTCGCTGCCCTTGTTGGTGCCTGCTTTATCTTTGGCTGTAAATCAGAGATTTTATGCTCTTTTCATTCTCATAATTTCAAGAAGAGTTTTGTAGTTAATTTATTAATTTCCACATTATTTACCGCTTTGCTATAAACTCACTGAAGAAACCAGTCGTTGAAGAGTTCTGGAAAGCTAAAATTAACAATTTCTATTTTTATGTTGATCATCTAAACATGGTAAATACTGAAGATGGAACAACCATAAATTATCGGAAGAACCCATTTCAATTACTCTTTGAGCAGCCTAAAGCTGTCCGCAGTAATCCCCAGGTAATTTCAGAGCTATAATCAGGTTCATAATTTTACTATGATTAGAATTCTTCAATCAACTATGAAGACGTTACTGAATCGCTCCTTGAAATCAAAGACGATAACAAGAATCTTTCAACTGCACTGCTAAATGCGAACCGCGGAGATTTCAAACTTAAAATATCAGTCCCACCAAACAAACATTCTGGCAAACTTGACGGCCAAGCAGTTATTTCCGATGCTGAGGGAAACTTGATCACAATTTTGGCGGAAAATTTCTCGATCGCGAAGATCCCAGGGAGAAAATCGCCTGTACAAGTTGGTGTCGACATAGAATACAAATCTTATGAAAAATATCTGGCTCCAGGAAGATTTATTCGTCTGGCTTTTCGATACAGCACCAGTAAAGAATCGAGACTTGGCTTTGTCTCACTTCCAATAACCGACCCTCGACCAAAGGAGCTTAAAAGATATTTTACTGGGTAAAGCTCTTTTTCCATTACCCCTATTCAAACCAAACTTCAAGTGCCATGATGTCTTCTGATGGTTCGCCATTAGAAATTGTTCTCGATCCTCGAAATATTCATCAGCGAATTCTAAAACCAAAAGAAAACATAATCAACTTCCAAGTTCCTTTTGATGATAAAGAAATAATCTTCAATAAGCTTGAGGACGAGAATCTGACTAGAGTTAGCTCCTTAGATCTGTCAACAATAAAATTCCCAGACAGAAAACCGACTCGGTAAACTGGCTATTTGCGCTTTTCGACCTAAAAATTCTTTTAGACCAGTGACAGTCTCCTGTCAACTGAGCCAAAGTATCTCAAAAAGCATCACTCGTCCGAACTGGCCACTCCCGCCGCCTCAGAAAAAGCTTCATCAAAAAGCGGATTCAATCTCTTCAGAAATCAGCTCAGCAGCTTCGCTCAGCTCAATTACTTCTGAACTCACATCGACAATGACGGAAGATACTGCTTCAACGATAACGATGCCGTCCAAATTGTCGACATTCTCAAGCCACTCTTCTGTGACGCAAAAAGTCAAAAAACGTTGAGTGATATTTCTTCTGTCACGGACACTGACTGCGACACAGAATCAACCCTTACTGAAGCATCAGTCAATACAATCAAAAAGCAGCCGAATCCGTACCAATTCAAGCAGCAACAAAAGCAAATTCCTGCAAAACAACAACTAAAACCTGTGACATACGACATCATGATCGTTCCTCATCGACACTTCCAGGACGAAGCGGATTCGGCCCTCTCTTCTGGCGATCTGAGGCTTATAATCTCAGGCACAAACGGGAGAAAATCAAAGTACTTTGAACATTCAGGAGATTGATTCTAATCTATCTTTCAGCGAGTTGGTTGTCAAAAACAGGACATGCTCTCTAAAAGATACTGACGCAATAGGAAAGCCAAAAGAAGTCGTGATAAAACATTCAAACTCAGACAGAGTCTGGCTTTTGGACTACGTCTGCATCAAGAGCAATCAATATGGAAGGCAATTATTTCCGTTCAATGACTGGTTTGACCAGTACTCTGTAAGTTGTGCCCTATCTAATAGGTGTAAGAAACATTTCCTCAGTACAAGCTTCAAACTCGAGAGAAGACTCGGTTTCATGTCGTCCTCAGCACCGGAAAGAAAGGAATGGAATTGCTAAGGGAAGATGTTCAGATAATCATATCAGGACGCTCTCGAAAAAGGCATGAAAATACACAAAACATTTCAGAATTCATATTTTTAGCAATCGCTGGAATCTTGGCTATTCAAATCCACATCCCCAAGCCTCTCAACGGTTCAATGCCTATGAAACGGACATTTTTACTTTGACAGATGATGATGTTGGCAAGCCAGAGTCCATCTTTCTTTGGATCCCTCAGAAGAATAAGAAATGGTTAACTGACATATTCTTTAGTATAATTCTAATTTTACCAAGGTCGGTCGATGCTGCGGAGCTGCGAATATTCAGATCGGCGGATGCATGTCTTAGAAATGTTCCTGATGAAGTTGTTACCTTCAAAATTCTCAAGCCCTATTACAAGAATGAATTTACCTTGTACAGTTCCTGACAATCATTGACCTGGAATTCTAGCCTGACTGCAAAAATATATCTCTAGAAAAAAGAGCCTTAATTATTTACCGTTATTGTCGATCAAAAATCTACAGTTAGAGTCAATAAAAGTAAGTCAATAATAATTTTATGACACCTTACGAAAAAACCACCATTCTGAAGACATTCCGCATTTTTTGAAAAACGCACTCGACCTTGAGTCAACAATAAACTCAGAATCGGCGCCTGAAGCTTCATTGCCAGATTTTCGCATCTGGATAACCGAAAAACTCGAAAATCTGCCGAGTGGAAAATCGCCCGTTGAGATTTTTTTGCATTTCGCATTTCATTCCGTGCAAAATCGAAATAGAGAGAAGATGGTGGACGACTGGTTTGAAATTAAAAAGAGATATTTGGTAAAAGAGACTATTGGATCTGGTGGCTTTGGAAAGGTTAAAAGAGCGCTCCATATTGCCACAACTGAGACTGTAGCTATAAAGGTACTGAAACTAACTTTGACTGGGAATACTAAAAATTCAGGTGATGGACAAAGCAAAACTCGGCGCCGACCTTCCCCGCGTGAAAACAGAAATAAAAGCGCTACGAAGTCTCCAGCACCCGCACATTTGCAGACTTTACGAAGAAATCGAGACTGAAAATAAAATCTTCTTGGTGCTAGAATACTGCTCTGGCGGCGAGCTCTTCGATTACATCGTCGAAAAAGATCGACTAAAGTATGTTTACTTTAGTAATTTGCTCTAATTTTTTTTTCTAGTGAAGATGAAGCGCGCCAATTTTTCCGTGAAATATGCGCTGCAGTTGCTTACATGCATAGTAAGGTAAAGAGTTTTTTAAAAAGAGCAGTATTATTCATGCTTCTAGGGTTTCGCTCATCGAGATCTCAAGCCAGAAAACATCCTCATCGACGAGGACCACCGCATCAAACTGATCGATTTCGGCTTATGTGCCAACCCCGACGCGGGAATCGACTCTGCCCTCGCCACCTGCTGCGGCTCTCCAGCTTATGCTGCTCCTGAACTTGTCTCTGGTCGAAAGTACATTGGCCCAGAGGCGGACGTTTGGTCCCTTGGCGTACTTTTGTACGCGCTTCTCAACGGCTTCCTGCCCTTTGATGATGATAATATGCCGACATTATATAAGAAGATAAAAAGTGGAAAGTACGACGTGCCGGAATGGCTTTCCAGTGACTCGACATTTCTACTAGCAGCGTTACTACAGGTACTGATAAGGAATTAAACCTCCTCTAAATGAATTTTAGGTTGATCCAAAAGCGGATAACCATGCGTCGATTATTGAACCACCGCTGGCTGACCAAAGACCACCTCTCTCCCGTTGATCCGTCTTCGAAATACGATGACAAAACGCTTGACGAGGAACTCCTTACTAACCTCGCCATCGGTTTAGGCTGGTCGAGACCGAATATGCGAGAAGAGCTGCTCAAGTGGAAGTTCGATGCTCTCACGGCAACTTATCTTTTGGTAATGATCATTAATTTGCATGATTAATATAATTATTGTTTTTGTTTTTGAGACAAGAAAGTAAATAATTTTAGCTTCAACTTCGTCGCACTCAAGGAAAAACCGGCAAGATCATCGACACTGTGCCCCTCAAAGAGTTTGTCAAAGGTGATGCTGAAAAAGAAAACCAACCGATCTCGTCGTCCACGATTCGCCGGGAAAAGCGAGTTACGCGCCGGGCCGTTGTTCCAAAGATCTTCGATCTCGAATCGAGCAAAGCAGTCCTTGCAAAAGTAAGCCGTTGTTGTTTTCATGTTTACTGATTTGATCTTTTCAGACTATCGGCAACCGTTGACTCCGCAGAAGCCTGCGAGAAATGCTAACAAGAACTACAACGAGGTCTACTCGTCTTCGGACTCCCTGGATATCGATGATATCCTGGCGACGCCGCTCAAAACTTCGAATGACGAAGAATTCAACTTTCAATCACCAGGTCTGTGAGAGAAAGAAAAACAAAACTAGCTCATTCTTAGAGCCCTTCCGAATTCGAACGAATCGCGGCAATCGAGGGCAATCTGAGAAAACACCAAGACTTCCTATGCACGATTTCAGCGATACACCCAAATCAGTGCAGATAACAAGGAGAGCCAAGACTGCGCCAAAGGATCCAACGGACAGATATTCAAGTCCCGCTGGCAAATCGTAAGTGAAAGAAATATAATAAAGCTTGAATACTTTTATAAGAAAACGACGATCGAAGACCCCTCCAATAAGTTGGATGAGTCCAGTCAAAACTCAAAAAGACTGCGAGGATGGGACGGTTGTGAATACGATGCTTTCTCCTGATCGTCGGACACGCAGCTACGACTGCAATTTAGACACTTTGAAGATGGACGGCGAACCATTGACGCCATCTAAAAGGGCCGCGGCATATTCGGGTCACTTGAAAAAGGAATCGACCAAGTTCGACTACTTCTTACTCCGAGCAAGAAGAAAAACAAGGACTCAGGTGCCCCTCTATTTCTATTCGGATTATTAATAAGTGAATTGAAGAGCCACGAAAGATAAAGGCAGTGTCAAACGTCTCCAGATTGACGAAACAAGAGCCAAAAGTTGTCCTGAAGACAATTCACGAAGTGGTTGTCAAGATGGGCGTTCCGAACCGTGTCAAAGGCTGGGTCGTCCGCGTGCAGAACAGAGACAATATGGGACGGGTAAGATAATAATAAGAAAATATTTTATTTATGCAAATTCAGATTCAATTGGACTTCGAGCTCGAAGTCTGCCGTCTCGGAGGCCGGGCACTCTCTTCCGATGCCAGCTGCGGCGTTCGTCGACATCGAATCAAAGGCGATGCGATGTTGTACAAACGAATGGCCGAGGATATCCTCTCGAAAGTCCTCGTGTAAATTATTTATTTATATTTTTTCATCACTGCCAAATAACTGCTCACCAGATAATTATTCACAACATTCCAAAACAGTGTTATTCCCAAGATTTGTCAATGAAATAAACATGATCTGACAATAAATCGGCTTTTGTTTCTTATATTTGTCTCATGAAGTAGTGAAAGGGTTTTTGGGTTTATCTTGGTCTTTTTGTTTTCTTTGGATCGGAGAGAGCTGTCGGCTTTCCTGACCTACTGAGCAGATAATAAGTCCAAGAAAAGTGACCATGGTGAAGACAATGAGAAGAGGAGAAAGAATGATGTATAAAATAATGAGCAAGAGGGACCATCCAGTTCCTTTGCCTTTGCAATTGAACCAGTCGTATTTCAAATCGACTTTCCAGCATTCATGCCAGCATCGCTGAAAAAGAAATAGAAAGAGGCCAGTTTTCATTCACTTACCCTGCTTCGATGATGCAAATTGAAGACATAACAGCTCATCAAAAACGGTCCAAAAAGGACTATGAATGGAAAAAGCACTAGAATCCAGCCCGCACCCTTTCCATGAAACGAATACCAACTTATATTCGTGTCATAGTACCACGCTTGGTCCATGAATTTCGATAACAATCCTGGCTCTTTCTGCGGCTTTGGGTTGGTTGAAGATGCTTCCGACTTTTTCGGCTTGCGATTTCGTTTTGGTCGTTTCGGAGGTGGTTTCACGAGTTTGAGTCCTGGAAGCGACTGAGGCGGCTGAGAACGATTTTGATTGATATCTGTCGACGTATGTGGGGGCTTAGAAATCGGTTATTAACAGCTTAACCTCGTCTTCTTACCTTGAAAACAATTCTTGTGACACTCTCGATGTCACTTGACGAGCAACTGTCCTGTTTACGCCGGCTATCAGCGTTGCATGTTGTTGTCGAAGAAGGATTCCTTGACCTTGATGATTTTATTCGAAGTCGATCAACTGGCTTCTGCTTTTGAGTTCTCTCCATTTCAATAGCTATTTCATCCCCACTGGCTGGAGGAGGAGGTGGTGATTGAAACTTCAGCAAGTTTTTTGACTTGTGTTTTTTGCTTTGCTTCGTCTCAGAATAAACAAAGAGCGATTCAGGATCACCGGGTCTGTCACTGAAGACATCATCGACGAGATCGTTTCTATAGAAAGATAGACATGTTTTTTCATAATTTCTTACCCTCTTGAAACAGGTGTTGGGACCAGTGAGCTTGTTTGTCGGGGAAAAACAGTTGGCAGAGGATCTAAAATTAGTCGGCTTGGGGATAAATTATGGGCTTTACTTGATGCTGGTCCTTCAACCATCGTATCCGGCGTCGAGGAGGAATTTTCCTCAGTGACTAAATGACGATCCACACTTGGCCTGTGCCAGAGTTCGATACAAAATTTGTAAATTTTCAATAAATAAAATCGCTTTTAGAACTTGGCCAGAATAGCTTCAACCGCTGGATTGAGTGGACCGTTTCTTTCTGCCTGACCACTTGCTTGACTGAGGATCGGTTTTGCACATAGCGCTGCTCGTCTTCGTCCTTTCAAAATATTCAATATGTTCCGTGTGCATTTCATTTATTACCTGCCACTCAGCATCGTCCTCTGTTCCGTAGCCAAGATTTTCCGGATTATTCAAATCCACGTCCGAGTCATCTACCCGTTCTTCGCGCTGTTCTTCCTCAGCTTCAGGTTCTGTTTCTGTCAGCAGTTGCGGCTCATCTGCAAGTCGTTTTTCATCTCTTCATGCGGCCAAAAAGTAACCACATTATTATCCGAATCAACCGTGAAGAAATTTCTAAAATGTAGCCAAAAACGCTCATGCCAGGGTTAGAAGAGGCTGGTTAGGGCGGACCATAAAGGGTAATCTCTTTCTCTAACCCAGAGGTGCCTGATCGGGTCTTTACGAATTTGGGAAACTTGTTTTCTCTTTCCAGTGAAAATGGAATTTGTCATCCACCACCACAGGTTGCCCTGAGGGGAGTGCGAGTGCAACCGAAAATCGCCGCGCAACAGCTAGAAATCGAAGAGATTACAGTAAGCTCTGATCGATTTGAGGGGTTTTCAAAGCTTTACCTGTGTACGCAGACACTAAGAATTTCTTCAGGGGTGACTATCGAAATATTGCTATCATTAACTGACTTTATACAAAATCAACTACTGTAAAAGTTAACTTACCTACTGAAAGTGTCATCAAACTGAAACTTACTGTTATAAACCCCTCAAAAGAAGGGCCTTTGATCATGATTCATAAAACTATTTCCTTTGGAGCCTCTCTACCAATAAATTCCGACTTGTGTGAATGTCTCCTATCGCTACCTTTCGACCTACTATCAGCATCGCGAGCATTTCTTGCCAACCTTTCCTCGGCGAAGAAGCATTTTCTCTCATTCCGAAAATGGATCCCCCAAGTTGGGGGCCCCAACCACAAGGATCAAACAAATTTTGAGAAATGGAAAGAACTTTCCAAACCTGTTAGTGGTCGAAAACGATAGAGAATACATCCTTCAGCGAAAATCAAGTTTAGCAAAAGTCTTAAATACATCTGCTCTGGTTCGACGGAAGAGAAAATCCTTGCAAACGTACTTACAATGTCACAGTTTCTGATAAAATCTGCAAGAAAGGCCGCTACACTAGAGAGCGAAAGCAACCAAATGGGAAGATCAGCAAATTCAACGAAAACAAACTGACAATCGTAAAAAATGATGAGTTCTTTAATATTGAAAACTACACCATCAACTCAGTTTCTGGAGATCACATTTGCAACGGAGCTGACATCGTCGAGCAACAAATGTGGACATTTGTCAAACAAGAACTCGACAATTTACTGAAAGAGTAAGCAAAATTATAGTTTAACGCATGACCACTTTTCTTAGCCAGCCAGAGATGAAACAATCAGAAATACGAGCAAATCTGAAGATGCTTGCGCTAGAAAAGTTCAAAGAACAACTCTTCCTTGAGCATTTCCCTCCAGATAATAAAATCATCAACTTGGTTCGATATCACAAACAATTGTCTGACTTCGAGTTGACGTTTGACGATCCTGACAGTCCTGACAACGCAGGTATGTTTAATTTGTCGTTTGGGTTTAATTCAAATAATATAAACCAATTTGGTTGATAACTAACTTTGATTGATAACTTCAATTATCAGTGAGTCGATAATATCAATTAGAAGGAAAAGATTGTCAGTCTGGGATCTAAGAAAGCACTGCTTGACCACGGGTTACTCTATAAATTCACTGCACCGTACAATCTCTTTCATCTAATCCGATGATCTCACATCCCTAACTTGTGAGGTACAGTGGGTCCCTCGCGTTCACCCCATTTTTCGCGGCGGGAGGGTGAAAATAGGGAACGATTTAGGGGGGTGAAAGGGAGGGACCCCACTGTACGACCATTTATACGATAAATGTCTGTTTGAGGTACAAATTCTACCTCTGTTTATTTTGACTAAAATTAATTCAAGCCAAAAATCAGGTGCCACTTATCGTCGACCCCCGCGGGAATTAAAAACCACAAAGTATCTCAAGTGGTCTTGCCAACAAATGCCAATGACATTTCATACGTTCCACTCGAGTGTGGTAGCTACTAGACGGCGCACCAGACCGAGCGCGGCCCCGGGGATGCTCCGAAATGTCAAACCCACGCTAATTCCTTTGACCCACACAAACTCACTTATCGCCGAATTTAATCGCCACAGTTGTCAAACCAAGTGTAGTAGATTACCACACTGAGTGTAGTACGCACGGACCAGTTCAAACCGGATTGTACCAGGTGGCGCTAGATTCCAAAAAGCGTGGGTTTATGTCAATTTGCTCGTTATAAAACGGGTCTGCTCCCCACAAACATTTTTTTGCCGAGTAAAAGAGAAGTTATAAAATGCAACTTACAGGGATTCAAGATGAAGGTGACGATGATACGCCAATTACACTGTTGCTGGCGAAAGAGGAACCGGTCGATGACGAAGCTAATGCAATTGAGGATCCGACTGTACAAGTAATAAATGGTAAGCTGCATGTTTACAATGTATTTATTAATTGATATATTATTTACAAATATATAATCTCGTAGAAAAAAAATAAAGTAGGATTATTTATCATTAACTATTTATTCAATGAATAATTTACAAAATCAATAAATCGATGACCAGAAGTGCTCGAAATCAATTTTTTTTCAGTGCAAGAGGAAGCGAATTCAAGTCCAGTTAATCCCACCGATGTATTTGAAAACTGCGGCGTTTGCTCCAACAAAGTCGGCGGAAACGGAAAGCTGCTTGGTTGTCTTCACACCTTCTGCGCAGAATGCCTCGATAAATCGGAGAAAGAGAGAGCAGCGCCGCAAACAAGCGACGGGAAAATTCTCTGCCCAGTTTGTCGATGCCTGACTCCAAGAACACTTCTATCGGACAATCATTTTATCTCTGAAGAGGTTGACAAGCAAAGTCCAACCTCGCAGTCAAAGAAATGCAGCTGCTGCGATGAAGATGTCGATGGGGTGAAATTTTGCGTCGAGTGTGCCGAATGGCTTTGTGAAATTTGCGTGACAGCGCACAAAAGAGTCAAGATCACGAAAAATCACCAGCTTGTCGATGAAGCGCCAGTTGTAGAAAACGAAACTAAGTACTGCAAAGAACATCCAAGTGAGCCCTTGCAGTTGTTCTGTGAAAGTTGCGACATGATGACCTGTAGAGACTGTCAACTCCAGCACCACAAAGAGCATAGATACGACTTTGTGGCAGACGCAGGAATTAAAGAGCGAAAACTACTTCAACTTGCGTTCCCAGAGCTTGTCCAGAAAAAGGCCAACCTACAAAACTTCATGAACATGGGACAGGCTCGTCTCGCTGATCTTCACAAGCAAGAAGAAGTGCTGAACAAACAAATAGAAAGCTACTTTGCTGAGATCACCAATTTAGTCAAGACGAAACAACAAGAGCTTCAAGTTCAAGTTCGAAACATCTGTGGTCAGCGAAAACGCGAAGCTTCATCGATGGTGAACACTTCCAAAAAGCTGCTCAATGCGATTCGGCATTCGGAAAACTTCATCGAGTACATTTCCGATCCTTCAAAGACGAAGGGGTTACTGTACGCCCGTCGCTTGGTGAAGGACTATTTCAACCTTATTCTCCGGGAGCCAGCACCAACAGAGCAGAATCTGAGGCACTGCAACACAAACATACAGTTTAATCATCGGGGACAACAATTCATTCGCGGTTTTGCGGCTCAGAAGCTGGGAGATATTGTTTTTGAGAGAACAGTTCCGCCTCAGCATCAGATGCCAATGCATCATCAAAGGTGAGGTGTTGTTTTTCTGTGCTTCAAACAAAAAGTTTTAAATAAACAATCAACTGACAAACTTTTGATTTCATGGATCTAACCTCTAACTTGTCTGTTTAGACCTAGATTGCCAGTGCAAAACAGAATGCCCCCAATGCATCCGCCTACCAGTGTACCACACATTCAACGCCAGGGAGCTCCACCAGCAGCCTTAAATCCAGCCCAACTAGCCGCGCTGCAAAACCACCAAATGCAAATAAGTCAACAGCAGCCTCACCCTAATCATCCACAGCCGCATGGAGTCCGCTCGCCTCACATACGAAGTCCTGTTGTGAGTCCTGGTCCCCCAAGACCACGTAAGCCAGAAAACCGGATAAGTATGGCCATTAATATTTATCTCAGACTCTACTGATTCGGGAACATCATCGTCAAGCATGCCTCCTGGTGGACCAATGACTCCCCCAAATGGACAGCCATCGGTAAGATAACATATATTAAGAAGAGATATCCTCTATTTTCGAACCACTGGATGCCCCGTTAGATAAATGATCTTGTTTAGCTGAAACGACAGCGAATGTCATCCGGGGACGTGGTCGACTTACTAGCCTTCTTTTAGGTGAAGAGGATGAAAATCGTCCGTCGAGGGCTCTCGAAACCGCCAGATAGCGATGAAGATTAGATTTTATTTAATAATTTCTTCCAAAAATGCGTGAAGATCCAATGCCCGAAGAAACCAATTCTGCACTTATTTTCATTTGTAACAGACACACATTGTTAATAAATATATTTCTAAAAGCGAATTTTCGCATCACTCGCGGTTCGATCGAGCTTTTGTGAGCTTTATCGGAGGCTCAAGTTTAATCAATAATTCAGCAATTTGCTTTGGAAACATGTTGGTTTGTTCTATTCATTCGATTTGAATTTATTGCGGTTTTATCAGAAAAGAGAGAAATTGGTACCGATGACCATTGATTTGAAGAATATAACGATTATTCTAGACGAAATCTATCTTTCAGAAACAGTCAGGGTTGAAGACTTTTCAACTCGGAATTGCTAGAGTCTAGCAACTCTAAGAGTATTCAAATAAATTTTTTTTCGTAAGATCATCCCTAGAAAGCCGAAGACTCTGTCTACTGGTTTATTGAGCATTATGAATGGTGAGTTCATACTAACAATGAGCTTGATTTCTAAAATTCTTGACCCAAGCGGACAAATTTTAATATTTCACGACCCCACTCACGCTTTTTCTTACCTGCAATGAGAAAAATATGCATTGAACCGTAAATTTCCATCGAACTGTAACGATTCTACTTAAGGATTGTTGTTGGATGCGTGGTTTACATGATCATGTACATGGTAGTCGTGCTTCTTGCCTGCAGTAAAAAGTTTCGACAAGACCAAATTCGAAAGCGGAGCGATAGATTGTCAAGAAGGATCCTGACTCTTTGGAATAACCGAATGATGGAGAGTCCGTGTATTTCATCAGAATCAATAAGCGGCACGAAAGAAGTGTGATTTCTGATGAAACTGCTTGATTTTTCACTATGAGACCTTTATTTTGGAACTATAAAAGTGCAAAATGAATATATGTGGTATGGTTATTTACACTATATAAAGATAGTATTTCATCAGCAGGGAATAATTGAAGAATAATCTGGTAAAATGGCTCAAGAAAGAAATTATAAGCATCAGAACTAGTGACTAGTCGGTCTTCTTTTCGTTTGATTCCTCGTATTCTCGTGTGTCTCGGTCCAACTTGGCGCCAGTAAGGATTTTCAGAAGAAGCTTGAAAATGAAGAAGAACCAGTAAATATGCATGACTTGAATCGACATTAGCAGGAAGCTGTAAAAGGGATATACTGGAGGGCCGCCTTTGATTTCAACCATGCTTAATAAATAAACAGTTAATAAAAAAATAGAAGGAGGTATTCAAACCTGTGATAGGCAGCGCCATAAATTGCCTTTCTTGGATACAAATTAAACCGGAACCAAATCCAGCTCAGGACAAAAAATCCGAAGGAGATTGACTTCGTAACCTCGCAAATATACCAAGTCGGCTTTGAGCACACTTTTCGGTTTTGAAAGTAGAGGAAAAGCTTCGAAACATCGAGGAATATGTCGCAAATGTCGTGGCAGAAGAGGACGAGGCAGCCAATCGCCCAGAAACGCATTCCAAAGGAGAAAACAACGAGGAATAAGGTGGCGATGTGATGGAGAATCATGACGTTCGTGTCTTTTCTTCGCTCATCTTTTCAATAAAATTAATTAAGGCTTGATTTATGAAATTTATTTCGTTACCTATCAGAATGCAGCAGACAAGCGCCTGTATATAGAATCCAATAACAGTAACATACAGCCAGTATGCATCAAAGGGCAGTGGTTCTTCTCGCTTTTCAGACCAGTTGTGAAAAGTCTTCGATGGGCTAACAAGGAAATCGTGGTCGAGTACTATCTTCGTCTCCAGAATCCACAGGCCACTAAAAAGTAAGCAAAATGATCTAATAAGCGCACACATACCTGTACATAATAAGTTGAAAGACTGACTCGGGGAGTTTTTTGGCGTCGACGGGTTGAAAGTTTGAGAGATCGATGGCATTGAGAATCCCTACGATGATTTGTTTCAGCAAAAATATTACTAAGGCAGCGATGAGGGGAAAGATGAGATCGGCAGCGGAGAAGTTCCAGTGGTACAGGACTGTTTTGGTGATCGAGGAAATCGTCAAATCATTTGCCTTGAAAACATTATAAGGGTTGGATACAAAGGGAACTTACTGTTAGTGAAGCTGCATACTCGCTAAATTTATCTGCAATGTCAGTAACTAGTTGAACATACGATGGGTCCTTGTCATATTCCATTGTCTAAAAAGACTTGTGTTCAGAAACTTTGAGATCCTGATTTAAAATTGTGAACTTGTTCCAAAGTTCAATTCTTCAATTTCGGAATTGAATTCATTCAAAAATGTGTGAGGGAAAGTTAATATTCTAGGATCAATCATCTCAAGTAGCATCAAAAGAAACAGCCAGAGTTTTTTCGCTCTCACAATATATACAGTGAGGAAATAAATAAATTAGAGAATGAAATGAAAACTCAAAACTCTTGAATTTAAGATTTGAGCTTTTCTTTGTCAACCAACAAGAGATGAATCAATAAATAAATAAAGTATAGAAATCAGGGCAGGGCACATTTGAAGAGGATTTTTTTCTTTTTGGATCATAAAATATTTCGATTTTTTCTTTCAATAATTTTCCTAAATCGTCATGGCTCGTTTGAGCTGATACTCTCTGATTCTAGCTTTCTCGTCGCTCTGGCTCTTGTATTCTTTCGCAGCTGTTTCTAGCTCTGCCCGGTCGATAACAGCCTCTTCTTTCGAAACTGCAGATGCCTGAAAGAATCAACTTTCAAAAGACGAAAGGAAAACTTAATGCTTACGTAAACATTGCTGCACATTTTCTCAATCTCTCGGCCGCTCATTCCCTCGGTAATTTTCGCCAAATCGTTGCAGATATCGTTAAAGTTGGGAATGACGTCCTCGGAAAGACTAACACGCTGGTCCTTCATCGACGCTGGCTCAATGACTTTCGACTTTATTAGGGGTACGAAAAGGAGGATTATTGTTTATTGACTCCGCACTTTGAAAATTTCAAATTTGAAAAAAATTTTATGAGAAGAGCCTTTTGTTCGAGAGAGATTTGGTGCCCCGTCGCAAAATGTATTGTTTGAGCATGGCTTCACGCTCGGGAAACTCTGGAAGGGGGATTTCGAGAAGCTCATTCATTCGATCTAACACGGCCGAGTCAAGCTGGTTAACCTGGTTCGTTGCAAGGACGATTTGCATTCTGAAATAATAATGATAAAACGAGCAACTGATTCAATATTCTTACTTGTTGCTTGGTTCACCAGTTCGCGCGAGGAAGGTGTTGATGACTGATCGCAACTCTGGGGACATGTTTTCATCTCTTGGTCGCAAAAACGCTTCCGCTTCGTCAATAAACAAGACCAGGCCCTTCTTTGACTTGTCAGCCCAGTTAAATACTAATTAAAAAGGTCTTACTAACCAACAACAATAATTATTTACCCCGATGATCGTCTAATAACAGTCTTATACTTACATTTGTTGAGTTCATAAGTCGCTTGAGCGCCAAGAGGAGCCACATCACCGCCAGACATGATCGCATACTGCATATTAGCATCAGTAGCCAGCGATTTTGCATACAACGTCTTTCCCGTCCCAGGAGGTCCATACAGTAATACATTTCGATGCGCTTGTTTATTGATCAACGCGTTTCTAAAGCGATTAACTTCTAATACGATGCTCCTAACTGATGCTTTATACCTTGTAACTAATTTGATGTCTTCGACTTTAGCTTGGACTTTTTCGCTGAAAATATAATTGGGCCGTTTCACCGTTTGCCCTCGCATTTGTTTTATGAGACTGGGGATGACTGTGTTCCAGGCTTTTCGCGACGTTTCTTGCACTAGAAAACGGGTAAAATGAGAATGTTATGAAGCTGGTACCTAGATTAGGTTTGGTAGTGATCGCTTCCAAATGTCTGAATCCAAATCCAAAGGCATTTTTAAACGCAAAGAAGGCGCAAATCAATCCCGCGCCAGAAATAGCCGCGTTCGTCAGCATACCATCCTGATTCTGCATCAATCTCTTGAACAACTCCATTCGCAATTTCGCAGATTCCTTTCCAACTTCAGCGTCTGCTTTGCCTCGCTCTTTGGCTTCGAGGCGTTTCTGTTCCATCCGAAGGTCGTGGTTTTCTCGCTCAACTTCGGCCATTGCCCTAGCGTGGATTTTTGCCTTTTGGCCTTCTTTTTTCAGCTCTTCTTCTTGCTGCCATAAGATCGTTTCTAAAAAACGTGAGTAAAGATGGCCCGATAAAGCGTATTTTACGTCTTCTGATGGACTCTTCTTTTTCCAAGGAAGCCAATCTCTGCTCCTCCGCTAGTCTTTGCTTTTCTAATTCCATGGCCATTTCTTTTTCCTTTCTTTTCTGCGCCAGTTGATCTAAAAGATTTCATTCAGCCTTTCGTCGATAGAGCCTGTTTTTACCTTGATATTGGACCTTTTTCATGTCCATTTCGTGTTGATGTTTTCTTCGCTCAAGTTCGGCCTGGTTTTGCTCTCTCAAAGCTCCAGCTTTGAGCTGTTCGATCTGGAGCTTGTGTTCTTCAGACTGCGCTTTGTACTTTTCTTGCTGGGTGGCTTCGTGTTGGCTCATGATCTAAAGAAGGTTTTAAATTGTGATTTGAAGTAGGGAAGGTGAACCTTGATCGCTTCGTTCCATTGACCACTTCTTTTCAAATCGCTGACAATGTTGGAAAACTCGGCCATGGAGTTTCCCATGTCCGAAAATGAAGCAGAAAGAGCAGCAATATTCTGAGCGCCGCCGGATCCGCTCTGTTTTGCGGCTTTTTCGACTTCTTTGACTCCACCAGGCTGTTGAGGGGCGTCGGGAACTGCTGCGTCGGCGGGAAGCTCGACATTGTCGAGGGGGTTGTTCGACTTGGCGGCAAAAGGATTCCAACCCATTCTAAGGCAATTTCTTGTGGGTTAAAATCAAGAATTAATATCAGAAATCGACATTTCAACATTATTCTTGAATATTTTAGACAAGTTTCAGAGCTAGCAACTACACTTCTGGACATGTGTTCAGTTTCATTGTAATAAATATTGATATTTTGAGAGTCTCTTAGTAACAGGCAGAAAGTGATAAGAGGGATGCAAGATTTTTTTTAAGATTTTAGTAAAATCATTTTTTACAAATAAAGCGAGATCCATAGTATCCTACCTACAATATGGGCATACGATTCATTTTAATAAATAATTTCCATAGTCTCACTGCAACAGCACTCCTGTTACAGGAGGAAGCTGATAAGAGAGTAAATTCTAACGTCGCATAATTCTCGTCGCGTGAGTCATCGAACTCTGGATCGGCGCGGCCAATCGAAGCCTTCTTTCGTAATTGTCATTTTTTCTCGCGTTGACACAAAAACCGGGGAATTCGAGTATTTCACGTCTTCTTGTCGTCTTCTTACGATTTACCAGTAGAGAAAGTCATTCGAAAAAATTGTCAAAAAATAAGGCACCTTATTGGACACCGAGAAAGTGACGAAACTTTTCCAGATTTTTAGGACTTCTCGAAAGTTCTTTTTTAGTTTTAATAAGTCTTACAGTCCGTGTTTTACTATTTTGCAAATATATTTTCAATATAAACTTAATTGTTGTAGAATGTATGGTGGAAACGGTTATGGTGGCGGCTACGGCGGCGGAGGCGGCTATGGTGGTCGAAGCGGCGGCTATGGCGGCGGCGGAGGAGGATTCGGCGGCGGCTTCGGAGGTGGATTCGGAGCGGGCGGCAAGTTCTCCGATCCCGGATCCCGTCTTGGTCGCATCGATTGGAAGCGCGAAAACCTCATGCCTTTCAAGAAAGACTTCTACAATGAGCACGAGGATGTCGCGAACAGACCCAGCTCGGCTATTCGAGACTGGACTCAAGAAAAAGAAGTCAGCGTTATCGAAAAGGGCCACAACAAGGTAACTATCGACCAATATGATAATATTTAACCTCTTGATTCTAGTGCCCTCGCCCTGTCTTCAAATTCCAAGAGTGCAACTTCCCCAGCTACATTTTGAAATGCATCGAACGTTGCAAGTTTACAGAGCCAACGGCAATTCAATCGATCGGTTTCCCCATCGGTCTGTCTGGACTCAACATGGTCGGTATCTCCAGAACTGGCTCTGGAAAGACCCTTGCGTTCCTCCTGCCTTCTATGCTTCACATTCGAGCCCAGGTAAGAAAGTTCCCCCTTTCAGCTGTTTTTAACCCTTGTGTCAAGGAGCCCCTGAAGCGAGGAGATGGCCCAATCGCCGTCGTCCTTCTCCCAACCCGAGAACTGGCGCAGCAGGTCGAGCAAGTCTCCCGCGATTTCGTTGAAAGCTCGGATATCTACACCACCTGCGTCTTTGGCGGTGCCCCGAAAGGACCTCAGATTCGCGACCTCGAAAAGGGTGTTGAAATCGTCATCGCTACTCCCGGTCGTCTCTTAGACTTCCTCGAAGCAGGCAAAACCAATCTCAAGCGATGTACATACCTTGTAAGAAAAAAAAGCAAACGAATAAAAAGTTTATCCCGAATTTAGGTTCTTGACGAAGCTGACAGAATGTTAGACATGGGATTTGAGCCGCAAATCCGAAAGATTATCGATCAAATTCGACCAGACAGACAGCTTCTTATGTACAGGTAGATTCTCAATCAATTCCATTTCCTCCCTTCAAAATGTTCTTCAGTGCTACCTGGCTGAAAGAAGTCCAGACCCTCGCCGATGATTTCCTCGGGGATAACTACATCCACGCTACGATTGGATCGACCAAGCTTGCTGCCAACAAGCGAATTCTTCAAATTGTCGATATCTGCGATCAATTTGAAAAGGTTTGTTTCTGAGTAATTGTATTTTTTTATTTTATTAGATATCTGTTTAAAAGGTGCTAAATTAATACTATGTACAGGGAAAAGATATAGAGTTAGTAAACCAGATTGTCGAGTCTGCTTCCAACAGATCGTCTGAATTTGATCGACGCGTTCTCGGCGAAAAGTCGGTCGCGGGTTTGACGGAGGTAAAACGCCTCTTGTCGGAGGTCTTCGACGTCCTCTTGGAAGAGCTCTTTTTGAAAATGAATTTTTCCGAGCGTACAGGTCAAATCAAGTGGTGCGACACGCTCGATCCTGTCATTTTTGCGATAAGAGAGGGTTGCGTACTTGGCTTCAGCGTGAACATCGTACTCTTCGCAGAGTTCGGCGATGTTCTGTCGCCAGATCGCCGACTGGTTGATCGCATTTCGCTCTCTAGCGGGCATCGATCTTCGTCTTTGAACACCCTTCACTGATGATTTTCGTTTATCACTGTCTCTTGGTCGTCGGCGAGTCAAAAAGTCGACCATCTTGGCGATTCGCTTTTGAATTCGAGATTTCTCGGTCATTTTTTTCTTGAGTTGCTTTACTTTGTTGATAAGTAGCTTGAAACTGTATGATGACTGGTAAGCAAGCTCGTAGGGTTTTATAGGAAAGATGGGAGAGGGTGTGCGACGCGCCATCTCGCGCTCGCCAGCTCCGCCAGCTGCACATTACTGCACCTCAAGGCGGCAAATCGCCGCTGTTCCAAGCGACGCGGGTGAACTTGAAAAGTACTGGCCTAATTGCCCCCTCGCGGCCTACCCATAATGAACCGGAACGGAACACAACTGTTTTCAATGACAGTAAGGAGCGTTATCGTAATCATGACACCTTTCACACGAAACAGTAGCACCTGCGATCAAAGCGGCGCCCAGCAGGTTCATCATCTTTTTTGATGGACTTTCATGCGACGGGTTTTAATTTTCACAGTCGCCGCTTCCGGCAACTGACTGCTTTCAAGGGATGCTGATGAGCCCGACGATTGATATTGACTTCCGCTCCCATGCGGAGAAAGCGGCCTTGTTATTTTTCAATTTCAACCCTTCATTTCCTTTTTTCTTATTCAAACTCACGCCTTTGAGGTTTGACGCGGGATTTAATTATGTATTCGATAGACTTTCTATCGAAATCTTTATATAGTCTCTTTCAGGACGAGAAACTCATGAAACTCGTAAGTCATCTCATGGACGAACGGGAATCAAAGACCATCATCTTCACCGAAACAAAACGTCGGGCTGACGAGCTTGCCTTCAAAATGAAACGACTCCGATGGGAAGCAGCGTAAGTCGATCATTAGAACGCCTGGATTTGTTGTGGGGAAAGCTCAGAATAGGAATTAGAATGCCTGAGATGTCATATTCAAGTGGCTGAGCATTGATCGATTTTTACGCTCGAGAAGTCCTTAGCATCTGTTTCTGGCACTCTTTTCGAACACGTGACTGACAACTATTTTTCCGTTTTGAACGGGGACCAATGTAAATTATAAACAACCAAAGGAAGTTTAGGAAATATTGCCAATATTATTGGACTAATAACATTTTTATGAACTAAATTTCACGACGAATTAACCAGTCGTCTGTCTAGTCAGATTATCCAATATCTCGTGTCATTTTTGGACCTCCATTTTCGTCATCTACCATGTACAATATGCTCAGTTTTAATATCCAGAATCTGATAACTTGAAAACATGTATTATTACTAATAATTTATTAGTGCAATCCACGGAGACAAAAGCCAGAGCGAGCGAGACCATGTGCTCAAGCGTTTTCGAAGCGGTCGAACACCAATCCTGATTGCCACGGACGTCGCCTCCCGAGGCCTCGGTACGTACAGAAACACACCCAGTCTCCTGTCGATCCGTGTAACGCCGCCTGGTGCACTAGCCAGAAGCGTTGTTCCGATCGGCATTCCCTGCTTCTAGCTTGACAAAGATCCCACTTATCCTTTGTCAATAACGCGCCGAAGTGGTTATGAAGCTTATGAGCATCATCATCATGACTTCTTGACTTTCGGAAGTGTTGAGGGGCGCGAAAAATCTAAATTACCCGCGCGCCTCAAGAAAATTTCGACTTACTTACGTCCACGTGAGGAGGAGTTCTTGATGAGTCAGGGACCTTGACTTGAGACGGATGAATCCTTGGTGTGGTCCAATCCTCTTCGCTCCCGAGCTGGTGATTTATGTTCTGCTGCTTGGCCGCCACACTGTGTGTGCCTATTTGTGCGAATACGACGCTTTATTCTGGCCCGACATATTCTTGCGTTCACTGTTCTTGTATGATGTTCTTGTAATAACATGCGGGGATAGACGAACTCATTCGTTGGATCACTATTTGGCCAGAAGCTCTTTTACTATATTCGCACACCGGGCACACCTCAACAACGTGGTCAAGCATCAAGCGACATCGAAGAAAAAAATCATCATCTTGAGGGCGGACAGCAGAAAACTTGTAGCTCTACGTGTATCGTAGACATTTGCTACACATACACGCAGGAAACTTAAGTCGATCCTCTCATAATGTATAAACACCTGGCGTCAACTGGAAATTATAGATATCAATGATGTTAAATTCGTTGTCAACTTTGACTTCCCGTCGCAGATCGAAGACTACGTCCATCGAATCGGGCGAACTGCTCGAGGAAAAGACGCAAAGGGAACCAGTTACACTTTCTTCACCCAGAGCGACGCCAAGGTACATTAAAAATAAAAACTTTTATAAACACTTTTACCAGCATGCTGCGGGTCTTGTTGGCATTCTGAAGGATGCTGACCAGCGAGTTCCTGAGAAGCTCAACGCCATCGCTGAAGACTGGTCGATGGGACGCGGCCGAGGAGGCCGTGGAGGCGGACGAGGTCGTGGTGGTGGACGCGGCGGTGGCCGTGGAGGTATAATTTTCTCCTTCTATTGAAGTATTTTATTTAACTCTAGGCGGATTCGGTGGTGACCGAGGTGGTCGCTCCTTCGGCGGAGGCGGAGGATTCGGTGGCGGCAGCAGCAGCTTCGGCGGTGGAGGTGACCGATACGGAAGCTCGGGTGGCGACCGATATGGAAGCTCCCGCGGCAGTGGCCGAGACGACCGATATGGCAGTTCTGGTGGAGACCGATACGGAAGCTCATCGAGAAACGGCGGTGGCGGCTACTCCGACCGAAGTCGATCTCGACGATCGCGCTCCAGGTAACCCGGATTCCCGAATCGTCGAAATAACAAATTTCGCTCAGATCTCCTCCACGACGAAGTGGACGATCCCCACCCAAGTATGACGACTACCGACGATAAACCAGTTAGCTCTAGCCCTCTCTGTTGCTTAGCCTTTTTTAATTGTACCTTTATACTGCCCTTCTTCGTTTCCCTCCCATTACAGATATCTTTGTCCGTTCCAGTTCTTAAATTTACTACAAGAGAACATGTTTTTCCCTCACGATATTGTTGTCGTGTCCTTTTCTCTGATATCTTGCCCCAAATGAAAACAAGTTTGATAACATAAATGTGTATTTATTGCTAGATTTAATGGCTATGACTTACGTTTAACAATTAATCGCGAACCTTTGAGTCATTAATATGTGTACGTGTCGATCAGAATACTCAGAGAGTTACAACTGATCCCTGCTGACGTGACTGTAGGTTTTTTAATTAACTGATCGATTCTGTAATAAATGAGTAGATCGATGCGCCATCTAGCTATGGCAGGACGGCCTTTCTATGTCAGAAATCGATACTTTCCAAATACAACAATCGCTACAAGCAGCTAGCAAGTCAAAATATATATTTTAAGTGTTTGAGAAGATAATTTTAAGATAAAGAGAGAATATTCGGATTCGCGTAAAATGGCGTTGAAACAGCTTGTCGGGCAAAGTAAGTAGTCTACTTTAGAGTTAATTTGTCACAATTTTGAAATCATGGAAGAGTACTCAAACTTACCCTTTTTTTTCAAGAAATCTTGCAAGATGTCATCCGGGACCAAAGAGAAGAAGACAAATGGAAAATCCTTGTGCTGGACCGTCTATCCACAAGAATCTTGTCTTCCTGTTGCAAAATGACGGACGTTATGCAAGAGCGAATCACATTGATTGAAGATCTGACGAAGACCCGTCAGCCGATGACCAACATGGAAGCAATTTACTTCATCTCTCCTTGCGACGAGTCCATAACGAAGCTCATCAATGACTTTAAAACGCGCAACACCTACACTGGCGTTCATCTCTACTTCACTGATACCGTCCCTGACTACCACATGGACGAGCTCAAAAGCTCCCGGGTCATCAAATTCATCAGAACCTTCAAAGAAATCAACATCGCCTTTTTACCTTATGAATCACAAGTTTACATGCTTGACAATGAAAAATCTTTCAAGCGGATCTACAACTCGAGCGATCCAGCTGCGCGTGTCGAAACCCTCGAGCGTTATGCCGAACAGTTGGCTACATTGTGTAGCTTGCTTGGAGAGTACCCTTCCATTCGCCATCAGAGCTGGTCCGAGAATGCAGTGGAACTCGCGAATATTTTACAAGCAAAGCTGAATGGCTTTAAAGCTGATAATCCCAAAATGGGCGAGGGTGCGTTCAAGGATCAAACTCAACTGATCATCATCGACCGAAGCTTCGATCCTGTTACTCCTCTCGTTCACGAACTCACCTACCAAGCTATGGCACAAGATCTGCTTGATATCGACAACGATGTGATGCGATACGAAACGACGAATGACCGAGGCCAGACAACGCAAAAGGAAGTCATCCTCGATGAAAATGATGCTCTGTGGAACGAGTTCCGCCACAACCACATCGCTGACTGCATGAGAACCATCCCGGAACGATTCAAGAACTTCGCGAAGGAAAAGCGACACAAGACCTCCGAAAACGCCTCGATCAAGGACTTGTCAAAGATGATGCAGGCGATGCCACAGTACCAAAAGGAGATCCAAGCATATCTGAATCATATGCACATTGTTGAGGCCTGTCAAAAGCAGTACTCGAAGAACGTGGAGAAGTTGTGCAAGGTGGAGCAAGATCTGGCAACTGGTGAGACTAGTGATCGTGAACGCTTGAAAGAACCCATGAAGAACATCATTCCGATCCTACTAGATTCGTAAGTTTGTTGACTTTCGACGAAAGTCTTTCGTTGAGTCAAGCTCCAACTAGCTTTTTAGAAACGTCGATGCTCTCGATAAAATCAGAATTATCCTCCTGTACATCTACAACAAGGGCGGCATCACAGAAGAGAACCTTTCAAAGCTCGTGTCTCACGCTCAAATCATGGAAAAGGATGAGTGCATCATCCGAAACATGGCGAAACTCAACGTCCCTATTACCATGGACTCTGGTCGCAAAAAGCCACCAACTATCAACAGAAAAGATCGCTCAGCATCAGTCAAATATCAGCTCTCCCGATTTATCCCTAGTATAAAGGACGTTATGGAGGTACTTTACAACAATATTTTTGAAACGAAGTCAATAAATTTTGCAAGTATGCGATAGACGGTAAACTTGACGACCGTGTTTTCCAATTTCTCGCGGGAACTCGTCCGATGGTGTCTACTGGTGGTGTGAGAAGGTACGTTTTTTTTTTTTGTAGATAAAAGGATGTACTCTTCTTGAAGAAAGTCTGTGAGCGCAGATTTCTTTCGAATGCTCCGTTTTGAAAGGAATAAAGAGGCTCGTCGACGGTTTTACAGCGCAGGGTATCAGATAAAAATTAACTAAAGGACCTAACTTAAAACTAACTGGCTCGCAAAAGAGACAAATCCCAAAGAAGAAGGTCAAGTAAAAAGCATTTTTATTCTAGTGGCGAAGCAAAAAGTGCGCGTCAGCAAGCGCAAGGCGCGAGGTATCTTTTAGAACCGCAATTATCTGATTCAATTATGATTTAAATCTCATTTATCACACTGATCATACAATTTATGTAGCCAGAATTTGATTCACCAGGAGTCTAGCTTGCTTGAATAACTGTTTTAAAAAGATTTTTCTAGCGCGCGTTATCACTGGCATAAAAAAGATGGCGACAAGCTTGAGGCGAAATCGGGGCCTCGAATCATCCTCTTCGTTCTTGGCGGATTGACGTGCTCTGAAATGCGGTGCGCGTACGAAGTATCCCGCGATTACGTCCCTCAGGTAAAAATTCGCCAGCCTTTTCATTCACTTTGTGTGCCCAGAGCTGCGCCTACGCATTAGTCGCTCTTCGGCATTAGTAACTCTAGAGCCAAACCTTGGCCTCTTAGCAATTGTTTACTCATAGTAACCTTGTTATAGAGAAGTGGTGGCCGCGGAAATAATCAAGCCAGAGAGAAGTGGGAAGTTCTCGTCGGTAAGTCTTCGATAATTAAATTCAAAAACAATTTTGTCTTTTCAAAAAACTAATTGCACAAACAAAGGATCAACGCACCTGGTTCGACCGAGAGATTTTCTAAATATGACGGGCGATTTGACCCGAGTCACAGAAGTTAGCTTCAATGATTACGGAGAATAGGTGACTAGATGTTGTCGATTTATCGCTCAAGCTTTTTTATCCCATTTGTCAGTCTCATAAAATGTCTTACTAATTGTAGAAAAGCCAACAAGAAATTACTCGTCACATAATTTGCATGTACAAAACTATACAGCAGAAACTCAACCTTTTTAGGGTCCCATAAGATGATCACCCCTTCTAGTTTCCTTCATGACCTATCGACATTAGACGATGCTCAAAAATATGGTAACACGATCGCCTTTAAAACGAGAGAAAAAAGATATTTTTCTTTAGATCCATTTCTGGCCACCATCAACCGCAACACAAATCAAAATTCAAACGCATATTCCAACCCAGCCTTTGCTAAATACGGCTGATACCTTAAGTCGCTCCTATTTGAGAAATTCTTCGTAAAACAAACATAAAACACTTCCTTTATTTTTCCAATTATTCGGTAAAATACCATTTCTGACTATTTCATTCGCTTCAAACCCTATTCTTCAAAAAGCCAATTTTAACATTTCGTTCTTTCGTACCTTGCACGATTACGTCATCACTTTACGGATATATTCTTCTCGTCTTAACATAAATACTATTTAAATATACTGCTGAATGTCGTAAACTAAGCCCTATAACTTCTTATATAATCACAAAAAATATTCTAAACATTTGTGACAACAAAATTACAGACATTCATACATGCAAAAAATGTGTGCAATCAAAAATAGAAGGCGTTGACTAGTTGACCTTTAGAGAAGTAAATCGCTCGGGAAAATATGCTCGTTGATTATGTCGCCAACAGTACGTACTAACTGTATCGAGGATAAAATTTCAACTCAATTGAGGAGTTTACAAGGACATCTTCGAGCTGGAGAGGGATGACAACTGGAAAGTCCTTGTTCTTGACTCGATGACAACGAAGATCCTTTCGCAGTCGACAAAGATGAGCGATTTGTTGAAAGAAAAGATCGTAATTGTCGAGGACTTGAATAAAAAAAGGCGGCCGATGCCAGACGTCGACGCGATTTACTTCATCACTCCAACAAGAATGTCCCTGAGCATCGTTGTTGATGATTTCGTGAAGAGAGACCAGTATAAATGTAATTGAAGAGTGAATGTGTGAAAAAACTAAAACGAGTGTGCTCCTTTGTGAAATCATGGAAGACTCACTTTTGGTTTTCGTATAGGCATTCATCTCTATCTCACTGATCGCCTTCCGGATTATCTTTTCTCCTTCATCGCAACATCTCGAGCTGGAAAGAAGATTTCCTCATTACGCGAAATAGATGTTGCGTTCCTGCCCTTTGAGTCCCGCGTCTTTCTTCTGGACGAGCCTAAATTTTACAAACGAATAATCGATGACTCTTATCGTCAGAGGAAACTAGAGAGGCTGGCCGAGCAACTCAATACCGTTGCCATCGCCCTTGGTGGCGATTTCGACATGTACTTTCAGTCTCAAATATGCAATTGCGTTGACCTGGCTTCATTGACCAGAAAGAAGTTGAACCAGAATGGAAGACTTGCCTCCACTATCGGCGATTTGATAATTGTTGACAGAAGTTACGATCCCTTCGCGCCTCTTCTTCACGAACTCACTTATCAGGCGATGGCTTACGATGTCCTCCGAGCTGATGGAGACATCGTCACAGTTGAAGATAGACAACTACTTCTTGATGAAACCGAGGACAAGACATGGGCAAGCCTCAGGCATTTACACATGGCAGATGTGATGAAAAAATTAGCTAATAAATACGATGACCTCATGGCTAGACAGCGTGGATTGAACAAGTCTGATGGCTCGACTAAATCTCTCGCAAACTTGATGCGCCGCCTTCCGCATTTTCAGAAGCAAATTCAAGAACTTGAACGGCACATTTCTATCTCAGAGGTGCTCGATCGAAATTATGATTCGTGGATTGATGATTTGTGCGATGCGGAGCAAGATCTTGCTTGCGATTCAGCAGATAAGCCGATTAAAGCTGTAATTCCTTGGATTTTAAACAAGGAATTATCAGAAGAGATGAAGATGCGTCTCATTCTTCTCCTTTGCCATAATAAGAAAGGCCTCGAGGAAGAAAAGATCAATCAATTGCTGAAAAATGCTGGTATCCATGAAGAAAAGTGGAAGATCGTCAAGAACATGCGATATTTCAATGCAACTGTTATCGATAAAGACCTGCCAATCGTAACAAAGATGCCGAAAAGAAAACAGAACGAGGAAGACATAAAATTCACAGACTCCAGATACATATCGCGAATCACCGATTTGATCCATTTCGCGCAGGTGGGAGAACTTGATGAGAGGATTTTCAATAAAATTCAATCAGTCAAGCCCAAGATGTCAAGGTGAATCTTTTTTTCAAGTGCTCTTCTCTACTTTGAAATTTAGTTTAAAATCTGGAACTCAAAAGCGAAAGACAGTTGTTTTTATCCTCGGAGGAGTTGCTCCTTCTGAGATGCGCGCAGCATACGAGCTTTCAAATCAAACTTTCAAGGCTTCTTCGAGCTGGTTTACATCTAAAAATACTTGTTCATTTACTTCCGATATTTACATCGGATCATCTCACATCGCCATGCCTCACACTCAGCTTCAAATGTTCTCTGATGTTTGACATCAATACTCAAATTCGATAATTCATATTCAACCTTTTTGATACAGAGCGGATTTTCTAGAATGGCGAAGAGAGAAGCTATATCATCACTTGACACAGAGGGCAAGTTGAAAGCGCTTGACCAAATTGAGAAGCAGCTTGTCAGTGCGATCAAGAACTGTGGACAAGTCATTGGCGAGCTTGGCACTGAAAAGATATCGGAAAAGAATGCTGTCAAACTGACCGACAAGTTTCTCAAGGAGATTGACGAAGTCGAAGGTGCCTTGACGAACCAAATTCATTATCTCAGCCAGGTTCGCTCTAAACTCGTTTGTCCAATTGGAATCATCACCGATTCTAGGTCACCTGCAGCACAACTCACGAGGGCTCCGTTTACGGCCAGCTGAAAGAAATGGAGCAAATGGCGACGGCTCAAGGATCAGCGAATCTGAGAATAAAAAAGCTCATGGAAATAACTCATCCAGACAAATTCCCAGTCCCGGACGGTTGTCGCCCGCAAAAGCCAAACTAACCATTTCTTTATTCGCTCAATTATAACTGCCCGATCTGCCGAGTCCCCTGTAAAAACACGCATAATGATAGAAAACAAAAAGGGTTCAATCAAGAGTATTCTAGAATGCTTTCCAAGCTTGCAAGACCCGTTGTCGCCGCCCCCGTCCGATTCGGTCACTACTTCACCGAAACTACTGCCCGATTCTGGCGAGATGTAACCTTTCTACTTACCTCCAGAAGATTTATGAATATTTAGACCTCCTTCTTCGTCGGAACCGTCTTCGTCATCGGTGCCATCCTCAACTGCGACAAGCGAATCGCCGTCAACCCCTATGAAACCAAGGTCGACACCAAGGCGTAAGTGAACAAAAAACTTCTCTGGAAGATACATTCAATCATAACTTTAGCTTCCACGAGCTCCTCGGAAACGGTAACGGCCGAAAGACCAAGATGCCCTTCTCTTCTGGCATGAAGTCTGGTTTCCACAACGACCACTTCAACGCCGCTGGTCCTGGCTACGTTGACGGTGACAACGAGGTAAGAAAACTTGATGAAAATCTTTATCAATCATCAATATAGTACGATCTCTACCCCCACCCTGGTTTCTTCTGGCGATCATTCGAGGGTAGTTTCCCTGGTCCTCGACCCGGCGCTGGAGTCTTCGGTACGAATTTTCATTCTTTCGCAGAAAATTAAAGGAATAAATCAGACCCCGAATACCGAGCCCAGCACCAGATTGGTGACGCCGAATTCGAATACATCCTCGAGAAGCATTTCCACGGCCGATACGACAAGCAGGGCAACCGACTCCACCCACTCAGCCACTAAATTCACATTTCTGTGGCAAAACAACGGCGAAATCAACCCAACCAAACCCCCTATTTATTGAACCGCCCATGTTCTGCGAATTCGACTATAAATAACATGAAACATGAGAAAAAATAAACAACTACAGTTCATTCAAACCGTGTCTCTTTGCTAGAATGATTGGCGTTACCCGAAAGACGGCACGAGCGATGCTCAGCCGGGGAGTCAATGCTACTGCCAGTGTCCGAACTCACATGCACTTTAAATTCCAGCCGGACGATGCTCCAGCAGAGCTGGGAGCTACGGAAAAGACTAATATGTGCAACGCAATCAAAAGCGCTATCGGTAATTCATTCCATCAACTCTTCAAGGAGTCAACTCTTGCTCTAGATATCCAGCTCGCTCGGGATGAATCCACTATCGTTTTCGGTGAAGATGTTAAATTCGGTGGCGTCTTCCGTTGCACTGTAAGCTTAAACTCACGCTCTATTTTTTTAATATCGTTTTGAAAGGATGGCTTGATGGACAAGTATGGATCGGACAGAGTGTTCAACAGCCCTCTTTGCGAACAGGTAATCGATTTACAGCTCCTTTCATCCTTCGATTGATTGACTTTTTAAATTAATCCATTTCAAGGGAATCGCCGGCTTCGGCATTGGTGCCGCCGTCGCTGGAGCTTGCACTATCGCAGAGATTCAGTTTGCTGACTACATTTTCCCCGCTTTTGACCAGGTATTGCTACAATTTTCAATGTATTCTTTATTCAATGTAATTACGAAGATCGTTAACGAAGCTGCTAAATATCGATACCGATCTGGAAATGAATTTGACTGTGGCAAGCTCACTATCCGATCTCCATGCGCTGCTGTCGGACACGGTGCTCACTACCACTCACAGTCTCCTGAAGCTTACTTTGCTCATACACCCGGACTCAAAGTATGCGTCCCTCGATCGCCAATTCAGGCTAAGGTACTTCGATCATTCCGGGGCAAGAAATGCTCATCATATTATTTTAGGGTCTTCTCCTTTCTGCTTTCGAAGATGACAACCCATGCATTGTTTTTGAACCAAAAATCCTCTACCGAGCTGCCGAGGAGCAAGTCCCTGTTGGACACTACAAGATTCCTCTTGGAAAGGCAGACGTTCTCAGAGAAGGAACTGACATGACCATGCTCTCTTGGGGCACTCAAATTCACGTCGTTCGAGAGGTAATAATCACTGCTCATCCAGGGACTAACGGAGTTTCAGGTCGCTAGCATCGTGGAAGAAGAGCTCGGTATCTCCATCGAGGTGATTGATCTTGTCTCAATTCTTCCATGGGATCGCGAAACCGTTTGCAACTCTGTCAGTAAGACCGGTCGATGCATTATCACTCACGAAGCTCCAATCACCTGTGGATTCGGTGCTGAACTCCAAGCTACCATCACAAGCGAGTGCTTCTTCGACCTTGAAGCTCCGCCACAGCGTGTCTGTGGACTTGACACTCCTTTCCCCCACGTCCACGAGCCTCTCTACATGCCAACCAAGTGGAAGCTCATCCAGGCTGTCAAGGAAGTCATGGACGCTTAATTTTATTAACATCAATAGCCAAAAACAATGTTTAGCAACTCTAAACGTTTTACCTTGCCATATGTATTGTCAAATATACTTTCTGACTCTCTAGAACTTCTGCACTGTGCTCTTTCTCTCTAGAGCAGCCTTTTTTACCTGAAACTCGTCGTGCTCGAAAGTTCATATACGAAAACTTTATATAATATTTAAAAAGTAAAGCTCTTACTTTAACTTTTCTGTCTGCTGGTGTTTGGAAGTCTGATAGACCACCTCCTTCAAAGAGATAATTCTACATAACCTTTTCTTTTCAGTTTGACAAATTTTGTAAGGCCAAGATGAAGTTGGCTCGATTCCTCATGAAGCTGTCCCACGAGACTGTGACTATTGAACTCAAAAACGGCACTCAGGTAAATTCCATCATCTTGCCCTTGTTTTATTACTGTATATAATCAAGGCGTATTGATCTTTCATTGTTTTATTGACGCTCGAGCATTCAGGTCGTTGGAACCATCGCTGGTGTTGACATTTGCATGAACACCCATTTGAAAAATGTCCGCCTGACTGTCAAAGGACGAGAGCCACAACAACTTGATGCTCTTTCCATTAGAGGAAATAACATTCGATACTACATCTTGCCGGACTCTGTTCCCCTCGATACCCTCCTGATTGATGATGGACCAAAGGTAAGCTTGCTTGTTGAAGCACTTGTTCATATCATTCAATTAGGCTCGAGGAGGTGGATCCACTCGAGACCGAGGACGAGGCCGAGGAAAGCCTTCCCGAGGTGGCGGACGAGGCCGTGGCGGACGAGGTGGTCCACGAGGCCGAGGAGGCCCCCGACATCGACGATAAACTCACTGCCTACAGTTACCGTCCATTATGTCCGTTAATTTCTGTGCATTTTTTGTTCATAATCGGAGTTGTCCGCGATGGGGTTGACCGTCTTGTCGGCTACCACGTGGCGCCGCATTCTGAACGGTCAAAAATATGCTCTGAAATTTGACTCTCTAAAGTAACTGTACATTTTTAGATGAAATCGGGATAAGAAATGTACACTATTCTCTTTCTGGGATCAGATTGGTTTTCCGCTTCTGTTCTGCGACATTTGACAGCGTCACGTCACAGTAAGATTGCGCGAATCACCGCAGCAGCCAAAGGACCGGATTAAACAAAACTCACGCCAAACTCATACGCTAACCTCCTGAGACCAACACACATAAACACACCTACTTACCTGTGTCTGCTTTTATTATCGTAAACACTGTACAGTTGTTTTTCTTCGCTGACAGTTGTGACGAAATTATGTTGGTCAACAATGGGTTAGGCGACTTTCTTTTGTTACGGCTCATTAAAACCGTCTCTATCTCAATAAGATAGATAGGTATCAGAATAGTCTATTCTAAAATAGAAAGAGAGAAAAACTAATTTTATGAGCCTAAATAAGCTGCCTTCGCTCAAATGGTACACAGTTTTATCACTTACATCCTTCGTCGGCCTTACTCTCACGCTTTCCTACAACAAGGATCTTTGGCCCTCTTTACCTGAAAATGAGCTTCTTTCTTCGCCCGAGATTGAGTTATTGACCGAGGAAGAGGTCGACCTTGAACGCGCTCAAATGAGAAACAGCTGGCTTGAGGAAAATTGGGTTGTTTCCTTGATTATTATAAACATGGCTGCTTGTATGCTTCTTCTGTTCTCCATGGCTGTTATTCGTGTCGTCTTCGGTGAACTTCGTAACGCTGAGAAAAACTCTGCGAAAGACAAGTTCTGGAATTATGTTTTTTATAAGGTGAGCCACCTTCATCAACACTAGTTGTTGATCAGTGATTTAAGTTTATTTTCGTGTTTGGTGTGATAAACGTTCACCAAGCCGGAGAGGTGCTTCTTTGGGCTGCTTGGTTTTCTGTTCTTGCTATGCTTGTTGTTATGACGAAGATATCAAAGCTACGGTAGGTCCTCTTCCTTGACTTCCCGCGATAAAGTTTTATTCAGATTTGAACATCTTTCCTTCTCACCAAATACCGCTAGAAATCTTCATTGCAAAGTACTAGGCCTTCTTGGGACAATCATATTTTCATCCTCTCTTATCTTCGTTCTGGTATGCTATCAGACTCATTCACGACATTCTTACCTATTTCTTTAGTTTATCAGGAATCGCGACTTTTTCACGCTTCACATTCTCTGTTTCTTACTTGCCGATATCGCCGTTTTGACAATCAGAGCAACCCATGTCACTTCTCGCTACCTAATCCACCTGTATGATCTTAGCCGCGCTGGAGTTTGGGAATACAAGGGCCGGTAATTGTTCTACAGAATTTAAACAAAAACTGATCTTTTCACTAGTTGGTTGCACTACAACGACCTTATTCTATCGTCTTCATTTCTTATCCTCGACCTTGTTCACCATTTACACATGCTTCTAAGCGGCAATCTTTGGCTATCCATGGCATCTTTAGGTAACACCTACACGCTCAAACTCGGTAATCTATGGCTTTAGTAATCTGTATGCATGTGCGATTCTTGCTAAACGAGCTTCAAAAGCAACGAACCAAACACCTGACTTATCATCGCGTTATTTCCGACATGGAATGCAAATACCCCCAAGTACAGACCAAGGGTGAATGTCTTATCTGCTGGGATACCTTCAGGTTCTTCCGTTAGCGTTCTCACGTGGTTTTTAACTCTTTTCTTAGCTCCGCTCGGCGGCTCACATGTGGTCATTGTTTCCACAGTTCCTGCCTCCGCCAGTGGCTTGAGCAAGACGCTTCGTGTCCAATTTGTCGCTGTCGCTTGAACCAAGAAGAAGAAGTCGAAGAAGAACCGCCCGCTCCCATCGCGCCAGCAGAACCCGTCTGGTCTTTCAATCTCCGTAGGATCTCCAACTGGCTTCCGTCTTGGAATATCACCGTCAATTATGATTTGCAACCGCGGCCTATGAACAACACGCGTCTCCAGCAATCCGCTTCTGAGCTTCAACAAGTAAAAATTCCATCATTTCAATTCAACATTAATTTAAGATATTCCCTCACATATCTCGACGTGCAATACTTGAGGATCTACGAAGTACTGGCTCTATTGATCTCACAGTAAGATTCAGATGTTATTATCGAGCCTTATTATACATGTTATCTTAGACTGATAACATACTCGACGGCCAGTTGGATGAGCCCGACCCCGATTCCGAGTCAGAAAACGAACCAGCTGCCGACTTAAACCTAATCGATTTACGCCTTCGTCGTACTTGATCCCCAGTTATATTTATATCTTCAATCACTTAATGTTTCTGTTCAAAGTATTCCTATTCAAAGTTTGTCCCCTTAAAATGTTCCACATGTTCTCTACCTTGTACCTTTGTGTATCTCCATTGCACTAGAAAAATTAGTCAGTTACTATTAGTAACTCTTTAAAACTTCATTGTCAAAAAGTCAGAAAACGCTGTACATAATTCATACAAAACTTCTCTTCTGGTGTGTTGGTCTTCAAATAAACTATCCGATCATTCGATCCTATTCAAAAAGCGCGATGTTTAATCTGAACAAAGCACCACTTGTCAACGGTCAGACCTTCCCCGCATATGAGAAGTATATTTTCGGAAGTGCAGGTTATGGGTTTAAAACGACTTTTCTCGACAAATAGCCTGCTGATCGATATTTTAACCCTACAAAAGTATTCCCGCAAGTGTGTAATAATTTGAATATCCCGTTAGAAACATACAGTCCTCAAAATCAAGCAGACATACTCATCGTCGCCTCTTTTGGTTCGCTTATTCCTGGGGAGTATTTAAAGAATTTTAAATACTGCTGGAACGTACATCCCTCTGACCTGCCCCTACATCGAGGCGCTGCTCCTTTAACAGCAGCAATCTTGTCGGAAGAGCGGAAAACACGAGTTTGCATTCAAACAGTTGCTCCTAAATTCGACGCTGGTCAGATATTGGCCCGGTCCGAGGATGTAGACACAGAAGGCTATAATTTATTGACGCTTGGCATGGAGGCCGGAAAAATAGGCGCCGAGCTTCTTACTAGCATTCTTGATGAGTTGCCCAAATTGGAATTGAATGATCAAGAAGGAAAGCCTTCCATGACTAGGAAAATGACCCCGGCAGATCTTATGATCAGCCCAAAAGATCAAACTGCATCTGAGATTTTGCGGCAATCTCGGGCGTACCATTTTCCTTGTAAGATGAAATTTTGCGGGAAAGAACTTCATCCAATAGGTAGCATTGTTAATTGATCATGGTTTTAAGCCAGTTTAGGTCTAAGAGAGGAGTCTGCGATACCGAAAGAACCCTATGTATGGAACAAAAGCAAGAATAACAAACGTATGGTCGTAAGGTGTAAAAACGACACTGCCTTTTCCTTTCAAAAATTCAAATGGACACTGAATGCGCACAGTTATGAAAGCTGTATGGGTCTGAAGCAGATTTATATGAAGTCGAAATAGTTTCTTTGGGATGCTTTCTGAACTTTTATAATTATAGAATGCCTGCCGATATCGGAGAACTTCAAGATGCCGCAAAAAGCCGCAGAGAAAAGCTGATGGCGATGAGAGCCAAGGTAAGTTTTCCGGGCATATTTTTTCTCTAACACGATTCAAATCAGAGAAAAGGCGGCAATGAAAACTCAACTGAAGAACCCGCACTGAAGCTCCGAAACTACAAGCCGCTTGACGAGAACATATCCAGAGACGAGATCGAGCCCGCCGACGTTGAGCACGTTGATGAGCATGTTGAAGAGCTCGAAAATGAAGCAAGCGCTCCAGGTATACCAACTTTCCTAGGCCAACCGTACTTTATCTCTCTCAGTTCCTGGCGAAGACACAAACGAGCTTGACTTGATTCAACTTGCTCCAAAGAAACCAGACTGGGATCTAAAGCGTGCAATCCAGCCGCGCCTCGACAGGCTTAATAAGAAAACAGAGCGCGCGATTGCTGAACTCATTCGAGAGAGACTAAAGGGGTCTGCTGATCTCGCCTCTCAAGTTGCTGCTGCTGGGCCCGATGTGGACTTTGTTGACTAACAGATTAGAAAATTGAGGAATACAACTGCCATTCAATAAAAAACGATGATCAGAGGACTTTTCTTTTTCAGTTTATTTTTTCTTTATATTTTAGCAAAAAGAAGCGGATGAAATTGTAGATGCGTGGTCAGAGTAGTGGGGTTGTTCGCGACGAGCGCGTTGTTTTCTGGGCATAGAATCGTGAACCTTCGTTATTTTTTGCATCAGCTCCTGGTTGAGCTGCTGTCTATCGGCGAGCTTGCTCATCGCGAGGAGATACTGCCCCTTGTAGTATCGTGCGTTCTCTTGCTCGAACATCAGTTTTCTTTTCAAATCCAAAGTCGTGTTGGAATATTGCTCTCGCATTTGAAAAACGGCACTTTTGAGCTTTCGACTCTCTTCTCTTGCAACCTTCAGCTCGTTGTGAAGGATGAGGACTTTGGATGAGTTCTTCTGAAGTTGACTTTCCGCCATGTTCAGCTCGATCGTAGCTTCTGTGATCTTTTGCTGGATGTTTTCGCTTCTTCGGAGAGTTCCGGCGATTTCATGCTTTTTTGTAGAAACGCAGCCTCCCATTTTGTTTGTCTGATTCAGTATTTTCTGTTTTATTGTCGAGCTAGATATCATTAAATAGGGGCTAGAACTGGCGGCGCTAGAGAATACAGCTGGTATCCATTTCCTTTTAGTTCGCGGTAATACAGCTGGCCGCGATACGTTTCGAACGCGAGCCAGGGTTGATTGTTATCACTCTTTGAACTTCATGATTTATATCGGTCTGTTTTTATTCTGCACATTTCTTCTCCGCCCAAGAAGTTCGCTCTTGGTGAACACCTTTAGGAAACAGGTCAAAGGCGGTTCTGCATCTAACGTTATTTAGTTTTCAAATGTGCGAAGATAAATATTTCCTCGGACGCGGCGAATTTGAACGAGTAAAGATAATAACGCGCGCATTTTCTTTTCAGACAAATCGATCGGACCGATAATGTCGGACTCGGATACAGAGCTTCTTATCGACCATGATGTAAATGGAAACGGAGCCCTCGGAGAGGCTCCTTCAACGCAGAGAACACTAAACACCTTCTTCGGCGTCATCGTGCCATGCTGCTTGTCCATGTTTTCCGTCGTGCTCTTTCTGCGAATGGGCTTCATTATTGGCCAAGCAGGACTCATTCAAGCATTGATTATGCTCGTAATTGGTATTTTTTTAATAGAAAATCAAGTTTTCCAGTCTACTGTTTGTAGCATTTATAATCATTGCGTTGACGGTGACGTCTGTTTGTGCCATTTCAACAAATGGAGCTGTAGAAGCAGGAGGCGCTTATTTTATGATCAGTAGAGCTCTTGGACCGGAAATGGGCGCATCAATTGGTCTGATGTTTTATCTGGCTAATGCTGCCGCTGTTGGTAGGTTTCTTACTGAGTGTTCCACTTCTCCTTATTTTTATTCAGCCATGTACATTTTCGGTATGTGCGAAACGATCATTGACGATTTCGGCCCGGGTGGCCAACTCCTTCCAAGCATCAACAGTACTGGAATTCCAACTAGCCAATGGATCGAATATGGCTACGGAACTGCCTTGCTCTTTCTTGTTGCTGTCATTTGCCTTGTGGGAGCCGACATTTATGCAAAAGCCGTATTTGGCATCTTCATCGTCGTTGGAAGCGCAATCATTTGCGTTATCGTCTCGTTCTTCGTAGAAAAGGAGATGCAAGTTCCTGTTGTCAATCCTGACTGGCCAAATAGAACGGAGCTTTATACTGGCTTCAGCTCGCAAACGTTCCATGCTAACTTGTACTGTAAGTTCTTCGATTTCTTTGAAACATCTTCCATATCTTGATTTATCATCCAATTTTTATAGCAAATTACACAATTGATTATAAACATCATGACAAGGAAAGAGTTAGAGCAGCCTTTTTGATCAGAAAATTTACTGATCTTTCTTGTTCTGAGATGTGGACTTCCGATCTCTCAACCTGCTCCCTAACTTCCTGAAAAAGGGTCTCTACTCATTTTCCGAAATCTTCGCGCTTCTTTTCTGCTACAAGCATACCTGCCTCACTGCCATCACCCACATTCTTGAACGAACAGCTCAAGGTAATAATTACTACTACAGCAAACTACACGTATGACTACACGATCCCTAACGGCTCTATAATGGGTTTTATTGATGTTTTTGCGATTTTATTCAACGGCTGCACTGGTATCATGGCCGGTGCTAACATGTCAGGTTTAAAATGAAGGTTCAAAGGTCGACCTGAGTCATTCCCACGCTCTTCCTCTTTTCTAATCAAATGTTTCAGGAGAGCTGAAAAATCCCTCCAAATCGATTCCTGTCGGCACCATTGCCGCCTGCTCCATCGTATGTTTTACCTACATTCTCCTGATGATGTTCATCGCCGCTACTTGCCCGAAAGCGTTGCTCAACAATAACTACACTTTTCTTCAAGCCATTAACTTCTGGCCACCGATCGTCTTTATCGGCATTTTCTTTTCTTCCTTTTCCGCTGCCCTGTCATCACTGATCGGCGCTTCACGCGTTCTTCATGCAATGGCCAAAGATGGCATGTTCGGACCGGCTCTTCGCCTTGTGAAAATGACCAACAGCAAAGGGAATCCATACGTAGCAGTTGTTATGACATGGTTCCTCATCCAAGTCGTCCTTCTCATCGGAAAGCTTAACGCAATTGCTCCCCTCGTTACTATTTTCTTCCTTCTTGCGTATACTGCTTGTGATTTAGCTTGCCTCGGATTGGACTGGGCTTCAGCACCCAACTTTCGCCCAACATTCAAGTACTTTTCCTGGCATACCGCTCTCCTCGGCGTTATTTCGACTATGGCCGTTATGTTCCTCGTCAACTACATCTGGGCGTTGGCAGCGATGGCTATCATGATCATTTTGAGTGCAATTAGCCATTACACCGCTCCTCAAGTCGCTTGGGGCTCGATATCCCAGGCTCTTATTTTTCATCAAGTTCGTAAATACGCGCTGAAAATGAATGTCCAAGATTCATCAATTGACTCCTGGCGCCCTGGCATACTCTATCTCGTCAGAGACATAACCGCTTCAGTCGAAGGCCTTCTCTTTGTGAATGACTTGAAGAAATCAGGTCTCCTTGTGCTAGGTCACGTGAATCTCGGAAGTATAGACGAGGAGGACATGGAAAGCTCGAAGAGGAAGCTCAACGCCTGGTACGATTTCGTCAAAAGAATCAAGTCAAGGCGTTTGTCGAGCATACAACTTGCCCAGACCTACGACTGGGTGCCGAACAGCTTCTGCGACTATCCGGCCTGGGCGGGATGAAGGCAAACACGCTAGTTATGAACATTGACTCTCCAACTGAAAGCACGAAGGATATAATCACAGATGCGATTCGTCTTGACAGAAATGTTGTGCTTATGAAAAATGTGACTTCATTTAATCGCAATCTTCTTGAAGGCAAGAATGACAACTTTATCGATATCTGGCCAACATCTTTAACGAGCCCTGGATTTATGATCGGCACAGTAGACAGCATCAAAGCCGATGCCAATGCTCAGTTTTTGCTGCAACTTGGCTGCCTGCTTTCACGCTCTCACTCTTGGAAGCCCACGGCTAAACTAAGGATCTTCATCCCTGTTGCTCCTGGAACCGATGTCACAGCTGCCCAGAAATCTTTCAAGACTTATTTCATGGAACTGCGAATAAATGCAGTCTTAGTACTAGTCACTGTTGAATATAATCAGCTCGAGTTGATGGATGACGATTATGTTTCTTGGGTAAACTCGCTCATACTGTCAAAAAAGTCGGGTCAAACTGGAGTTACTTTCCTTCAATTGCCGAATACTGTCGATACATGTATGGGCTTCATATCGCCTGAAAAAGGCTCTGGTAAGATAGAATTTTATGTGTCACTTATTAATTTAACTTATAGCGTCTTACTTGGCTGATCTTGGACCAGTTGTGATGACTTGGGGTCTCAAAAATGTTATTTCTGTATAGATAAAAATTCATATATGATAAATGTTCATGCAGTTCCTCTTCACTTACGAATCTTTCCATTTCTGTCGCTTTTCTTCTGATTATTCGAAATAAACTAAAATGATACCCTCTCTTCAAATATTTTTTAAAGATAAACGTTGAATATGAGTGAGTCGGACAACTCAGATTATGACCCAATTCCTGACAATGAAGAGATCGAGGAAAATGATACTCCACCAGACGAAGGTGAAGCAGCAGTTCTTGCAGATATCTGGGGTGCTCCTGGGGCTGGAAAAGACCATCAACAGGAAGATGAAGGTACAGAGGAGCAAACAGACGGAAGAGACTTATTTTCGCCAACAAATGGAGCAACATCGGCTCTTGAGCTTATGCGCGTAAAGTCAAGCGAGCAAGCGAATCCAGAAAAAGACGAAGAAGACGATGAAGACGAGCAAAACACGCCAGAGGAAGTCGAAAAGGATGACGCCGAAGATACAGGCGAGCCTCCAGCGAAACGAGCAGCTAGACAGGGACTTACTCGGCTACCACTTTCGCGAATTAAAACGATGCTCAAAAACTTCGATCCTGAGTGGAAAGGTCAAAGTGCTGATGCTGCTATTGCTCTTATTCTGGTAACATTTTGACCGTTTATGGCAGTTTTTAATGCGTTTTTAGGCCGGAGAACAGTTCATTGAAAATCTTGCACGTCGATCCTATCAAATAGCGGAAACTGGGCGGCGAAAAACTGTCAAGGTAGAACCTCAACATTGAAATATGTTGGCTAGGATTATGTTTTAGAAAGATGACGTCAAATTTGTCTTTCAAACTGAAGAAGAATACGCGTTCCTCGATGGCTGTTTTGATTCCAAGACCGGATGTCTTTAATTTATTTTCTCACAAATTCCGTATCCTCACTAACTGCCTCCAGCACAATATCATGTTATTTTGTCCATTTCTCTATTTCAAGAGTGGCTTTTTAGATACTCGGAATGGTTTTCTCTCTCAAGACTATCGGCACTGCGCTGACTATCAACATGATGTACCTCGGCCCACCCGTAAGATAAACACAAAGAATCAGTAATTTTATAATTAACATTTTAGCATGGCCGAAACGGCTTCGGAACCCAGCAGTGGGGTCGAACCTCTGTTCAGTACCTCCAGAACGGTATCTGGATCTGTGGCGCTATGACTTTGAGAATGATCTCCATGTCCTGGAAGTAAGCTCTTGTCACTCTCTCCTGCTCCTGTGTGTCTTACTGATACCATATTTATTCGAATAAATAATTCCCTAGTAACATCTTCTATTTGATTTTTCTCTTTCGTTTATTTACAGCGATATTTATATGAAAACGCGCAATATTAGTAACGCGCCTGGAGTTTCGTCGAAACTTGACCCTCGTATTTTAACCTCGTATCTTCTAGGCGACGCATTTCAGCTTGGTATGCCATGTTTTGATGAAGCTCTTGTAAATTTGCGGTGGAGTTATCCTCTGCCTCGGCCTTAAAATTAGTTGAAAACAAATTTCGGGACATTCATTTTCAGTACCTCCATGGTATACTTTCTCACGAGATAAATTGCCCCGCAGAGGGAGATAACTCCAAGGGCACAAAAAATCATTGTGAGCAAGAGTTTTCTTTTTCCGACGATGGTAGTGTCAGGCTGATAACTCTCATCGCGCACTGATTTTATGATTACAGGAGGAGCTGGGTGGTATTTTGTTCTTGGCTCGGGAACGGTAGATTGAGTTGGGGCATAATAATTTTGAAGCAAGTTCTTGATTAGAGCTGGTGGTTCTCGTGTTGTCTGTAAAGCAACCGGGATCGGCTTAGGCGGAAGACCTGGGATAAGCTGGAAACTTATGAGAACTTGTGCGTCCTAAAAATAAATGTTTATCGCTAAATTTGCATATGAAAAGGGAGTCCAAAATAATCAGTAGAATCTCTAGAGCTGTGATTATTTACCTGGCCAATGTCCAAATGAATCTCAGCACTGCCAGTTTTCGCGACATAATCTTCAATTGGCATTTTCCCGCAGATTCGGAATATCCGCTCTACTCCTGATTCAAAGACTTTCATGCGGCTGCGTTCTGAACAGTCTGTCTTGAAATCGATGAAGGAGAGTTTGAGGAATGAGCCTGGTTCATGTGCGCTAAAAGAAAATTAGATCTTCTGAGGAAAAATAAATTGGGTACCTTATATCTAGCTTGTAGTTGCAGCGGAAGGGATTGTTGAGCGGCTTTGGCCAGTTAAAAGTACCGATATACTAAAAACTCCGTAAAAATGTCTGAAACGATAAATATTTAGACAGATTTTTAATTAAAAGAAATATAAACCTGAATCTCAGAGGTAGCTACTCCAGTTGCTTTTCCAGAGTTATCACAAGATAGTAGTGTCGGCGGCTGAATACCCTCCTTCTTCGGTACTTTTATCACCTCTCCCGTCTTCTCACTTTTAATCTCTACCGTCTTCGGGCCCGACTTAATAAGGCCTCCGAGTGTTATTTGTATGTTTATATAAATGTGGATTAAAATTTGAAACTTCATTTTCAACCCGATACCCTGCTGAGAGCTTGCGTTGCTACTAGTTGGGTACCTCTAGAATCGCCGCGGGCAGTGACGTTCTTGTACATGCTTTTACCTTATTGGGCGGAGACTCTTGGAACTCAAGGCCAAAGTTGTCTAGTTCGTAGTACCCTGGAATGTCCGGATGTATTTTGACTGTAATTCCATGTTTTAGAATGATCACATCGCATGAATACAAAATCCACGACAGTATATGCTCCGCTCTCGGCTTTGGCCCTGGCGAAGTCATCTTTAGCGCGTCAGATAACCACAAGTTGACAGTAATAACAATAAATAAAAAAGAAAATGTCGCTGAATTCGATCTTGGACCAGATGCATATCCTGTCGATTTGACGATAATGCCAAGTTTGAATAGAAAAGGCTGTCAAGTCTGCGTCGCTTGCTCCGATGGGAGTATAACGATGATTAATTATAATAAGTAAGGAACAACATTCAATATTTTATTGTTGATTATCAACTTGATTCATAACAAATAACATATCTTTTTCTAAAAGGGACGAATCACATGATAAAATCGACGTTAGGTACAAAGGTTGCCATTTATCATCCACTTACCAATTGCATGCAATCATTTATCTGTTGTTTCTCAAAACAGAACTTACACTTATAATTTTAGTTATCACCTCAAACTTGAGAAAAATGGCCAGCACACGAAGGCGCCGCAATCCAAGTTGTTGCATCTCCCAGCGGCTCTGAGCTCGCTTCCTGTGGCGAAGATGGCGTCGTCAAAGTGTGGTCCAAATCAGGTCTACTACGTTCAACCTTGACCAACCTCGGTCACGCTGTTTACGCGCTTGACTGGTCCCCTGATGGTTCTAAAGTCGTTTACGCTTGCCAGAGTAAGATAGAGATCAAAACGCTGACTGGAAATATGAAACAAACTGGGGAAGTCTGGACCGCTCATGAACCCGTTGTGAGCTGCGTCACGTGGGGATCAGGCGATACAATTGCTTCGGGAGGTGAAGATGGAAAATATAAAATCTGGGATCTATTTGGACGTCTATTGTTTCAATCAGCAGATCATCAATTCCCAATCACTTCAATCTCCTTTTCTCCAAATGCCGACAGTCTACTTGTTGGAACCTTTGGCATCGTGAAATTCTGCGATCCTTCTGGCAAATCGATCTCTTCCGTTCAACAAACGAATCTTGGATCGCCTTTCCGTTTTTGCTGGAGCCAAGATAATCTCATCGCAGCGACTGGTACCGGATCGGGGAAATTATTGAGGCTCGATATTGCCGGAGTAAAGGTTGAAGATGACACGCATCAGCTTGAGCAGATGAATTCGAAGGCGATCAAAGTGACGGAAATCGACTCGGCAACGACAGATATGATTGAAACAACTGAAAGGTTTGCTTGTTTTCTGTTAAGTTCTTTCAAAGTTATTAAAGAATAACCTCAATATCGACCGGATATAAAAATATCGTAATCGGGACGACAGAACAGCTCCAAATATTCGTCAAGGGTCGACTTAATACGCCTCAGCTTGTTGAACTCAAAGAGCATACGCCTAATCTCATAAAGCAAACAGACCAGCTCTTTGCTGTCGTCAGTACCACAGCGATCATCATTCTAACTTATGAAGGCAGAATACAGGTACCTGCCTAAAATTATACTCAAGTGTCGACGGTATTTTAAGTCAGAGAACCGGTTCAACTTTAGTCTGACAGCGATGAATCTTGCACAAGTGGCGTTGAACAGTCGATTTTGTGTCATTGTGGACCCTAGAGATGCAAGAAACTTGATTGGATTTGAGAACATGACTGGAAAGGCCATCAACGGATCGGTTAAATCGCTGGAATCAAGTCCACTCCTTACTCATAAAGTATTCAATTGAATATTTATCTTGAGCTAGCATTCTTTCTAGGATAATATTCGCCACGTGGAGCTTCAAGCAGATCAGCAGCTACTCTCCTTCGTAGACGAGCAAAAAGACTTGTACATAATGAAGCTTGGCACGCCAAAACTCGTCCCACATCGGATTATGTCCAATGTCACGGCGATTATGACATCTTCGACACTTCCCGTCCTTTCTTTTCTCAAAGGCTCGCAGGTCGAGGCTCTCATCAATCCGGCCATTGCGTTCGTCGATAATGCACTTGTTGCGCAGTCAACTGTTTCTATTGAGGCGACTAATTTGGGAAGGAATCCAAGACTTTTTGGTAACCACTTGAATTGTACCAACTTTTTCACTTTTCTTTAGCATTTAACGAAGGTACAGTCAGTTTGAGAAATCACGACGGAAGCGTTATCCGTGGCAGCTTGAATCCACTAGCAACACTTTTGATCAAAGCCGTTAAAGATCGAAAGCTGAGCGAAGGACTTTCTATTTGCCGCTTTGCTGCTGATAAGTCTTTATGGATGGTACTAAATCTTTGCCCGGCATGACAATTGATAAGTTTTCTCTTAGACATTGAGTGGTTTTGCTTTGGAGCATAACCAAACTGAAGTGCTGGCCGAGTGCTACAAAGCGCTTGGAAAAGTGGATAGAGTTAGACAAATTAACAGAGCTAATGAAACTGTAAGTATCGTTCGGATAGACATTCAATTGATGAATTATTTCAGAGTGACAAGACTCTTCAAGTTATTGAACTCAAAGCGCTTGGAAATGAACCAGAGACAATGGACGTACTTGCCAAAAGAAGTGAGCTTACAGATACTCTTCCGGTAAGTTAGTTTCTATCGTCATTCATTCAACAATGTTTAGCTGTTATTTGCTAAATGCGCATGGAAGGAAGCACTGGATCTGGCCATCAAAAAAGGCAGTCACATTGACACTGTACTTTACTTTCGTTCGCACTACCTGAAATCAAATGAGAAGGAAGAAGACATTGAAAAATTCCGCGAGATGAATCAAAAGATCGACGTCTCCTGGGAAGACATCAAGGCCAAATATCCAATGACTGCTTGAATTTGCTAGATTATTTTTCCTGTACAGTTTTCAATGATTTTTTATTTTCGTATGTTTTCACATCAATCTTTGTTTTTATTTTTATATTTAATACACTACCAAATATTTTTCAAAACAAGGAAATAATTTTGAACAAACAGCGTCAAAATTATCTCGCAATTCTATAAATATATAGCAGGAGACAACATAAACAGGTCAACAAAAGTAAGCAGGACTTATCAGCTGTTTGAATAAATTCGCTATTCAATGAAAATCTACGGCATTTCAACAGAGAGTTATAGAGGGACAATAAATCCCGGTCAATTTCATGGGCCTCTGCGCTTAGGTGCCCTTATCCACCTGCCATCTGATAAGGTCGATAAGTCGCAATTTTACCAGAGCGTAAAGTGAACCAACCGTTGCTCACAAGATGGCTTCTTGAGTCGTATGTTCCATATAAAATGATTGCGAGACTGCTTCAGTCATCAAACTCATCTTCTCCTCTTATAACAAACAGAGAAAGAAAAAGTCAAGCAGCAAGTGAAACTTGAAAATCAACAAAATGAAGGTTTTCTCACTTTTTTTCACCTTCTCCTTCGCCCTTGATGAGATGCTTCTCATGATGATGATGCAACAGCAACAGCAAGTTGCTCCTGGCCAGACATCGCAGATGAACAGCATACTCCCGCTCCTTCTCCTTGATTCCGACGACTCCTCAGATAATTCAATGATGCTCATGATGATGATGATGCAAGGAGAAAACATGAACGATATGAACTCCATCCTTCCACTTCTTCTTTTCTCAGACGATGACAGTAACAGCACTTTGGATATGACTTCCTTCTTCCTTTACTCTTCTATGCTCCAGAATAACTGCGAAACTGCTACTGACGATCAGTTCGGCGCCATGCTTCCTCTTCTCCTTATGGACTCCGAAGATGGCAATAGCGACAATCTTATGCTTATGCTTATGATGCAGACTATGGGTGATTCTCCAGTCGGTATGGACAATATCTTCCCACTTCTCTTCCTCCTCGACGATGAAGGAAACTCTACCGACTCTGTTCTTCTCATGGTCCTCCTCAACTCGATGACCGGTGGCATGAACTCTCAACAAGGATTCGACAACAACTTCAACATGATGCTCCCTCTTCTCCTTCTCGACGGTGAAGACAACGATGATAGCCAGTCTGACATGCTCGTTTTGATGATGGCTATGCAATCTCAGGCACCCGGCTCCGCCTTTGGTACCGATATGATGCTCCCTCTTCTTCTCATGGACGACTCTGGCGACAATGAAACTCTTCTCTTCTTCATGATGATGAACCAGGGCAAGACCAAGTGCGAGCCAGCCTACGTCCCAGCTCCTGAACCAGTCGTTGTTGTTCAACCAGAGCCACAGGTCGAGACTGTCTTCCGAACCTGGAGAGTCAACGCTGATGGAACTCGAGAGCTTATCGAAGAATCCGTCGACACCGCGTAAGAATCTTCTTTTTATTCACAAGCTCTATTATTTCTTCTCGTGCTTTGAAGTCAAATGTTCGACTTTATTTATTCATTCTGTTCTTCTTCCCTTATCCGAGATAATAAACTAAGAAAAATAACTTTTTGTATGGATAATTATTTCAAGTTTAATGCCTTTCTCACCAGATGAAAAAAGATAAACCCCTAAATATTCAATTCTTCATTGTAAAAAATACCAAAAAAATGGATAATACAAAAGAATGATGGCGCGCCTGAGTCAAAAAGCTGCAAGCGCGTCCCTTACTCCGTCAAAGAATTGATGAATATCCATCAGTAGAGAATATATCAGCTATCAGATAGATACGATCCTGTTAGTACTCTCAAAGAAGATCTCTACAAGTAGAATTTAATCTTGTAAGTTTGACAAGCGGGTACTGTTTCTCAAAAGAATCTTTCGAAAATTTTCATTTGAAACTTTTATTGCTTTATTTAAGATAAGATTCTTTCAACCTAAGCTCCGATATTCAACAAAATTTAATTCGATAACATTTAAAGTTTAAATTTTTAAAACCAATTTGTATACCTCGCGTAAGATTCCGTGTTAATATTTTCAGATACATATTTAATTCTTTCTGAATATAAGTTTCCAATTTCTTTTGCATATCACAGAATTTGAACCCATCATTTGTTGTATAAAAGGCTTAACCTAAATAAAGAGGATAATGAACTTGTTTCAGAGGTCTTAGTTTTCTTTGAACGACCCTTCCTGAGTTTTTGGGCGTATATTATCTATTAATGCACCCTTTATCATTTTTCAGTACGAGCAAGTACTGAGCACTTGAGCATTATCAGCTGAAGTTAGTTTTTAAGTCCTTTTTTAATAAAGGAACCATGTTTGGTTTTTCTAAGAATACATTAGGTTATCTTTTATTACGAGTCTGTTTCTGGAGGATAGCTACGTCAAGGAATTATTTAACAATGGAAGTTGTTTTTGCATGTGGCTAAAAGTACTGTTTTGGAAGGTCGAACACGTTCCCAAAATAAATGGAGCTGGCACTCAGACTTTGGCTTTTTGCATGCGAAAAGATCGGTTGTCAAAAACGGACGCAGAAAAATGGCCGTACTATAAAAGAGAGGAGGTTGTCGTCAAATAGACCGTCTTTGATAGACGAAAATTGAATTTCGTCAAGGAAATAAGGTTCTCGTTAATTGATAAAGGAGATGTTTCACAGAACTCAAAAGGGACGAACAAATAGGTTATTTTAGGGGCGAGTTTTCTATTTACCCTTGGAAATAACAATGTTAGCTCGGTAATAATTCACGATGGAAGCAGATTCTAACTATATCGAGTCTTTACATAAACAGCGTAAGACCGAATCAAGAGTCGCTTAGGCGCGATTGACATATTGTCCCGAGGATAAGCCACCCCAGCTAAGGTAGAGCCTAGCAAGTATTAGGTAGTCTGCGTGTTTCTAAATGCTGATTCTTTGTAAACTCGGGAAAATTATTTAACGTGGATTAAAAGTCCGTGCCAAGGAAGCTGACCGCGAATCAATTCTAAAGCGTCGCTCGCCCAAATGCAGTCCCTTATGTGCCCACTAGAAAGTTCACTCGAGAGAAAGATATAGTTGCATCAGTCGATATTCAGACTTTATGCATTGAATCAAATTATTAATTGTTCACTCAGAGGGATCTTGAGACATGAGTGTAAGAAAAAATCAGAATAATTTAATTTTGAAAGAGGCGTTTTTCGTTGTTGACTAAACAAGCTTCTAATTTTGCTTTGAAAGAGATGGAAATATGCGTTCCTTGCTGAACTGACAGATGACTTTTTGATATCCGATACATGATATATCTACTGGTTCTTTGACGGTATAACTTTTTTGTCAGTTATGTACATATGAAGGGACACATCTATTCATATTTTATACGCTCTTCTACAGTTTTCATTGCCTGCCACAGCGCATTCAAACCTGATCAAATGATTTCTTCCGCGGCTAGCTATTGTTTTATAGCTTGAAAAATAGAGATTTTAGAAAGTTAGCACTTTTTTTATCCCCAACGAACTTTGTCTGTTAGTCCAGGCTCGTCCGCGCAGATTCTAAACATTAAAATTCGCGAGGGAATTTTAGAAATGGAAAATCTTACGACTATTTTAGCCGCCTCCAACTCGATAGACGAAATTTCAAGGAAGCAAGTTTGAGTTAAAATGTCAAAAAGTCTCATTACACCAATTCTGTTGACACTATCGATCCAGGAAAGGGATGGATAATTCGGCACTATATACAGTAGAAGCGTGCTAATTAAGCATTAAAAAGCGTGAGATCACAATCGCCAGATAATGTAAACCATTATAAATAACTAGCCTGTCACAAATATTGATCCCGACGAAACAGCCCTCACTCGCGCAAGCACTTACCTCATGGCAGCTAGAAGGAACTGGATTTGAATGCCTAAAGAATTTATTTTATCTGTCAAGGATGCATGACCCTGAACGCATCAATTTCAAATCGAAAGAAGGATGCTCAAAACAAACCCTTTCTTACACAACGAACAGATTCAACAGCGACTCGCTCAAAACTATCACAATGAAATTTCAATATGTAGATCTTCCAAATGTATTTCCAAGAAAATCGACCAGTTCAGCTTCAATATTTCTTCTTTACTTTGGTAAGATAGGGATTTAGGGAAATTTTGCTTACGGTTCCGTTTATAGATAATGCCGTTGACCAGTTTGTCTCCCTCATCATTTCTGCGGGTCAGCTACTTCTTGAAGTTCAAGCCACGCTTATATGATAATTAACGTCATTACTATTTCTTTTTTATTTAAGCAAAATGTTGCTTTGAGTAGGGGAAGTAAGGAGCATTCAGAAAGGGATGTCTGAGTGCTTAAAATAAGCCATTAATCAACTACAATTTGTATTCCCCCTAAATTGTTTCTCAGTCATTGAAATAAATAAAAGTTTTCATACATATTTTACAGTAAAGGCGATTATTCAAGTGCCTTGTGGACATCCATTTTATTCTCAAGGGACGAAAAAGTCTTATCAAGAATACCGGTACTTCATTTCAATTGAAATAATACTCCATTATTTTCAAAATCCACAGTAAAAAGCAGCAGACAAGACCATTGATCCAGGATCAGGTCTTCTGTAGTGCCATAAATATTCAATTTTGATAGTTCTGCACGTTCTTAAAGTTCCGATAAATCTTCAAGAATACTTAAATATCGAGTGCCCACTTACTGTCGAATCTTTTCTACGCAACTGAACTTTTCAAGAAGCAGACGCTTTAATACGAAAAAGTACAGGAGCACGACGTCTTAAAATTTATTTGACGTCAATTTTTCGAGCATATGATTTGCTAAGCGCAACAAAAGCCGACAAGAAGAGAATACAAATGATCAAGGGTGGCTTTGTACTGGACAAGGCCGTTCATGTGGCTGTCATCACCTTCGATGACAATTCCATTTCGTTGACGACCGACGAGGGCGACTCAAAAAGCATCATCACTGACCGACCTATTGATATCAAGGCATGGCTGGGTAAAGCCACTTGTTGATTCTGATTCTAGCTAAAAATGCATAATTGTTATTTCATTCAGGATCGACCTTGAACGACACAATATTTTCCTTCCTTTCTTGAATTATAGAATAGCTTATTATCAAGGGAGAAAATCAAATAATGCAATATTATCCCCGTAAGAAACTAACCATAGAATCTCTGTAGATTAACCGCGCCCGTAATTTATTATTCAGGCCTTTTTAAGGCGCACCTAAAACTTCCATGCATGATTTAAAATAAATACACACAGTACATTTAGCTCAGCCCAAATAGTCTGATGTTTACATCGGTGGCTTTCCAGAAACAAAGAAATTGTCAGATACTGTCTACCCAAAAGTATATAAGCGCGACTCATTCTCGGGCATCCTCAGGGAATTTCAGATCAACAGGAAGGGTTCACTCGACTCGAGATAATGTACATTTTGGATGGACTTTCCTTTCAACCCATCACATAATAAATTCAACTGATACGTACGGTATTCTCTCGTAAGAATATAGCATAGACATACCGTAATGAGGACAGCCTTCTGTCAAATTACGGTTTTAGAGAACCCGAAAAAGTATTTCTGTCTTTCCAGACATGATGAGTCCATCGAATTGTGTCAAGAAACTGAGTATCACTGGTGAGAATTTTGATAAAAGTACCCGATCGTCATGTCGGGGTAAAAAAATTGTTCTAATGCTGCAACGGCTGCTTAGCGGCTTATGTGCATTTTGATTTGCTAACATCAAACGATAAGAACAATAAACAGTTTTATGGTCCTCAAAAGTTTCTTTAAGATGCCTGTCTCTACAACCCATGCCAAAATCGAGGCGTGTGTAAGCAAGGTGCGCCGCCAAAATGCACATGTCCAGTGGGCTACAGCGGTGATTACTGTCAAAAAGGTATTTCTGGCATTGATCTCAGAATTTAAATATTAATACGATCAAAGATGAAAACGATGAAACAGGTTAAAATTAAAAATTTACGATTCTTGTCTTCCTAATCTATTTACTATTTTTCACTTAGAATTAGTAGCATCAGTCACAACTCATATAACCACCTTATTAGCACTATTTTTTTCTTAATCACTCTTTTGCTTTTGCACCAATTTTTAAGGACGTCCCGCTCGTCTTGCACGGCAAATATCAAAGTGTAAGGCACCGAAAGTTTCAGCTCGTAGTACGAGCCTCGTACCGATTGCTTCAAATATCCAAAGTTGTGATGCGGATATTTACTTCATCTATATATACCCAGCCCTGTACTAAACATACCGTAGATAGTTAACCGACCACTCAATCATTTGAGATTTATTTGTAATGCTCTCGAAATGATGGAATGATTTCTGTTTCATATAAATATCAGCTTGATCTGTGTTTAACAGCATTGAATTATTGTAATCTGCGTTCTAGTTGACGGCGATGCCGTACAAAGTTTCACAGGAATCGACTGGATGGAGTACTCACTAGCGAGGGACAGTCCCATTACAAGTTTCAGAGACTCACTTTTAGTCTCATTCAAGACTCAGCGACAGGATCGGGTTATTTGTTCTCTAGAAAATTTTCTAAAAATATCATCATGTAAAGATCCTATCGCAGACCGGTCTTATCTTGCATGCAGGAACGGGAACAGACTACCTGAACTTGGCTTTGATAGACGGTGATCTTCGGAATGGCTTAATTTTATTATTAATCTAACGAACAACGTTCTGAGTGCGTTTGAACCCGTTCTACACTTGTGCCAGTAACTTTCGATTAATTCTAAGCCAACCTCAAGGTTCAACATCTTTGTTTATCAAAATCTGTTGTCGGTATCTCTGAGCTCTGAGACTGGCATCAAATCATTTGCCGATGGAAACTGGCATACTCTCAGAGTCAATCGGAAACTAAACGAGGTAAGCTGCCAAATAAACTTGATCTCATCTATGTCTCTAAGTACTTACCCCAAAAATCAAAGCTTTACTAACATTTTTTCCAATCTTTGCGTAGATAAGCCAGGCTGTTATCATGCAGGTATAATCGCCGTGTTGATTCGTTGATTGGGGATTTCTTGAATTTTCATCACTTAAGGTTATGATCCAAGTCGACAATATCAACCAAACTATGGATGCAAAGATCATCGATGGCGCAAACTTGAAAATTGCCAACAAGATTTACGTTGCGGGAGCTCCCGAAAACGTGATCAGAAAACTGCCAGGCAATACCGTGACAGATAGGTTCGTCGGATGCCTCAAGAACATCCAGTACAGCACCAAAGAGGGAGGACTTCCGCTAACACTTTCGAAATGGGCGGATGAGATTCTAAATGACCAGCGCCAAGAACGCAACTTTGTTCTCAAGGGAAAGCCGACCATTGGTTGCAGGCTTACAACGGCAAAGACTTTGTCATTTGTGACGCCTGAGAGTTTTGTGAAGTTACAGTCCCAAGTTCTCGTCAAAAACCCTGGTTCATTCTCAATCAGCTTCTTTTTCAGGAAAGAAGCCTTGAAATTTAAAATTGATTATTCTTGTCTCCAGTGTGAGTCCTCCTTTATTTCCACAGGTCAAAGTCGATTGATAAGCTTCTCATCAAAGAACACTCAAATCCGAAGGCCTTCTTCTCATCACTTCCGGAGCGTATACTCCCAAGGGATCATTTGCATCAGTCGAACTCTACAAAGGAAGACTAAGCGCCGTCTTCAGAGATGCGAAAGGAAATCTCCAAATTAGCCAGTCAAAAGCGTCGAGGCTACATGATGGCGACTGGCACTTATTGAAGATCTTAGCTGATAACTCTGGGGCGAAAGTAACGATTGATGGCGATACTAGCACGATGAACATCGGCGGACTTGGCAGCATCGGAGAGGTCTACCTGGGAGGCACGGTTTTCTTTAATTTGAGATCTTTTATGTTATTATTCGAGACCTTAGGAGAAACAGATTTTTGCTTGTTATTTTAATTTTAAATAGACTTTAAACAACTTAGATTGAAAATCAATTACTAAAAGGTTTTGATACTGCCGTTGTCAGGTCAAGCTTCATCTTTCCATCGGAATTGCGTCTCGCTTTTGCGCAAATAGGCTTCATGGGATGCATCAAGGATGTCACACTCGGAGAGAAGGCGATCGAAGTCAGAGTTCACGATTTTCTTCAAGGCCTTTTGCCCTTACGGAAATTCTGAACTCTCTTAGTCACAAGATATGCTCAACGGGCCTATGGAACTGAAGAAGGATGCTGTGAAGCGAAGCCACCACAGACTTGTCGATCTACAGATTGTGCAAATGATCCTTGTCTGAATAGGGCGAAGTGCATGCCCTCGCCTTACGCAGGGTTCACCTGCAGTTGTTCGGGAGAAGCGGCGGACTGGAATGGTCGTCGCTGTGAACTCAAAGGTATATTTATGTTTTAAATTAAATAGACGGTACACGTTGGGCAGGGTGAGAGGGTTAAACAATTAGTTCACACAGTTAGGAGAAAAATAAATTGATATGATGCCAATTTTAAATTGTAATTATGTTTTTTTTCAAAATAAAAAGATGAGACGCTAGAGAGAAAAAATAAAAAAAAATGTTAATCATATTGATAACTCTGAACGAAACGCGTTCATTCTACAGAGAAGGATTCTGACGCGAATAATAATTTACAGTTAAATTAACATGTCGTGACGTTTTGATTATTTTGTCGGACTAAAACACGGTTGCCCGAAGCTGCCTCAATATACAGTTAGTCTTATTAACTATGGCAGGCCCTCAGGGGAATGAATTTCAACCCCTCGCAGAAAAAAATAAAAATTGGTGGCGCACTAGGTTCGCTGGGCATCCATCTTCGGAAAGCGCTTAGGGCGACGCGCGCTTGCGTCCTCCTTTTTTTTCTCGCTGATTTACAATAGACCCTTGCAATTTTCAAAGAGCCTGCATAGAATTATCGAATTTTAAACAGGAACAATGAGAGTTTGGACAATTCTGAGCATTTTAGCTAATTACGAGATATTTGGAAGAAACAATGAAGTGAAGGTGCTGTTTCCTGGAGAGGGAATTACTTCTGAAACAGGATAGTGTTTTATTCACAAATTTAAATTACTTTATTCGTATTTCTGATGATAGAAGAATGTTTTCTTATTGAACCTTTATGATTTGGTGTTCGTAAATAAAACACGAAGAAGATGTTATATCACTACGATTCTCTTCCAATTCTGGGAACGGAGTTTTGATTTCTGCATCGGGAGACAACGGACAAGATGGTTATCGACTAGGTATTCTCATTCGCGACAGATATTTCATATTTACTCATTGCTTTGTAATTTCTATCTACGCTATTTTAACTTCGCAAAAAACATCTTGATCCCGATTTGTTACCGCGATGAACTTCGTGGCTGGAAAATTGATAATTTTGTTCTTTTGTAATTTATTATTCACTAAGAAATTATCAACGGCCGTCTCCGACTCGAGATCAGAATGGATGGTGCCGCCAAAACGATCGAGTGCGGCAGGGACTTGGACGATGGCCAGTGGCGGACCATTATGATCAGGAAAAAGTCTCCACCAACCTTTTATGTATGCAATTTATAATGCCTTATTTGTAAACCTCAATTTTGGTTGAGTAAGAATGTCTGTTTTTTGCTTGTCTCACTCTGCATTTAAATGTCACTCGATATTCATTATTCGGTGTTTATTCGATCAGTACTGTATCTAAACAGTTAATCGGGGTTTGAAATAATATGCCCGATTGACAAATGAGGCCCCTCGAAGCCACGGCTTATTAGAAGGATGTACTTAGGGCGCGTTGAAATAATCATATGGAGACTTTCGCTAGGCGTGACAAAAGAGTGGCCACTCTTGAATTGCGGACAAGCAACGACCAAAAGGTGCCCAACTGCGATAGCAAGGTTGAGGTCTCAACGATGGTGGAGAAGATGAAGCTTCAAAACTTTGTCATCGGAGCCGGCAAATCCAAGCCACAATTTAATGGGACGATCCAAAAGCTAAAATTCAACGGAAACGAGCTAATCGAACAATGCCGAGCGGCGCAAGATCAACAAAAGTCGCTGCCGGACGGTTTCACTTGTTCGATGCCTAACCGGCCAAAGATCAATACTCAGGAATGGATCAACTGATGAAGCTATTTTCTTCAATATAAGACATGTCTTAGAAACCTTATGGTCCATAAGTTATGGACAAATATTTTCCTCAACGAAATTCAAACAAGCTCAATTCAAACAAAATCGGGAATCACGACAAGGTTCGTGAGGACTAGGTTCGCGGGACAATGTTCGTGGTGGGTTCTGCCAGAGTATTGAAATGGGGCTATATTTTGGGGCAGTAAAGGAAATGGGTTGTTGACTAGGTTCGTTGGACTAGGTTCGTGACTCACGAACTTCGTGAGTTTTTAAATGGAACAGATTTTCGGTCAGTAATGGAAATAGGTTATTGACTACGTTCGTGACTTTTTTAATGGTAAATATTTAACAAGGAAAGAGTTCGTGGGACTAGGTTCGTGGGTTTTGAATAAGCAAAATGTGGGATTTTATATCCCAAATGAGTAAAATTTCACAAACCTAGTCTCACGAACCTAGTCTTCACGAACCTAGTCTTCACGAACCTAGTCTCACAAACCTAGTCTCTACAAACCTAGTCTCACGAACCTAGTCTCACGAACCTAGTCTACACGAACCTAGTCTCACGAACCTAGTCAACAAGCCATTTCCTGTACTTACCGAAAATATTTACTACTAAAAAGTCACGAACCTAGTCCCACGAACCTAGTCAACAACCCATTTCCTTTACTGACCGAAAATCTTTACTATTTAAAAACTCACGAACCTATTCCCACGAACCAAGTCAACAGCCCATTTCCTTTACTGGTCGAAAATGGTGAAGATACAAAAAAAACATATGAAACCAAAATTCCACGAACCTAGTCCAACGAAGCATATTTTCCAACATGGCATCCACGAACTTAATCTAACGAACCTAGTCCTCAGAAACTGGTCACCCCTCTCACCAAATCTGGCTATTTTAAAAATTCCGGACCACGTGAAAGACTGCCCCATTCAGGACAAGCCTGTTGTTTATCTAGAAGGACTTCGCCGTGTTTTCAGCTCATCTTGTCAGAGCTGTTTCAGCTCTTGAGCGATGTTTTGATTCATTATAAATGATTTTCCTTGATTTAATTATTGAATGCTCGAAATGCGGTCGCCTAATAGTAATTTAGTATTATTTAAGACCGGAATCTGACATATTCAAATAAATATTTATACTTGCTTAAATTTGTTGGTCCTTCAAAGATGCCAAATCCGTCAAATCCGTTTACGTTTCTGACTCGTGAAGCATTTCAACGAACTGACAGCAAAATCCGCGCAGATATTCTTTGGAAAAGCTCGCGGAAGTATCAAGTTCAGATTGAGCTCAGGTACAGACGCGATAAGTCATTTCTCTTACAGACAATGATTGTTGTTTAGAACGACAGAAGAAGACGGATTAATATTTTGGGCGGGGCCAGCTGATCTTGTTAATCAGGTATTGATGCAACATATATTTTAGTTTGCTAAATAATTGATAAGGATGAACGAACGCTCATCCTCGACCAGATCAATAAGAAAGGCAAAGGTCGCGCATTTATATATCCTCTGCATATTTACTGCAGAATACCATTGTAGAACATTCGCGCGCAAAGTCAGATTCTCTAAAAACATGCCTATTTGGACACTGTCCGCTGCTAATTCGCTGAACCTTTTGACAGCAAAAGACCCGAATGTTAGCTGGGCCATCCTGGAAATCGTGAATGGAAGAGTTCATTGGATTTGGAAATTAAAAAGAAGAGCGCCGCAAGTGATGACTTCAAATAAAGTCATAAGCGACAACGATTGGCACTCAATTCAAATAGACGTAACAGGAAATGTTCAAAAATGTTTTCTCCTCCTTGATTTCAAACTGAAATCCTCCTTGAATTTTCAAATTTTTGAATTCGGATCTAGAAGGCTCTGTTGGGGACCGCTCTTCAGCCTGGGATATCAATATTGATAAAGGAACGGTCAAAATTTAACAAGTTTCACTAGCACAGTAGACTCGTTCTTAAAAACGAGCCAATAATTAATGCATTTGTGTATGTCTGTAAATATATATACAGGCGAAAATTAACCGAGATACCAGGACGCAGCCAAGCCGAGCAATTGCCTTTACGAAACATTGGGCCAAAAGGAAAATGGGAAGGCTTTCTGGACAACAGTGCGGTCCTCGTCGGTGGACTGCCAAAATACCTCTGGGGAACCACGGGCTCACCTGTAACGTCAACAGAAGGTTTCCTCGGCTGCGTCGGTAAAATACAACTCAACGGGAACACGATGTTCCTTGAACGACGAGCGCGACAGATTCAAAAAGGATGCAGCGGGCCACTGGTCGCATGCAGGAAGTGCTCGAATGCTGGAAAATAATCAATAAGACAGTAAGATTTTTTTCAAGAGAAGCCATATGTCTCTTGTCAAAAAACGACATATGGGAGATTATGAGCGCGATTAGCCGCCAACTTGTCTATTTTATTATTACAAGAGGGAATCTATGCATATTTTATCGCTTGGATTTAGACTAATATCGATAGAATAAACAAAAGTTATTTAAAAGCTAAAATCGAACACGGATCAGTGCATTTTACTGCAAAAATGGTGGACTTTGCAGACAAGGCTGGGATGGGCCAAAATGCGATTGCTCTGGAACTTCTTTTATTGGTGATACCTGCACAAAACGTAAATATCAGCTTGCTTTTTTCAGCTCGAAATTTCCGAGTGACGATTTACGATTTCGTTAATTTTTAGAATACTCAAAACTTAGAGCGGAGAGTAAGTGCGCCGCATGAGCAATTTCGAACGAAATTTTGCTAAATTTTAAGCAAAAATAGTGAAATTTAATTAATCAATATTTTGTCACTGGAAAACCTTTTCGAAAATGGGCAAACCTAAAAGTGGGAAAATATTATTTCTTCCGCCAAAGCGCGAAAAAAATAGAAATCTGATTACTACGGAATTTTAGGCGGCAGCGCGCGAGCGCAGTTCCCGGCGATCTTCCTGATTTTTTATATTATTTTGTTAAATATTGTATGACCATTTTGCGCCATCATTTTTTCATCCATATTTGACAAAGTAACTTGAATAAATCAAATCAATCACTCCGCAGTTTACCTACAGTCGCGCACCAAGTGCAGCCATTATATTTCTTTTGACGAAAATTTAAAATTCTAACATTTTGAATTTTCTTCTGAGGTAAACACGATTTCTATGTTTAGTGGTTGGCGGGCGCGGCGAGTTTTCCAGGGCAGTGGTGCTCGTGCCGCTGCCTTCGGAGGATTCGCTCTCCACGGACCTGATCTCTGTACTGATCCAGGTGCCCGATAAGGACACGGCCCAAGTCACTAACACCGAGCCGATCTCCGGACTCCGTTCGCCAAAAAACGAAACCGGGACCGTGGCGACCGTGCAGACCATTCTGTCTGTCGCATCAAGTGGCACTAACGACGCCCTCAAGCTCACTCTCGTAAGTCAGCATTCCCGAGCAAAATCGCCTTCATCAACTCACCCCTTCTCCAGTTAACCCGTAACCTCTCATTCACAAACATTCCAAAAATCACCACCAGAGGCAGTTCGGTGAGTATATTCAATAACAATATACAGTTCAGGACAGGTTACAGTTACAATCACCCTCCTCTGGTGTTGATTTGACGAAATATTATGACAACGATATAGCTTTATGTCTATATCGTTTTCTCATCCTTTATATTGAGAATAATATTTCAACTCTGTCGCATGCCCAAACTAGCCTCTCAATTAGCCTCTTAGATTTTGCTCTCGACAATGCTGGCTCTGGTTTTCCAACAAGAATATTGTTTTAAGCTCTGTTGTAACCAACGCGATATAAACAGCCTATTTATATTACTAAACTACACTACTCGTAGAGTGAGCGAAAAAAAACGAATTTTGAGAGTGATTTCAAAATTTTGAAATCATGGAAGAGATTAGGCTTGTTTTCGCTTACTTTGCGACGCCGAAAAAATGAAAGAAAAGGCGGATTTTTACACTTTGTTCAGCATTGTCGATAGATGATAGTCTAACTTGCGTGGCGAACTTCTCGTCTGCCTCGGGGCTTGTTTCTTTCCGCCTCGAGGACTCGGGGAACGTGCCTTCGCCCTACAAGAACGAGCAGCGCGACGGCACCACCGCAGAGGACCAGTTTATCGTTCACGTTATCACTTCGCAACCTTCTGGTACTATCCTGAGCTAGGGATCCTTAACTTACTTAGAAACGTACCGGACTTTAACGCACTTTAAACACAAAATATTTCCATCGTGCCGTGTTACGAAGTCGTTAACACGACAGGAGCGTGACTAGCTTTTGTCAGAGTTCTCTCATCCATGCTAACTAAGTCACCTGACACCATGGCTCTGCTGCTTGTAAGTGTTCATTTCATTTCTTATTACTATCACTTTTATAGCACACACAGTGATAAACACTCAATCTCCTCTCGTGAACCTTCATCGAGAGTCAGATTGGAGAATTTCTTTTCTCTTCGCTTTAATTTCATTGTAGGAGGATGGAAGGCCTAAGTTTGTTTATGATATTGGTGGCGGAGAAACGACCATGAAATATCCGAAGTAAGATATTTTCAGAAAGTCTGTTTTATTATCAATTGACAGGAGAATCGACGATGGGCAATATCATCAAATACGAATCAAAAGAGTTGAATCAAATGCAACAATGATTGTCGATGATCTACCTGCTGTCACATCGTCAGGAAATAACAAGTATTCTACGAGATTTAATTCATGTGATTTATTCGCTCTTAGATACTCTGTTTTCAATTCGCAGTCCGAAATACAGATCGGCGGGCGACTCACCGACAATGATGTGATCCTGGATCCGTTCAAAGGAAAAATCCTCGGGGTCAATTTCAACAAATTCAAAGTCCTCGAAGCCGTCCAAAAAGGCGAATCAAAGGCCGCGCGGATAATTGGAGACGTAACTGTCTCTGCAATTGAGAGCAATTTCGACCCAAAGTAGGACTTCTATCGATTTTATCTTCAGCTGAACTTTTGTTTTAGAATCCCAACATCTACTACGCAGCCGCCAACAACAACGACGGCGGCGCTTGTCCAAGAAATCACGAGTTATAGCCTGGCGATGAACGACTCTGCTGGATTTTCGAACGCGACGATGACCAAAGACCCGGACTCGTCTACTCTAACAACAACATTTTTCACAGTTGCCTTTGCAGCCGGAGTCTTGCTCGTCCTAATCGTCGCGGGACTTGTCTTCTACAGGTAAAGAGAAAAGAAAAAAAAGACCGAAAAGCAACTCTATCAGGTTCAGGAGGCATTCAAAAGACGACATCCCAGCCGTCGTGCCGGGAATAAAGCCAAAACCTCAAAAAGGAAATCAACCGCCTGGAAAGAACTCTGAATTTTACGTCTAAAGATTAGCTTTTTCCCTTATTTATTCCGAATCGCACAACTCTGCTTCAAATCACACTTGCTGCCAAAAACGAAGAAATGCTCCAAAGACAGCGCCACTTGATCAAAACCAACTCACACAAGGATAAAGCCTCGTTTAATAAATTTTCATTATTTGATCTCAATTTTTCTTTCGAAGCCATAACTACCGTCGTCAAGTTTTTGTAAAGAAAAATATTTTTTTAATTTTTCCACAAAGTTTAATCTTTCAATTTTCATCCCTTGATGGATACACTCTTCATAGAACGATAGCTTGTTTTGATAGATTCTTCTCAGCTTTGTATGCTTTAGACGCAACTGCGTAGTGTGAAACGTGATAGATGTTACGGCTCAAATTGGTGATCATCTACCTGACGTTCGCAAATGCCAACAAGTTCAATTTTTAGCGACCCGTAATTTGATAAACAACTTTCGCAACTCTGTAGCTTTATTACTGTAGAGCGGATTCGTAAGGAGGAAAGAGTTACGCAAGTACATGCCCATTGTTAGTCCATAATTTGACTGTAAGTCGTCACTTCGCGGTTGAAGCGCGGTTTCGCCGATTTCTGTGAACGCTCTTTCAAATCTCATGGCTTTATCAACGTGGCAAAGCGCGAGAAAAAGGGATGAAAGATATGTCCAGAAGATGTTTCTTATTGAGTTGTGTAACGAGAGTTGGACCACAGGTGAGATTTCTCCTGTCTTTAGAAACGCGCACGCTGGCGAAAACACGTTTCTTTTTGACATCAGAACGCTAATTTTTAAAAAATAATTTCATTCTCAAAGTCATTTCTTGAGCTAGTCTCTCGAAGAGTTCCTTAATTGAAGTGAAAGAACTTCAGTGCGTGCAGTTGACCTTTGGCGGCTCTCCACTTGGCGCATTTAACACTCGCTAAATGAGCTAAATAGCGAAGTTAATTGCGCCCGATGTAAAGTTACTGGCTCTTCTTTGTTTTAGCGGAACATTATAACCAGCAACGTGAAAAATATCGAACTTTTCAATCAAGTAAAACTTTAAAAAAAATCTTCTTTCCCGGGAAAAGGGATTGGAAGGACAGCAGCCTAGCCCCGCGTAGATTCGAGAAATTGCAGAATTTGCATCCGCCCGCGGAGAATCAATTTAAATACTGCCAGTCCAAGATATTGTGCATTGGATATTCTGAATATCTTGTAAATAGGGCGGAGGCGACCGCTTGAAGACAAGGTTTATGACAAAAGCTGTCAAAGCTCTTGATTCTTCGCTTCCGTTCAAAAGCTTTACTTGCTTTTTTCTTATAAAATTTCGCACTTTCGTAAAACGAAACTACTATTCAATTATTGGTTTGCTTAGTAATGCAAAAACTCTCATTTTGCCTTGTCGTTGATTTTGAAGATGCCAGGGATTATTTTATTTTGTTGAATCAAGCGGAAACCCAGCCACAGTCGAACTCTGGGGTGAACTGTATTTTGATTTATTATTTTTTGATCAATTTAGAAATTTAGAAAAACGAATCACGGAAACGCGGCAGTCGAATCTTTTCTACGCAACTGAACTTTTCAAGAAGCAGACTCTATAATACGAAAAAGTACAGGAGCACGACGTCTTAAAATTTATTTGACGTCAATTTTTTGTGCATATGATTTGCTAAGCGCAACAAAAGCCGACAAGAAGAGAATACAAATGATCAAGGGTGGCTTTGTACTGGACAAGGCCGTTCATGTGGCTGTCATCACCTTCGATGACAATTCCATTTCGTTGACGACCGATGAGGGCGACTCAAAAAGCATCATCACCGACCGACCTATTGATATCAAGGCATGGCTGGGCAAAACCACTTGTTGATTCTGATTCTAGCTAAGAATGCATAATTGTTATTTCATTCAGGATCGACCTTGAACGACACAATATTTTCCTTCCTTTCTTGAATTATAGAATAGCTTATTATCAAGGGAAAAAATCAAATAATGCAATATTATCCCCGTAAGAAACTAACCATAGAATCTCTGTAGATTAACCGCGCCCGTAATTTATTATTCAGGCCTTTTAAGGCGCACCTAAAACTTCCATGCATGATTTAAATTAAATACACACAGTACATTTAGCTCAGCCCAAAAAGTCTGATGTTTACCTCGGTGGCTTTCCAGAAACAAAGAAATTGTCAGATACTGTCTACCCGAAAGTATATAAGCGCGACTCTTTCTCGGGCATCCTCAGGGAATTTCAGATCAACAGGAAGGGTTCACTCGACTCGAGATAATGTACATTTTGGATGGACTTTCCTTTCAACCCATCACATAATAAATTCAACTGATACGTACGGTATTCTCTGGTGCGTAAGAATATAGCATAGACATACCGTAATGAGGACAGCCTTCTGTCAAATTACGGTTTTAGAGAACCCGAAAAAGTATTTCTGTCTTTCCAGACATGATGAGTCCATCGAATTGTGTCAAGAAACTGAGTATCACTGGTGAGAATTTTGATAAAAGTACCCGATCGTCATGTCGGGGTAAAAAATTGTTCTAATGCTGCAACGGCTGCTTAGCGGCTTATGTGCATTTTGATTTGCTAACATCAAACGATAAGAACAATAAACAGTTTTATGGTCCTCAAAAGTTTCTTTAAGATGCCTGTCTCTACAACCCATGCCAAAATCGAGGCGTGTGTAAGCAAGGTGCGCCGCCAAAATGCACATGTCCAGTGGGCTACAGCGGTGATTACTGTCAAAAAGGTATTTCTGGCATTGATCTCAGAAATTAAATATTAATACGATCAAAGATGAAAACGATGAAACAGGTTAAAATTAAAAATTTACGATTCTTGTCTTCCTAATCTATTTACTATTTTTCACTTAGAATTAGTAGCATCAGTCACAACTCATATAACCACCTTATTAGCACTATTTTTTTCTTAATCACTCTTTTGATTTTGCACCAATTTTTTAAGGACGTCCCGCTCGTCTTGCACGGCAAATATCAAAGTGTAAGGCACCGAAAGTTTTAGCTCGTTGTACGAGCCTCGTACCGATTGCTTCAAATATCCAAAGTTGTGATGCGGATATTTACTTCATCTATATATACCCAGCCCAGTACTAAACATATCGCAGATAGTTAACCGACCACTCAATCATTTGAGATTTATTTGTAATGCTCTCGAAATGATGGAATGATTTCTGTTTCATATAAATATCAGCTTGATCTGTGTTTAACAGCATTGAATTATTGTAATCTGCGTTCTAGTTGACGGCGATGCCGTACAAAGTTTCACAGGAATCGACTGGATGGAGTACTCACTAGCGAGAGACACTCCGATTACAAGTTTCAGAGACTCACTTTTAGTCTCATTCAAGACTCAGCGACAGGATCGGGTTATTTGTTCTCTAGAAAATTTCCTTAAAATATCATCATGTAAAAATCCTACCACAGACCGGTCTTATCTTGCATGCAGGAACGGGAACAGACTACCTGAACTTGGCTTTGATCGACGGTGATCTTCGGAATGGCTTATTTTTATTATTAATCTAACGAACAACGTTCCGAATGCGCTTGAACTCGTTCTACACTTGTGCTAGTAACTTTCGATTAATTCTAAGCCAACCTCAAGGTTCAACATCTTTGTTTATCAAAATCTGTTGTCGGTATCTCTCAGCTCTGAGACTGGCATCAAATCATTCGCCGATGGAAACTGGCATACTCTCAGAGTCAATCGGAAACTGAACGAGGTAAGCTGTCAAATATCTTGATCTCATCTATGTCTCCAAGTACTCATCCCAAAAATCAAAGCTTTACTAACATTTTTCCAATCTTTGCGTAGATAAGCCAGGCTGTTATCATGCAGGTATAATCGCCGTGTTGATTCGTTCATTGAGGATTTCTTGAATTTTCATCGCTTTAGGTTATGATCCAAGTCGACAATATCAACCAAACAATGGATGCAAAAATCATCGATGGCGCAAACTTGAAAATTGCCAACAAGATTTACGTTGCGGGAGCTCCCGAAAACGTGATCAGAAAACTGCCAGGCAATACTGTGACAGATAGGTTCGTCGGATGCCTCAAGAACATCCAGTACAGCACCAAAGAAGGAGGACTTCCGCTAACACTTTCGAAATGGGCGGATGAGATTCTAAATGACCAGCGCCAAGAACGCAACTTTGTTCTAAAGGGAAAACCGACCATTGGTTGCAGGCTAACAACGGCAAAGACTTTGTCGTTTGTGACGTCTGAGAGCTTCGTGAAGTTACAGTCCCAAGTTCTCGTCAAAAACCCTGGTTCATTCTCAATCAGCTTCTTTTTCAGGAAAGAAGCATTCAAATTTAAAATTTATCATTCTTGCCTCCAGTGTGAGTCCTCCTTGATTTCAACAGGTCAAAGCCGATTGATAAGCTTCTCATCAAAGAACACTCAAATCCGAAGGCCTTCTTCTCATCACTTCCGGAGCGTATACTCCCAAGGGATCATTTGCATCAGTTGAACTCTACAAAGGAAGACTTAGCGCCGTTTTCAGAGATGCGAAAGGAAATCTCCAAATAAGCCAGTCAAAAGCATCGAGGCTACATGACGGGGACTGGCACTTATTGAAGATCCTAGCTGATAACTCTGGTGCGAAAGTAACGATTGATGGTGATACTAGCACGATGAACATCGGCGGACTTGGTAGCATCGGAGAGGTCTATTTGGGAGGCACGGTTTTCATTATTTTGTTATAAATATATTCGAGATCTTAGGGGATTCTGATTTAATCTGGGTTCTTAGAAAATTTTGGATTGAATGTTTCATTCTTGGCGCGGAAGAAAAACTAGACATGTACAGACGAACATAATTTTATGGTTTTTAAAGAGTAGAATTAAAACTTGTAAGATTGAAAATCAATTACTAAAAGGTTTTGATACTGCCGTCGTTCCTTCAAGCTTCATCTTTCCATCGGAATTGCGTCTCGCTTTTGCGCAAATAGGCTTTATGGGATGCATCAAAGATGTCACTTTTGGAGAGAAGGCGATCGAAGTCAGAGTTCACGATTTTCTTCAAGGCCTTTCGCCCTTACGGAAATTCTGAACTCTCTCAGTCACAAGATATGCTCAGCGGGCCTATGGAACGGAAGAAGGATGCTGTGAAGCGAAGCCACCACAGACTTGTCGATCTACGGATTGTGCAAATGATCCTTGTCTGAATAGGGCCAAGTGCATGCCCTCGCCTTACGCAGGGTTCACCTGCAGCTGTTCGGGAGAAGCTGCGGATTGGAATGGTCGCCGGTGCGAACTCAAAGGTAGATTATCATGATTTTCGTACATTAAATAATTACGGCTGACGGTACTTTATGGAATTCGTGGCAGGGTTAGTCTTTAATCTCAAAATGAATGTAAAACCAATAAATTTATACCATATCATTGTTAAATTATTATTATGGTTACTAATAAATCATATAGATAATTCATTTGATGAGAAAACGTTTATTTTGTTGAACATTGTTAACAACAACGCGTTCATTCTACTGAGAAGGATTCTGACGCGAATAATAATTAACAGTTAAATTAACATGTCGTGACGTTTTGATTATTTTGTCGGACAAAACACGGTTGCCCAAAGCTGCCTCAATATACAGTTAGTCTTATTAACTATGACAGGCCCTCAGGGGAATGAATTTCAACCCCTCGCAGAAAAAAAATAAAAATTGGTGGCGCACTAGGTTCGCTGGGCATCCATCTTCGGAAAGCGCGTAGGGCGACGCGCGCTTGCGTCCTCCTTTTTTCTCTCGCTGATTTACAAAAGACCCTTGCAATTTTCAAAGAGCCTGCATACAATTATCGAATTTTAAACAGGAACAATGAGAGTTTGGACAATTCTGAGCATTTTAGCTAATTACGAGATATTTGGAAGAAACAACGAAGTCAAGGTGCTGTTTCCTGGAGAGGGAATCACGTCAGAAACAGGATAGTGTTTCATTCGCAAACTAAAACTACTTTATTCTTATTTCTTATGATAGAAGAATATTTTTTATTGAATCTTAATCATTTGGTGTTCGTAAATAAAACACTAGAAGATGTTATATCACTACGATTCTCTTCCAATTCTGGGAACGGAGTTTTGATTTCTGCATCGGGAGACAACGGACAATATGGTTACCGACTAGGTATTTTCATTCGCGAGTAGCGACAGATCTTTCATATTTACTCATTATTTCGTAATTTCTATCTACGATATTTTAATTTTGCAAAAACATCTTGATCCCGATTTTTACCGCGATGAACTTCGCGGTTGGAAAATTGATAATTTTGATCTTATGTAATTTATTATTCACTAAGAAATTATCAACGGCCGTCTCCGACTCGAGATCAGAATGGATGGTGCCGCCAAAACGATCGAGTGCGGCAGGGACTTGGACGATGGCCAGTGGCGGACCATTATGATCAGGAAAAAGTCTCCACCAACCTTTTATGTATGCAATTTATAATGCCTTATTTGTAAACCTCAATTTTGGTTGAGTAAGAATGTCTGTTTTTTGCTTGTCTCACTCGGCATTTAAATGTCACTCGATATTCATACTTCGGTGTTTATTCGATCAGTACTGTATCTAAACAGTTAATCGGGGTTTGAAATAATATGCCCGATTGACAAATGAGGCCCCTCGAAGCCACGGCTTATTAGAAGGATGTACTTAGGGCGCGTTGAAATAATCATATGGAGACTTTCGCTAGGCGTGACAAAAGAGTGGCCACTCTTGAATTGCGGACAAGCAACGACCAAAAGGTGCCCAACTGCGATAGCAAGGTTGAGGTCTCAACGATGGTGGAGAAGATGAAGCTTCAAAACTTTGTCATCGGAGCCGGCAAATCCAAGCCACAATTTAATGGGACGATCCAAAAGCTAAAATTCAACGGAAACGAACTAATCGAACAATGCCGAGCGGCGCAAGATCAACAAAAGTCGCTACCGGACGGTTTTACTTGTTCGATGCCTAACCGGCCAAAGATCAATACTCAGGAATGGATCAACTGATGAAGCTATTTTCTTCAATATAAGATATGTCTTAGAAACCTTATGGACAAATATTTTCCTAAACTTAATTCAAACAAGCTCAATTCAAACAAAATCGGGAATGACGACAAGGTTCGTGAGGACTAGGTTCGTGGGACAAGGTTCGTGGTAGGTTCTGCCAGAGTATTGAAATGGGGCTTTATTTTGGGGCAGTTATGGAAATGGGTTGCTGACTAGGTTCGTGGGACTAGGTTCGTGAGTTTTTAAATAGTAAAGATTTTCGGTCAGTAAAGGAAATGGGTTGTTGACTTGGTTCGTGGGACGAAGTTCGTGACTTTTTTAATGGTAAATATTTAACAAGGAAAGAGTTCGTGGGACTAGGTTCGTGGGTTTTGAATAAGCAAAATGTGGGATTTTATATCCCAAATGAGTAAAATTCCACGAACCTAGTCTTCACGAACCTAGTCTTCACGAACCTAGTCTTCACGAACCTAGTCTTCACGAACCTAGTCTTCACGAACCTAGTCTCATGAGCCTAGTCAGCAAGCCATTTCCTTTACTTACCAAAAATCTTTACTATTAAAAAAGTCACGAACCTTGTCCCTCGAACCTAGTCAACAACCCATTTCCTTTACTGACCGAAAATGGTGAAGATACAAAAAATACATATAAAAACCGAATTCCACGAACCTAGTCCAACGAACCATTTTTTCCAACATGGCTCCCACGAACCTAGTCCTCACGAACCTGGTCATCCCTCTCACCAAATCTGGCTATTTTAAAAATTCCGGACCACGTGAAAGACTACCCCAATCACTACAAGCCTGTTGTTAGTCTAGAAGGACTTCGCCATGTTTTCAGCTCATCTTGTCAGAGCTGTTTCAGCTCTTGAGCGATGTTTTGATTCATTATAAATGATTTTCCTTGATTCAATTATTGAATGCTCGAAATGCGGTCGCCTAATAGAAATTTAGTATTATTTAAGACCGGAATCCGACATATTCAAATAAATATTTATTCTTGCTTACATTTGTTGGTCCTTCAAAGATGCCGAATCCGTCAAATCCGTTTACGTTTCTGACTCGTGAAGCGTTTCAACGAACTGACAGCAAAATTCGCGCAGATATTCTTTGGAAAAGCTCGCGGAAATATCAAGTCCAGATTGAGCTCAGGTACAGACGCGAAAAAAGTCATTTCTCTTACAGACAATGATTGTTGTTTAGAACGACAGAAGAAGACGGATTAATATTTTGGGCGGGGCCAGCTGATCTTGTTAATCAGGTATTGATGCAACATATATTTTAGTTTGCTAAATTATTGATAAGGATGAACGAACGCTCATCCTCGACCAGATCAATAAGAAAGGCAAAGGTCGCGCATTTATACATCCTCTGCATATTTACTGCAGAATACAACATTCGCGCGCATAGTCAGATTCTCTAGCAACATGGCTATTTGGACACTGTCCGCTCCTAATTTGCTGAACCTTTTGACAGCAAAAGACCCGAATGTTAGCTGGGCCGTCCTGGAAATCGTGAATGGAAGAGTTCATTGGATCTGGAAATTAAAAAGAAGAGCGCCGCAAGTGATGACTTCGAATAAAGTCATAAGCGACAACGAGTGGCACTCGATTCAAATAGACGTAACAGGAAAAGTTCAAAAATGTTTTTTCCTTGATTTCAAACTGAAATCCTTCATTGATTTTCAAATTTTTGAACTTTGATCTAGAAGGCTCTGTTGGGGACCGCTCTTCAGCGTGGGATATCAATATTGATAAAGGAACGGTCAATTTTTAACAAGTTTCACTAGCACAGTAGACTCGTTCTTAAAAGCGAGCCAATTATTAATGCATTTGGGTTTGTCTGTATATACAGGCGAAAATTAACCGAGTTACCAGGACGCAGCCAAGCCGAGCAATTGCCTTTACGTAACATTGGGCCAAAAGGAAAATGGGAAGGCTTTCTGGATAACAGTGCGGTCCTCGTCGGTGGACTGCCAAAATACCTCTGGGGAACCACGGGCTCACCTGTAACGTCAACAGAAGGTTTCCTCGGCTGCGTCGGTAAAATAAAACTCAACGGGAACACGATGTTCCTTGAACGACGAGCGCGACAGATTGAAAAAGGATGCAGCGGGCCACTGGTCGCATGCAGGAAGTGCTCGAATGCTGGAAAATAATCAATAAGACAATAAGATTTTTTCAAGAGAAGCCATATGTCTCTTGTCAAAAAACGACATATGGGAGATTATGAGCGCGATTAGCCGCCAACTTGTCTATTTTATTATTACAAGAGGGAATCTATGCATATTTCATCGCTTGGATTTAGACTAATATCGATAGAATAAACAAAAGTTATTTAAAAGCTAAAATCGAACACGGATCAGTGCATTTTACTGCAAAAATGGTGGACTTTGCAGACAAGGCTGGGATGGGCCCAAATGCGATTGCTCTGGAACTTCTTTTATTGGTGATACCTGCACAAAACGTAAATATCAGCTTGCTTTTTTCAGCTCGAAATTTCCGAGTGACGATTTACGATTTCGTTAATTTTTAGAATACTCAAAACTTAGAGCGGAGAGTAAGTGCGCCGCATGAGCAATTTCGAACGAAATTTTGCTAAATTTTAAGCAAAAATAGTAAAATTTAATTAATCAATATTTTTTCACTGGAAAACCTTTTCGAAAATGGGCAAACCTAAAAGTGGGAAAATATTATTTCTTCCGCCAAAGCGCGAAAAAATAGAAATCTGATTACTACGGAATTTTAGGCGGCAGCGCGCGAGCGCAGTTCCCGGCGATCTTCCTGATTTTTTATATTATTTTGTTGAATATTGTATGACCATTTTGCGCCATCATTTTTTCATCCATATTTGACAAAGTAACTTGAATAAATCAAATCAATCACTCCGCAGTTTACCTACAGTCGCGCACCAAGTGCAGCCATTTTATTTCTTTCGACGAAAATTTAAAATTCTATCATTTTGAATTTTCTTCTGAGGTAAACACGATTTCTATGTTTAGTGGTTGGCGGGCGCGGCGAGTTTTCCAGGGCAGTCGTGCTCGTGCCGCTGCCTTCGGAGGATTCGCTCTCCACGGACCTGATCTCTGTACTGATCCAGGTGCCCGATAAGGACACGGCCCAAGTCACTAACAACGAGCCGATCTCCGGACTCCGTTCGCCAAAAAACGAAACCGGGACCGTGGCGACCGTGCAGACAATTCTGTCTGTCGCATCAAGTGGCACTAACGACGCCCTCAAGCTCACTCTCGTAAGTCAGCATTCCCGAGCAAAATCGCCTTCATCAACTCACCCCTTCTCCAGTTAACCCGTAACCTCTCATTCACAAACATTCCAAAAATCACCACCAGAGGCAGTTCGGTGAGTATATTCAATAACAATATACAGTTCAGGACAGGTTACAGTTACAATCACCCTCCTCTGGTGTTGATTTGACGAAATATTATGACAACGATATAGCTTTATGTCTATATCGTTTTCTCATCCTTTATATTGAGAATAATATTTCTACTCTGTCGCATGCCCAAACTAGCCTCTCAATTAGCCTCTTAGATTTTGCTCTCGACAATGCTGGCTCTGGTTTTCCAACAAGAATATTGTTTTAAGCTCTGTTGTAACCAACGCGATATAAACAGCCTATTTATATTACTAAACTACACTACTCTTAGAGTGAGCGAGAAAAAACGAATTTTGAGAGTGATTTCAAAATTTTGAAATCATGGAAGAGATTCGGCTTGTTTTCGCTTACTTTGCGACGCCGAAAAAATGAAAGAAAAGGCGGATTTTTACACTTTGTTCAGCATTGTCGATAGATGATAGTCTAACTTGCGTGGCGAACTTCTCGTCTGCCTCGGGGCTTGTTTCTTTCCGCCTCGAGGACTCGGGAACGTGCCTTCGCCCTACAAGAACGAGCAGCGCGACGGCACCACCGCAGAGGACCAGTTTATCGTTCACGTTATCACTTCGCAACCTTCTGGTACTATCCTGAGCTAGGGATCCTTAACTTACTTAGAAACGTACCGGACTTTAACGCACTTTAAACACAAAATATTTCCATCGTGCCGTGTTACGAAGTCGTTAACACGACAGGAGCGTGACTAGCTTTTGTCAGAGTTCTCTCATCCATGCTAACTAAGTCACCTGACACCATGGCTCTGCTGCTTGTAAGTGTTCATTTCATTTCTTATTACTATCACTTTTATAGCACACACAGTGATAAACACTCAATCTCCTCTCGTGAACCTTCATCGAGAGTCAGATTGGAGAATTTCTTTTCTCTTCGCTTTAATTTCATTGTAGGAGGATGGAAGGCCTAAGTTTGTTTATGATATTGGTGGCGGAGAAACGACCATGAAATATCCGAAGTAAGATATTTTCAGAAAGTCTGTTTTATTATCAATTGACAGGAGAATCGACGATGGGCAATATCATCAAATACGAATCAAAAGAGTTGAATCAAATGCAACAATGATTGTCGATGATCTACCTGCTGTCACATCGTCAGGAAATAACAAGTATTCTACGAGATTTAATTCATGTGATTTATTCGCTCTTAGATACTCTGTTTTCAATTCGCAGTCCGAAATACAGATCGGCGGGCGACTCACCGACAATGATGTGATCCTGGATCCGTTCAAAGGAAAAATCCTCGGGGTCAATTTCAACAAATTCAAAGTCCTCGAAGCCGTCCAAAAAGGCGAATCAAAGGCCGCGCGGATAATTGGAGACGTAACTGTCTCTGCAATTGAGAGCAATTTCGACCCAAAGTAGGACTTCTATCGATTTTATCTTCAGCTGAACTTTTGTTTTAGAATCCCAACATCTACTACGCAGCCGCCAACAACAACGACGGCGGCGCTTGTCCAAGAAATCACGAGTTATAGCCTGGCGATGAACGACTCTGCTGGATTTTCGAACGCGACGATGACCAAAGACCCGGACTCGTCTACTCTAACAACAACATTTTTCACAGTTGCCTTTGCAGCCGGAGTCTTGCTCGTCCTAATCGTCGCGGGACTTGTCTTCTACAGGTAAAGAGAAAAGAAAAAAAAGACCGAAAAGCAACTCTATCAGGTTCAGGAGGCATTCAAAAGACGACATCCCAGCCGTCGTGCCGGGAATAAAGCCAAAACCTCAAAAAGGAAATCAACCGCCTGGAAAGAACTCTGAATTTTACGTCTAAAGATTAGCTTTTTCCCTTATTTATTCCGAATCGCACAACTCTGCTTCAAATCACACTTGCTGCCAAAAACGAAGAAATGCTCCAAAGACAGCGCCACTTGATCAAAACCAACTCACACAAGGATAAAGCCTCGTTTAATAAATTTTCATTATTTGATCTCAATTTTTCTTTCGAAGCCATAACTACCGTCGTCAAGTTTTTGTAAAGAAAAATATTTTTTTAATTTTTCCACAAAGTTTAATCTTTCAATTTTCATCCCTTGATGGATACACTCTTCATAGAACGATAGCTTGTTTTGATAGATTCTTCTCAGCTTTGTATGCTTTAGACGCAACTGCGTAGTGTGAAACGTGATAGATGTTACGGCTCAAATTGGTGATCATCTACCTGACGTTCGCAAATGCCAACAAGTTCAATTTTTAGCGACCCGTAATTTGATAAACAACTTTCGCAACTCTGTAGCTTTATTACTGTAGAGCGGATTCGTAAGGAGGAAAGAGTTACGCAAGTACATGCCCATTGTTAGTCCATAATTTGACTGTAAGTCGTCACTTCGCGGTTGAAGCGCGGTTTCGCCGATTTCTGTGAACGCTCTTTCAAATTTCATGGCTTTATCAACGTGGCAAAGCGCGAGAAAAAGGGATGAAAGATATGTCCAGAAGATGTTTCTTATTGAGTTGTGTAACGAGAGTTGGACCACAGGTGAGATTTCTCCTGTCTTTAGAAACGCGCACGCTGGCGAAAACACGTTTCTTTTTGACATCAGAACGCTAATTTTTAAAAAATAATTTCATTCTCAAAGTCATTTCTTGAGCTAGTCTCTCGAAGAGTTCCTTAATTGAAGTGAAAGAACTTCAGTGCGTGCAGTTGACCTTTGGCGGCTCTCCACTTGGCGCATTTAACACTCGCTAAATGAGCTAAATAGCGAAGTTAATTGCGCCCGATGTAAAGTTACTGGCTCTTCTTTGTTTTAGCGGAACATTATAACCAGCAACGTGAAAAATATCGAACTTTTCAATCAAGTAAAACTTTAAAAAAAATCTTCTTTCCCGGGAAAAGGGATTGGAAGGACAGCAGCCTAGCCCCGCGTAGATTCGAGAAATTGCAGAATTTGCATCCGCCCGCGGAGAATCAATTTAAATACTGCCAGTCCAAGATATTGTGCATTGGATATTCTGAATATCTTGTAAATAGGGCGGAGGCGACCGCTTGAAGACAAGGTTTATGACAAAAGCTGTCAAAGCTCTTGATTCTTCGCTTCCGTTCAAAAGCTTTACTTGCTTTTTTCTTATAAAATTTCGCACTTTCGTAAAACGAAACTACTATTCAATTATTGGTTTGCTTAGTAATGCAAAAACTCTCATTTTGCCTTGTCGTTGATTTTGAAGATGCCAGGGATTATTTTATTTTGTTGAATCAAGCGGAAACCCAGCCACAGTCGAACTCTGGGGTGAACTGTATTTTGATTTATTATTTTTTGATCAATTTAGAAATTTAGAAAAACGAATCACGGAAACGCGGCAGCGGGGCTGTGCATTTCGGGTGAAATCCCATTTCCTTGCTGTGGCGCATTTTCACACCGCACACACAGTGAGATTTCACCTGTTCACAAAACTCCGTGATAACCAATTATGCTCCTCACATTTGTTCTTGCCAGTTTTCGTGAATATTTCCAAATCTTAAAGGGCCCATTTCGAGTGATGCTTATTTCTAACAAGGAAAGGATGCAAAGAGTTGAAATTAATATAATTTTTTATTGAAGTTATGTACAGTCTCTCGCAAGACACTTATTAAAAGGAAATATGGCCCGATGATTGTTTCAAAAAAAGGCCAAGAAGAAAGTTATTTTCTCAAAGTTAGTATTTACACAATAATTATTATTCTGTTCATTGCTCAGAATTTCGTGAAAGGCATTCTAGCGGGAAATTATTGATAGAGGATTTGGCGGAGCAAAATGTTGTTTGGTGTTTTGTTTCTGAAATTCCGATTGATATTATTTTAATCTTGCGTTATTTTATGTTTATCTAAGGGCTATTTTTGATAAGGGTCTCGCGAGTGAAAAAATGCTTTTTTCACAGTAAAGCGGGCACAGTATTGTGCGCGTAAAAGCAACTTTTTTTTTTAAATTTTCGATTTTTTTCTTGTTTTTATCTTATCGATAGAGTTGTTGAAGAAATGGCGAGCGACTGCATAAGCTGTTTTCTTTTCAAGAAGGGGCCAGTTGTTATTTACAGGTGATTTTTTTTTCATCAGGAAGTTTGCTGACAGGCGGATAGAATGCATTTAAATTTATCCCAATTTCGAGTAGTCGACGAATTCCGGTTCGAAGTCAAGTGGCTCTGGGTAAGCTTTTTGTAGGTTAAATATCTTATTTTTATTGAACCCTCGTCATATTTGAATTGATTCTCAGTTGTTAGTGAATGTTATTTTTGGATAATTATTCAACCTTTCCTTCAATATCAAAATCACCAAAATGCATGCTGTCCATATCATCAATGCTCATTGCAGCTTGAACATTCCAAACTTCGCTCGATCCAGCTGGGCACTTGCTGCCAATATCGATCAGGAACTTGTTCTCGTCTCGTTTGTCTCCGTGGGTGGCGCAGCAGGATTGAATTCCAGAGTTGAAGGTACTGAAAAGATCTCTCTAAGCGTAAACCGAGCTGATTGAACTTACATTTGCCCACAGCAGGAATCAGCTTTGACGTGGAATGGAGAAGAGGTTGTAGCAGGCTCAGATCCAGCAATTGGTCGTCGGTTGACTGCTCGTCCTCCAGCTCGAACTTTGAGAGGGGCAGCGGTGGTTGAGAATTGCCCGCGTCGCATGTCGAAGCCAGAATCGTCAGCGGACATTGAGGGGAGCATGCAGTGCTGTTTCGAGATACCGATGCAGATGCAGTTCTAGGAGTGATGATGAAAAAGGGATGAAGATATGTTGTTTTACCTTGACAATGTCCTGGACCATGGAAAGAGATTCGAAACTCTCAGCTTCAATAGCGTAATGCTCGTCAGGTTCAGAAGCAATAGTTTTGATTTCACGTGAAAGCTCGTTCTGAAAACAATGAAGATCAAAGACGACGAATATACAGTAAAGTCATCGAGCTAAGCGCGCTGCGACTTGAGATGCTTCGTCTATACATGGTGGGATAAAAGTTGAAAATTAAATTCGTCTAGCTTTAAGAGTTGCCTGTCAAAAAGCGTGTTCTTAAACGTGCGAACGCGTTGCTCAAATGAATTCGATGAGACGAGAGTTCATCAAAAATTTCTCTTTTCCCGAATTGTGACTAATAATTTACCTCTTTTTTCATGTTCACCCCAACAGCGATCACAATGTCCACAACTTTCTTCAAATTATTCGACGCTTCAACAACAAAATCCTTAAAAATCAAAAATTTAAAAAAACAGAGTTGAATTCAAATGTCACGTGTTTTTCGCTGGAACGTCCGTCGGTGATCACAATTGCAACAACTTTAGAGTCGTTTCTAAATAATTAATGATTATGATTGATCAATTTTTCGAGAAAATTACCGCTGCCCGAAACCCATGTCGATCATTTCAGCCATAAAGTTCATCGCTTTGCCGGTTTCCGTTCCTTTTCCGGTTTCGAAGTCGATCTTTTTTTGAGAATTTTCGATTTGACAGAAAATAAAACTTATTAAACAATTTTTGAACTAATGAAGGGGTACTGTCAATTTTGGATAATTTTTGATAAGTTGAACAAAATTTTTTCATTTAGAAATATTATTATGGGATATTTTTACAATGAGTATTATGGTGTTTAAAAATCCATGCCAGATCTACTGAAGTCTTGATGCTCTCCTTCGAGTCATGATCTCCCAAGAAAAATTCAATTTGCGGATTTTTGTTGTACGAGATCGCTCCAAACTAAAAATGAAAACATTGTTATAGGTTAAACGTTAACTCCAGCGCCGATAAACGTAACAAGACAAGGAGTGAGAGTGAGTTTCGAAAAGCGGAAAAGTGATAAGAGTTTGCTTCGTTTTGACGTTTCACGTCCATTTAGAACACATGCCTTTCTTGTCTAGCTCGGCGGAATAGCTGATAAGTTTCTTTTGAACGCGGAATCGTTCATTTTTGATAAAACCCAGGAGGGCTTTTGAGAACTCAAATGATCAGATTGCTTTTTCGAAACTTTTAGGCTAGATTCATATTTTGCAAGACATATCAATGAAGATTTAATTTCCTTTCATGTACTTTTAGACATCCCCAGAAAGAGCTTTGATGTGACCCGTAAATTATACATTTTACCGCGTTACGCATCGACTGACCCCAGCGCCGCGCATAACATTTCGAAGCGCATGTAATTCAGAGCTCACTTTTGCCATTTAAAAAATTTATCGTTTGTTTAGATGAGGATGAATCGGACCAGATGTCGTAACCAAATAAGGGCTCAATTTGTCGAATTTGTTTTGGACCAGCGAAAAAGCACCTTATTGAGGGCATAGCAGCTCACGTTGCGAAACTCATCCATTTTAAGATTCTTTTGGGTCTGTATTTCCTTGAATTCGAATAAAAGAAATATAAACCTGAATAAAAATGACTGAGAAACGCCAAGAGGTTTCGGGTCATATATGAATCGTATTCTGCGGTTGTGAGGACATAAGATTCCTTTGAACATGAGCTACAAGCTTGATCTTAGAGATCAACGGCTCCATCTGATTTTCAAGTGAAAAGAACAGTTAACTTGAAATTGATTACAAAAGAAAAAAGGTGACTGATGGAGTAACCTGTCGAGCCAACGACGATAAGAAAATCAAATTTAGCCGCCTCGTCATGTTCAGCCGCGTTTAGAAAACGACGATGACCGACCGTTGGATAAGATAAACTGTCAGCCAAGTGGCCAGCTGCTGGCCATTATTCACAAAAATCATTGACTGCAAAGGACTCACGTGGTCTCTGTTAACACATCGTCGGAATCGAGCGGTCAGCGTGGAAAAGGATTTTGCCATTTTTGAACGCGTGGATTTTGAAAACCCAAAAAAGGGATCATGATTCATTGTAACTTATAATTGAGGAGTCTTCTTTTAGAAAAAAATTCTTTGACTCCTTCTTTGACACGGGCACTCACGTTTTTTGGGCTGTTAAAAACGCAAAACTTCCTCCAATTAATGAGTGCCGACCGCTTGAGTGAGTTTAAAATCAACCGCACTACATTTTGATCACTTCAAAATCGGAAACGGTCTGATCATACTACTCGACCCCGAAGTTCCCGATTCACTCATTTATAAGAGGGCATACCGGGGGAATGAGAGAATCGAACATACAAATTCTCCAACTTGTGCGGAATTTTCGCTCATGAGAGAGTGATAAAGTGACTGGCGCGTTTCTGCTGATAAATATTCATAAATCATATTATATGATAATGTCACTTGGCGCAATTTAGAGACTTCTCTCTCAACCGCAGAGTTGCAAATTTGCTGAGCTGAGTGAGCTGAGCTGGCTGAGTGAGCTGAGCAGTCGCTCAGCTCAGCTCAGCTCACTGATTTTCGAAAATGAATTTATCTGCTCAGCTCAGCTCAGCTCAGACAATAATCACTCAGCTCAGCTCAGCTCAGCTCAATTATTCTCGAACATGATCTGTTCTGCTCAGCTCAGCTCAGCTCAGATAAGTATCATTCAGCTCAGCTCAATGATTTTAACACAATTTCACTACTAAAAACATTAAAAACAGCTCAACCCAGCTCACTCAGCTCAGCTCAGCTCTAATTAGGGTCTGCTCAGCTCAGCTCAGCTCAACTACCTTAAAAAGGTCTGCTCAGCTCAGCTCAGCTCAATGACCTCTGAAAATGGCCAGCTCAGCTCAGCTCAGCTCAGTGAGCTCCGAAATAGGCTAGCTCAGCTCAGCTCAGCTCAGAGAATTTCTCACTCAGGGCAGCTCAGCTCAGCTCAGCAAAAATAAAGCCAAATTTGCAACTCTGCTCAACCGTCCATTTTTAAACCAGAGTTAGAGGGAATGACGACTAGGTTCGCGAGGACTAGGTTCGTGTGACTAGGTTCGTGGTGGGTTCTGCCAGAGTATTGAAATCGGCCTATTTTTTGGTGCAGTAAGGGAAATGGGTTGATGACTAGGTTCGTGTGACTAGGTTCGTGAAATTGTAAATAGAAAAAATTTTGGGGCAGTAAGGGAAATGGGTTGATGACTAGGTTCGTGTGACTAGGTTCGTGAAATTTTAAATAGAAAAAATTTTGGGGCAGTAAAGGAAACGGGTTGATGACTAGGTTCGTGTGACTAGGTTCGTGAAATTGTAAATAGAAAAAATTTTGGGGCAGTAAGGGAAATGGGTTGATGACTTGGTTCGTGAAATTTAAGAAATGAAAAAATGTGGGACTATATTTGCCAAATGAGTATAAAAATAACATATAAATAAAATAAATAAAAATACATATAAAAATCCAAATTCCACGAATCTAGTCTCAAGAACCTAGTCTTCACGAAAATAGTCTAACGAACCTAGTCTTCACGAACTAAGTCTTCACGAACCTAGTCATCAACTCATTTCCCTTACTACCCCAAAATAGTGAAGATACAAAAAAATACATATAAAAATCCAAATTTCACGAACCTAGTCACACGAAGCATTTTTTCCGACATGGCACCCACGAACCTAGTCACACGAGCCTAGTCCTCACGAACCTGGTCATCGGTCTCGAGTTAGACATTGTTAACCCTTATTTTTAACTGATTTTTCTGCCAGAGAGTCTTTCCTTTGGCCTGATTATTTTTCTTTGTGAATTATCTTACATAGCAAATCGAATAATAATAGCATCCCTTTAAAATACCCTGTTGAAAAAACTGATAAGAAAGAAAAAAAGAATCGCTTTAGTTGAGTGGTCAGGAAGCGAGTGAGGCAATCTAAATACACTGATGGTGAGTACGATCGCTGCCAGAACGTAGTAAGAGCTTGTCTTATCAGCTAGGCCCCATTCACGCTTTTGCGAATTTACATGAGCACGGGCAGATCCAAATCTTTAGAAGGATGGTCAATCAAAAAAGAAAAAGAGGAGATAATCAAAAAATTTTTCAACCTGAAAAATGCTTGAATGGAACCTTCTTTATCGAACAGGGCTGCAATTACGTTTATCCAAAAGTCGCGCCTAACGATAAGGAGCTCGACTGGGCTCGAATTTTTGTTCAAAAGTGCGAATAAGACTTCTTATCTACAAACGCCTTCTAAACAACTCTTACTCATTGGAATAACTTAGGCTTAGCGGCTAAGCTGATTTATGTGAGAACGTCAAAACTTACCGAAGTCAAATCTGGACCCATTGTGAAACCATCGACGACCTTGTATACAAACGAGCGGATGGACTCTATCGCTTTTTGTCCAGCCTAGGAGTATTATGTAAATCTTCCAGTTCAAGTTTTTCTTTATGTTGCATCAATAAAGCCTGGCCTAAGAAAAAAGGGGATGGAGGTTAATGCTTGAGCTTCCGGTGTTTGTCGAACCCGTGGTCTCCGTGGATCAGTCGGCTTTTGGACCGTTGCTTTCACTTTTAATAAATACCAACAATCTCTAAATGGCCATTCAGAATGGCCCATTCTAGCGATTTTGAGGGTGAACAACATAATCTTTACTCTACTACTGAAACCTTTCGAATACTGGAAGAAGTGTCGACAAGGAAGACGAGGTCCATCTTGGCATCTGGCGGGCAATCTAAACGAATGAATTAAGCTCCAACGGTGTCTAAGGAATTCAGCCCAGATCAACTGAATCGAATATTCAAATTCGCCCTCGTCCCCGAGAAAACGTGGAAAACATTCCCACATAGTTCGTTGATCTTTTTTTTTTGTTAAGGAAAAATAGGATAGTTTTTTCTCGTTTTGCTTGTGTCTCCGGATTTTCTTATTGAATCCGGATCAAACCTGCAGTAGCAGGAGTTGTCAGCGCCGCGGCGAGGAGAAGGAAGGATCGTAGAAGTTGCATCTTTCGTTTGTGAATGAAAAGGGATGGAAACACGGCCATGCTGGGGTCATTTTGACGCTGTTCTGGTTGACAACAGTTAGGTTACTTAGCCACTCTCCCTCTTTTTTTAAGATCTTTGTTTTAGTTGAAGTGATATAAATGTGTCAACCGGACCTGTTGTGGTTAGGAAGAATAGACCAAGGTTCAATATGCGCTTTTCGAGTTTGTCTTAGACCTGTGCCGCTATTTTCAGCGAGGTTACAGCGGTAATCCACGATTTTGAACCTTTCCTGTGATTCTGCGGAATCATCAATTTCGCAGTTGAATACGGAAAAAATACAAAAAAAAACTGATGCAATTTAGAGTCTTCTAACCCGTTTCCTTTGAGTTTTCAATATTTTATAAGGAAATAGAACAAATATAAAAGGAACTCTTTGCGATGAATTAACCCTTTCCTGGTAATAATAACCCGAAAATCATATTATTACAATATTGATGCATCAAAATTGAATCATCAAATTTATCATTTCATTAAAAATTTTCAATCCCTTCCTGGATGTTAAGGGGTATTCAAACGAGTTAATTATTTTTTTCAACGCTTATAAAAATAATTCGAATTCAAAATTCAAAAAATTTTTGAGCTTACTCAAATTAATTGCATTGTTGATACCCGTGACTAAAAACAGTTAATAAAATTTCCAACAGGCAAAAATAAACTTTTGAGGAAACAAAGATTTGCTTTGATAAATACTTTACCTATGAACTGAAATGAGAAGGCGTTATTCTTGAAAGCGGGGAATATTTGACGTTGCGAAAATTTGAAAACAAGAAACGAGAGTTTCCTGGTTTTAACTGTCCACCGCAAGGTTCCGTCAAAAATCACTCAAGTGATTTGTAAGACTTGGACAAAATGACAAACGTGGTCCAAATTAACCTGACTGTATAAACTTTGATTAAACTAAACCTATCTAACCGGCCAAACTGTATATAAAACTATGACCGACGTTTGTCACGAAATATACTGTATAAAAACCTGTGATGCGTTGGATTACCCTCTCTAATGAGAGCTTAAGGGTATCGTCGATTAAAGATTTACAAAGAATAGAAACCAATATAAATTTTTATCCTCAAAAATAGGAATCAATATATCAAAAAAAATTGATCCAAGCTGCTTGCTTTTGGCGGAGATATCTCACTCGCACCGAAGACGAAAAAGGGACGGCACTATTTCTTTTCTAAACAATTTCTTCCACGCCAGGAATTTCTATTGTCAAACTGTGCTTAGACTTTTAACGAAAAGGGACTTATTCAAAAGCTGTCTATAATTTTTGAATCGCCAAGTGGCGAATTGAAGAAGAAAGAATCAAGAAATTTAAATCTGGCGAGGTTGAAATACGCGAAACGAGGGTTCGTAGAAATCGAGATTTTCAAGTGCGGGTTCGTGTGTGCCTAAAAAATAATCATGTTATAATACAGTCAAAAGGAGAGAAGAGAGAGAGAGCAAGAGGATTTTTAAGAGAGTTGGGCTTCTTAAAAATTTAAATAATTTTTATATTCCGGTTTAGCGCTACGCCGGGCTTTCCCCGCAACGGGCCCAAAATAGCGTCTAAACTAAAAGTATGTTTTTCGTTTTGCGTTATCCCAGTGGCGAGTTGGATTCAATATAATCCGTTTTCGTTTCAAACGGCAGCTTTTTAATTTGTTAGTTTTCATTAGCGTAAGATAAGCGACTACGCCTATTTTGGACATTTCACTTTTCAAGTTCATTTTTGATCGCAAACCCTTATTTTTTATTGGAAAAATCTTTGAATACTTTGATAATTAAGGAGCAAAAGTTAGAATTTTTTCCTCAGGTTCATTTCGAATCAAAATTTGAGAGATAAACCTTCATATCTTCCGCTTTTTATGAATTAGGAAAATCGAGATTGCGAAAAGTACAATAAATTTAATTGACTCCACCCCCTTAACGACTCAAACAAGGTCGCTGGCAGGCGAAATTACGTTACGTGTAGAAGTATATATTTATATAAAAAGTGAGAGATAATGGCGGACAAGTTTACGCTCTACTCGTATTGGAGATCCAGTTGCTCTTGGCGAGTTCGAATAGCTTTAGCGTTGGATTCCAGAATGTTAAGGGACTACCGGCAGAATGGGTAACTAAAATTCTTCGAAAAACTTCGTAGAAATGCCAAAAAGTTCAATTAGGTGCATTAAGAATGCCTTAAAAACGTGTTCAAAGCGGCTGTTAAGTGTCTTCCCGCTTGACAATTTAGTGCACCTAGGAATGCTCTTCTGGAATCCACTAAAAGCGCTCAAGAATTTGGACTATGATTACAAAGCCGTGAACCTCCTCAAATCGGAGCAGTTGGAAGACGAATACAAATGTAAACAGTCGCACATAAACACAAGGTTGACTTGAATTTTAAGCCGAATTGAACGGGATGGGGCAGGTGCCGACGCTGGTCATTGAGAAATCGGATGGTCGAAAAATTCAGGATTGAGCGCTCACGCCTTTATTTATAGTCATTTAGGGCAACGGGCCAGTTTTGGGCTGATGATATTGTTACGTTTTGAGTCACGTTTGAAATTTTCCACGAAATCTACGAGAAATTCTTTTTATAAAACAGTATCAGCGGTAGTACCAATAAACAACAAATATAAAGCGCCAAAAAGCTAACTCAAAGTCTGGCAATCATCGAATATCTGGACCAAGCCATGGTTGTTTTGACCTTTTCATCCCGTTTAACCAAAAAAGTCAAAGTTCTCTCAATCAAGCAAAAATTTTGGCTGTTTTCTAGTTGTGGTTAAAAATGACGCGTTCCAAGTGACCTCTCAGGGGATTGAACACCCGCTGAAATAGTAAACTGACCAGCTAGGCTTTTTTAGATTCAAGTGGGATTAGGAGCTATTTCGCTGCCGATAAGGGTTTTTGTACTTCTCGGCGGGAGATCGGAGGAGTTGTTTACGTATATGAGGCTGGCTTAGAAATGGTTATGGAAATAAAAGTAAATCTTCCGTTAGGATAAGGTACTTCCCCTGCAACGGTTTCTTTCAAGAAAAGATGCGGAACATCCACGTGACAAAAAACCATATCAAAGTATATCAAGACGCTCCGAGACTCATCCCAGAAGACGCCGAGGACGCCTTCAGAGCACGTGAGATCGCGAACATGATTGAAAAGGCTCAAAATTATCGCACCTGAAAATTATTTACAACGTCTTTAATGGCATCAATTGAGTCTGAAATAAGATCTGGCATTCAGCCTGTTCAAAATTTCGCTGTTCTCAAGAAGGTCATTGCTCTTGGGTAATTATCCGATGACTGGTTTCAACTTGAAGGTTTATTTTAGAGCCGACAAGCTAGAATGGGGCCGGACAGTAATTACAGAAGGATTCAAAGCCGTAGAAAAAGCCATGAAGCCAGGTTTGATGGAACTCCGAGACGCGATAAAAGAAAATCATCATGTTCAGAATGGAAATTCTCTGCGGGTGATGCAATCACCGTGGCAGGTTAGTGTTAGCCTACTCTTATCGCTTTCAGTGCTTATCATCTGTCCGCAGCCTGTCCGTTCCGTTAAAAATAGAGAAGTTTTCTAAAGAGGTTTAATCACGGGCTTGGGAGCACTTGTGCCCCGCATTTTGTGATTCTGATTTTTTCTTATCTAACTTTGGTCGGATTCGTTATCGCTATCAACTACAAAGTAGGCCAATTACATATCCCAAACTTGGTTGAGCGTCGACTTTAGAAACAATGCAAAAAAGTTCAAAGTGTTCCATCATCATGATGACCTACTGCGAACTTGTAAACACGCAGCATCTCGTCACTAGCGCTTGGATTAATGCCAAACTATTAAAATTATTTTTCATTCTAGTAGTTCACGATTTCACAAGTAACTTTAGATTTGTGCTTGGTTCCACAAGTTTACAATGCGAAGCGATTTGGGGTTGAAATGAGCAATTTTCCCAGGATCTGCGAGGTCGCTGACCGTCTCGAATCACTAGAAGAGCTCAAAGCTGCTCATCCCTCAGTCCAGCCTGACGCTGTTAATTGATCAATGAGAGCACTCAATTATTCGACTGATGAACATAATAAATGCAATTTTAGTTGAATCTCATCTGGTCATTCAATTCGATTGAGCCCGAGATACGGTTTTTTTTTAACCCGCGCACAACAAAAAAAAATACATTTGTGTTTATGCTCATGTGGAAGAAAATTAGATTTGGAGGCACGCTTTGAATCAAATTTCGAAAGGGTACCAAGATGGCACTTCGAGTAAGAGCTGAATGTATCGGCTGACCTGGATCCCCTTAAAATCTGGCGGGTGATTTATTCAATTATTTGGTTCTTCGAATACGCATGCGGTTTGTTTATGGTTTCCGAGTCAGAATACATTCAGAAATTCCAACAAAACTGTGTTTTGTTGAAATTAATTGTCGATTGAAAATTGAGTCATTTTGCTTTGCGTGGCGGCATGCAATTAATGCGGTAAGCAAAATCACGATAGCGATAATTTTTCAATGTAAACTGTTTGCCCCAAGAATCAACAATAATTCACTTTAGAGATTCGCGAAATATCAAAACCAGGTAGATCACTAGAAAGTTTTCGTTTCCCGATGGGATGCTTTCTTAACCTGTTTATCCTTAGTCTTTATAAGAGGCCGCTGGTTGAGCCGGATGGAAGACTAGTCAGAATAATAACGGTTAGATCAGTGCGAGTTGAACTTTTGAAAAAATGTTGATTTTCTTTAGTTGAACGGAGTTAACTTTATTTTAGAGGGGCAGATAGCCGAAAAGAGATTGTCTGGTAAAAATCTATCAAGCAAAAAATAACTGATTAAAAACGCTAAAAAGTCTAGCTAGAACTTGATAAAAACTCATAGAAAGAATAACAAAGAATATAAATCGTATATGATGTGGGATTGAATGATGTCAGAAGGCCGAGAGTACGAGATATGGTACTGGATATGTTATGATGGCTACAAGAGACGCGTCCGAAACACGTTTCCGTTCCATAGTGCGAG